CAACAAAGATACGTTACATAAATTTGTCATGTGCAATCCAAGGGAGACAAATGATCATTAATACAAGTCATATGACGCGCATCACTGATCTCCCTTGTGCCTAAAATTAAGATTTAAAGCGAGCATTCTAAACTTCAGATCTGCATTACCAAATAGACCTTTTCCATTACTACATGCCGTATAATACAACCTATTAGTTGGCAGATCAAACCAGTCTGATACATTTGAAATAAAATTTCCATTTGGACACAAATCGGGCCAGAAAATCGCCGATGGCCAACATGGAACTACAAGTACACCTACTGCTTGATCAGCGCTCATTTTTCTAATAACTTTTCCTATAAGCGAGATCGGGGGTACAAACAATCCAAATTCAATTCCCCAGTTTTCTGTAAAAGCATCTACACCCGAGGATGAAGGACTCCAGAACCTTGAATAGAACTTGACCAATTTGGCATTGTGTTCTGAGGCAAACCAGTCTACTGACAAATGGCAAAAACGGTTTTCAATCATAGACAGAAGTTCATTTGAAATCCCCCAGTCGTCGTAGTCGACAACTTTTGATAAATAATCGGCTCTTTCGTTAAACGATCTGGGAATCCATTCCATGAATAATTGTATGGACTTTGACATACAAATCTTGAAAATTTGTATTGCTATGCTTTGTAACTCCTTATTCATGGACCCTTTCCTGACTATTGATGTAACCCCTTGATAATCACTGAACCACTTGATACTTTGATTAGAAATAATATGAGTTAATGAACAAATAACCCGATAAACCGCGGTCAGTTCTTTCCACGTGGAGGATTAGCTACTCTCACCAATTGACCATAAACCATGGGCAACTCCGTTAACCGTACTAACCTCGTAACCTGCGAACCCAGAATTACTTGCATCTGAGTAAACAACTTTTGAGCATCTGACAGTATCAAATAAGTGCTTGCGATTTAAGTGTTCTAAATTCTTTTTTTTTCCAGAAATGTAACTGATCTAAGCTGTCGTCTGAAAGATGGATAAAACATTCCCATGACCTAGCATTCAAGATATCTATGCTAAGCGAACGGGTCATGATTTGACCTATGACGATAGACATAAAAATTAGCTGCCCTATCAAACTTGCCACTTTTGTAACAGGTACTGTCCTGTGCACTTTGTGAGCATTCAGAATACAGTGTATTGCGAAAAACGCCTTTTGTATTTTCTGTTCAGGAATATACAGAACGCCTTCTGTGGAATTTAACAGAACACCTAAAAATTGTATGATCTGAACTGGAACCCAGCCAGATTTGTCCACGTTTAGAATGAACCAAGATAAAAGTAAATCACCTTTATTTGAACGCCTAATTGCTCTGTTTTACTGAAATCTTGGCCACACCCAAAACCATCATCAAGAAACATCAATAATGACTTTCCTTCATCTCTCAATTTTTTGACTAGGGGCCTAGTAACCTTAGTAAAAATATAGCAAGCGCTGCTCAAACCAAATGGGAGTACAAGAAACTTGTAATAAGAAATCTTATTACCTTTATCAACCCATGAAAATCCCAAAAATTCGGTATGTGGCGGATATATCTCAATGAAATGGTACGCACTAGTGATGTCGAATTTTATCATGTGACAATCTTTCTTTAAGAAATATAATGCTATTCTTAAATCCTCAAATTTGACCGACTGTTTCCAAATATGCTTGTTGACTGCTCTAAAATCTAAAATCAATCGTTTCTTACTAGAATTTTCAGACACTGTTAATGGCCGTGTGGCGGCTGTAGAAAGTCTCCCCGTACATTTAATCAATGATGTTATATTTTCGATCCTTGAAGATCGTTCAGCACGGCATTATTGTTGTGCTTGTGGTATTTTTAGTTTCAACTTTTCGGCATTTTCTAGTTGGGTGGTTCCAATATTCCTACTTGAATAATGTTGAATCACCCTTAGGATATGTTGTCTGCTTTTTAAATTTGTCTTTTGACGTCTTATCTGTGATACGCAGGCTTCATAACCTCTGATCCCCTTTCAAAATTCCATTTTATTTAGTTCCGCCCATTGTTTTCTCGTTTAGGGCACACGCTTTTTATTACTTGGGGACCATACGCCGCTTTTCATGGAATGGCACGGAAGTGTCGCATTGAAGGTTCCATGATAACCGCCGTATGAACACATCTGCGGATGTTTCTAATTTCAATATTTTACTATTTCATGTTTAAATGTTGAATTCTGCTTAAGCCGGTGCTAGGGGGCGTGGACGGTAACTTGCACTTTCCAGTACCGTCCATGAACAGGCTCAATCAAACCGAGCCTGCAACATTTTCAATTTTGCCGTGTTGGGCTTTCTTTAGGGATTCTGTATTTATCTATTTGACAATAAACGGTGGAACTGAACAATTTTTTATAAGAGAACGATCTAATAAATCTTGAATTGCCTCGGAAACGAACTGAATTTCGTTTGCAGCAGACCTGTTATTTTTCAAAAATGTCTCAGGTGGCAAAGAATAAAAAGGAATCTTATAACCGTTTTCTATCACATCGAGTATATACTGATTAGTACCAATTGAACGCCAAAAAATCAATATGCTGCCTTAAACGGCCCCTAACAATAATTTTCTTTTGGCCTTGTTCATACTCAAAATAGTCACTGGTAAATCTTTGATAATCAAAACTATACTCATCTTTCAAAGAGTCAATGTTCTTTAGCTCATTTGCTTGTCGTTTGCTTTTTCCACTGGGTTCTACCGCCTGTATTTGGACAGTCCCGCCGGAAGTGGCCGAGGTTTCCACATGCGTAGGATGGCCATGATGCTGTACCGTAGGTCGCGCCTGAAACGCCGCCTTTTCCTGCCCCGTAGAATCCACGAAAGGACTGCATTCTCGGAAACGTATGTTGCTGCCCTGATTGAAATGAAAGTGCAGGTGCTTCCCATGTTTTGCCGTGATAGTAGCCAGATGTGCCAGGATGATTATCGTAAAAAATTCTGGAAACAAAGTGATCCCTCGGAAGCATTAATCACAACAAAATAACATAAGAATTGCAGACTCGGTTTGATTGAGTCTGTACATGAGGGATAATGAATAAGTGCAACATCCCTCACGCCCCCTAGCACCGGCTTGAGCGGTACTCAATTCTCAACTCTTTATAGTGTTGGCATCAATGATCCCGAAGGACCAGAAAAGACTTGGAACTAGACCTTTTTCGTTTAAGCGCACGATTTCTGCCTTGTTGATTTTGGCATCATCTTCTGAGTCGCTTGCGATTGGATTTGCCTCGTATGATCTGACCGTGTCCCAGCCCCCGGGACTTCCGTCGGCGATTCTAATCAACTTGTTGCGCTTTCTCAGTTTCTCAGTGAGTTCTGATAACAACTCCTTCGAATAATCGAATTTACAATGTTCAATAGCCCAAGCAGTCTGTTTGGCTAATTCTTCGAGCTCTGAATTAAAAATAAATTGAATCTTGTTACCCTGGAATTTCCAGACGAGTTCTTGTTCTGATCTCAACTTCTTGACTTCTGAAGCCACGTTGAAAGCGTTGCCCTGAAAATCTTGTTTAAATGATTGAACTTCTTCCCGCTGAGTTTGTAATTCGTCAAGAACACGTTGAAGTTGGTTTCAACCCGTGAAGTTTCGCCCGGTGAAGACAAGCCGCCATTTATGCCGCCGTTTGCCACGTTGTCATTTTCCATCATACAAAAATAATCGACGTGTAGAATGGTCAGTAACCCAAAGCTGAACTGACACATAACTTGACTACCGTTACGCACGAAAACTTCGTGCGCTAATCGCGACCCCTATCGGAGACTTTACACTATTGAAGGGAAAATAATCTTTTCTAATTCGTCTGCTCAAACGAAAGAAATTATATATATTTTTGTTAGTTCATAAATATAACTTTTGTAAAATGAAAAATCATTTCTAGCATGTTGTGTATTAATAAGTCTAGATATAATTAAATCTAGAAGTAAGATTAGCGTGAATATGAAAAATTATCATATTTATTGACATTCCCTGGAGGAAATGAAATCTCAGCTATCTAAAATCTATACTGTGACTGAAGGATTTCTCTTGATTAGTCAAGAAACTAGCTTTAAAGACAAACTTGCACATAATAAAGGTGTTAAAGCTTTACCTCCCACATTATTTAGTTATTCTTTCTTTATCTTTTGCGTAAATTTGTGCGCATAATAATGTTAAAATTTCAAGGTATGTCCTAAGTTTTATATGATTGTTATTCTTGTTTTCCTTATGATATCTCAACGCGTGTGTGTAGATATGAACATGTCATTTCAAAAAGTATTTCACTTGTAGGCCTGAAATTTTACAAGAATGTTGGTCAGCATGTGTACTTATGCACCTTGGGGTTTGCTTGTGGATTTATTCAGTATTTGTAAAGTTCTTTACTTAGTAAAAGATTTTTAGTTTTCAAAAAATATTTTACCTAGAGTCATAAGATTGACAGAACAGTGGCGCGGTGGGGGCACCCGTGTCCTATGGACACATTTCTAGTTTCCCTCTATTGTTGATTCTTTTCCCAAACATGTCATATTTGAGCAGTATTTTTTGTTCTATAGCCAGTGATGGCAAACAATATATGTGCATGTGAGTATTTTTCGTGTGTGCAGAGGAGCATCTGAGTTTCCCCACAATCGGATGAATACTCATATATACAATGTACCTATTGTATAATTATTATATAATTTATGTTATAGACCTGCTTTTTATACCGGACTCTATTATAGCTACAATATATTGTTAAACCTCATGTTGTATACCTGATGATATACCTGAGTGAAATAAAGTTATCTGTCTGTCTGTGTGTTATTCATCAGTTTTTAGCTTAGCAAAATAAAATCAAACTTCAAAGATGCAAGTATATATTTGTAAGGAAATTAACAAGGTAAATATAATAATATTCAGGTGCGCAATTTTCCCGGTTTCGTATTTTTCGTAGGGAACATGCACCATACTTCTTAAAATACGCAAAATAAACACAAAAACTCACAACGCTCGTTTATTCAAAGACATTTATTTACATTTGTATATAAATATGTTGTATAAAGTTTGCCGTACGTCGTGATATTGCACAAAAAGTAACTATGTTATAATATACTTATAATTGAAATATTGATGAAATAAAATGCGTTATTATTAGTATTATTATTATTATCACCATTATCTCCTTATTTCACAGTTAATATTTATTAATACTTAAGTGAAACATATTTTACGTATTGTCATGGTGTCCTGTCGGACTACTTTTTAAATTCAACCAATACACAAAGTTTAAGGTGTAGTCTTTCAAATTGTAATGTCAAAACAGTTTAAAATGCAATATTAATGCTGCCGCCACAAATGAATTTTTATATTCATACCATTCAATAGAAATAAATCATGTATCTATAGAAAAACTTGGAAACTCTATGCATTTTATTTTGTATACATGTACCATAAAATTAAGTCCATACAAAAGCAAAGTGATGGATAGTCTCGGGGAATAATGTTAGAATATTCTGTTGTTGAAAAACAATTTACGATGTTCTTCTTTCTCTTTAAAAGGAAAACTCTAGTCATAAATAATAATCATTTGAACATCACATTGAGACACATTGCTCCCTATTCTTATTGTTTTATTAGTTTTGGTCCCTTATATCCAACACTAAACGAATGACTCACTTATGTTTTACAACATTATAACAGTCTAACAGTTTTGTATTACAACATAGAAAAAACGTTGCAATTACATGTTGTTGAATCTGACGAAAGCTAAATGGAGGTCGACTGTAATCTGGTTCTGATATGGAATCAATTTTTATTAGCCACACCTTGAAGTTCATTATAATTTCATAAAAAAATAAGTTCATTGACAACAGGTCATGGTGTGTATGAGTGATAGGTAATAAACTCACTAGCCCAAACAACTGCCCTGATACAGATTATGTGTACAATTATCATCTGCATGAACTATTCTGTAAGATAATAACGTATATCGACACATTAATGAAATGATAAAGTATAACCCTTTTTAAAATACACACACAAAATAACAAAAAAGATGACAAATTAGCACAGCTTAGCATTACAATTACAAAATTTAAGATAAAGTTACACATCTTAGCATTTAATCGTCATGCTATTTATTACTACAATACCCGATGGCCTCTAGATCATTTTAGATTTTGTTTGGATAAAGAAATAGAGAGAAACACTGAACTGAACTGAAAACTGGTAGTCCAACACGGCGATGTGTTGCAGACTCGTTTAAAACTTAATCATCAAGAAAATCCACAGTTGTCTCATATACTTCCTGTGTAGTCGCATTTATAACAGAAATCTTAAATTCTGATTCTCCGATTTCGATTTCTGCTGTAAACATTACAATATTACCCCACCCTCCTCTCGGTGGATGGTGGACCATTTTTCCTACTCTTTCGCAACCTTCATCGGGAATGCAATATTTAGGATCAGCTTCTGATGAACGATAAAGTTCCGTGCTGCAGGGTTCTTGTTTACTTCCTACTTCATTTCTGTTTCCGGAAAATTCAATTTTTATCTTTTCACCATACTTTAAACACTGTCCTACTTCTATACATTTATGAAATATGTCCGAACAGTATTCCAAGCCTGACCGACGTCTTTCTCTTAAACCTGCCGGATGCACCTCTTCATTAAATGGTTCGGCTACTCTAAATCCATAACTGAATCTTGAAATTCTCTCACTGATGTGATTTGGTTTTAAAATTGTAAGCACTGCTCCTTTTAACACATGCAATGAGGCCTGTTCTGGTTTTACTATGTCTAATCTTCTAAAATCTGCTCTTAGCTCTCTGATCACTGATTCCCTAACGAAAGGTGAATCTGAAAATCCACCAACCAACAACAGTGTGTCTATTTCAAATTTTTCACTTTGTATGATTTCTCGTAGTTTTTTAATTATTTCGTTAACTGGCTCTCTAAAGAACACACTTACCAGTTCGTGTTTTAGTGTTATTTTACCCCTCTTTTCTTCAATAACCTTTGCCAATTTTTCCTCGGTAATGCATTGCTTTAACGTTACATGCCTTTTGTATAAAAGACTTTCGCTAAAACTAGGCGGGACCTTCAAAATCATGGACACTGGTTCATCGGCACCTATTCTTCCCTTTTTCATTTCAAATTCTCTTACGAAATCTAGGTAGTCTCCTCTAGCGGTATTTTTAAAGTGGTCCATAACCTCTTTGCCAACGAGATTTTCAAGAAATGTTAAAAAAGCAAAATTTACTCTATTACCACCGAGTTCATCACCGGTTGCCCTAAATATCTCTCTTAGGTTCCCATCTGGAAGAGTTTCATGGGTAGCTATATCAGCGGTTCCACCTGTAATTTGTAAAATATATATATAAGATGGAGAAAAAAATAATCCGTAAAGAATACCCAACACGGCAAAATTGCAAATGTTGCAGGTTCGGTAGGATAGAACCTGTTCATGGACAGTAGTGGTAATTGCAAGATACCGTCCACGCCCCAAAGCATCGGCAATATAACTATATATGAGATTTTATTTAACAAAGGCGTATGAAAATCTATTCTAGAAAAAGGTTTTATGTCGAGCAATGACTAGTTGTTTAATATATGAAATGATAATTGAAGTAAATATCCATTCATCTGTGAAATAATTTAAATGTATTATACCGGTATATGAGATAACCGATAATGCAGCTAAATTGATAGAAATAACATTTTGCTGCTGCATTTTAAATTTTGATAGCAATAGTCAACATTTTTCAGTAACCCTTTTATCTCTTAAAAGAAAAGTGATGCTTCCAAAATTCCATTTGTTTCACTTAGTGTATGCTTACATATTACGCAGTTCACAAAAACAGTTTGAACAAACTCCTGTTTAATATAAGTTAATAAATGTATTTATAACAAATGTTATTGCCAAGAATGAAATAAAAGCATACCACCGAGGTCAGCGAGGATGTATTTCTGACCAGGACAGAAATGTTTGAGCTCCGTTATGCCACCAGCTTGAACGTCTCGTTGGGTATAGGTTGCTTGGCCAAATAAACTTGCAGCCTCGGGCTCCAGCACAAGTTTCAGTTGCGTGGTGGTTATACCAGCCTGTTTATAATAACAGGGAAATTTATATTGCTGGGGAAATGAGTCAATTTTCGATCAATTCAGGCATAAACTATAGACCTTGCAATGCAGACTGTACATTTACCACCGGTTTGAGTCAAGTTATTGAAGTATTATCGGTTTAAAGTTAATGTTTCTGGATACAGAATGTGACTTTGTCGTATAACTTAATATGACAAAGCTGTATAACCCACATTCAGGTAAATCGGCTATATAAGCATTGTAGTTCTACAGTTCTAACAAGAAATGACTAAATAAATTACTTTTAATTTAATGCACAGTAAAAGTATACGTAAAGATAACAGCATAAAAATTAAAACTTCAATATACATTTGTTGCAGCCTCCCTCATAAATTGTTTTGCCGCATCTGACCATATTGCTGGAACAGTTAGCACCCAGAAAATCTCATGATCTTCAATGTGTGTCTTACTACGGCGAACTTCATCCGTCAAATTCTCTCGAAGATACTTAATAACCAGTGTAAATATCTTCATTGCTGATATTTCTTTTCCTTCGATATCTTTAAGTTTAGTTTCACGAGATAGTTTCTGAAATTTAAAATGTATCGATGAAAATGTATTCATGTACCCGATTGTTTACTACAAAATATTCAGATATAATGTTGATAAATAAAAGTGGAAATCATTTACGTACCAAACACATCAACATTGCAAATCATGCTTTCTCGGTTTGATTGCCCCTGTTCATGGAAGCATTCCTGCAACACGCTAGAACCGTCAACATTTAAATATGAGATTAACGATTCTCTTTAAACATCAACATATGTTAAGATAATGTATAGTGGTAATCATGAAAAAATATGCCCCTTTCTTACCGTGCAATAAACCGCGGCGTATGGTCACCGTTTAGAAATCATATCAAACTAAATGTTTTCTGGTCTGAAGAACTTTATACTGCTAGAGCTGCGCGGTAAGTAATTGACAATTTACCTCTTGACGATATAGCTCCATTTTGAAGTTTTGAACAAAGTACCATCCATATTGAGTGTCCTCGTCAGTTAACAGGGAATACTTCTCCTCGGCTTCAAGACCAAATGCTTCAAATTCCCCGTTTGGTCGGAGTAGAACAGTTGTCGGTGCTTTGTAAGCGATCAAGTTTGCCGTTGTCCTCGAATGCCATGTACTTGCAAATATTCTAAAAGGATCATCCCTGTATTGTCGAAGAAATAACATCGTAAGAGCCTTGCTATGTTTTTTGTTTGTTTGTTTGTTTGTTTTTCTTTCTTTCTTTTTTTGTTCGAATACATGTTTGTTGCTTTTTTTGTTCGAATACATGTGTATTAACGATTACAGGCAGGACAATATTTGAAAAGGTAACATTGATGTATCAAAATTATACATAAATTATGCTTTATACACTTTTGTGTGTATTTTCCTTTTCTTCTTCGTCATGGGACATCATAGCTTGTAACAAATCAATAAAATGCAGATTTCCGACCGATCTGTTTTATTTAAATCAAATGAATGTAAAGCAATTAATTAACCTTAAAATGTCTTTACAACATGAAAATAAATTATGATGTACTATACGTCTTACAAAATTTAATGATTCTATATTTCACTTGAATTCCTTTAACCCATTACTTCATGAGCATTTTGTGAAAAATGGCTGTTTTCATTGAAAAGTCTCCCGTTACAAGTTCAAATTGCTATAATACTATAAAAACTGCTTCAACGCTAATCAAACTTGGCACAAATGTTGACTGGACCATTGCACTTGCAACAACATGCTCAGGCTTAAATTTTCTGTTACCATGGCAACGAGGGGACATCTCAAAATTGCCAAAAATTACTATTTTGCGTTGATTTTTTCCATCAAAATTGATTTCGAAGTGCTGCACTTTCTCAATGGATTGAGATAGAGTCAAATGCTTTTCAGCGTTGGTTACACGTTACCTTATGATCAATCTGGGGTCATTTACAGCCTCTCACAAGTCCAAAATTTTTCTTGGCGATGAGGGGGACTCCGCCCCCCTTCAAACCCCCCAAACAGAAGGGGGCACATCCCCCTTCTGGCAACCCCCTGATGTATCTTTTGGTTGGGGGGCCGCGCCGAAAAAGAGGTCACTTTTTTTAACATCATTTCTCAAACAAAAACAAGTGTTTGGGGCCTAAATAAGGCATTTTTTCATCATTTGAGACAGCAAAAAGGGGGGGGGGGAAAAAGGCGTTAAAAGGCGTGTATATGAAGTAATGGGTTAACTGAAAATGATGAAATTACTTGAAATTACCCTTAATCGCGTTTTTTCATGTTTAAACATGGCCTGTCATATAAATTTGAAGAAAAATTGTTGTTTTGTAGATTTTTTTATTTTTTTCATTAACCCATTACTTCATGAGCATTTTGTGAAAAATGGCTGTTTTCATTGAAAAGTCTCCCGTTACAAGTTCAAATTGCTATAATACTATAAAAACTGCTTCAACACTAATCAAACTTGGCACAAATGCTGACTGGACCATTGCACTTGCAACAACATGCTCAGGCTTAAATTTTCTGTTACCATGGCAACGAGGGGACATCTCAAAATTGCCAAAAATCACTATTTTGCGTTGATTTTTTCCATCAAAATTGATTTCAAAGTGCTGCACTTTCTCAATGGATTGAGATAGAGTCAAATGCTTTTCAGCGTTGGTTACACGTTACCTTATGATCAATCTTGGGTCATTTACAGCCTCTCACAAGTCCAAAAATTTTCTTGGCGATGAGGGGGACTCCGCCCCCCTTCAAACCCCCCAAACAGAAGGGGGCACATCCCCCTTCTGGCAACCCCCTGATGTATCTTTTGGTTGGGGGGCCGCGCCGAAAAAGAGGTCACTTTTTTTAACAACAGTTCTCAAACAAAAACAAGTGTTTGGGGCCTAAATAAGGCATTTTTTCATCATTTAAGACAACAAAAAGGGGGGGGGTGAAAAAGGCGTTAAAAGGCGTGTATATGAAGTAATGGGTTAATAGAATGGTTGTGTGCATTATAAATTAAATGATTAAAGTGCATGTAATTACGTATGCAATTGAGATATGACTGTGCATGAATATACCTGAAAGCAAATGCATAACCGGAAAACGTGGTACCAAGGTCGATGGCAGCTGAAACTACTATTCCTGGTGGAAACTTCGCGGTCTCTTTTGATAAAGCCATTATATATTAGACGACGATCTGTAAAAAAACCAATCAGTTCAATGTACAAACTTCATCAGATTCCATCGTATTCTACAACTATAGTTTATAGATATACTATGCACAAATTTGATATTAGAAAAATTGATAATTGCTACACAGTCTCTGTGTAAATAAAAATTAAACACGTTTTCATCTTACACAAAATAAATATGCAGCTCCCCATTCATTTATTCAAATTAAAACATATTCGCAAAGAATTCCATAGATTTCAATGAATTTCTGTGATTAAAATATTTAACTCAAGGATGAGCATAGTTCATTTCCTTGGTATATCTTTGACCACAATTAAAACATTTCCTATACATCAACAAATATTTCAACAGTATGAACGTATTACTTACGGCTTTAATGCAGTAAACGACGTACAATTGGATGATAAAATAAACATTTCACAAAATTTAACAATATTCAAACAAATACCATATACCGATTGTATGTTGTAATGTTCGTATAGCCTTTAAATTTTAAGAAACTCGTGAAACCAATATGTACGTTACGTGTTTTCTAACATAGTTTCTGGTTTTCCATTTGCAAAAAAAAATCAATGTCATTTCGGTTATTTCCAAAGTACTTTGGGATTTTTTTATATAATAGCTGTTGTCAGAACTATTCGATCTTCTGCTCAAAAATTGTGTTTTAACATGTTATAACAAGTCAAAATATTTATGTAGTGATAAGTGTTATATATAGCGTAATTTTACTACGACCGTGATATTTTGGTTTTATAAATGTAATAAGACGCCTACCCGATTCACAAAATGGAAAACCACTTAATCGAATACGGGTTTTTCGGCTACCCAGATGTACTTTTAATTCTAAATAAATTGTCACGGTCTAGTATTGAAATTAAACCATAAGCCTATTAGGTTTATATACTTCTTTTGGTAATATGTAAAAATTGCATATGTTATGAGTTACATGTGAAAAATATATTTGGAAATGTTTGCATTAAATAGCAAATAAAGGATAGAAAAGAAACAAAAATAAGTATTTCAGATTGTAAGATATTTCGCAAGGGACTTTGGATGCTAATTATACATCAATAACAGGCAATGAAAGAAATATATTTATAAAATGTTCATATGGTATTCACATTCGTACACACACACATACAATGTACGTACCGGTATATGACAAAACTCCTTAAATGTTGGCACAATTTGATATTCTATGATCAATATTCTATCGGCAAAACCAAAAGCTTGTTTTTTCCAGTCATAATTGTCTACTTCAAAGTTGAACATTTTATCCAAGAAAACCGTGTACTTCACAGCGCCACTTATAGCAAACGGGGAAATAATTTACGTTTGATTGTCTGTTTTCAAACGCAGAAAATTACCTGCCTTGGTAATAGCATGAATCCTACATTTGATTTTCTCATATACTTTAATATACATTATACACTTTTAGATACTGAAAAATCTAAAAGAATTAGAAATTCAGTTCTGTGTTTTAAGAAATAAGACAATTTTCTATTATATGCGAAAAATATATTTCGTATTTTCATTTAGTATCAAATTACAAAAGTTCAGATGGGCTGTCTCTCTGTCATTATGTTTCACATGCTTTAATAGGAAAGTAAGAATGTCTTTTTTAAACAATGTAGTCTGATTATTATATCTTATTTTTGTCCGGGTATATCACTCAATCAATCTTCATACAACAATCGGCATAAAAATGCTTTTGGTCATTTACAAGTTAACATTTACTGAATATGGCCAAGATAAAATTACAAATGAATCTATGTACAATAATAACTCAAACGGTTAATCAAATACATAACACATAAACATTGCAATGAAATGTGAATAAATAAACAATTAAACATTGTTTCTCTTGTTCCAAAGCCAGTGTTCTTACTTTAAAAGAATAGTTTTACTATAGTTATTCATTAGACAAATACATGTTATTATGATAGTTATTATTTATTATAATAGATACATAAAGCAGATTACACAGAATGTAAAAATAACACGTAGCTGGCACCAGTATGGTACTTTGATTGACCTATGCAATTAGTTTTTTTTACTATAAATACAATTTTAGAAAAATCTCATTTTACCAAAATACGATGTTTTTTTTTTTTTGGTAACTTTCAGAAAGAGATAATTGCACTTCATAAAATATATAGACTTTGACTGAAGGGGATTATTTTTAGATTTGATCTCAATTTCAAAGAAATTTTCAAGTATGTGATGAAGGTAGATTTTCTTACTGAAAAGTACAACGAAACGTTTTTGGTTGGAAAAAATATTTCCTTCGAACAAAATAAACGACAAAAGTAATTGCTAAATTGTCTTTTAATAGAAAGCTTGGAGTTCAATCTACATGACCGAGAACATAAAGACAGTCGAATGCTTCGATAACATGGTAGCCAGTTCATATTATTTCCATAAGGCGTGTCTGCTAGACGCTATACACGTGGTAACCACATACTCGCAGTAATCTGATAAAAAAGGGGCTATTGGAACTATATTTAAATGCGTTTGCTGATTTGAATTTTAGGTTTCTGGCAAGATGTCTTGTTAACAACACGGTATGATTCCGAGAAAAATGTTTATAACCCTGGTCTAGCGCTAAAGCGCCAACCAAAATATTCTTTGTTCAACATAGAGGTTTTATTTCGAAGGATTGTTACAAACTCCTAACTAATTTTCAATTTTGATATTTAACGCACTGAGAAACAAGTGTTTGATTTAGTATCTAAAGAACGCCAACAATTGCTCGTTGCTAGTGCCCGTATTAAACTTATACTTTTATACAGCTTTTAATCTTTTGTAAACATACACTTGATGTTTACTCAAGCTTAGATCCCAGGTCATCGGTGTAAAGTAAAACATTTCAAATCAATTTCACTGTGTTAAAGAAGACTGAATAATGAAACAAAAATGTATTTGCATGTCAAATAGTATAGACATAAACGGCTATTTAAGGAAATCATTTAATACTGAATAACAGTTTCCTTCAGACATTTTTGCCGAACAATTTTGGTAGCATAATTTAAGATTAAGATGATAAAAAGCATATCAAATTTATATCGAATATTTGTTCAATTCAATATATGTTTGTGACATGACAACTTAAGGAAGAAAAATTATGTTAGGTTATTTATCTTCAAAGAATGATACCGGTATATAAGGGCGTATTCAAATAAAGAGATATTGTTATCATAGCGAAAACGAATTGTAAGAAATTCATATCCGTATTAAACTAAACATTTTTGGGTTTTTCATTAAAGTGACTCTATTGGGGTTTTTTGACATGACGAAACTGGAGAAACTTTTTGGAGTGTATTATACCAGACATTTGAATTGTGTGATATGACCAAAAAATTAAAAACGTAGTATGATTTTAAACTTATTTTAAATCTGGCGAAAGAAATCGATTTTCACTTTATTTGGAATATACTTTTAACGTCTTTCACATATTTTCCAGTTTTAGTGTTCATACTTTTTATTGTCTTTATTTTCCAGTTTTAGTCTGCATGTAGGAAATTTATTTATTTTTTATGTTATTATTTGTTTTGAGTTCACGCTTTTTTGTCTATAGTGGAGCTCCTTTAAAGAAATGCCCTGTCCTGCTTAATTTACACTTAAATTCTATTTATTTATATCTTACTGAGCTATTATATACATGTTTTTTATAGAACAGTAAAGTTACTCTTCACCTGCTCAAACCGAAAATTAAAACAAAAGCCTTTGGTCAACTGTACAGAGCATAAAAATGCAATCTGACCAGGATCTATACTGTTGATATTTAGTGCTCATAGAAATAGAAAAGGGAAGGTATCGAAATATACCTGTCAAAATCTTGTCTGTTTAAAATGTTGAAACGGAAGAACACTTTTGTTGAGATGCAATCTTTATGAATTTGAAAGAACTCTCTGAATTTCTCGTGTATCTGAAAAAGGTTATAAGGTTTAAAACTCTAAACGAAAGTCAGAAAAGTGTGTGTATAAGATGTTTAGTGAAAATAATGAAACTATTAACTAAACCTTGTCCATAAGTGTGTGTGTTTTTTTTTCAAGTAGAATTTCTAAAGAATGTTACATCCGGTTGGAATTATTAAGTGGATCATTTGTCTTAATATTCACATTCTCTCCTTTATTCAATTGAGCCATATAATATCTTGATTTAGTTCCGTATTTTGTAAATTTTGTTTGCTTATCATAATCATAAAATCGTTCATGTTTCGACACTAAAATCCCAAAAACTTGGATAAAAAGCCAAAGCATTTATAAATTTAAGCGGGTTAAGTCATAAACATTATCCATTGCCCATGTTTTGACTTTTGTTTCTTTTTGGTTTCGTTGTTTTTTCATAGGCCGATAATTAAAGCATTTGGGTGGGCATCTTGGAGGGGGAAAATGAACAGAAATACTTAAAAAAATACTTACCCGGGTACGAAACAGCTCCACTGGTACTTTCCACGTTAGAAAATAGTTCTGTCTATTTCTGTTATATTTCTTATTTATTCCAATGCAATATTGTTCTTATACAAACTATATCTGGAAAAATCCATTTTCTTTTATAAACTGTATTACACTGTCAGATATTTCGCACAAAAGTCCAATAAAGAAATCCAATAAAATGTCCGAGATCTTCAATTGGGTCATCGATATATTTAAAGAAGACTAAACTGGGATAAAGTAACAAAATATTTATATACGAACTAGTGCGTGTCGCTATCATATAGGCATAGTAATATAAATACCTGTAAAACATTCTTTCAAAATTTCAAGGTTATTATAGGTCATATGATATTGAATTGGTTAGTAAATAAATTGAATAAATTGAAATCATAATAAGTCATAAAATGAGACCAGTCCGACTGCATCACATGTACCCCTCTTTGTTTTCAATCTTTGATTTAGCTATCATTTTATGCAACACAGTTAAGACAGCTGATTTTACAAAAACGGAATATTTTTAAGACATTTCTACTACTTTTAACTTTGATTAATCTGCATTCGCAGCCATGTTTGCTAAGTGAAATAGGTCGAAATTCATATAAAGACAAAGGTCACAATGTAAAATGATGAACAATTTGTAATTACACTTACCAGTGTATGTTTAAGGACTAATAGATTTTGAAATAAAACTAAAAATGATAACAATAATAATTCTTATCTTGAATGTGCTAAATTTCTGAAGGCCAAGTAAAATCTTTTGCAAGGTTTTATGCACATTCCACAAATGGCAAAATCCAGTTCAGTACGGCAAAGGAATGCTATTGTTTGCAACAAAGTTCTTTATGTTTACCATTTTACATTGTGAGCTTTAAATGAATTTTAGCCTCCTTTCACTTTAGAATCAAACAAGGGGAATCATCGTATTATGGTGTTACTTTTCATTTATCCATGCTGTGCTTAGAGCAGCCTTCCTGGTATTTTATTTTTGTGCCCCCACATTAGTGGCGGGCATTTAGATTTACCCTTGTCCGTCCGTCCATCCGTCCATCCGTCCGTCCTTCCGTCCGTCCTTCCGTCCTTCCGTCCGTCCGTTCTCTTTTGGGTCGCACGTAACTCAAAAAGTATTTGACCTAGAGTCATGAAACTTTACAGGAATGTTGATCAGCATGTGTAGTTGTGCACCTGGGTATTTTTGTCTGGATATTTTTAGTATTTTTAGAGTTATTGCCCTTGACTTAGTAAAATTTTGCAATTTTCAACTTGTGTCGCATGTAACTCAAAAAGTATTTGACCTAGAGTCATGAAACTTTACAGGAATATTGATCAGTATGTGTAGTTGTGCACCTAGGTATTTTCGTCTGAATATTTTTAGTATTTTTAGAATTATTGCCCTTGACTTAGTAAAATTTTGCAATTTTCAACTTGTGTCGCATGTAACTCAAAAAGTATTTGACCTAGAGTCATGAAACTTTACAGGAATGTTGATCAGCATGTGTAGTTGTGCACCTGGGTATTTTCGTCTGGATATTTTTAGTATTTTTAGAGTTATTGCCCTTGACTTAGTAAAATTTTGCAATTTTCAACTTGTGTCGCACGTAACTCAAAAAGTATTTGACCTAGAGTCATGAAACTTTACAGGAATGTTGATCAGCATGTGTAGTTGTGCACCTGGGTATTTTCGTCTGGATTTATTTAGTATTTTTAGAGTTATTGCCCTTGACTTAGTAAAATTTTGCAATTTTCAACTTGTGTCACATGTTACTCAAAAAGGATTTGACATAGAGTCATGAAACTTTACAGGAATATTTGATCAGCATGTGTAGTTGTGCACCTGGGTATTTTCGTCTGGATTTATTTAGTATTTTTAGAGTTATTGTCCTTGACTTAGAAAATGTTTGCAATTTTCAACTTGTGTCGCATGTAACTCAAAAAGGATTTGACATAGAGTCATTAAACCTTATGGGAAGGCTGCTCAGCATATTTAGTTTTGCTCCTGGGGTTTCTCTTGTGGATTTATCCAGTATTTGTAGAGTTATTTCCCTTGACTTAGTAAAAACTGTTTCATTATGTTGTTATTTGTTCCTTGAGTGCTTGAGTGCTTGAGTTAGAATCGACAAACTTTACAGGAATAATGATCAACATCACTAAATTACAGAAATAATGATTCACATCACTGTGAAGCTATGAACCTGGGACTTTGCATGTGGATTTTTTTCAGTTTTGTTAAAGTCATTGCCCTTGACTTACAGTAGTATAAATTTGCAATTTTCAACTTGGGGTTTGCTTGGGGATTTATTTAGTATTTGTAAAGTTCTTGCCCTTTACTTAGTAAAAAGATTTTTTAGTTTTCAAAAAATATTTGACCTAGAGTCATAAGATTGACAGAACAGTGGCGCGGTGGGGGCACCCGTGTCCTATGGACACATTTCTAGTTATTTTTAAATATGAAAAGAAAAAAAAAGATTTCTAAACGCGGCAAATCGGTTTTATTTCTGTTAACCAACGTTTATTTAGTGTAAAGGTCATTTTGTTATTTTACATGCGTCCATTTCTTCGTGGTAAATTAACATTCTTTCTTTTATTGTTATTATGATGTCATTTTCCATTAGGTTTATTTTTATCCTAAAATGCTCTTCAAAAGATTACAAACATTGCTTTATGACAATTTACTCATGGACAAGTAAGAAGTACGATATACTTATTTATAGAATTATTAATAAAATAGGTCAAAGTCGTAAAATACTGCGATTTTAATAGTGCGTATCATAAATAACTGTTTATAAAATATTCAAGTTTAACGATATACTACGCTCGTCCTTGAGAACAATATTTTAATCACATATAGTTATTTAAATGTATAAGATTCGCTCTGAATATTTCTGATTTGAATAAACTATGTATGGGAAGCTGATTACAGGTCAAGTAAAGTTGGTCTCTTCTTTTTAAGAAATGCTAGTTTTTTAAAAGACACTTCGTATTGTGACCACCTATAGTGAGTAGCATTTTAAACATAACGTACGTATAGTTACCCTACTTTGTGTGAAGTCAAAACATGTTTATTGAGACCGTGTAGCAAATAACAATATTTTCTAAAATCAAATTGGAGATCATAGTTTATCATAAAAATATAACAACATGTAAGTCTTGTTTGATAACGCCTATATATTTTGACAGTTTATATGGCTAGGTGTAAACACTTGTAAGTTTATATGTATAACCCAAGTTTATAAATGGCTATATAACATATAAGAATCCGTATTGCGAGTTTATAGAACAAAATTACTTTTATATTTTAAAAAAGACCGAAAAATACTTCGTTTTTATGCTCCATATACTGGTGTTAATTTTATATGTCGGTAGTTTAAGTAATAGAAAGAGCACCGAAACACGAGGCTATCTGATTTGTACGAGGGGGCGTAGCCCCCGAGTATAAATCAGATTGCCGAGTGTTTTGGTATTCTTTCTCTTTTGTATCATAGTCAAACATAAAAACACGTTCCCTGTTGTCACAATTTTAAACCCGGGAAAAAGTAACCAATGATCGAGCATCTGAATATGATATTTCTGCCGCTTTTCCTTTCTCTGCCGTCACAATATGTAAACCCCAGCAAAAATGAGCCAATCAACGGGCATGATCTGGAGTGCGGGTAACTGATACCCGCACTCCAGTTACCGCACTGTGCATGTATATGTATACGATTTAACTCTGACACTTTTTCAACAGAAAGGTCCCCAAACTATGATACAATTTAATCTTACTTTTACTTTCATACCTGAAATATTCGTCCGCTCGTTTTGTATAAACACGTTTTTTTTAGTTTGTTTTTTAGCTGAGGTGAAAAAGTTGTATACTTCAAGATATTGACTATTATAATGGTGATCAATAATTGATATTGAAAATTTTAAGGATAGAATATAGAAATAAACTAAGTTATAAAAATAATGCCGATCTTTTTTTAAATCGAATATAATGCTACTTTAAATTACGTCATAATGATGAAAAAAGACTGATAGCATCTTCTAAAATTTGGAAAAAAAAGCATAACATAACTGCCATTTCAGATTTTCAATTTATTTCCTAGACCTCTATCTACAAAACAATATTCGTGAAACACATCTGCAATAATGTTATAAATATAAATTAATATGTTTGAATTTATCAACATAGCACATTTTGTCCATTCTCTCTCATTCTCTCTTGTGTCTAAAATGGCCTCCATAGAACTTCTTGTATAACGTGACCAATTTCATTTTCTTTGCCGTTTCCAATAGTTACAACATCTGTTTGACTAGGAATGTGTTTTTCGTCATTTTCCGTACAAGAATCATCTACTGCACAGTCATCAGACAATGAACTATAAGAACCCATTGTAGATGAAGAGGTAGTTTCGTTTGAACTAGTACTTGAATAGCCTGAAGAAGAACTGGAATCGAGGCTCGCGTGCACAAATGATGACGTGAGTTCCGGTAGAGCCTGAGTTCCGTTTAAAATTGGTGAATATCCTGATAAATTGATTTCAGGTAAAGACGTGTTAAAGGGGTCACATGGTCTGAGAGGAGTTGAAAGACGACTGGCTTGTGTAGCTGGATTATAACTCTGAAGATTTCTGTGAAATAAACCTGTTTGCCCCTGTCGGCTGCTACTCGCGAGGAATGACTTGTGTAAATGGTTGCTAAGGGAACCAGTCACTGTATCACTTGTGATTTTATTCTTTGCTAAATACGTCACAGCTTCTCGTGCACATGCCTTGTAGCCTGCGTTGTAGGCAGCAGCTTCTGTTGCCATGGTAACAGATTGTTGTTGATGTTGTAATTGCGTGAGGTGATACACAGTTAACTCTAGAATGTCTGCTTTGTCAACTCTTGTCATTGGAGCAGTCTGAAGACACAAAAAAGAATATGAAAAAAGAGTGAGATATTTTATTACCTTTGATTGGTATCAGAGCTTATGATGCGTATTGCAAAATTTAATTTTCTGTCCTATATAGAATATTAAATAGTTGAAAAATTGAAATCGGGCATAAACTTGTTAGCTACGGTTTTATCTTTTTTTTAAGTTTTTTTTCTCACACAAAATACAATATGTCAGGCAAGCTGAATCTTAAAAGTGTAATTAAGCGCCTCAAACCCTTTTGTCGTGTAACTATTTTTTGAAGAATGTTTCTTCGGTATATACAAAAGTTATGCGACGAAATCCGTAACGTTTTCCAGGAACTCAGTTATCAGAAGATCTCCTGACAAGTTATCAAAAGAGCTCCATCCTCCGTGTAGCAGTTCCTCCCTGTGACCATGGTAATGGAAAGAAAATTAATAAAAATATGCTTAACAACATTGAGTGGAAAAATAATTTCAATAACGCCATTCGGTTTATTGATGTCACATATGACGTCATATGACGTGTAAGCGTTTCTTTTCTTATGGCCTGCATACATCATGCAATTATGATAACAAATAATGCTATGCAAAATATAGTGCTGATATCTTTTTCATATTTTTTTAAATATGCTGAGTCAAGCTCAATGCCTGCTTGATAACTATGGATGCATGTTTTATTGAGAATGGTCTTACGTTTTGTTGAATAGTCTGTGCGATTAGCGACTTCAGAAGGGATATACTTTTATTCATCCTTTCTCTCCTTTTCTTCTCAACCATTGGTTTCCTGATCTGTGGAAACAAAATATGATTTAGATTTCAAGTGTACAAATTGTCAAGGATTTATAATTAAAGCCACATTAAGCCTGATATAAAAATGTTGCAAACATGAGTTTGAGTATGTTGCAATAATGGATTTAGAGCATATGTAGTATGCTTATCCCCTGAAGAAATTGGTACTGGATGTAAACTAACTTGTGATCAAGGTAGCAAAATGTAAACAAAGTAGTATTTATACTTCCTTACAAAGTACAAAATCATTATAAGTGCACAAATTGTCAAAATGCAAAAGAGGCAAAAGATGACTAGCTATTTGGTCATTGAGAAATGTTTTAGAAACTGTAACGGGACACCAATAAAAGCTTTTAACAAATATATGTATAGCATATTTAATGTTTCATGGGCCTTTAAGGCAATTCAGTTTAAAGCTATGTTATGTTATGTAAAAACTTTCAAATATTGACAAAGAATAAAGGTGATTCAGTATATTTATCATTCTCCAAAGAGCACAAATAAACTCTGCTTATAACTCATGTGAATAAAATATATACCTGTAAAAAGACATTTGTTTTAGTATGTTAGTCTAATAGCTTTTCAATAAATTCATTATTTTCAAAAGTAAGGCTGAGGAACAGGGCAAATGTATCATCAAAAATGCATACCTTCCTAACATATGACAGATCTTGTTCTTGTGATTTCTTAGCTACGCCCATGTTTATTTAAATTATTTATTATTATCAAACTATATTTCTTAAAGCAATAACTTTCAAATAAAACATTGACACAAGATTTCAAGACAGTTAAGATTCGTGGTAGATTGCAGTGTACTTATTCAGAAGAAATTCAAGTTGATTTTGATGTGAAGTCGCTAGCTGTTTTACTTTATATCCGTGCAATTCTTTTTGCAAAAGCACGTGGCATGGTGTTTAGTGTGCTCTTAATTACTCAAGGATGTCCGTAATTAAAGAGAGAATTTAATACTCAATTTGTAGAAACGTTTTATAAGTGGTTAATTGGTTTTGATACACGTGTCAAACTTCATAATTACTTAACTTAATAAAGGGCCGTCTTTAATTTCTCACCTAAAGCTGCGATAAATTTATGAAGTACGTGAAAACGTGTGTTTTTAATTAATCATCGTAATTATACCAATTTAAAAATATCGGAAATCAACATTTAAATTTAATTTTATTTGCAATTACATTATAAAATTAATAGAACTAATAAAATGGATTTATTATAGCAATTAAATGTTACTTAAGTCTTTTAATCACTTTCCATTTATGAAATAGCTTGGTTATTTCGTCTGCAAACATATAGCATTTTAAACATGATTTAAGATAAGAAAAGTGATTTAATCACAGACAAAAATCATAGATTGAATTGCTCTAAAATATAGATAATGTGTGTAGAATCCGGTCAATATGAAATCATACTAAGATCAGAAAGGATATGTAAATCTCGTTCATTGAGACAACCTGAAACGGAGTATCATTTTCTGTTAGTATGTCCACGTTACAGAGAATTGCAGAAAAGATGTTTCTAAACACTATTATTGTCATTGGCCGTCCATTATCTTCTAATTCAAAGAAAAGTATATGTGCTTTATCTAAATTTATTAACTTAGCAAATAGACAACGCGTTTCATAGTATATACGTGTATTTTATACCTGAAAATGAAATGTTGTATTTTAACAATAACTTTCTGTTTAATGAAGTTTGCATTTTCAGAAAGAACTGACTTGCAACAGTGAATATTTCTTCTGGTCTATAGGCCTTTACTTTATATTTCAGAATACGATAGAATAAGTGAAGTGCAGACGTTTTATAATATTGTAAGTTGAACTTTTACATCAAGCGCACATAATTGAATTTTGAACATAATATTCCATGAATCATCTTTTGTATGCTGTAAAATTCATGTTTTGATCTCCAAACATTGTTATATTACAATTTATACTTGTTATAAGCATTATTTTATGCTTTATGCAAAAAAACTGTTTGTATTCGTTATATGTCAAGTTATTGGTTCCTGTTTTACAAATGATATTTAACTACGACGTTAATTCATTCTTTTTTTTTCTGGTGTATCTTTTTAAATATTACCGTAACCTGAGTTCTTCTATTATATTTATACTGCTAAGAATATTTCCTGTTACAAGTTCAGACATGGACAGAGTTTATTTTCAAATCATAATTATAGTTATAATATGGCAACAATATTTGTTTAACTAATAAACAAGGGGGTGCTCTAACTAACTGACTGACGGACGGACGGACGGACAAACGAACGAACCAACCAACCAACCAACCAACGAACTAACCAACGGGAACGAATGAACAAAATGATCATTTAACAGGCTAGGAAATTAAACCTCTGCCATGATTTGCATATCTTGGCAAGTGTAGTAGTTACCACACGTAATTCTAGTCCTTCAATAGAGTGTTATTTTTATACACGATGATGATGAGGAGTATAAACATTTTTTTAAAGTTGTTCTAACTTATTCTAAATGAAGTCAATTGTGCACATTGTAATTTGGTTCAACATTACGTAATTATGATTGACTACAAAAGAGTGTAGCTTATTTGAAGAAATCTGTCATCTGCTATCCGAAAAGAACCACACATGATATGCTGGAATACTAGCATAACTCTTTTTTTCTTTATATAAGTATATGATGATACGCTATGTACAAATCAAAGAAATAAATGTTCTGTTCTGTTCTGTTCTATCTGTTCTGTAAAGATATTTCCCTCGGATATATGAACTGGGTGACACACAACTGCCACAATGCTGTTTTCAAAATGTTCAAAGCATACATTTAAAGCACAAATCTAGTTAAGATAGTTTGACAAAATATATGATAGAATGTATGTTCATTATTAATAATACACGCATTCTCAATACCATTTACAAATACTGAATCACGGAAAGTGAAAAAAATAATGTTCAGAGGTCATAAAAATGATGTTTGAATATGGAAAAAGAATATCTCCCGGACATAAATTTGAATTATTGCAAACAAGAACCAACCATGTTCTCTCTGTTCCATATCAAATTAAGCAGGTCAGTCTTATAATAACAGGCACAGAAATGTATGTTATTTTGAGTGTCCCTTAAATTAGCAGCTCATAATCATGAGGTAGTCGTAAACTGCAGGTCCTTCACACTCGGTTTCGAACGAACAGAGCATTAAATCACCATCTTTTTCTGAAGAACATTTCTCTTACCCCTTTGTGTAATTGTGGGCAAACTAAAACTACCAAACATTTCTTTTCGACTGTTGTGCATACGATGCCGTCCCCAGAACACTCCTCCTTAACTTGCAAGACTTCAGCATAAACCTTCATAAGCTTCTCTATGGTGACCTATCTCTTATATACTAGGACAACGTTATTTTATTTACACATGTGCAAAATGAAATGATTTATTTAGATCCATTCTTATTGAGACTATAATCCTCACTTATCCTCTTTCTTCTCTTTCCCACTATTTTGTCGTCTTCTTTTATATATATTCTTTTATTTTAGACATCTACTTGTAGTAACTCTACTCTATATAAGTTTAAATGTAAATATATATATAATATATTATTTATATGTGTGTATAACTTAAACTTATTTCCTTGTCTAGTATATACTATTAACTTATTTAAGACAAACCATATAGTCCGCCGAAGGAGAAGAATTCTATAAGACTTGTCTTTCATTCTCATCCTTTTCCATTTTGTAAAAATATTTTGTTTGTTATTTATTTGTATGTACATTATACCGGTATATACTTTCGGGAATAAATATGTTTAAACCAAGAAGTAAGACAGAAATGTAATGTATATTTGTACATTTATATAATAATGACACGGTTAAGGATCCAGCATTTAGCATTATTCGTCAAAGAGAGAACACATTCATCATAAAGTGGGTTTGTTAATTATTGTGGTACAAGGTTATTAACATTATTACAATCGACCGATTTCCACAAATATCAGGTGTTTCGAAAACGGTCAGTAGTTTTGATAAATTTTTGGACAGCCGCAAATATTTGTTCATTATTGATAACATCTAACGAATTGCTACCCCACAGTAATACATAAACATTAAGTGGATGAAAAATCCTGGTTTCTGCGAAGAGTATGAGTCTCTGAGGTTTAAATAATGGACAGCAAAATAGATAGTGTTCGGCATCCTCGAGCTTTCTCTTAAGTGATTTTTGAAAAGGTCAGCGTTTAAGCTGCTACAATTGTTCCTTAATGATGCATGTAAAACTGACAAATATATTATTCAAAACAAAAAGTGTTTAGGTACTACGGCGAATTTCGGTGTCTAATGTATTCCATAATTCAGTAGCAGAAGGTATAAATGATTTGCTTTATGTTTCGGTGCGCTAAGCAGTGGCTGTAGGCGTCTTGTGTTTTCACGTACGTTCAAATATAAATGAGGATGTAACAACGAAAAATCGGCCGCGTGCGCCGAGTTCTCACAAACGTTTCACTTGGACTAGGGTTTGGAGACATACATTTCTGTAAACGGGACCCGTCTTGCCTGTACAAATTCTTATCTGTAACGAAATCGGACGAGCGGTGTCGAGACAGTGGCTGTAGGCGCCTTGTGTGTTTTTACGTAACTGAACAACAACAACAAAAAACGGACCGCAAGCACGGAGTTCTCACGGACGTTTTACGTGGGTTAAGGCTTGGATACTTACATTTCTGTAAAGGGGACCATTCACACTTTTACAAAATCGAATCCGCAACGGAATCGGAGGGATAGTGTCAAAGCAGTGGCTGAAGGCGTCTTGTGTTTTTACGTACGTTTAAATATTAATTAATGAGGATCTAACAACGAAAAATAGGCTGCACGCGCCGAGTTCTCAGGGATGTTGTTCTTAGACTATGGCTTGGAGACTTATATTTCTGTAAAGGGAACCCTTCATGCTTGTACAAAATCGAATCCGCAACGGAATCGGACGAATGGTGTCAAAGCAGTGGCTGTAGGCGCCTTGTGCTTTTACGTACGTTAAAATAATAATATTGACGTAACATTGGAAAATGGCCCGCGCGCACTGACTTCTCATGGACGTTTCATTTTGGCTAGGGCTTAAAGGTTTACATTTCTGTAAACGGGACCTTCATGCTTTTACAAAATTTAATCCGTAACGAAATCGGACGAGCGGTGTCGAAGCAGTGGCTGTATGCGCCTTGTGTGTTTTTTCGTACCTTTACAACAACGAGAAACGGACCGCACGCACGGAGTTTTTAACCGACGCTTAGCTTGGGCTAGGGCTTGGAGACTTACCTTTCTGTAAAGGAGACCCTTCACACTTTAAAAAAAACAATCCCATCGGAATCGGACGGATGGTGTCAAAGCAGTGGCAGCAGGCGCCTTTGGATTATACGTTTGTTTAAATATGAATGAGGACGTAACAACGAAAATTGGGCCGCATGCGCCAATTCTCACGGACGTTTTACTTGGGTTAGGGCTTGAAGACTTACATTTCTGTAAAGGGGACCCTTCACACTTGTCCAAAATCGGCGAACGGCTGATGACGTTAATCAAATTTTGACGACACTTAAACTTAATACCCTATACCTTTAACAGAAAAGCATTTTTAAAGGTATTGTTTGGCATATTTAATGACGAAATGTTCACGTTTACGAATCGTATGATAAAATGATTTATTTCTATGAGAAAAATATCAGTTTTTGTGATTTAAAAAAAAAATTCCGCATCTCATCGGAAAGTGTGATTATTTTATGTCAAACTTCACGTGAAGTAAAGCTTGCACAATCCCAGAAATTTGTTAGCATGCTTCTTTGGATGTTGACTATGAAACCATATCATTGATATACTCAAACATAGTTGGGATATGTTAAAAATAGATGAATACTTACCGTGCGTCAAAAGTGTTTTCTGCGCCGACATGTATATACTGGTTCGGCTGTCGACGGCTGAATGGCTGTCTGCACATTTGATTGTATAATGTGCAGATGTTATTAAGGCTTGATTTCACAGGTAAGCTGTCAAAAGACCAATTTAAAGAGCAGGCCACATATCCTTAAGGTGATTATACAGTATTTAAGTAAGGAATCCTGGAACCACCCAAGCAGAAAAAGCCAAATTGAAAGAACAAAAATACCATAAACACAGCAATAATGTCGTGTTGAACGAACTTAAGGATCGGAAATATAACATCCTTGAGTGTATGTGCGGGGCGACTTTTATGGCCTTCACACGGCTCACCCGTAACATAAACATATAAAACACACATATAGTAAACATGTAAATGTTCATTCTTTTAAAGAATTATAGAGAACTTTTGTAGTTACACACAAACATTTTACATGTATCATATTTTACCTATCAAATGTATAATTATCTTTACTAATCAAAGTACAAAATATGCTGTAACATACATTTGCCTGAATGAATACAATTTGAACATTTTTTTTCGATTGTCTTAAACTTGCTTACAAAGTACATGTAAATAAATCACAATTCTTACATTTCTTTAGAAATACGTCTTCCCAGATTTCTTTTAGATTTTTTTTTTGCCAGATGCTGTTTTATAAAGAAGCCTTCTTCACTGACCTAGCTAAAAAAGGTATTTCGGCGTAATTCACCTTGAACTTTTAACATTTTAGAAACTAAAATCAGACAAACCTTGACAAAATTTCCCCATATACTCCACGGTAAATAGGTACACGCATTTTTTCATAGTTTGCAAAACGGACTATTCTGCAGCGTCTATCACTTTTGTAAGTTTATTTACTTCTGTTTTAAAATTTTTAGTTTTAAATTGTTACAGTGGCAAATGGTTATGAAATAATGATTTATACTAGTATTTAAATAACTTAATAGTATAATGAGAAAAATTTCAAGGCAAAGAAGTACATTCAATTTATAGTAACGAACTTGTTAACACAAATAATTGATTTTTAAATCATTCAAGTATATTATTTTGATTTTTCTTTTGTTTATTTGTGTTCGCTTTCTCTATGGAAGTTAAATTTACGTGAATAAACTAGTAAGTTTCAAATTAAGCTCAATTGTTATACGGGTTCTAAATATGTTTCGTTTTAGTAAGATAATTAGCGCTAGGGCTTTTTATTATATAGACGATGGTCGCCCTCAGCATCTTTTAATATCAATTTGTAAAATCGTTCGGTCTTGCAGTCGAGATATTGAGACTAGAAAGATAATATGATCGCATTAGATGCTTTTACTAAAATACGTTTTTGTTAATCTTTCCTCCGAGAATAAGACTAAAATATACCTTTTATATAAATTAAATATTCAAATGGCAAGATTAGTTAATATACGCAGAATATATGAAAAGTTCCCGTTTTAACATGTGTATAATGCATTCAAGAAATATTCTTATGCATAACAATGTTTACAAATATTATTTGACCTTGAACCGATTTGTGGAAATAATGCTTGCATAAAGTGCAGCTAAATTAGCCTAGTTTCACTCACAAAGATAACATCACTACACGCTTTACTTAGGCAAATCAGAGGTACTCAGTTATATTCCGTAAACTATGTTATTTTCTGTTTCTTTCGGCTATTTTATAAAATGGTGAATAGCGGAAAATGCAGAATATTAACGAAATTAAAAGTAATTTTATACCGAAATATTATTTATTTCTTGAAGGCAGGCTGGAGGTACTACACAAGTGCCTGTTCTTGCTTGAAATGATGCAAGTATTGGGGGTGGGGTACCTTTAATGATCTTCCCCAACCCCAACCACGTGAACAATTATTTCCAAAAATATTCAGAAAAAATCATTTCATCCGGTATCGATTGAGGCAGATATCAAAATTTCACACACTGATATGAAGGGTTCATGAACAAATCTTTATGTTTTCAGACGAAATGGCTAACGATTATATAATCAGCAAATGGAAACTTTGGTTCCGAGCTATTGATATCAATCATAAAGGAAAGATTTCTAGATCTGACGTCAGACAAGAAGAGTAAATAGATTTATAGTTATTTAAAAAAAAAGTTTTTCTCCCTCAGAACGGTTGTTAAGTACTATAAAGCTTTTTAAAATTAGAACAATTACATTATGGATATTATGAACCTCTTTGTCATTATTCTGTATTCGGGCAAATGTTTAGGTATACCGGTCTAAAATATACACCTTTCCTTTTCTCCCTTTTTAGCATTTCCTTTACAAATAATTTAATGGTTTATTTGCAGGGACACCTTTGCTACATTGAGTCACTTAAATGATGACAGGCGTAAGCAATTGCAAGTTGACCTGGATAAATTATGGGACGAAGTAGTGTTCCGTGGAAAATCTGAACCGATTAACGAGCAAGAATTTGTTGCTTTGAACATTCGAGATTACACTGCAAACAAACAAAAATTTGTTGAAGGAATAAGAAAAGCATATACTGCGTTGTTCGATCTAATCGATGTCAGTCGAGAAGGTTCTGTTTCCGAGGAGGAGTTCGTTAACATCTTAAGGGCATGTGGTCATGACAACATTGCTTTGAATAAAAAATTCTTCAATGATTACAACCCCGTTGATGGCAAGATTGCATGTGGTGTCCTCGTTGACTCCTGGGTACAATTCACGTCATGTGATGACAGTTCGAAAAAAGACCTTATCAAAGAAGCTTTTGAAGCTGGCATTTAGGCCTAGGATGTTCCTATCAACACACTAAAAACACAGCCATTTTAGAAGTTCTTTAAAATCCTCCGTACTTCTTTTTATTTTGCTAGAGAGAAAACATGGCGGTTTAGTGATAATACCAAAGTAAATAAAACAAACTATATACAGTACCGTAAACGGAATATATATAAAAAGGTGTCATGTTAATCAATAAATAGAAAAGTGAAAAATTGATTTGATAATAAATAATGAAATTGGGCTTCTGTGTTGTTTATTTATATGTTTTTTTCTGCAATTCTGTCAAGACGATTTTATATTTTACGAAGATGGGTTACTCACACCGCCAATTGGATCTTCCCCTGTACATGTTTAGTTCCTAAAAAATTTGAATACTTCTCTAAATTATTTTTACAGTAACATTGGAGCATATCTAATCCGGGAACCATGTAATACATCATTAATAAAGCTTACTGATATCATGATTAGTTTTTAAAGAACTTGTTAGTTTTGTTTGAAGATATATAGGATTTGTTTTTTAACGGCGGTAAATACACAACTTTTTACGTCAGGAGAAATTTCAAAATGCCAAAAAGTCTGTTTCGTAGATCTTGTTTAGTTAATTTACTTTATTTAATATTTTGACATATTATACTAGAAATGATAAAATTTACTCTCACTCTATTCAGTTATCTCTCAGACAATTAACATTTTATAACTAAAATATGAGAATAAAGATCAACAAAGGACACCAAAGAAGTTCATGGAAAGCAGCCCTTACTATATTTACAAGTAACTGCACAAATGGTACTAAACGGGATATTTGAAAATGAATTATTGTCTATCTGCATAGTATGTACACTCCTCGCTTTCCTTTCCTGTAAAGTTAAGCCAAATGTCTAGATAACAGGTACTGCTTCTTAAAATAGGAGTACATATGTGGTTTACAACAATTTACAGAACAAATATTTCAGAAAAATACATCTGTAAAAAATGATAAATTACGTCTCCTCAAAAACAACAAATATTTCAGAACAATACATTTGTAAAAAATGATAAATTATGTCTCCTCAGCAAAATAAAAAAAAAAGGTCAACAACAACAAAGAAATCCGAATCATTTTTGTTCGCACTTATCTATTACAGTAATCAATTTAAAACACCATGGAAAATCCTTGTAGTTGTGGTTGTCACCTCTATGCCACTGCATTAATGGTTATTAGACGTACTTGGATGTTGTCCTGATGATATCCCCGCTTTAGTCTGCAATGTGTTCATTTCTACTGTTGTTTGCTTGTATTTCTCTGTCAAATTATTGGATTCTACATTAGACCCTGTTATTAAATTCGTCGAAATTGCCTTGTCCCGACAGAAAAGCTTTTTTACTTCTTTTCTGAACTTTGAACCGCTTAGGAAATACAAAACAAAATTTATAGTATTGTTGAAAAACATTAGCATACAAACAGTGGCCCACACAAGTTCGTTTGTTGTGTATGTGCGCGTGTCATCGGAGGCAGATAGTTCGTCTGTGAAGATTGTTAGATAAACGGTAATTGGAGTCGTGCAGACGACAAAAACAATGTCCAGGACAAGCAGCATCCTGGTTAACTGCGCTGACATTTTGTCTGTGGCTGACTGACTATTTGACAATGGAGCAATCTGTGTTTGGCGTTTAGACTTGTTTACACGCAAACGTATGATGATAGCTAAACTGCCCACAATTAAAACGAATGAAGGAATTAGATAAAATATTACGAGATCAATCCACGGCCAAACATTTTCTATGAATAGTTTGTCTGCTTCTGTTAGCGGCATACATTCTGACTTTCTAATAGAAACATTTAATTTGTGAATTTCAACGGTTTGCACATCAATAACGAACAACCAATGAGCATTCACCAGGAATAATATCAGGAAGGATGCCACTGAAACAGCTAGGGCGCTGCGGGTCCGACATATCTTCTTGGCTTTCTGGGGCAATAACACGCATATAACTCTTTCAACGGTCACAAAAACGATCATAAATGATGAAAATTGCAATGAAAAATAACTAAAAAATAACAACAACTTGCATTGTACTGAAGAAAAACTCGACATATCGAAATCATAAGCTTGTTTCAGATATTGAAATAGAAGAGCTGCCCATAGTACAATAAGATCGCTTATCGCTAAGGATGTAAGGTAAACTGATGTTGGAGAGATTTTGTTCTTTCTTCGAGTTAGTACGGTAATAGTTAAACAGTTTCCAAACGTGCCAACCACGAGAAATATCGGCGGAAAGTATCTCCATACTTGTATTGCGTAGTAATGTTCTTGATTCTGTATCATTGAATTATTCATTATTTCACTGCAATATGAAAAGTAGTGAATATCTGTATTTTTTCCGTCATTCGGTGGTAACAACTTTGTACTCCAATCTAGTGATGGCACGTTCGATCCAATTTTAAAATCTAAAATAACTGTCTCATATTTCCTGAAGACATTGTACACTGTGTCACATCAATGTTTGTACTGCAAAAGAACAAGCTGACATAGAGTTTAGTCCTAGGTATGTTTCCTGACAGCTAAGTCTGAAATAATTAATCGCTTTAAACAAATATTTCTTGACGATTCATAAATTATATCCTTAAATTAAGTTGAACTTTGCACAATACATTTACACGAATATTCGAATAGTGTCTAAAAATTAATCAAGATATTTTGAAATATACTTTACAAATGTTATATTTTAAATAGATATTCTTATTAAAATTACAAATCAACACTAAACTCTTTACATTTCCATTTAGATAATATTAAATACTTAGGTAAAATACATACATTTTTTGTTTACTAGTACTTGAAACAATTCAAAATTAATTCAGAATTTTACATTTTTGCTCTAAATAGCTGAAATTTAGAAATTATATACAAAAACTTTCAAAGCGAACTACGTACAGGGCGTTAGCAAAATCATTTAGCTGTGCGTTGCGGTAACACAGAGCATAATTTTAGTCAGACAAATCTATGAGCATCACTAAGCTTCATTTCAGATTAGTTAGTTGAAAAAGTAGACACATAATTCTTTCAACGTGTTTCACCTTGATTCTTTTTTAAATTGGTTTTTCTCTCTTAAAAAAGTATTAAGTTAACAAATTCATAATTTTACCGCACTTTCTTTATCAGGATTGTAACAATCATGACACATTTTATGATACTGCAGTATTTTGCATTATTTGTATGACGCCATCATTTGATCTAAAATGGGTTACTGAAAAATAGAAACTACATTTTTTAATGATGGCAAACCATAATAGTTTGATGTGGCTAGATCAGGCGAATATCCAACCAGTTCAAAGCCAGACTTATTACTGACTATCATGACAGTGGCATGCTTGTGACCAGGGGCATTTTCCTGTCAGAACAATACATTTTTCTTAACTGTCTCAGAAAAGTGATATACAGCGTGCGCAGTTAAGTGTTTCATCTGCTGATGATATACTATCAATATTTCATCAGCATCCAAAAACTCGAGGCCATAACTTTTCCAGCTGAAATGCACATTCTTTGTTTTCGTTGGCTGGGATGTATCACGGACTTCCTTGTTTACATTATTGTTTGGCCTCTTGGCTATGATGATTGATTTAAGGTTCATTGATGCTCACAGACCTCTCCAGAATTTATTAGCCAGCAAGGTCTGGCTCTAACATATTCACTCCACCTGATGTGTTTCTGATCATCTGTCACTGCGTACCAGATTGAATGAGATCTTTCTTTTTGTAAAATCTTCATTAAGCATGAATGTACTCTTTCCTTTGAAACCAAAACTTCAACGACTAATTTTACTCGTTTACTCGCCAATTAGTCACACCAGTATCAGTTTGTTGATCATTTCTTTGGTTGCAGCAGAACAGCGACACGCCTTCCATAAATGGCGTCAAACTCAAGGCTTTGCCTGTCAATCTTATATTATGCCATTCATCCTTTCACTGTGTTCAATGTTAGGAGCATCGTACTTTAATGATGCTACCATGTCAGTTTATATATTCTATGGTGATAGATTGTTGGTTGCTCTTTCAATGGTTAAGTTCAAAGTTACTTGCCCTATCTCTACGAAATTAACTAACAATATAGTCTTTTGTCAAACAACCATAACTAGTCTGGGAATAATAGGCCTGTAAAATGCCCCCCTCCCCCCGTTAAACTCATCAATCAACCCTCGTAAGTTTAATGTCTATGTCAAGACATCTAAACATTCGGTAAATTTCGATACATGTATCGTATAAAATAACAAGAGAATCGTGTTTAGCATGGAAAAGGAGAATGCTGTACATACGAGTAAATTAAATTGAGATATTGTCAAAGCCTTCATCTTAAACAGGTCCCCGGGCTCTCGTCTAAATTAATAAAATATATAACTATGAAACAACAATTTATAAATTATAATTGAAATTAATTTTTTATATATTTTACTTTAGAATTATTTCAGAGACAGAATTTGTGTTTGTACCGTATCTTTTGAAACAACAGTTTGTTCCGTACCATTTCAACATACCGGGTAACTTTATGAAAATATGCTAAAACATAACTGCATTCACTAGATACATTGGACATAGTAAATCTATGAGATTTAACATGTATTTTCTACGAAATAGTGACAAAAAACATAATAAACATGACTTGCTAGAAATCGCTTGTTATGACAAATGAATGTGTTCCGTTCTCGAATGTTCTCAAAAATCATTCAAGGGTTTCAAAATTTTGATATACCGTGGTAACTGATATAATTACGGGTACTCTGTGCCTTATCTGATCAAAATCGGTTGAGTAATAAATAAGTTATAAATAAAAAACATACCCGAATCGGGTAAAAATCGGCGTGCTCCGTACCCGAAAAGTCACGTGGTATGGCCACATTGATAACGCAGTGAATACTTTGTAAGCAGCCTATACTTTGTCATAAAACAGACATTAAAGAATTTTACGAGACTACTGATAAGATCAATGACGTCATGAGTGAGTCTCTTTTAATGGTAAATCCTTCTAATGACTGGAGTTAGTATTCCCTATAGACTTATTTGACTTAAAATACTGGAGTTAAAAGCTTCATTAATATTGGATCAAATTGTAAAATGTCTTTTTAATGTATAGATTAAAAACACAAGAGAATTATATGTATCCAATAAATTTGATTGGATTTTTAAAGTTTTATCTAAATCTGTACTTCGTCAAGTTACAAATCACTCGCATGTAATGTTTGCTAATGATATTGAAATATAAACTGTTAGTCCATATCATAGTCTTGTATTCCCAGAGTATGGAATCTAAGCACTTTCATTAACAAATTGAGGAGAAAGTACACAAGTTTTGTAAGAAGATCTACACCAGGTGAAATTTACAATTTTGTCACCATTTTTCTTCACTTCTAATATTGCTTTAATGGTTGCTGTGCATTTTACCATCTACTGTTTCAGTCAACATATAATGGACACAATCTTAAATATGTTTTGAGCCATTTGAGGTAAACATATTTTCATTTGTCACATATTTTCCCGAAGCCATTTTTTTAATCGAAAGGAAGACCGGTTCTGTTGAAAGCATTATTGTCGGTACTAATACTTTTTATTTCGTCTAAAGTAACCGTGGCGATTCTAAGAATTTCACTTGGCGGTATTCATTTTATTTATACTGCCTCCTTATATTGGAACATATGAGGCTAAGAATGAGGTTTGGCCCACCTAAAACCGGGTTAGAATTAATATACTACTGACCGTTCAAAGACGGTACCACTCTGTGTTCCTTAACATGCTTCACATGTTTGTCTTGAATTAAGAAACTTATTAAGCATGTTTCTTAAAATGTCATCTCCTTCAATTTAAAATATACTCAAGATACGAATGTTCGGGAATTAAAAATCAGACATCTGTTATGTTGGAAAACATTTAATTTCATATCTGTTTCTGTACAGCACAAAACATGTACATATTTTCTTTTGAAAAATGAAGGCTAATTAAATGTTTCAAAGAATATTTTTCCAGCTTTAAAAGCTCCTATTAGGCCCTCACCGTCTTTCTTTGGACACAATATTAAAAGAAACAAAAACGGATGTAGTATTTCGGTTAATTCTGCAAAATAAAAGGCAATGTGCATAATCTAAATTTTATGCTGAAATCGTACTTCCAAACATTTTAACATTAACAACAATATATTGAATTAAAACAAGAAGTATCTTTAAAAAGATACTCGGCCGAAGTCAAACGTGTTAATTTGCATAGGATAAGCTACTACTAACCATGCTAACCGCAAACAGAACATTTTATTCGTCCTCCATTTCATTTTACCCGCAATGTTTTCCCCTTTAATTGTCTGTCATCTTAGATTTAAACAATATTACTTACCCGGTTCGAGAAGAGACTGTATTGACTAGAACAGCTTAGAAGAATCGAACGCAAAAGTATCAAAAAGGCAATATGTCATATTTAATTTCATATATTTATTGAAAAACTGTTAGAAACATCTAGAAAATATCATTATTGTGTTTTTATATTTATTCTGACTTATATCTTTTTTCCAACACTTCTTGCCATCTTGCAATCGAACAGACCTCTACCTATAACGGAAGCTCTTCTTAAATATAAGGCAAACAGGCTATTAGTGTTAAAATGACCAATGAAAATTCTGCCTATATTCATTTCTTTACTGTTAATTTTAGCGGAAGTCAAGGTGAAATCAGGCGGCATTCAGCCGAAAAAAAAAGTTTGTACTTTAACATTCATGTCCACAAAGAGGCCAGTTTTCAACATTGAAATTTTACCATTTATTATTAATGAATAATGATACACTAAAATGGCACCTATGTGAACTTGCAGGTCTCCGCACGAGACTCTGAACACATTGTTTATTAGACCAGCACTAATTTAATTAAGTGTTTAGAATTTCCGAACATGAGATTCTCCAATGAGCCAATGCGCGACAAAATCGGACAAAAGAGTAGTTGACAGTAGACTCCGGATAATGGTGTTGTTGAAGCTACATAGCTTATTTAAAGACAAATGTCGATGCGCTGGCCGAGCAAACTTTAGAGTCTTACCTACTTATTTCAGAGCCAATGTCGAGAGTCGCCTGGTTAGCTCGATAGGTAGAGCTTTGGACTGTGAACCGGGTGACACGGGTGACACGGGTTCGATTCCCGGATGGTGCACGTCCTTACGTACCTCTGCTCTGGTATGTACATAATTAAGTTATCAGTTCTTTGCGGAATTGTAGGTCACTAGTACTGGTAAACTGCTTGAGAGCCTGCCTGAGCGATGGCTGAACTTTGCTTTGGTAATCAATGTGGCTTACTGCCGTTATCCGGATTGAAGCCAACACCACTCTGTAACGACAAGCCAGTCACATGACATTATAAACAAACACGTTGTAAATACTAGAATTTATTATAGAGAAATCAGGAATATACATTTCTGAAAAAGCCAATTATCTGGAAATATTACAAAAAGATTCGCATGCTGTGATATCCTTTTGTTATTCTCATTGCTTAAATAATTTTTGTAAATGCAATATAACACCAGTTTTGTCTCTATCATGGCTGGACTGTTAAAATTGTTTATTAAAATGATAAAAGTAACTGGAAAAGAAAAGGCCCCTGTTAGTTCTTATCTTTTCCACTTTTCTTCAAATGACAATACTAAATGCATTATCCTACGTTTTGTGGTTTTTGAGAACATTGTTTGAATTGTGTGAAAATTGCACATTCAGCGATAGTAATCCACACGAAGCGGTATAATTTGGTACCAAAATAAATGAAAATAAGCTTTTTTCTGCACTTAAGACACCAAATCAATCATTTTATTGACATATGTTATCGTAGAAGTCCTCGAAGGTCTGTAGCCTACAAATGTTTTTTGCAAGTGTATAGTAAGTAAAACGAACAATTTCTGGATAGTAAGTCGCACGAAAACAAAATAGTAAGTTTCACGCACAGTTTTCAATAGCTTACTAAAACGTGACGAAACTATTTTATAATTCTTTTGGTTACCAAAGTGTGTTAATTTCGTCTACGGTGACAGAGAAACAAATGTCGAGAAAGTATTTTAATAATAATTCATATTATTTCATAATACATGTATTCATATTCATATAATTTCATAAAAGATTACTTAACTTAAAAATAAATAAAAGAGTGATTGGCATTGATACTCAACAATGTACGTTTCGCATGGCCCTTTTTCACGTTAGACCGGGCCCACATCCGCCGTCTGTAGAACTAGATATATAAAGAAATAACCGTGCAGAAGAAAATATTACAACACTATCATGTGGTGACATTTTGCGTTCACGAATTCATGTTTACAAGATTTTAATAATTCATTATTTTTAGACTGAAATATTGAATACTGTCACGATTTAAATCGTGAATTCATGAATTCGCGATTTCATAATTTCTCCAAACACCTAAATAAATGAAAAATGAAATCGTGAAATAATGAAATCGTGAATTCATGAATTCACGATTTCATTTTTTAAAAGTGAAATCGTGTAATCGTTAATTCATGATTTTATTATTTCACGATTTCACTTTAAAAAATGAAATCGTGAATTCACGATTACATTATTTCATTTATTCAGGTTTTAAAGAGAAATATTGAATTATGAAATCACGAATTCATGAAATCATGATTTCATTTTTTAAGTGTAATTGTGCAATCGTGAATTCATGAATTCGCGATTTCATTATATCACGATTTCACTTAAAATATGAAATCGTGAATTCGTTAATTCATGATTTCATGATTTCACGATTTCATTATTTCATTTATTCAGGTTTTTAAGAGAAATCGTGAAATTATAAATTCACGAATTCACGATTTCAAAATTCAATTTATCACTCTAAATGTAATGAAATATAAAAATCTTGAAATCATGAATTCGTGAACGTGAAATGGCACCACCGATCTTTCGTAGTTATGTCAGCATTTTGACTCTTTTGTTGGTTCAATTTTAAATCACGCTGCAGAAATCTGGGGTTTTACTAAATCTAAGGTAATTGAAAGACTTCATCTTAAATTTTGTAAAAAGATATTAAATGTAAAAGTTAATTCATGTAATGTTGCTGTGTATGGCGAACTAGCACGTTATCCTTTATATATTTCAAGATATGTTAAGATTTTAAGATTTTGGTTTATAATACTTGAGACAGATAATATCATTCTTAAAAATGTATATAACATTGCTCTTGAAGACTGTAATAATGGTAAGAAAAATTGGATATCAAATCTTCAATTGTTATTATATTATGTAATCATGGTTTTAGTGATATTTTGGATTTTGTAGATTCCGTAAATAGCAAAATATTTTTATCAATCTTTAAGCAAAGGGTAATTGATTGTTGTTTTTTTTACAAAGTTGGCTTTCTGGTAAAGAGAGCACTCCTGTTTTGTATCTGTATAATCATGTAAAAGATTCTTTTGTATATGAAAATTATCTTAATATAATACCAAGTACTTTAAGGAAGTATCTTATAAGAATTAGAATATCTTCGCATTCATTACATGTGCAAACTGATAGGTTTCATACAAAATAGAATTGTTAGAAATGATAGATATTGTTTATATTGTAATCTACATGACGTCGAAGATGAATACCATTTCATTTTAATTTGTCCTTGTCATATTGATATAAGAAAAAATATGTATAAAGATACTATTATATAAGAACTAGTATGCTTAAATTCACTGATATGCTAAAGTCAAACAATAGAAGTATACTTTTAGTATAAATTTACCCTTGTATGTACGAGATGGGTTGTCTCATAGAAATAACTTAGATAAAGTAGATACAACTTAATATATTTATAATTCATCCTCTATATTGATATGAAAGAAATATGTTTAGATCCGATCTTGTAATTTGTAATTTATGTTAATATGTATTGTCCATATTAACATGCAAGTGTAGGTAAAAACACATCGCCTCCACAGCCACTTCTTCGACACCATCCGTCCGATTCCGTTGCAAACGCAATTTTCTACTAGCGCGAAGGGTCCCCTTGACAGCATTGTAAGTCTCGAAGCTCTAGGCCTAGTAAAACGACCGTAAGAGCTCCTCGCGCAAGGCCCATTTTCGTTGTTTCGTCCATATTAACATGCAAGTGTACGCAATCAGACGGATGGTGTCGAAGCAGTGGCTGTGGGGGCGATGTGTTTTTACGTACACTTGCATGTTAATATGGACGAAACAACGAAAATCGACCGCGCGCGCCGAGCTCTCACGGTCGTTCCACTGGGTGTAGGGCTTCAGGACTTACATTTTTTTTCAAGGGGACCCTTCACGCTAGTAGAAAATCGCGTTCGTATCGCAATCAGACGGATGGTGTCGAAGCAGTGGCTGTGGGGGCGATGTGTTTTTACGTACACTTGCATGTTAATATTGCCACATCTTGGACACCATCTGTCGGAGTCCGTTGCAAACGCAATTTGCTACAAGTGTAAAGAGTCCCCTTGACAAAAATGTAAAGCCCGAAGCCCTAGCCGAAATAGAACGCACGTGAGAGCTCGGCGCGCGAGATTGTTTTCGTTGATTCGTCCCTATTAACATGTAAATGTACGTAAAACACATATAGCCCCCACAGCCCTAGCTCCAGTGGAACGACCGTGAGAGCTACGCGCGCGCGGCCCTTTAATGTTGTTACATCCTTAGCAATGTGGAATTATACGTAAAACACATCGCCCCAACAGTCACTGCTTCGGCACCATCCGTCTAATACCGTTGTAAATGTGATTTTGTGCAAATGTAAAGCCCCCACCCCCCCCCTTGACAGAAATGTAAGTCTCAAAGCCATAGCCCCAGTGGAACGACCGTGAGAACTCGGCGCGCGCGGCCCATTTTCGGTGTTTTATCCTTGTACATAGAAACACATCGCCCCCACAGCCACTGTTTTGACACCATCCGTCTGATTTCGTTGCGAATTCGTTTTTGTACAAGTGTGAAGGGTTCCCTTGACAGAAATGCAAATCTCGAAGCCCTAGCCCCAGTGGAACGCCCTGAGAACTCGCGCGGCCCATTTTCGTTGTTTCATCCTTTTATTTTGTAATTGTACATAGAAACACATCGCCCCCACAGCCACTGCTTCGACACCATCCGTCTGATTTCGTTGCGAATTCGTTTTTGTACAAGTGTGAAGGGTTCCCTTGACAGAAATGCAAGTCTCGAAGACAATCGTGCAGCAGTATTTATATTGAAATTATTTTGATTTTTTTTTGTCAATTTTTAAGCTATTAAAGCGGTTAAACAAGGAAAAAGTTTAAACAACTTCATTACAATTATGTCTATTCATAATCACATAATATGTTATAAGGTCCCAGAATATTCAGATGATATGACATTTTTTTTGTTCGTTTACAACATAATGTCAATAAAATGCTGCAGTAGAAAAAAGCACTTGAAGATAAAATGAGAAAATGAGAAAATATGCAATAAATATTTTAGGAGAAATTATCCTACCTATATATTACTATTAAAGCTCAATGAATTTAGATTAAACATATAAATACATTTCATGCTTCAATAACATCATATCTGATCACGACTTCAATTTAAAACCGAGGTCTGGTATATGCGAAACTTATTTTGAAGTGAATAATATTGCGTTTTATCACGAAAATATCTAATGTACAAATATACATATAATCATATATCATACAACAAAGTTACGCAAGGGCAATTTTCTCATTTAATTTTGACAATTTATGCACAAATGCATTACATATAAGTGATTTCGCACATAAAACCCCAAAAACATTTGTAAATGTTACTGTTTCATTGATTCGTAGGATTTATTTCATTTGTGAGTTTAAAATTTCTTAATGTTTGATATTTGCTGATTATTTATTATTTAAAGATTAAATGTGTAGTTTTTGTGTAACTTTTATGTAAACTGTATGTCTTGGCCATATTTAGTATGTAAATGGTCAAAGGCATTTATAATGCCGATTTGCCAATAAATGAAATGAAATTATATAATTTTACTATTATATGTTCCGCTACGTCAATTTTAACTATCTTTGAATTTGTAAACTAAAATGATATTTTGTCAGTAACATCTTCCTTGAAGTCAGCTCAGTACCATCTGCCTTAAAGTCAGCGAGAAATATAACAAGATCTTTGCCAAACGTTTTATTCATCATTAATGCGTGAATGCAGTTATTTGTTACTTTTTTAAATATCATAAAACATTGAACTATTCAATAAAAGCATTAAAATTTTATGTATACCAAATTATATAAGGTAAATTCTTTAGTCATTGGGCATAACAAAATGTCAACATCAATTCTTTCAAGCACTATATTTCTTTATTATATATGTATATTTACAAAGTGTACTGTATCACCAAATTGCTATTCAGAAAGACTAGAATATCTACTTAAACAATTAATATAACAAAGCAATATTTATACAATTATGTAAACTATAAAATCTTGCACCAATATATTATGTGAACACAATCTTTACCATAATTCATGTCTGTAGAAAGTAGCAAATAGGGTACATTTACTATTATAACAAACTTTTCCTGCAGTATAAAACTTTACTTCTACCATTTTGTAATGTTTTGAATATGGTTTATTTATTTGTAAGTTAAAAAAACATTAAAAAGCCTAACTTTTCATGTCTTATTGTTCTAATTGTAAATAATCTAATCAAAACATATCAAGCAGGAGAGACAAATGTAAGGATAGGCAGAGCAAAAGGGCAACATGTGTCTTAAGGTATGACCACACTAATGGGCACTATAATTAAGGAACTGAAAAATTAATAACATAGGTCAGATTTAAAGGACATCTGTTTGCAAAATTTAAACAAACTTTACCATACAAAAAATCGAGTTATGGCCCCTTTTCTGAACTGAGGCTAGGATGTTAGAAGGGTCCTTTTTTAGAGATAAGGAACCTTTAAATAATCTACAATATCGGCCTTATGAAAAAGGCTTTTCTTAATTTTTGGTAAGAATCAAAAAGTACCATTCAGCTAACAATCCACATAAGCAAAATAATTGTTTCTACTCAAAATTTATGAAATGCATGTATGTATAAAAATGTTACCCTACCCCACCCATTTTTTACACATGTTTGACCTCTTCCCTACCTTGAGAACCTAATTAAAAAGTGCATGAAATTTACCAAAATGTATGCCTGTTTAAATTATCTCAAAAGTATTTTAGTTAAAATTGTAAAATATCAAATACTTTTACTGTGCAGCTGATTTATTTGATTTATTACATTTCAAAAATATCAGGTATAATTTAATTTTACCCATGAAATATGGTGCTATAACAGTCAAATATATTTCATATTTGTAAAAAATAAATATGAAATATAAATATGAAAGTGGGCGGAGTCAAAACTCATATTTACTTTAAGGGACTTCTTTCGCAATTTTGTTTGAGAAATCTGATAAATAAAAAACAACTTTTTTGTTGTATTTTGTTTTGAAATCTATCTAGAATAATAGAAAAAGCTCTAACTAAAAAAATAAATCCGAACACCAATATTTTTAATGCAGTCATTTAGCTGTACAGAGGTTTAAAAGAGTTGTTTATGTGACGCCACAATTGAGTGCCAAAAAGCGCATGCAAATACAGGCAAAACAAGACGCATCAATATATTACTGTGTGCTGTACAATTGTGCAAGGGGATTCGTAAGTATTTTTCTTTGATAATGAAATTTAACAAAAAGGTTATGTTTTTTTCGTGAAATATGGTATATATTTTCACATCAACATGATAAAATGCCACATATTTTTACTCGCTGTCCTGGCTCGTGTGTGGCATTTCATCATGTTTCTTGAAAATATATTCCATATTTCATGAAAAACGAAGAAAAAAATATCTGCTAACCATCAGTTGTTGATTATAAGATTTAGCATTATTTAGCAAATAAATACCTATTAAATTAAATCATTGATATTAAACACTTTCTTCTTCCCAAAAGGGACATGAGAGATACATAAATAATGTTAAAAGAAAAAAAAGAACGAAAAAAAAAAAGCTGACCCTTCTGGGATTTGAACCCACAACCCTATAATATTCAATGTAGTTGACTGTAGCTTTAGCCTATTTAAATACTCTTCAAAGTGGAGGTAATTTATTAGGATGGCCATACCTTAAAAAAAAACAACAGAAAGTGAGGAAGCAGGCATATCTTGTAATGCTGATCTCACAAGCAAACTTAACAGTCAAACATGTACACAACCGCACAACTATTTAGAAGAACTAGATGATAACAGATTTATTTTGTTCTGAAAACTTATTACTTTCCTATAAAGTATAATCAAAATTAATCAAATGTAAATCAAATAAAAATCACTTATATACAATGTTTAATGTATCATTGTAATAATTACTGAATAATTCTGAACACATACTGTAACATTAAATGGTCTGTCTGTGTTGAACTTTATCATGACAGGATGTTTTCAAGTATCATATACTATAGTAACTCATTTATCTTTCTAACTGTTAATCTTATTTTTCAAGCTAAGCTTAGCTTATCCTTTATTTCCTTTTGGAAATTGTGATCCAAATCTCATCACTTGGGTGTGTAACCAATCCATGCACTGGTTCTATAATTTGACCTTCGACCATTTTGACCTTGAACTTCCTCAACAAGGTCACCAAGGCAACGGTTGTTTCAGTATATGCAAACTTCTGCCCTGGACAGATACGCTTCCCGGCAAAGCCAAATGGTGAGAATGAGAAGTGTGATCTTTCTCGATTGTGCTCGTGTGTAAATCTATTAGGATCAAATCTGAAAAAAATTTAGGGAATTAAATTTCATGCAGTTAACAGTTATAAAATAAAATCATTTACATTATTTCTGTCATCATATGAATTAAACATTCATAATGTCAGGTTTTATTTTTATTACTTTTTATAAATTCTTATTTACAACAATGTCAGATATGCAGTTTTTAATTTTCAAACACTATTTCATAAACAATGCATATTTATAGAAACAAGTTTAAAAGGACTGAGGAAAGTGTGGGAATGGTATTGAGAACTTACTTATCTGGCTCAGGAAACACAGTTTCATCTTTAGAAGCCACACCCAGGGCATGGATCACAGGGGTCTGAAATTTGAATGTTATGTGGGTGAACAAAATAAGATAAATTAAGTAATTTTAAACCATTATCTTAGAATAACTCCTAATACTCTAATTAACCAATCATACCATGTGTAGCTTAAACTCTTTAATGCTAGTGACCATAACTTCAAGTGCATGCTGCCTGCATACAGCCAGGCCTGCCTGTATATATCTGTCCAGTCTAACCAAGCTCTACATTGGTGATTGCCCATTTTCATAATTTTGAGACTGAAATCACATAAACTTCCAAAAAGCTGTTCCCTATTCAAAATATAGCATACCAATAATACTATTAAATTCACAAGGTAAGGGGCTCAGTCAAAAGTTTGAGCAAATAAACTCAGTTATGTATCATATGATATCATAGTAACTTAAATGGCAATTCAACAACATAGAAAGTTATAAAAAAGGAATACAAGCTATCTAAAAATAAGTTCAGCGACTCAGTGGTCATAATTCCAAATTTTACTCAAGCACTTAGCTGAAATCTCAAGGGCTCTTTCTGTGTTTTTGTCATGACTCAATATATTTGAAATATTGCACTGTCATTTAGCCCTGGCATTAGTTTACAAAATTTCCTTACATTTTTAGGTATTCTATGTCCACCAAGTTCTGAATCAAAGTCCTGAAATCTTGCAGCCCAAGGAGCAACTACGGCACATCTTAAAGTCTCATCAATCACTTGTCTTAAATATCTGAAATGTCATCAAATACTGATTATAAATCAAATTATGCAACAAGCAGCAGGAATTTGTCATCAAACCAAGATTTTCTGACCAAAATTGCCATAATTCTGCCAAATATAATCTCATCATTGAGAATTTATACTAACAAACAGCCATGTTCATTTATGAAATATGTTAACTGTTGTTATATGTATTTCAATACTAGTTTCAATTATGGCAAACAGTGATGGAAAAAAGACATATGTAAAATAAGCTAATCACAAGGATCATCTTTTATTTTATGCTTTTCAGTGGATTACTGATTTATCCGTGAAAATTATATTTGGTAATTTCACAGTGAAAATTATCAAAATATAATTTCACTCTTTTCAATGACGAAACTACTTTTTTAAGATTTTCCCCATGTGGTACCTCAATTTTATTTTTGCTGACAATTCTGACAATGTCAGGCTGTTTAAAGAAAAAGCAAAACTGAAATTGATAAATAACTTAAATGTCAAAAGTAATAAAAAGAAGAAAACTTACTTCTATTCATTCAAATTCATGAAATTCCAATCACCAAATTTCGTTTTTTTGTTTCATTTTGACAGTCTCAAAAATACATTCCTTCCCCATGCAAAACTGCTCTTGATGACATTTGGGCATATTAAAGTATCCTACGAGCAATAACTGCCGTATGCTTTATGAAAAATTGAAAGCATTGACAGCCATAACTCGAAGAATAAGTTAAATCAACCCAGCGTTCTTGAGCAGGTTTCCAAGTTTTCCATTTTCCTAGCTCCTTTTCTGAATGTTTTCACATCTGTCAACACTTATTTTTTGTCTGTTACAATCCTCAAATAAGTTTTCTTTCTTTTAAAAATGTGTATGACTAACAAATCCAAATTATATCCCTCTGAATCTTACACAATTATTTTCCTCCCATGAAATACACAACTTTAAAAAATGGCTGCCGCTTACAATTTACAAAGCCAGGTCTAATATAAATTCGCACTAAGTAACAGAAATATGGATGGATGGTTGGACTTTTTCTCCTACAAGAATTGTTTGTTTTTATTATCAAAACAAGCGATCATTCATATTTTTTTAATAAAATTAATAAATATCACCGTCATTTAATGTTGATTGGCGGACTTATTTTTCAGCTCAAGACTTCTTTTTTTTAATGAGAAATTCCGAATAAATGGGGCTCTCAATGGGGAAAACAGTTTTAATATTAACGTTAAAATTATGGAAATTTCGTTTTAACTTGTTTTTAAGCATAAAATAAAAAGAAAATTTGTCTGTTTGTTGTGTAAGATGTAATTTTATTTCATCTCGTGAACTTTAAAAACAGTATTCTCACTCGTGGCTTCGCCACTCGTGAGAATACTGTTTTTAAAGCCCACTCGATGAAATAAAATTTCATCTTACACACAAACAAACAAATATCCTCTATGTAATCCTTATGGTTTTTATTCAAAACTAGAGCTAAAAGGTATTATGTGTCCTATGCTGTAGTGTTGTGCTTCAATACACATGACAAAAACAACTGACAAGAAACTGGTCACAATACCATATTTTCTGCAATTATTACATATGCGTAAGAAAAACAAAGGGCTATAACTGTGGAAATTCTAGTCAAATCACAATCCATGTGCCAATGGATATGATGAAAAGTTGGTTAAAATCCAAGCAGAAAACCTGATTTACAGTTCAGTGAAACTTACTCTAGCTCTCCCATATTGGTATGATCAACATCATCATCTCCTAGGACATTCTTTATCTCCTTGACAACCTTTTCCTGACAGTCTGGGTGTGTTGCTAGGAAATATATTGCCCATGAAATCACTGAAATATTTAACACAAAGAAACAGTATAACATCTGAAAAGCGTTAGAACCTAAAAATCTGGACTGGAACATTTTCTGTAGATTTTAATTTTTTAACATAAAATCTAAATAAGCAAATATCTCAAAAACAATATTTTTTCACCCTAGAACAAAATATCTTACATATCAAAGAATGCTTTATAACAGAGCTTTATAACGAAGTATTTGACCTCTTACAATTATTGTTACCATCATGGTAAGGCAATCATTTCAATATTTTCTCATATGTTTCTTACAGCAGAAGAACCTAGATAAAAGATTACATATTTATCAGCTGACCATGAATAAATAGCTCTTAAAAACTAGAGCTGTGCATAAGACAGCGCATTTAACTATTCTAAGTGCTTGACAGTATGAAAAGGGGCATAACTCTGTAAAAAGGAAACTCAGATTTACAGGACCTAAGCTCATCATGTAAGACAAGCACAGAGAACAAATGTGTGGAGTTTTAACTCATTCCCCAATGGTAGTTTTGTAAATATTAACTTCCATGCAAACACTTAACCTAAGTGAGATGCCGACACAGAGGTGAATAAAGAGCTTATCCCTATCTTTTAAATAGTCAAGCAAAAAAGCAAAGTGTTAACGTAAATAATCATCGTACAATTTCCAGTGGTATGAAAGCCTCCAATCACATACACTAGAGCATCAGCACTTTGTAGCTCTTCATCATCTGTATAGTCCAGTAATAAATCCAGTAACAACTCTTCACCGTGTTCAGGCGGGTTTTCTTTACGATGTTTCACCATTTCATTAGCAATTGCTGCCAGCTTCTTTTTCCCTGTAATAGATTATTATTATTATTATTATTATTATTATTATTATTATTATTATTATTCTGTTCTATCATTATGCTTATTCATATATTATATACATGTACACATACATGTACTGGTGTAACTCTCCAGGAACGATGGTTAGGAAACTACCCGCCTACATTGGGAAAAGGCGTAAAATGAAACAAACAAACAAACATACACATACACACATTTTCCAGTGTGAAAGAAGAGTAACAACACTTTCCTGAGTTCTGACTCAAATCTCAGGATTTTCATTGGTCAAATTTCATACTGTGCCAGTTTCTGACCAATCAAATACCTGAGATCTGAGTTTAAGCTTAGTAAAAAATCATTATAGCCTTTGGCCCCATACTGTTTACTACTTCCTTATATGAAAAACTGTAACCCTGACAACAGTCTATATAATAAACATTAAACATACCCTCAAAGCCTTTCTATGCTAAATATCTTGAATTGACTTGTTCATTTTTTGTTCAGGATATAACTGTTCATGATCTTTTAAAGAAAAATTTAAAATTGAAAAAAATAATGTCAGATTTTTAATGGTTTAACAATGTAGACCATGATTTGACTGCACAGATATGCTGGATGATCTTGGTCTGCACTGATGACATGGGAAGATACTGGAAAATATACTTTTTAAAGAAATCTTATAGGAAACAACTATTTTTATGCATTTTTTTTCATATAATATAAACGATTATCTAAAAGTAGGAATCCCTTGATAGACAAGTAATGAAAATAATATACTGTATGTGTATTTAAATTCGCGGAAGCAAATTTTCGCGGAAAGGTCTATTTTGGGGGTATATACAAATATTCGCGCTATTTTGAATTCGCGGAGGTGACTGTCGAAAATCATAAATTCCCGTACACCCATCAGGTTAAGAAAGGAAATCTTTTCACCGAATTTGTTAAAATGTTGACTGAGTAATTGTGCTTTGTTTTCCATGTTTTCATCAGTTAAAATAAAATTGTTAATGTTTGTGTTGTTTGTTTAGAAAAAACAAAACATAATCTGATCAGATGCCAAGACGTTTATGACTCAGACTATAAAATAAAAAGCGTGATGCAGTGGTATCGTTCAAACATGTATATACTTATACAAGAATCCGATAATCATATCAGTGAAACAGTAATACACTAGCAAACTCATTTATATATAGAGCTGAATGTTACATGTACAGTTTATACAACAGTAAAATCCCTCTTTAAAAGCGCCAAGGATACCAAACTTATGGCAACAGTGAACACACTGATATACATTGTTCTATAGATGCGCGAAAATATGACTATTAAGAAATTATTGGTGTAGAAATATTCGCGCTGAACATGAATTCGCGGATCGAATGTCACCGAGAAGATCGCGAAAATTTGAAGCCCGCGAATATTTCTACACATACAGTACATTGTAAACTTACCATCAGAAATGATTTTTTTCCTTGTTTCATTTGGAGGCTCTGTCAATCTGTGTTCTAATTCAGCCCAAATCTGAGCAAATATAAACATATTAGCGGAACTATCTTTTCATTACCACATTTTTCACACAGTTTATGCATAAACTATTAATTTTAACATAAAGCAAAGATAGGGTAACTTAAAGTTATGAAAGCTATGAAAGCTGTTTTTTTCTTCTTCAGTTTTTGGATGGATAATTTGACAATAAGTTTTGGACATTGTGACATAGTTTGGCATTGCAACCTACTTTTGACATTGTAACATAGTTTTGACAATGTGACCTTAGTTAAAACCCACCCTCAAATATGGGTCAAACTCATTGTGTAAGAAGATTTCATCAAGGTCATTATTCATATTTTAAACTACTAAATTTCTGCCATTCTAAGTGTCCTTTGGTCTTACACAACATCAACAGGGTGCTTTTAAACGGCAGAGGGCTTAGAAGAAATAATAAAATTATAAAATGTATGAATCACTGTTTTGAGACACCGCTTTATGAAAAAGAAAGTTTCTTTTTTTTCCCTTTGAGCATAGCCAATCCAAATCACTGAGAAATCTTTTTTCCTCTTAAAATGACATCAATATAGAATAAGCAACTTTGTAGTACAGTGGAACCTGTCTTATCCGAACTCGTCCGGACCAGAAGAAAAGTTCGGATTAGAAAGGTTTCCGGATTAGAAAGGTTTCCGAATTAAAAGGTTCTTTAACATGTATTTTTTCATGTTACATGTATTTGCAAAATAATTTAGGGAAAGAAAAAGGGAATTAATGCATTTGAAATTGCAATTTAGATATTCTACTTTTGCAGTCTCTTATCGTTCATTCTAATACATGTTAATACAAAAATAAAGAAAAGAAAATAAATAAATAAATAATCAAAAAAATATTATGTCCTCAAGGGTAAGTTAACCAACGATGTAAAACAGGAGGCGGAGACATAATCAAATATTCGTACCAGCATTTGTCAATTGTTGTTTACTCTTATCTGATTTAGCGACTATCCAAATTCACTGACAGTTTCTATTAATTTTCATTGCTAACCACGTATCATTGAATCCATTACAAAGGATTAAAAGATATTTTTATTGCATTATATCAAAATATTTATTGAAGCTGACGAAAAACAATCAATTAAGCAATTATAGAAGATATGAAGGCTTGCTAAGTGTAATTTTCACACCTTCGCAGATGATACGTTTCACCCATTAATCAAGTGAAATAACACATCAATTTGGTGCAAGATGTGCGATTATTTGTTATTGTGAATGAAGGTGTGACATTTGGCAAAATTTGTTTGGATCCGAGGTAAACTTTAGAGTAAAATAAGAACAAAAATTGAAAAAAAACGTCCGGAATTCGGAGTAGACAGGTTCCAGATCCAAAAGGTTTTTTACTATTGAAAATACAACGAATAAAATCGGGACCGGACACTTCGTTCCGATAAGAAAGGATTCCGGATTAGAAGGGTTCGGATTAGCAAGGCTCCACTGTAGTTGAAACCATTGATATGTTTATAAGCCTACTTATTTTCAGGACTTAAAATTTTCTTTTAATTTGATATACTTAAAACGGTACAGTGCCTTAACCTATGTTATTGTTTAGGAAATATATTGCACTGATTCCGTGTTACTTCTGCTAATTCCTTCATTTTTTTCACATTTCTGTGTAACTGGGTATACATTGTGGGGTTGAGCTGAAACTCAGCAGAATGTAATTACCATCTTTCAAAATTACCTTTAAGACAGATATTCAGGTTTGCTGCACTTGCAGCAATTTTAAGATCAAATGTAAGATTCTTATAGTGAACATAATATGTCATGAAGTCTTCTTTCCTAAAACTTGTCTTCATGAACAAATATCATTGTATATCAAAGTTACTTACAGCATCATAAACAGCCTTGAATTCTAACACAGCCTTGTCATCTTTCATTTTCTCCCCGTAAAGTGATGCTAGTACTGCCTTTAAAGCAAATGCATACATGTATTGTACAAGAGGTATATGCTGATCATTCAGCATTGTCTCCCACTTCTTGACCATTTCATCTGCTATCTGAAGTGAAATTATGATATTATGAAAAACAGAAAACATGACTTCACTGCTGGTGGCAATTGAACCTTTCAATGTGACGATTAGGTAGCACATTGGTGCTATCATAGTTTGCCCTGTGCCCTATACAGCAAATACTTCAGATTTTTTTTTTACCAAAAATTATGACTGTTTTGTTGTTGAGATTTAAAACCTAAAAGTCCATTTTAAAAAAAACATTTAGTGTGGTAAGGGTTAACACTGGATCAATAAAGGGCAGCATGGCCAAGTGGTTACAATTTTTGACCTCAAAATACTGTCCATTCAATAGAGCAGGTTCAAATCCCTTCAGAAAATTTGCTGGTAAAGTTGTAATGTCATCCGGCATATCTTAACGAGTGTGACTAAAACCAAAATGAGCCGCGTCACAACAAAACCAACATAGTGTGTTTGAGACCAGCATGGACCAACTCTATTACAAGTAGAGAAACTGATAGCGAACAGCATGGATCCTGATCAGACTGCGCGGATGCGCAGGCTGGTCTGGATCCATGCTGGTCCCAAACCCATTATGTTGGTTTTGTCATGACGCAGCTCAAAATACTGAAAAATTCAAACATATTCAGAACAATTAAGTAGAGAATATCATCAATTTTATTATGTAAGGCCATCATTATAAGACCTTCCACAGACAGCAGTGAGCATGAAAACTTGAATAGTAAAATAAAAGTAACAAAGAAAGGGAAGGGGGAATAACTTTACAAACTTGCTTATCAGACTTAAGTGCTCTTGTACGAATATTTAGTTTGAAGTGAATAGTTTCAATGCTCTTTGAGAAAAAGGCAATTACTCCAAGTCAAACAAGGAAAACAATAAAGGGAAAAAAAGGCTTTCAGGATTATCTCCCCCTACAAATGCATTTCAAATATTACCTTTAAATGTATAAAGGAGAAGGTGTTGTTTTATTTATTTGTCTAACACTATCAGTAGCCATCTGGCTTGTTAACATTTAATGGAAAAGTTTGACTGAATATAACCTGATGAATAGCACATCCCCTGTGTAAACAAGCAATTATCATAGTATTGCAAGCAATCCATAAGTCCCCTACCGGTAAGAGCCAAGAAACATTCTATGGGCCATTGGCCATTCACTTAGGTTCCTATTTAAAGTAAATTTGTTGAAAAAGTTCTTTAAAAGTGATCACAGGAAATAGTTTTTATGTACAGACAGACTGAAAGACACTCTAAAGTTATTTTTTAAACATCCCTGTTATCAAAATATAACATTTTTAAAATCCTATCATGATTGAAGAAGTTGGAGTAAAAATTACCAATTTCTCAAAAAAAAGTCTAAGTTCAAAAGGGGCATAATTCTGGAAATAGTCTTGCTAGAGTATTGAACACTCACAAATGTTGAGTGACAATAAGAAACATTTATATGAAGTTTGAAGTAGATACATTCAGAAAAAGAAGTTATTAAAAAAAAAACAATGTTTTTTCCATGAAAATTTCAAGTTCAAGGGAGGTAAGTCTGATAAATTTTGTGCTAGAGTTGTAAACCTTGTCACATATGATGTGGTTGATGACAAGCAACTTATATTTAAAGTTTGAAGAAAATACCTTAAGAAATAAAGAACTTATAGTGAAAAAACTTAAAAACTAGAATCAGAAATCTTGAAATTCAGTCTATTTGTTGCCATAGCAACCAGAATTTTCAACATAGGAAGATAAGAAAAGGATGTGAATAATTTCCATACTGCCATCTACCCATATGTCAAGTTTCATAAACATATTTTCAGTACTTTTTGTGTTATCACTGGATCCAGGTTATGTGTAAAATTTGCCATATTTTCAGTCTATTTGTTGCCATAGCAACCAGAATTTTCAACATAGGAAGAAAAGAAAAAGACGTGCATAATCTCCATACTGCCATCTATCCATATATCAAGTTTCATAAAAATATTTTCAGTACTTTTTGCGTTATCGCGGGATCCAGTTTATGTGTAAAATTTGTCATATTTTCAGTCTATTTGTTGCCATAGCAACCAGAATTTTCAACCTAGGAAGAAAAGAAAAAGACGTGCATAATCTCCATACTGCCATCTATCCATATATCAAGTTTCATTAAAATATTTTCAGTACTTTTTGCGTTATTGCGGGATCCAGTTTTGTGGATGGACGGACTGACGGACGGACGGACGGACTGACTGACGGACGGACAGACAGACAGACAGACGGACGGAGGGTAAACCTAAAGTCCCCTCCGGTAAACCGGTAGGGGACTAAAAACAATAAGCTTCATCAAAGTGAAAACCAAATCAGCATTTTCAATAGGAAGGTAAAGCAACTGCTAACCAATTTGCTTAAACATTCTTAATAAAGTATGTATATAAATTATTAATGCGTAAAACAAGAATATGTCACCTCTTGAAATGTCATGAAGTATTTATTTATTGCGCCATGCGTCAGACATTTATCATATAGATTACGACGTGCTCTGCCATCTTCCCCATTTGCGTACTGGATACATTTTGCTCCAATTAAAGGCTCAAACATCTCAAATAATTCGACTGAAAATAAAGGCAATTAACCTATATATTTTTTTTTAAATTCTTTTTTCATATAATTGATTTTTGAAAACACTTATAATATTTGGATGATGTTTCAGGGTTTTGTGTTGTTGAGGGGGAATGGGGGTATAGTGTAAGTCATGGCCTAACATCGAACACCTGTGCATAACATAACATCATTAAGCCTTAAGTCAGGTTTTCCCACAACAATGCCAAAACGTATTTAATCATAGTCTGCAGTGTCTAATAATGTAAACAAGTAAATATTTGTCAGCATCAGCATGTTCTCTACAATACTACATACATGTATGTGAAGATAACATGAATGTCACAAAATTGAAATTTTGAAATAAATAACAAACATGACAATGAAAAATTAGCATTTCCATACAAATACCTGTGAATGTAATGAGAAATTTTTAGGTGGTAGTTTTTTAGCAATAATCTGAAAACTATCGGATTATTTTTCTTCAAGCCTTATCCAAACAATACTTTAATCATTTAATCTGCTTTACTTGTGGAAAAAGACCGTAGGTGATCTTGCATGTATTATTTCAGGCAAAAGTGAGCACTCAAGTAGAACCACCAACCTTTTATATGCTAGTTGGATAGTTTCCTTACATGAAAGAAGCAAACCTTCAATGGCAGGGTTTGAACCCCATAGCGGAGCAGGGCAAGTACCTAAACATCTGAAACCCTAAAAATAAACTTCCAGCCATGATGTCCCTATTTGATTACGATTCTGTTTTTTAAAAAAACTTACGTGGTCTATCAAAGACATTATGATGTTGTTTGAAGAGGTCAGCATTGGCTATGCTAACAACATATGTTGGTCCCCACCAGAATGATGCTATAGATCCAAACTGTTTATGAAGATCCATCAAGAATTCATGAAGACTGCCAGCTTTTGCTATGTCACCTAGGTTACCATCTCTAAAAACAAAGCAGCATATCACATATAATTCACAAATGAAAATTTGACACAGTCTGTGCTCAAGTCTATACATCTATCATCTATCTTCCCACAATTCTTCAATTGGTATAGGATTTGTAAAGCAACAATTTTTTTTCAGAAATTTGACCTTCAAGGGTGACTTTGACCTTGAGTCTGCACAGCAGCTGCATGTGTTCTGCACATTACCTGTTTGAGGTGAACACTTGAGACAATTTTTAAGAAAATCATTCAAGAGGTGTAAAATTTACAGAGCACACCCAAAATTGTCTGATATTTGACCTTCAAGTAAGACCATGGCCTTGAGCCTGCCTAGAGACAGCCCAGTGTCTGCACATTGCCTGATTGAGATGAACATTTAAGCCAAGTTTAAAATAAATCCTTCAAGGGGTATAGGATTTACAGAGTGGAAACAACATTGTCTGATATTTGACCTTTGGCGTTAAGGGGGACCTTGACCTTGAGTCAACACAGTCATGGCATAGGTTCGGCCTTGTTGACCTTTGAAATTCTGGGCTGACTGCGACCTTAAGGGGACACAGGATTTATAAAGCTGACATGATATTTTGACCTTATTACTTCAAGGGTGACCTTGAGTTGGCACATGATGCCACAGGTTCTGTGCAGCATCCACATGAACCAAATTTGCAGAAAATCCTTCAAGGGGAATAACAATTTTGTGTAAAATTATTAAGAAATCTGTAAACATTCATTCAAGAGGAGTGGTGGCCTAGAGGTTAAGGTTGCTTCTAAACCCAGGGAGTGTGGGTTGGAGCCCTACTGGGGTCAGGATCATTGTGTCCTTATATGACACCAGTAATGGTTAGTTCCAGTAGGCAGAACTGAGAGTGGTTCAAATAAACTACAAGATCTTTTTTACAATTGAGCTTAAATTATGTTTAAACTTAAGTAAACATTCATGTGTAAACCTTTCAGTATCTGTGAACCTATATATTATTGAAGTGCCATTATGTCCATCTCTAAGTGTAAATACTAGTAGTGAGTGTATAGGTAGCAAATTAACATTACATTTTCCTATAAATGCAATTTCATTTTATCAATTCTGACTAGCCCAAGTAACTAACAGATAATTCTATAAATATCCTCTGGAATGTATCAGTAACTTTCAAATGACAAAAGTATAGGGCAGTCTTTTTATATTTCAGGTAATTGTTACATTTCATCCAAAACATGTTTTGATTGCAAGTTATTGTCATTCGTCATTATAAGTCAATATTTTGAAATAAGCAGTTATTTCAGCTCACTATGACAGCGAAAAAAATAGATTTAACAACTTGTTTCAAAATTGAACTAAAACAAATATACGTGTTGTTTTCCAACCTCTCCTTTATTACTTAGTTTAAAACAAATATAGTTAACTTCATAACAAATTTACTTTTTGCAAGACTTAGAGGACTTATCTATTATAGTAGAAGAAATGGGTAGCTTTTAGTTTATGTTTCATATCTTTAAACAGATACAAATGTTTATGAGTAAATTCAGACTATGAAATCTAACCTTGACATTGATATAATGAGGATAAACAAATTCAGTGTCATATATCAGATCAGCTTGATCTATCAAGTGTTTACTGTAGTACATATATCTATGTATACTAGTCTAATGATCTAGAAAAATATATATGTACATGTATATAATGGACTTGTACTGTTTATGGTGTTAATCACAGACACTTAGGTTTTTTTAGCCCTCTCCCCTTTCTGATATGCTTCATGGCCTACTATTTTTTATAAACTCTACTTCAAATTATTTTTGCATATTTATAATATTTATGACCTGGTCATATTTTTTGTAACATAAAACTTGTTCTACACTATTTTAATTGCTTTTTTATTTAAATCACTTTATCAGTATAATCCTTCAAGGTTCATACAGTGAATGTTCCCCTCTGTTTCAGTCATCAAATAACCAAACATGCCTTACTGCTACTTATACTCAAATATCTCTCTCTATATATAGAACATAATTATAATATATATGCTGCTACACCTTAGAATAATCTGACATATTGCACTTACTCTTTAGAAACTGGATCCAGACCTGGTATTGTTGAGGGATTCTTTGAACTCTGTAATGGAGAAATACAGAAAATATACATGCTTGTGAAGCAATAATTTTGTGGTAAACATTCTTAAAGTCAATCAATGATGTACAATTGATGAGGTTATTTATAAACATGACAAAAATAAGCAAGTTGATGTCATATAGTACTTATGATGATAAAGCATGCGCCAATTAGTAGTCAAGTTTGGCAATATAATTATAACAAGATTGCATTTGTAAAAAATGCCATGCCACCGCATAAATACAACACTAAATAGTAATGTAGGAACACATTTTTTTGTTTCTATACAGATTGCCATAATGCATAGATCACTTACCTATCTGTTATTATAAGATTAGTACCTTCAGACAATAAGATTTTTAATTTTTTACTTTATGACATAGTGACTGAAAATCAATGATCCCCAGGGGCGGGGCCAATTTTGACCCCAGGGCTTTAATTTGAATAATCTTGCTAAAGGTTTACTACACAATGTTTACTGCAAAATGTCTCACCTCTAGCCTTTGACAATTCAAGAAGATGATTTTTTAAAGTTTTTACTATATACATGTAAGGAGAACCTATGACCCCGGGGCAGGGCTAGTTTTGACACTAGAGGCAAAATTTGAACAACTTTGGTAGAGTACCTATAGATGATATCATATACCAAATATCAAAGCTCTAAGCCTTGTACCTTCAGACAATAAGATTTTTTAATTTTTTACTATATGTACATAGTGACAATCAATGACCCCCGGGGGTGGGGCCAATTTTGACCCCAGGGCTATAATTTGTTCAATCTTGCTAGAGGTTCACTACACAATGTTTCATGCAAAATATCTAACCTCTAGCCTTTGTCAATTTAGAGAAGATGATTTTTTAAGTTTTTATTTTATACATATATGAAAAACCTATGACCCCAAGGGTGGGGCTCATTTTGACACTAGAGGCAAAATTTGAACAACTTTGGTAGAGTACCTATTGATAATAACACATACCAAATATCAAACCTCTAAGCCTGGTACCTTCAGACAAGAAGGTATTTTAAGTTTTTACTATATGTACATAGTGAAAATCAATGACCCCCGGGCGGGTCCAATTTTGACCCCAGGGCTATAATTTGTACAATCTTGCTAGAGGTTCACTACACAGTGTTTCATGCAAAATATCTAACCTCTAGCCTTTGTCAATTTAGAGAAGATGATTTTTTAAGTTTTTACTATATACATATGAGGAAAACCTATGACCCCCGGGGCAAGGCTCTTTTTGACACTAGAGGCAAAATGTGAACAACTTTGGTAGAGTACCTATAGATAATAACACATACCAAATATCAAACCTCTAAGCCTTGTACCTTCAGACAATACGATTTTTTTTTATTTTTTTACTATATGTACATATTGAAAATCAATGACTCCCCAGGACGGGGCCAATTTTGACCCCAGGGCTATAACTTGTACAATCTTGCTAAACGTTGACTACACAATGTTTCATGCAAAATATCTAACCTTTGGCCTTTGTGTATTTAGAGAAGATGATTTTTTGAAGTTTTTACTATATACATATATGAAAAACCTATGACCCCAGGGGTGGGGCTCATTTTGACACTAGAGGCAAAATTTGAACAACTTTGGTAGAGTACCTATTGACAATAACACATACCAAATATCAAACCTCTAAGCCTGGTACCTTCAGACAAGAAGGTATTTTAAGTTTTTACTATATGTACATAGTGAAAATCAATGACCCCCCCCCCCCGGGCGGGGCCGATTTGGACCCCAGGGCTATAATTTGAACAATCTTGGTAGAGGTCTACCAGACAATGCCTTATGCAAAATATCTAAGCTCTAGGCCTTTTGGGTCTTTACAAGAAGATATTTAAATTTATTCTTATAATTCCTTTTGTTTGCCATGGCAACCAGAATTCTGCATGGAATGAAATTCTTTGAACAACTTTGGAAGGCCTTCACCCAAGGATCAATCCTGCCAAGTTTGGTTGAAATTGGACTAGTGGTTTTTCACAAGAAGATTTTTTAAGTTCACTATATAATCTATATAACACACAAACAAACAAACACACACACACACAGGTGAATCGCTATATGCCACCGCATCGCAGATGCTGCGGTGGCATAATAAAAGCAAGATTGCATTTGTGAAAATGTTATACCACCACATTAGTACAACACTAATAGTAATGTAGGAACAGAAGATTTTTTGTTTGCTTCCATACAATTGAACTTTGCCATAATTAAGTTGAGTCTAGTAATTTGGTGGTCAAGGTCTTATTTCAGCCTGTCAAATGAAAGACAATGTGCAGATGTGTCTAATGTTCTGATACAAAGACCATAGTACAATAATTGATTCCAAATTACAGTGTAGAAGTATTCATACTTGACAAACATTTAGATATTTACTGTATTGCATAGCTGTATTAAACTTTGAAATACAGTTACAGTTCTTTTTTTCCAATTAATGCTCCTCTTGCTAGAGGTCATGACCTCAAATCATTTCATAAATATCTTTAAAACCTGTATGATTTACTTTCGAATCTGATAATTACTGACAAAATGTCATCAAATATTCAAATGTCACAGGTCAATATTGCAAAACAATACATCTGGAGGCTGTTAATCAGTTGTAATAAGCAAGCAATTTTTAGAGCATTAAGGTTTTTAGCAATCAGCATATTTGTTGCACCATGTTTTCCTAGTTGTACATTCAATATAGATGATGAAGACTTTTAACATTACAGAAATATTTTCATCAGAAGTCTTAAGTGCTTATTCTAAGTAAGTCTATCAACTTTCTTGTTTTTATAATTTCAGAAGACTTTACTGTATAAGGGTGAATAGAATCACCATTGAACAGTTCATTATGATTATTGGGCTTTAGTTTGGTTTAACATATAAACATGAAAAAGGGGAAATTATTCTCACAAAAGTGACAGTTACCAAATATTTTTCTTTGTGTTTATGTCAAATATTACGCTCAATAAACAGACAAAGTTTAAAAGAAATATCTTTATTGTTTTTCTAGAAATATGATTTTTTATGTCATATGCCCGATTAGGAATTTTCAGCAGTTTGTTAAAATAGCCTGTGTCCAGATCAAGCAAATTTATTGAATTACAGCATGACATAAATATGTCATGGTTCTGGTTGACTTTCTATACGGGATGGCTTCAGCGAACAGGTCTAGCAGTACTATAAATCTTGTTCGCTGAAGTTGCGTTAGCCACAGGCGGCAGTATCAGTGTTTGGACACCCCACCCCTATCTGCCCCTGGACCCCTACTACAACCCTGATACTGCCGCCTGTGGCGTTAGCTATATTTAGGGATTAAGTTTTTTTCTATTGTGATTCAAATAAATCTAAAACGATGCATTTAATAAATATACCTGCGCTGAACATTATTAAAATTAATATTTTTTACGGAAATAGATAGATAGAAATAAACTGAATCGCGAAAACCCGTTACAAAAATATAAATGTACAGTTCTTACCGGATATAAATAAATGACAATGCAAATCAAAGAAACAACAAATGTTACAGCAAATATTGCAAATGCAAGCATTGTGTTTGATAACACTGTCAATTAGATATTCGACAAAATATTGGTTAAAATAATCTACGTCGCAACTTTTTTCATCCGACTGACTGGACGCTTGTTAGAAACGCTTGATCAAACAAATGCTTGGAAATGGAAGACGAAATTGAAAGACAAGAAATACAAGGTAAACAAGTCTTTAAGCAATATTTTTTAGACTTTACTGATTTTATTTGTTGTTAAAGAAGATATTTTTCTCTCTCTTTTTTCACTGTCTTTTTGTCAGTAGTAAACATTCTGTGTGACATAGAGATAATAATCTATTATTTTTTAAACATCTATGTCAAAGGAGTGCTCATTGAAATTGAATGTTCACAAAATTTGTGTTTGATGGTAGAAAACATTTATCCTAAGACAGAAATGAATTCTAAGTCCATTCCCATTACACTATATACAAATATATATGTGTTTTATTCATCACTCTATATATCAAACTGAAAAATCGTCCTCATAAATCCCATTGTTGAAGTACTGTTGTTGGATCGTATTCATGAAATGTGGCTAGATAATCTCAGTAGTTGGGAAGTAGTAATTTCATCATCTTCATACTTGTCCCAGGTGTTGAATAATGCTAAATGGATGCGGGGGTATAAAATAATATTGTTTTTTTTTAAATATTTTTTTTCTCAAAACTAATAATCAAATAACGAACAAATCATTTAATATCAAAATAATTAGCTATATTTATATATAAACATACTTTTACAATATATTATATTCATTAATGGCATTTGCGTCATAATTTAATTACAACAAAATATTGATGATGATAAAAACACTTTATATATTATAATGAACCATGTCTAATTTGCCTTTAAATACTATATAACATAAGATTGACGAAACCACTTTCGCACCTCTTCATAAATTAGGTAGTTCGACGAAACCACCATTATTCGTTCCAGGAAGCGGACTCGAAAGTGATTAATATAAGTTGCAAGAACTTGTTTCGCAATCAAGCTTATTTTGATAAATATGTTTAAACCAACATCTTCATGTTCATATTCTTTAAATTTAAAGGAGAACGTTCTGTAAGATGGTGAGACAGGGAAGTGTAAGGGTACAAGATTTATGTTTAAGTCCCACACCAAAAACATATGCTTAGCATCATATCCATGTTAGTAAGTTATAATGCAGAGGTTTATGGGCTTCAATTCCATTGATTGTGTATTGTTTTTTTTTAATTCAACAATCCACAGTGATGTGATTACTGCTATGATTACAACATCCAGAAAGCTAAGTCACGTGGCATGACAAAGGTCACATATATATCAACTCTAAGTCCCCAAAAAGGGTTTGATAATTTTGAGAATACAAACCAACATTGAAGTTAACTTAAACCAATTATCTCCAATTCAATTAGCTTGTTATTAACTGATTTTATATACATTGTTATATTTCAGAAGAGGAGAAGACTGCCAGGCTGTCACTTCATTTGATTTGTAAACGCCATCTCCCAACAGAAGCTCAGAAAGGGGACCAGGATGAAATGTATTTGAGTTTCATTTTTGATTTTTAACAGCTAATATATTCCGATAGCTTTAAAGTTTGTGGTGTCATACTTGTGCTTTAACAATTATTATCATTTTTTGAAAATTCAATGTTAATTTAACTTAATTAATAAATCCAAGAAGTTGTAAAGTTTTCCAAATTAATGTTTTGATTTAAAGACTATGGTCTCACAAGTTATTGTAAAAGTAATTAAGGCTCCAAAAAAACTATACCAGTAAGCAAAGTAGTTTTTGTGCTTGTGGAGTAAATGGAAGTGATTTCCATTTCCCTGAATCACTGTTTTTATGCTCCCCGAAAAATTTCGGGGGAGCATATAGTCGCCGCCTTATCCGTCCGTCTTTCCGTCCGTCCGTCTTTCCGTCCGTCCGTCTGTCCCCTTTTCTTGTCCGGGACATAACTTTGAAACAACAAGAGGTATCAACATGAAACTTTGTAGGTAGATAGATCTCATTGAGTAGGTGTGCAGTGCAGAAGAACCGTAACTCTACCTTGCCTAATTTTTGAATTATTCCCCTTTGTTTATTCTTACACTTTGAACTTTGTCCGGGACATAACTCTAAAAGTATAAGAGGTATCAACATGAAACTTTGTAGGTAGATAGATGTCATTGAGTAGGTGTGCAGTGCACAAGAACCGTAACTCTGCCTTGCCTAATTTTTGAATTATCCCCCTTTGTTTATTTTACACTTTGAACTTTGTCCAGGACATAACTCTAAAACTATAATAGGTATCAACATGAAACTTTGTAGGTAGATAGATCTCATTGAGTAGGTGTGCAGTGAACAAGAACCATAACTCTGCCTTGCCTAATTTTTGAATTATCCCCCTTTGTTTATTTTTACACTTTGAACTTTGTCCGGGACATAACTCTAAATGAGTAAGAGGTATAAACATGAAACTTTGTAGGTAGATAGATCTCATTTAGCAGGTGTGCAGTGAACAAGAACCGTAACTCTGCCTTGCCTAATTTTTGAATTATCCCCCTTTGTTTAATTTTACACTTTAAACTTTGTCCGGGACATAACTCTAAATGTATAATAGGTATCAACATGAAACTTTGTAGGTAGATAGATCTCATTGAGTAGGTGTGCAGTGAACAAGAACCCTGCCTTGCCTAATTTTTGAATTATCCCCCTTTGATTATTTTACACTTTGAACTTTGTCTGGGACATAACTCTAGCACTATAAGTGGTATCAACATGAAATTTTGTAGGTAGAAAGATCTCATTGAGTATGTGTGCAGTGGACAAGAACCGTAACTCTGCCTTGCCTAATTTTTGAATTATTGCCCTTTGTTTATTTTTACACTTTGAACTTTGTCCAGGACATAACTGTAAAATATAAGAGGTATCAACATGAAACTTTGTAGGTGGATAGATCTCATTAAGTAGGTTTGCAGTGCACAAGAACTGTAACACTGTCTTGCCTACTTTTGGAGTTATTGCCCTTTGTTCATTTTGACACTTTGAACTTTGTCCGGGACATTACCTTAACCCATTATTAACCCATTACTTCATATACACGCCTTTTAACGCCTTTTTCCCCCCCCCCCCCCCTTTTTGTTGTCTCAAATGATGAAAAAATGCCTTATTTAGGCCCCAAACACTTGTTTTTGTTTGAGAAATGTTGTTAAAAAAAGTGACCCTTTTTCGGCGCGGTCCCCCAACCAAAAGATACATCAGGGGGTTGCCAGAAGGGGGATGTGCCCCCTTCTGTTTGGGGGGGGTTTGAAGGGGGCGGAGTCCCCCTCATCGCCAAGAAAATTTTGGACTTGTGAGAGGCTGTAAATGACCCCAGATTGATCATAAGGTAACGTGTAACCAACGCTGAAAAGCATTTGACTCTATCTCAATCCATTGAGAAGTTGAAGCACTTTGAAATAAATTTTGATGGAAAAAATCAACGCAAAATAGTGATTTTTGGCAATTTTGAGATGTCCCCTCGTTGCCATGGTAACAGAAAATTTAAGCCTGAGCATGTTGTTGCAAGGACAATGGTCCAGTCAACATTTGTGCCAAGTTTGATTAGTGTTGAAGCAGTTTTTATAGTATTATAGCAATTTGAACTTGTAACGGGAGACTTTTCGATGAAAACAGCCATTTTTCACAAAATGCCCATGAAGTAATGGGTTAAAATTATAAGAGATATCAACATGAAACTTTGTAGATAGATAGGTCTCATTGGGTGGAAGTGCAGTGCTTAAGAATCATTACTCTGCCTTGCCTTATTTTGAAGTTATTGCCCTTTGTTTATTTTTACTTTTTGACTTTTTTCTGGGACATAACTTTAAAACTATTAGAGATATCAACATGAAACTTTGTAGCCAGATATAATTGGATAGAACTGCAATGCTTAAAGAACCTAAACAAAGCCTGGTCTAATTTTGGAGATATTGCCCTTTGTTCAGTTTTACACTTTGACTTTTACCCGGGACATAACTCTGATATCATCAGGAAACTTTATAGATAGATAGATCTCATTGAATAGAAGTGCAGTGCAAAAAAACATAACTCCGCCTTGCCTAATTTTGGAGTTTTTGCCCTTTGTTCATTTTTTTTATACTTTCCTGTGTCCAGAACCAGTTCTCGGGAAGCATCACCCGGTTCAACCGGTTCTTGTTAAGGATTGTTATAGTTTGAACTTTAAACATTATTTTATTATAATAATCAGTCATTCTTTTTAATGACTTTACAGTGTTGAAGCTTTAAATCAAATAACACATCTAAGGTTAGACAGAGAAAGGATAGGGGAGATTGACAGCCTAGAATTACTGGGTGACATGTGCACAAATATTTACCTACAGCATGTGAGTATATGTAGTATGTGGAGAATCACAATATCTTAAATGATTTATTAATTTAAACATATTGGTAATAACTTATTTGGAATCTGGTTTGTGGCTGAGTGGTTCTATGACTTCAAACCTCTTGCCCCTCACCGCTCTTTCCTAATTATGCCTGGGACTTCTGATTCATTCATGTGAGGAAGCTTTCCAGCTAGCATAGGGAATACCAGTGGTGTACTGGAGTTCAATGTTTGTGTCTGAAATGATAGCCAGAGAGATCGTTCTCCACCAGTAATGCTGGAATAGTTATCATGACCTTAACTGTGTTGGTGCAACAAAAAATCAAAACAAAAAATCTGGAATGAACTGGTGTAAATGGAAATATGGTCAAGTTTCCTCAGGCAAACACAGTTACTGCAACCATTTAATTGGTTAATTCAAATACTTTTAAAAAGAAGACAAAATAATAAAGATGGAAAATTGTTACAGCAAAGAAATATTTGTTGTGTTTTTTTTTCTAGATTTTTTTCCACTCTATTAAAGTACTTTTGATATATCTTTTGGATAAAGCTTAATTTTAACATAAAATTTTCATATCATATCACAATGCTTGGGCAAAATATTTTTAGTAATATAGTAAAATGTACATGCACATTCTGCATAAAATAGTAACATAAATTTTAAAACAAAATGATTGCAGATTTCATTCTTTCTTTCAGAACAGAATAGAGAAGATACAGAATTTAGAATGTTTAAAAAACGTTACATTTATAACACTTGCAAATAACAGAATACGGGAAATAGAGAACCTAAGACATCTACGGAAACTTGTCTTCCTAGATTTATCAGAGAACCAGATATCAGCAGTAGATAAAGGTACGGTAATCACTATCATGACTGTATTAGATATAATATAGCATGTCTTTACACTGTAGCATCAATTTCATTGTATGATTATTATTTTTATATAAAATTTGTATTCACTGCTGCTTAATTCCATAGCAAGTGTCTTTTTTACTCAAATAAGGAAATTGTGCAGTATTGTTGTTAGGAAATTTTTGACATGTTATATGGGCCATTTGTATGCTTATATATAACATACCCTGCTAGGCACGGGTTATATTTCAACCATTTATACACAGTCATATAACCTGTAATAACAGGTAAATGTGCTAAACAATAAGTATTTGTATATAAAGATACTGATTATATGATACCTGCCTTAAACAACTATCATCTTTTCTGGTTATTAAGGTTTTAGTTTAATTTTACTTGAGGGTAATCATTGAAGTTAAATTTGTTTAGGTTACAAAATTTTATCAAAAAGTAAAGTGCTTAAATGGTAGACTATAAATGGTTAACATCATTTTTGTAATACTCTCATGAGTAAAAATTTAATTTTTTTTTCTCTGTTTCATCACAAAATATGAAACAAAACCTACATGTTGAAATACAGGGTCTCAATAAAGGTAAAGGGTCTTACTGTAGTCATAATAAAGAAAGGACCTGCATTTTGAAGTAAATAATATCAAAGGCCCTTGTGTTGAAATACAGGGAAGTGACACCCAGTTGTAAAATAAAAATGTTATAAGTTTACAAACTGCTTCTTTTTACCATTAAATGACCTAATGTAATATATAGAAAATATGAGACCTTATATGTTGTTTTTTTATCCTACCAGAAAATTATTCCAAGTTATACTATATAGTACAAAATCTATGGAGGTAAACAATGGTCCTTAATATCACTAGTAGAATTGATCATCGGATGCTAATATAAAATGTCATGCCTCTTCATTCACACAATGTCAGTTCTATAACTATTATTGTTGCCTTTATTTAATTATGGCTGTGAAGACTGGCTCAGTAATACAAATATATTTGCTTATGTAGTAAAAATTGCACTGTCTGTATTCATTGTATGGAATGAGGTTATTTGTAAATGGTCTTTATTACAACATTTGTTAAAGTTATAAATGATTAAAATAAGATACACAAAATATATTTTTTCGCAGATGAAATACCATCAAGTGTGATCATCTTGAACTTGCAGGGAAATCCATGCACTAAATATCCTCACTACAGGTACATTGTTTCTGTTTATCAACAATAATAGTTTTACTTTTTCCTTCTAGATGACAGATTTTGTTGTATCTTTAAGTTTCCAAGATTTTAGTTTATGATGGCAGGTTCAATAGGATAAGAAATTTCATTTAAGTTGCTAAGTTGAGTATAATTTCAGGAGTAAACAATCACCTTGATTAAGCTGCTAATCATTTTTGGCTGAGTTTTAGTCACACAGACAGATACTATGTAGTTGTAGGTTATATGGTGACTTTTCAGTTGTACTGTTGGAGGAATGAACTTATGTGTATTATGTCAGACAAAATTGGTACACAAGTTGAACCATCACCCATCTGTAAGCAAGCTAAGGCCTTAAATAAAATATTATTTATTTTGTATTTAAGCTCCCACTACCAACCCTCAAAAATCACAGTTTTGCAAATTCAGAAACGATTTTTTAAATTTTTTTTTACTAAACATAAAGGCAGATTCTTTCAATGAGAATCACATCTTTATAGCTGTCTAATGTTTTTGAATTGTGAACACACAAACTGGGATATATACAGAATAAAAAGTTTTTGAAATTTCGGTTCTAAATGTTAAACAGATGCTTATATGCATTCACAATTTGTTTTGAATCCCTGTAAAATAAGATAGAAATTTTGACTGACCCAACAGTGATGGAAAAGTGATTTACTGTCATTATATAAGTCACCTGAATCACTCAACCACTTATGTCCCACTGCTGATTTTCTGTACAAAATTTAAATTCTATCAAGTCCCAAACTATGACTTTTGTTACCTCCCTTGATTTCACTGTGCTGTAATGGATTTATTAAATTAACTAATATTAAGTGTTGAACTATAGTCTAGATATACTAATGTAATTGTAAACTAAAGTTTGAAACTTCTTGGTACAAAATGTCAGACCTACTTTGTTGTACATGTATATAATTCTGATGCTGTTAGACTTTGATAGAAACTGTTGAAATATGTTGACACACTCTAGCTTTTGTAAAGCCATGTGAGTTTAATGACTCCTAGCATTAAATCTCAAAGTTAAGTTATGATGTAATTTTCAGAACCTTTGCAAAAATTATTTGAGATGTGTTTTGCCTTTGAGTAGTGAATGCTTCCAAATTAGAACTATTGTTTGATCAAACATTGATTACAATCTATAGTAATATTCTATTTTTAGATTAAACATGATTCGTGATGTGCCTAAGTTAAAGCAGTTAGATTTAAGTGCAATATCTAGCAGTGAGAAAAGAGACGTAGGTCTAGAAGCATCAAGTGATGATGATGATGATGATGATGAGGAGGAAACAGTTGTGAATAAAGTGAAAGGAAATTATGGTAAGACCTATCTTAATTGAACCTTTCCCTTTGTGTATAAGTGTAATGAATTTGTTCTAATACGAATTTTAAACTGTCCTTTAGAAATTTTAGGGATGCTATATGAATCCTTCTTTTGATTGTTTCAAAACATAAAAAAAATCTATCAAAGGTCACATGTCTGTTTCCACCTACATCAGGCCTCGACACTAACTTTTTTATCAGGTGGTAAGCCGGACCACTAGATTTGAAATTAAGGTGGTCTTTCAAGAAGTCAAGACTTTAGTGGTCAATTATTATTATTATATCAGTTTACTGTAAGTTTAGAAAAAAGTATGCTTAAAATTGATGACAAAGATGTATTATTAACCTTTAAAGAAAACAGACATTTTAGATATATATTTTTATCTGAGAGCAAGTTAGTAGGTATTCTGTCGTGAAGTTATTTGTTGTTTTCTTTTTCATAGCTCATTCAAAAATACACAACAGGGCTCTTATTTGTGTTAACTTATATATTGAAGTGATTTCTGTCTCAACTCAAGTTAGGGAATAGTGAAACCATTTGTGTCTGGGTTTTTTTTCTTACAGTTATTCAAATATACATTGCTGATACGTGGTACGTCTTATAATCATGATAATTACATGTATCTTTTATAGATTAACATTTTAATAAAAACTAATAAATTATCTTAAAACAAGGAAATATCTAAAGGATAAAAAATAAAAACAACTTTATATATAACTATAGTTTAGCTTATCTTTCTCACAGATTTATTATGAATACAGAATTTTTACCGCCCCGTTGCTTGTTGGTTGATATTTATTTTTTACATTGAGTATTTTTAACCTTTTATCAAAAATTTAAAAAAAAAAGTAATTTTAACTCTGGAAGAAATGGATCTCTTAGCGTTAAAAAGTTAAAATAAAGATAACTAGCAAATAACTTGATGTATTTCTCAAGTTCCTTTAGTTTGCTGCCATTATTCATGTATATGAAATTGAAAGTTCATACGGTATCCCATACAATATCATAATTACCATCGTCGGATACCCACGTGTGATTAACATGTAACATAACATAAATGTTAAAGGTTCCACCGTGGTAATCCGACGATGCATCATTACTAGCATCATTTGAATGCAATTTGTACCTAGCTTAATATCACAAATTCTTAACTCTTTTAACTTGCATAGACAAAATTTTAGCGACTTAAAATGAAAGTTATTGATGATTTAAGACCTTCTTTAACTTATCAGATTAATCTATTAATGAACCATATACATGTTCATAGGACAAATGGTTTTAAACAAAATATATATAACATGTTTTGACAAAATCACCATTCTTCAAAATGAGCCTTGCACAATCCAGAAATTTCAAGTGGTCCGACGGACCAGTGCATTTTAAAATTATGTGGTCCTTGCCAAAATCAGGTGGTCTCGGACCAACGGACCACCGCTAATGTCGAGGCCTGTACATGTTACAATACATAATGATGTTTTGAGTTTTTCCATATGTGGTTGTTATAGAAACAGTTTACCCATAAATTTGACAAACTGATTCTCATTTGTTATCAAGATAAGTGCTCTGTCGTGCTTAAAAAAATCAACTTATTATCATCAGACTGTCTCAGAATAATAATTAAACCAGTTATAAATTTAAGGGTTTATTACCTAATTTGAGTGATTTTTACACTTGGTTTGTTTTACAGAGAGTTTCCAGACAATATCTGCTGAGATGATGTTAAGATCACAGAGGAGGGCTGAAGATGCCCTACAGAAACATAAGATTCATACATCACAGCTAGATGACCTTAGAATCAGCTGGAATGTACCACCAAGTTCAAGGTCAACTGCAAGGTCAAATGTATTGTGAAATCAATATACACCACATGGTTAAGGTCACTGTATTGAGTAATTTTGAATAAGGTGTTATGTATATGTGGAAGGTCGAGTTCTACTAAATACTAAGATCCAAAGAGATTAAATGGTCAAAGAAAGAGGTTGTAGTAGGTCAAACCTATCATTCATTGTAAATTTGATCATATACCATAGACTCATTTTAAGTCTTTTATCAACATTAATGTGGTTATTTCTGGAGACTTTGGTTTAAAGAAATTTGATATGCAATTCTTTTTCTCTGAGAGAAACCATATGTGAATATAAACAAATATCCAAAGGATCTATTTATTTCTCAATAAAACTAGAATTTTGAGTTGCTTTAACTGAAAATAGTGATATGAAGACTGAATGGAAATCCATATAAATCTATTTCACATCATGCCCTCGTAAAATTGTTTATATAGAACAATGAGAGTTTGTAAGATATTCAAACAGCACATTGCTATATTTATTTGAACATTTTTGACATCAGGGCATTTTAGGATAAATCTCCAACAATTGGCTTAACTAATAGTTTTTGCGAGGTCAGACTCTTGTGTTATATGTAAGTTTGTCTATGAAAATGTATTCTGGTGACATGGGCCTACATTTATCCCTGCCTACTCTTTGAGATTTATAAAGTTAAACTAAGGAAGTGATAAAAGAAAGAACAGTAATTTTTTATCATTTATTTTTCATAGAAAACATGTTAAAATACTTTATATGAATAAGTTGACAATAACTGAAAATAAACTGGTAGCACTTTTACATGTAATTTTGTTGTATATAAAGAAATAAAATTGTTGAGTTACAAATTTTCTTATTGTTTTCATTCATATAAAATAATTATTTTGCACATTGGTGAAAAATACTTCCCTAACAGCCAATGTTGGTTTCTGCTTTTGTTTCAACAAGTACATGAAAAAATTATCTTCATGTACTGCTTTCACATATAAATTGGGTTACATTATTAGTTATTTATAAAGATTTTTGACAGGTTAATATGGTTTTATATAAATAGATGCCTATATAACCAGAGCCAGGAGGTGAGGGTTATATTGCTTACAACACTTTATATATGACCATATAACCTGTCCGGAATCTTTATAATGAATTTACCATACAGCAAACTTACTTTATTAGAGAGAAAATGAAAATAATCCATAAATTGACGGCAGCTGTGTTTATAACTTGCATCACAAGTATCCAATGTAAAGCGATGTTACAAATGTGCAGTATTTTTACAAAAACATTTTTCAAGTATTTTTACACAATTGTAACTAGTAGCCAGCTTTGTCAATGAAAACTGCTTAAAACTATTCAACTTTAATCATATAATTTAATTTATCTACAAGCAAACAACAGTTTTTCCATATGGTATGAAATTTAAAATGGTGATAAATTAAATTTTATGCCCAACTTCAGAATACATAGTTACCTGTATTGTTTATGAATGCAGAAATTTATTTGACTAACAGACATTAAAGGGCATGTACTGATATGTTGGCCACCATACTGGTATTTTCTCAATGACATCACCATGGAAAAAACCTTGCTAGAGGCAAGAACATACCAAATATAGATACATATATTACGAGAATTGTCCAAAGACGGCAAGATCTTTTGTTTTATCACGATATAATCCACAATTAGTTAATATATACATGGGTTCAATAGTTTTTAATTCTTAAAGCGATATTCCAGAAAAATTTACGCATGCAGCAAAATAATACTTTAAATAAACAAGAGGGCCATGATGGCCCTAGATCGCTCACCTGAATTATCAAACTCATCCAAACAATTACCTAAACAAGCATTCTAACCAAGTCTCATGACAGGTGAGTCAAAAATGTGACCACTACAGTGTTAACAAGGATTATCCATATTTGAGCAGTGCGACCTAGTTTTTTACCCAGGTGACACATATTCAAACTTGACCTAGAAATCATCAAAACAAACTTTCAGACCAATTTCCAGGATACTTGGATCAAAACAGTAGCAACTAGAGTGTTAACAAGATTTTTCTATTTTTAGCTCCGGTGACCTAGTTTCACATGCGATTTCGAACTAATCCAAGCAATTACCTAGACAAGCATCCTGACCAAGTTTGATGATAATCGAGTCGAAAATGTGACCACTAGAATGTTAACAAGGTTTTTCCATATTTGGGCGGTGTGACCTAGTTTTTCATCCAAGATGACCCATGTTTGAAACTTTCAGACCAATTAACAGAATATTTGGATCACAACAGTAGCCACTAGAGTGTTAACAAGATTTTTCTATTTTTAGCTCATGTGACCTAGTTTTTCATCCGAGATGTCCCATGTTCGATTTATTCCAAGCAATGACCTATTCAAGTTTCCTGACCAAGTTTGATGACAATTGAGTCAAAATTGTGACCACTAGAGTGTTAACAAGGTTTTTCTATTTTTAGCTCCTGTGACCTAGTTTTTCATCCGAGATGACCCATGTTCGAACTCATCCGAGCTATCACCTAGACAAGCATCTTGATCAAGTTTGATGATGATTGATGCAAAAATGTGACCGCTAAAGTGTTAACAAGGTTTTTCTATTTATAGCTCCGGTGACCTAGTTTTTCATCCGAGATGACCCATATTCGAACTCATCTGAGCTATTATCTAAACAAGCATCCTGACAAAGTTTGATGATGATTGGGTCAAAAATGTGACCACTAGAGTGTTCACAAGGTTTTTCTATTATTAGCTCCTGTGACCTAGTTTTTCATCAGAGATGACCCATGTTCGAACTCATCCAAGCAATTGACTAGACAAGCATTCTGACCAAGTTTGATGATGATTGGTTCAAAAATGTGACCACTAGAGTGTTCACAAGGTTTTTCTATTTATAGCTCCTGTGACCTACTTTTTCATCCGAGATGACCCATGTTCGAACTCATCCGAGCTATCACCTAGACAAACATCCTGACCAAGTTTGATGATGATTGGGTCAAAAATGTGACCTCTAGAGTGTTCAAAAGGTTTTTCTATTTTTAGCTCTTGTGACCTAGTTTTTCATCCGAGATGACCCATGTTCGAACTCATCCGAGCTTTCAACTAGATAAGCATCCTGACCAAGTTTGATGATGATTGAGGCAAAAATGTGACCGCTAGAGTGTTCACAAGCAATTGTGGACGGCCGGACGGACGACGGACATTCACCGATCCTAAAAGCTCACCCTGAGCAAGCTCAGGTGAGCTAAAAATTGTGGATAATAAAATCTTTAGAAAGTAACAATATTAGCACATAAATACATGAAATCATTTATAGATAACAAAATTTGTAAAACAATCATCTTTAAATTCAGTTAACAGTAATGTGCAGTGTTATTGACAAATTTTACAGTATTTGTATAGTAGATCGATGCAATAAATTCCAAACTGGACAAGGCTGTAATATTCCTATGATTTTCTTATCATGCTCTGAATTCTTGTGTGCTTTTTCTCCCTAAATCCTATTGAAAATTTATAGTATAGAATTGTCCATCTTGTATTATTTTTGGAAAAATGCAACTATGTTAGTGATACCCAGATGAAAATTTAAAGTTATTTTAGCTTAATGTTTACTCCCTAGTCAAACAGCATGGATGTGTCGACTGGTGCGAGTCTGTAGTGGTAGTAAAATCAGAACAACTTCTAACTTTCTTCCATATTAAACAAGAGCTGTCCGTAAGACAGCGCGCTCGACTTTTTTATTGCTTGCCAATAAAAAAAGTTTTTGCAGTAAAAGGCAATACAAGAATCTCTGTATTTTTAAAGTGAACAATGGCCATGAGCATTAAGGGCCATAATTCAAATAAAATCTTTGACAGAATTACCTTCTCCTGGACATGTTTGGGAATCATGATTGTAAACAAGTATTCCAACTTTCAAATTAATATCTCAAACAGTTCAGTCAAAAAGTGGACTGGTACTAAAAACTTAACCAAGATTCTAAGTCGATAAAAGGCCTTAATTTTTAAAACAAATCCTTGACAGAGTTACCTTCTCTTGCGTACAGATGGGGGTAATGATGTGAAATAGCATTAAAAGTTTCAAAGCAATATCTCAAAGGGTTAAGGCAATAAGTGGATTTTACCCATATTCAATGTATTTTCTAAGTCAAAAAGGGGCATAATTCTGTCAAAAACCTTGACAGAGTTATGTCCTCTTGTCTGTTGATGAAGGTCGTGATGGTAAACAAGTATGGTCAGTTTCAAAGCAATACCTCCAATGGTTTTGAAATAAAGTGAGGTGGTACAAAAAACTTAACCAAGCTCAATACACTTTCTAAGTCAAAAAAGGGCCATAATTCTGTCAAAAACCTTGACAGAGTTATGTACTCTTGTCTGTAGATGGAGGTTATGATGGTGAACAAGTATGGTAAGTTTCAAAGCCATACTTGTAATACTTCTGAAATAAAGTGGGGTGGTACGAAAAACTTAACCAAGGTGTGACGCCGACGCCGACGCCGGGGCGAGTAGGATAGCTCCCCTTTGCATAGAAAAGTCGAGCTAAAAACTAAATCATTCAACTTCCATTGGTATAAGTATTGTATAGATTCAACAACAAAACGTGTATCATTCAACACTGAATGAATAGCTTTAAGATTTAATTTAAATGCTGATACAGCAAAAAAAATGATATATCATACTTTCACCTAAGTTCTTTATTATGCTGTGAAAACAAAAATATAAAACACAGTATCACCTTTAATTAAATCTACAAATAAAATCAACAATAAATACTGCATTCAAAATTTAAACAACAAAACACTTATCTTGGGTCATGATAAAGATAATGCTTATTCAACTTTTTCCACTAACAAATACAGCTGTTGTATAACAAACATGTTTATAGTCTCCTTCCTTTAAAGCTAAAAATCTAAGAATCCTTTTTGTTTGGAAAGCTAACCCCTTTTAACAAAGCCATCACTCCTTCCCTTCCTTGTATTGCAGACAAATATCTTGTCAATTCACTTGCTTATAATCAACTTCCTGTTTTAAAATATTTAAATTTTACACAGCTAAATTTATACAATGGAAATAAGAAGTGTTGGGGGAGACCGAAAATAGGAGCCTGTATTTCAGTACCCAACAGTAGAGTTTAGTCAAACCTTACAGATAAACAGTTTCAAAACTTGGCTTGTGACTTTTAACAATTATAATTCATAACATGCAAAGGAAATGAGGGGTCACCCCGGGTGGTGACTGACCAAACATTTCTTAAATCTTAAATTTTTACTTAATAAACACTTGCTTAGTATCTGGAGATATTAACTAAATGTTTAATGTGGGGGTGTAGCTTGGATTTATGTTGACAGATGATCAATATATGAACATGTCAGGATAAACCTTGACATGACTGTTTCAAACATTGATGCATGTTTAATGCATCATTCAAATTTGATAATCAGATATAGTTTAATCATGACAGGCAACAACAATGCACCTTTTATTTATTTGTGTGGTATAAACTCAAAGAGTTTTCTTACTTAATGATTTAATATACATAATGATAAACAATTCACTAAATATTTGCATTGTGTGGGATTGTTTTTTCCTAAACAGTTAACCGGAATTAAACATTTAAACATAATATGCAAGACTGTTTCAACGTTTTGTGTATCTACAATGAAAGTAGCAATATTTCTTAAAAACAAGCCTTTTATATAATCCAGACTTATTCATTTATATACAGAGCAACCCTTGCAAAACAGCCATCTATAAAGCAATAACCTGCTTACAACAATGCCTCACACAAGAGCACATCAAAGTGATTTTCACCTCTCTACAGCATCACTCTGTAAACAACCAAATTCTTTAACCACCACAAGGGTATTGCTCTGCACAGGTTGTACTCTGTATTCAATAAATCATTTCATTAAGGTTATAAGAAATAAATATCCAATGTATCACATGTACCGGGGTTTCAGTCGACTTCCCACAACACTGTCGATTTAACCAAACTATTCACATCTGTCTATGCTATATAACTATACTCATCCGTGGAGTTTTGAGTCCGTTCTAGATACTGTTTATCTATAAGAGCTTCTATACACTTTTTAATCATAGCTATATTTGGTGCAAACCTAGCTTTCGCCTGACTTATTACCTACAAAAGAAGAAGAGAATATATTATACCTAATTTATTGGATATCCAATTATGACAACAGTTACACAAACAAAATTTTGAAGCACAATGTGCAATAAGACCTGTGACCAAATATTTTAAATGAGCAGCCAAAAGTGAACAGTCTGGGCAAACAACACAGATGAACAGATTGGGATGGTCATATTCTGATGACATAAGTAATATTATAGCCTTATTGTTACTACTGGAAAGAATAAATAGTTCAGCTGAAGAACCAGGGGACACAACTCTCAATCTAGCAGTGTTACCTCCCATTTAATACAGCTAAGGAATCCACAAAATACCAATTCATGCATGAAGAAAATGTAATTTTGATTTTAAAGAAAAACCTGAAACATCTATTTCTCTAATTAGTAATATAATAATATAGAGTTAACAAGATACTGGAAAATGCTTTTTTTATCTACACAAAAAAAACTATTAGATCATATGTTCTCAATGAGTAGCACTTGGCAATTACACAACAAACCCTTGAATAATTAAGTTTTTTTTAAAAATTAGAAAAATAAGATACCTCTTGAATTAGTAAATTATGTTTCAAAATCTTCCTAGCTTTCATAATTCTAACTATAGCTGCTTGAATGTACATCTTTCTATCTTCGTCCACTGCACTTCGTGTTTGTTCAAGTTCCTGTAACAACAACAAATTCTAAAACTCCTATCCCTTTCACAGCTAAATCTACAGTAAATATGTATAATTGACTAGTCCAGATTTGAATTTAAAACAATTCATCTACCTGTCCATTGTTAAGGGAATTTATATAATGGACTTGCCCTGACTTGTTTTTCAAACCGTCAATTGAGAGATTTTATATCCTTTCCAGGACCAACCCTCTTTTTCGGACGGTAACATTTTAAATCAGGCACATTCTTTCAAGCCCTAAAGGCGGGGTCTTAATTAATGAAGGAAACCTGAAACGTAATAAAACGTGTGGTTTTTTGTCTGTAACGGAAATCAGCGTAAAATGATTTAGTAAAGTCTTATAAAGCGTAATTTCTGATGAATCTACTTTCTTGCGAATGAGGAATATACTGTATTTAAACGATTTGGTTTTCTATCATTAATATTGAAGACACTGTCAGTTTACGTTAAGGGGATAGGTGTTTGTTTGCTGTGAAATAAAAATCTCAAATAATTATTATTGCACATTTTGATGAAAATACATTTTAGTACGTTAAGGGTCATTATGCGGTATAGGTAAATATGATATCCACTACCTGTCAAACAGTAAATGAGAAGTAACCTTTAAATGACTGAAACGTAGAATTCTGTAAAAATGATTAATCTAATTAGCAATAATTAATCATCTTGTCTTTAGAAAAATGTAAATAAGTTACTGTCACGGAAAGGATATAAAAATTTAACTAGAACTGTGTCCCAAGGACACGGATGCCCCCACCAACAACATATATATGGTATATAGTGAAAAAATTAACAAAGGGCCATAATTCTGTTAAATTTGGTCTCAGCGAAAATTCCTTCCATTACTACCATCTACACATTAAGGTTGTTCATCCCTGGAAGTTTAAGCAAAATCTGCCATCCGGTTTAAGAGGAATTGCGTTCACAAAATTTCTATATGGTATATATTGAAAAAATCAACAAAGGGCCATAATTCTATTAAATTTGGTCGCAGCAAAATTTCCATCCTTTGCTACCATCTACACAATAAGGTTGTTCATCCCTAGGAGTTTAAGCAAAATCTGCCATCCGGTTTAAGAGGAGTTGCGTTCACAAAATTTCCACATAGTATATAGTGAAAAGGTCAACAAAGGGCCATAATTTTGTTAAATTTGGTCGCAGCAAAAATTCCTTCCTTTGCTGCCATCTACACATTAAGGTTGTTCATCCCTGGAAGTTTAAGCAAAATCTGCCATCCGGTTTAAGAGGAGTTTTCACAAAATTTCTACATAGTATATAGTGAAAAAGTCAACAAAGGGCCATAATTAGGGATTAAACGATGATCGAGTATAATCGAAAATTGATCGTTTAAAGGACCGATCGGCGATGATCGATTACAAGGTTTAATAATCGATCATCGGTAATTTATTTTTTTGCTGTTACCTAAGTGACTCACTGTATTATAACAACACTCTAAATTAAAGCCAGCTTTGGTTGAAAAAATAATTTGCATTCAATTGAATATGAAAGCATACTGGTGACCATGGTGTTAATAGTTTACAGTGAAAGATATACTATGCTCAAATTTGACATTAGAAAATATTTAGAATTGCTACACAGTCTATTTGTAAATATAAAATAAACATGTTTTGACTTCACACAAAGAAGATATGTTATGTATAAAATCATTTTACACACTAAAGGTAGTTACAATATCAATATACAGTCGAAACTGTACTAACGGTCACCTCTTATCGGCGGTCACCTGACCTTAACGACCATTTTGTGACGCTCCCAACAAAAATCACTCTATTTTATACATCTGTTCAACGGCCACCTGCTGTCCGCGGTCAACGGTCACCTAAAATGCTTCCCGAATCTTAAAGTCGGTCATCTTAAGCGGTCAGCCAGGTGAAACGGCCAGGCAATCTTCTGCGGTCAGCCAGGTGAAACGGCCAGGCAATCTTCTGTCATTTATTTTCAAAGATGACACGTGTCACGGATTAACAAAAGCTACTTGTCAGGTGCTAGATATCAACACAAACCACAACATTTCAAGAAGTTTGCATAATTGCTCATCCGTGTCGTAATTACAAACGTTTGGAACGTCTCAACGCACTTGCAATTCATTCTTTTGAGTTACTGTACGCTAGTTTTTTATTTTTCAATTTACCGATTTTAAGAAAAAAAGAAAGAAGAAAAATGCATTGTCAATGGCAGAGAAATTTCAGTTTATCCCGATTCAGATAAATTTTGTGCGTACATGGTACTTACCAAAGAAATGAAAATGAATTACATCGCCGATTGTCTAAATTCCTCAGTAATAAAATCATAACAAGAGGGCCATGATGGCCCTGAGGTCGCTCACCTGTATAGAGGCCCCCCCCCAAACGTTGCAGGGCCAATTTTACCAAAGGGCTTTTATTTGCACAAACTTGGTAGACACCCATAAGAAGATGTTTCATGCTTAACATCTAAGCTCTAGCTCATTGGGCTATTTAAAATAAGATTTTTTTTAAGTTTTTACTATACACATATAGTTAAAAACAATGACACCCCTGGGGCCGGGCCAGTTATGACCCCAGGGTTTTTATTTGAACAAACTCTGTAGACACTTACTAGAATATGTCTCATGATTAATATCTAAACTCTAGCTATTTGGGTTTTTTCAAAGAAGATTTTAAGTTTTTGCTATACACATATAAGGAAAATCAATGACCCCGGGGCGGGGCCAATTTTGACCCCAGGTCTTTTATTTGAACAAACTTTGTAGACACTCACTAAAAGATGTTTCATGCTTAATATCTTAACTCTAGCTATTTGGGTTTTTTCAAAAAAAGATTTTTTAAGTTTTTGCTATACACATATAAGGAAAATCAATGACCCCCGGGGCGGGGCCAATTTTGACCCCCGGGCTTTTATTTGAACAAACTTGGTAGACACCTATTAGAACATGTTTGATGCTAAATATCTTAACCATAGCTCTTTGAGTTCTTTAAAAGAAGATTTTTTAAGTTTTTACTATATGCATATATAGGGAAAATCAATGACCCCCCGGGGCGGGGTCAATTTTGACCCAAGGGCTTTTATTTGAACAAACTTGGTAGACACTTATTAGAACATGTTTAATGCTAAATATCTTAGCTCTAACTCTTTTGGTTCTTTAAAAGAAGATTTTTTAAGTTTTTACTATATGCATATAGGGAAAATCAATGACCCCCTGGGGCGGGGCCAATTTTGACCCCAGGGCTTTTCTTTGAACAAACTTTGTATACACCTATTAGAACATGTTTGATGCTCAATATCTTAGCCATAGCTCTTTGAGTTCTTTAAAAGAAGATTTTTTAAGTTTTTACTATATGCATATAGGGAAAATCAATGACCCCCCGGGGCGGGGCCAATTTTGACCCCAGGGCTTTTATTTGAACAAACTTGGTAGACACTCACTAGAAGATGTTTCATGCCAAATATCTAAGCTCTAGCTCTTATGGTTTTTTTTTAAAGAAGATATTTAAAGTTTTTTCTTTCGGTTGCCATGGCAACCAGAGTTCTGCATGGAATTAAATTCTTTGAACAATTTTTAAAGGTGACCACCAAAGGAACATTCCTGTGAAGTTTGGATGAAATTGGCCTTGTGGTTTATGAGGAGATGTCATTTAAAGTAAAAGTTTACGGACGACGGACGGACGACGGACGCCGGACGAAAAGCGATCACAAAAGCTCACGCTGTCACTATGTGACAGGTGAGCTAAAAACACTTGCTCCATGTGTGAAAATAAAATTGCATGAATATAATGAGGTCACTGTTAAATCACACCCATTAAGTTTACACACTAGATGACCTCTAAGAGGTAACTAGCGGTCTCTTCAAAGGAATCTTTGATGTTTACAAACCTGTAGCCCTGCTGTTTCAATCCGAAACATCAAAGGAAGTGCCGACACTTAGATGACGTGTACACAATATTCTATTGATCAAAAGTTAGAAAAAGAAACTGTCATACTTTTTTTGTGAAAAAAATATTACGCATTTTAAATTATTGTGCAAGAAGATATTTTTATGGGATAAATAGTTTCAATTATTGACATAATAAATCGTGAGTGCATTTGTTTATCTGTGTTACATTCATGTAAAGCTTTATATGTTGGAAGGATTGTGTACATGTTAAACCATTAAAAGCATTGTAAATGGTTAAAAACTGATGATGATGATGAATCAGACTGGTTTATTTATACTTAAATCAGATTTATTTTACAAAGAAATGAATAATTTATTTGGATAAAAACTGGATCCTCCATTCAGCAGCCACCTGTCTTAAGCAGCCAAAATGACTGCATCCCTTGGCTGGCTGCTTAAGACAGTTTCGACTGTATAGTGTCATTAAAAAAATACCTGACAGTTTTGAAAGAACCAACTTAACTTGTTCCCATGCATAGTTTATTCATTCCTTTATTGAAATTGAGACAGAATATTTTTATAGATTTTAATGAATTTATTTGATTAAAATATTTTACTCAAGGATGAGCATAGTATATCTGTAAACTAGTTTATTTCAGTTGATAAAGTTGTAGTTACACAAAATATAGAATATTAATGGAATTCTAATAAATAGTAAAGCATGATATGTACATTGTACATATTAACTTTGTTATTGTAAATATTTCGATTATATAATCGATGATTGATCGAAAAGGGTTGTTCGATTATTTTCGATGATCGATTATGATTTTTGTCCGATTAAGAAACCCTAGCCATAATTCTGTTAAATTTGGTCACAGCAAAAATTCCTTCCTTTGCTGCCATCTACACATTAAGGTTGTTCATCCCTGGAAGTTTAAGCAAAATCTGCCATCCGGTTTAAGAGGAGTTGCGTTCACAAGATTTCGGGACGTATGGACAGACGAACGGACGGATGGACGGACGGACGGAGAAGTGCATAAAAATTAGGCAACCAACATCATCCCCAAGGTGTGAATGTCACGGTCAAGTCATACTAAGTTACAAGAATGACTGATTGACCGGTTGTGTCTAACTTGGGAGGGTTGTGGTCCTGCAAAGTTGCCAAGCATAAATAAACCAAAAAACACACAACAACCAACTAACATAGACTTAGGTCAGACTGCATGATTGTTATCACCACAATCATAATTTGTACAGCATAATCAGCAAACGCCTTTGATAATGAATCAACTGTAAATATCTGATAATTAACATGCTTATATAGTTATATTCTATCAAATCTCTGTAGAAAATTTTATCAATACCAGGAGCTACAGAACTAATTTCTATCTTTATTGTGGCATATTATAGATCTATAGCAGGCAGTACTCACTTCTAGAACCATACAGCTATAAACTTTTACTACAGAGGTTTCAAACCAAAGCAACACAAATTTTCAATATTACTGTTGACCACAATTCTGAATATCTTAAAACTTGTTCAATAGAATTGACTGTAAATTTAGTTTCGCATAATAAAATAAATGAGCCGCGTCATGACAAAACCAACATAATGGGTTTGCGAACAGCATGGATCCAGACCAGCCTGCGCATCCATGCAGTCTGATCAGGATCCATGCCGGTCGCAAACGCATTATGTTGGTTTTTTCATTGCGCGGCTCAAATATATTTTACCTGTGGGGTCTCCTTCTGTATAGCAGCTGTTATCTTGAATTTTGTTCTTTTATTTGCATAAGCCATATTCAATGTAAACACAGATTCTGTTGACACTGTGCCCTGTAAATACAACCATTTTCTTACATAAATTGTTGTTTTTGTTAATTTAGAAGTCAATGATAAGATCACATTGCAACTTTTCAGCTTACCAGTGGAGAAAGACCAAACTTAAGAATCTCCACATATTTCATGGATGAGAAAACAATACAGCTAAAATCTTCAGCTAACTAGTTATGACCCAAAGTTCCCACTTGTATTATTTCACAACATGGGGGGAATACATACTTAATTAGCTACAAAGAAATGGTTATTATGAATATCATATGTCTGAATCCTATGATAGAATAATAGAATCTATCATTGGGTTAGATAGAGGATAGGGAAATCCCAACCCGAGGGTGATCGGTTCCTTTGGAACGAGCCTTGGCGAGGATTGCCCGAGGATCAGACTGCGCGGATGCGCAGGCTGGTCTGCTGGATCCATGCTGGTCGCAAACCCATTATGTTGGTTTTGTCGTGACGCGGCTCATTTCATGTCTTTTACTACTCATGAATAATGCATATATTTCATTTTAAAATGAACTTTTTAAAACATTCCATCCTAAGTGTACTATAGTGGAAATGTATAATATAAATTCTTTCTAGTGAGATATTTTCGATATTACAATTAACAAATATCTGCTATGTATTGTATCATTTACCTCAACACACAGTAGTTTAGCATCTACCAGTGACTGTACTTGTTTTGTCATCTCTTTATCACTGAGTTTTGTGTGCCTGGTTACTTCCTGGTAACTTACAGACTCTGATTCGTTAAACATTAACAAGATTGCCATCTGAAAACTTCCCATAGTTACTATGTATGGCTTCTTCAGAAAGTTCAACTTTAGTTCCGCTGTAAAAAAATGAAAGTATATATAGTTAAATACAGATAAACTTCCTTTGAAAAATGAAAGTTTAGAAAGATTTTTTTTATCATGGAATTCAGGGAATTAAATTTTAAACCCCTTGAAAAACAAGAGGGCCATGATGGCCCTGAGGTCGCTCACCTGTATATAGGCCCCCCCCAACCCCCCCCCCCCCAACGTTGCAGAGCCAATTTAACCCAACGGCTTTTATTTGCACAAACTTGGTAGACACCCATAAGAAGAATGTTTTCATGCTAACCATTTAAGCTCTAGCTCATTGGGCTTTTTAAAAGAAGATTTTTTTTAAGTTTTTACTATACACATATAGTTAAAAACAATGACACCCTGGGGCCGGGCCAGTTTTGACCCAGGGCTTTTATTTGAACAAACTTTGTAGACACTTACTAGAAGATGTTTCATGCTTAATATCTAAACTCTAGCTATTTGAGTTTTTTTCAAAGAAGATTTAAAGTTTTTGCTAAACACATATAAAGAAAATCAATGACCCCCGGGGCGGGGCCAATTTTGACCCCTGGGCTTGTATTTGAACAAACTTGGTAGACAACCTATTAGAACATGTTTGATGCTCAATATCTTAGCCATAGATCTTTGAGTTTCTTTAAAAGAAGATTTTTTAAGTTTTTACTATATGCATATAGGGAAAATCAATGACCCCCGGGCGGGGCCAATTTTCACCCCAGGGCATTTATTTGAACAAACTTGGTAGACACCCATTAGAACATGTTTTCATGCTAAATATCTTAGCTCTAGCTCTTTGGGTTCTTTAAAAGAAGATTTTTTAAGTTTTTACTATATGCATATAGGGAAAATCAATGACCCCCCGGGGCGGGGCCAATTTTGACCCCAGGGCTTTTATTTGAACAAACTTGGTAGACACACACAAGAAGATGTTTCATGCCAAATATCTAAGCTCTAGCTCTTTGAGTTCTTTAAAAGAAGATTTTTAAGTTTTTACTATATGCATATAGGGAAAATCAATGACCCCCGGGGCGGGGCCAATTTTCACCCCAGGGCTTTTATTTGAAACAAACTTGGTAGACACCCATTAGAACATGTTTCATGCTAAATATCTTAGCTCTAGCTCTTTGGTTCTTTAAAAGAAGATTTTTAAGTTTTACTATATGCATATAGGGAAAATCAATGACCCCCCGGGGCGGGGCCAATTTTGACCCCAGGGCTTTTATTTGAACAAACTTGGTAGACACACACTAGAAGATGTTTCATGCCAAATATCTAAGCTCTAGCTCTTTGAGTTCTTTAAAAGAAGATTTTTTAAGTTTTTACTATATGCATATAGGGAAAATCAATGACCCCCGGGGCGGGGCCAATTTTCACCCCAGGGCTTTTATTTGAACAAACTTGGTAGACACCCATTAGAACATGTTTCATGCTAAATATCTTAGCTCTAGCTCTTTGGGTTCTTTAAAAGAAGATTTTTTAAGTTTTTACTATATGCATATAGGGAAAATCAATGACCCCCCGGGGCGGGGCCAATTTTGACCCCAGGGCTTTTATTTGAACAAACTTCGTAGACACTCACTAGAAGATGTTTCATGCCAAATATCTAAGCTCTAGCTCTTATGGTTTTTTAAAAGAAGATATTTAAAGTTTTTTCTTTCGGTTGCCATGGCAACCAGAGTTTTGCATGGAATTAAATTCTTTGAACAATTTTTAAAGGTGACCACCAAAGGAACATTCCTGTGAAGTTTGGATGAAATTGGCTTAGTGGTTTATGAGGAGATGTCATTTAAAGTAAAAGTTTACGGACGGACGGACGACGGACGGACGACGGACGGACGACGGACGGACGGACGCCGGACGAAAAGCGATCACAAAAGCTCACCCTGTCACTTTGTGACAGGTGAGCTAAAAACTAAATGACTGATCTCAATATTTCATAGTCAATTTCCACTTACACTGTGAATATTTTTTTTGGGGGGTTAATCAATAAAATTCAACTTTCAAGTTTAATCCCTAACATTTTATACTGCTTTCACAAAGTCAATGCATTAACATTGTCACCATTAGATTAATTAGCCTGTATCCTACCTTGCTATAATAAGTATAATAAAATGTCCTACTTAGTATTTGAAACTGTGTAACTTTACACTGAGAGACACCAAGAATAAGGAAATTGAGCAAACAACAGTTATAACACTAGTTAATTTTAGGAATTGAGTGCATTGTTATAGAATAATGCACGTTTCAAGTGAAAATGTGTAGGAATATAATCCTGAAGGTTGATAAGCCTCAGTGATTAATTACCAAGCATTTGAACAATAAACAGTACATTATTATTCTATAATGCAAGAAAAATTAATATCTATTTCTATTCTAACATGCTAACAAAAAGAGAATCGATAAAAAATACATTGAACTATATTGGGCGTAGAAGTAATTTTACTGATGTCATTTGTTTTATTGACGTCATATGAAGCATAAAGCATTTGGTTTTTTAATGTTGTGCATATTTCGTGTAATAATGCACTTGATTGCTCTATGTGTTTAATAGGGGAATAATGAGGAGCATGTTAGAATGAAAATGATTGTAGGTTAGCCTGACTTCCTACTGGTTGTAAAGACAGATCATTATCACTGACAGCAGGCTAAGAGATATGTTATACCTGTACATAGAGTATGCATCCATGTTAGTTTTCTACCACTGTATTTCTTGTTGTAAAATTTTTCAAACTGAAAAAAAAAAAGATTATGCATTTTGCAATGAGATACTAGTAATCAAATTTTTTCAGTCATGTTTATAAATGGTTATAAAACAATTCAGGATGGTTCTATAACAAAATATAAACATACATAAGCTATCTTAAACCCAAAGCCAAAATGGGCAAGTGGTTTGAAGTCAACGGCCTTATGCAAGTAAGTGACAAGACATAATTACAAAACAAGGTCTTCTGCCAATATTACATAATGTGAACCAGTATGTGAGAAAGAACAACAAATATCTGTCATTCTACCCGAATTAATTAAAAACAATAACCCTGATAATTTGCGCCAAGGCACTTAGGGACTATAGTTCTGTGAAATTTTAGAAAAATCTCTTGACATTTGTAACTGTAAGCAGCTGCCCTTGCTTTGAATAACAAGATTTTTCCATCAGAAAAACTTGTCAATAAAAAGGTGTATATCTTTTTTACTTTCCTTTTTTTTATTTTCCATTACTAAGGGTTGATGGCATCAATTTCAACACTTTACAATGTTATTTTATCACAAAAAAGAATATATCATACTATCAAAATTGTCAGAATAAACAATATTTGATATATTTCAGCTTACCCTTGTTATCAAAACATAATACCCAGTTTGTATGCATACTGTAGAGACAATTTTCAAACATACGGTCTTACTTTGATGCACTTTTTATTACATGACAAGACTTATCAATATAATTACAATATACCTACTTCGCTAACACTTTTCTCCAGTTCCTGAGGTATTGCAAATGTTGGAAGATTACTCTGTCCTAGAGGCCAGGCTCCAGCCTAAATGTATTGTCAAATAAATTATGCACACAATAATTATGTGATTAATGATATGGAAATTTTGTAGATTACCTTATTGTATAATCAGTTATTAAAAGGGTAAAGTCAAGAAATGTAAGTCATTTAATACAAGTATATCATACTTAAAAGTGATAAATTTAATATTTACACTAGGTCTAAATACATTTAAAAATATCTTTAGATTCTCGATTTGTACTCCCTCATTTCAACCAAGCTTTATTTTCACAAAGGTTTGAAAGAAATTGCACTATGTGTGTGTTTTTAAAATATCAAAAGAAATGTTAATTTCTTGGTGAAACATAAACTTTAATCAGAAAAAAATAAGAATAAGTATATTCCATGCATTATTTTTTACACTAAAATATAAATCATTATCACTGATAAAGAAAACAAATATGTTCTATACATAACCTGTAACACTAGAATAGAGAAGTTAAGACCAAGATCAGTGGGACCATCCTTCAGGCTTGAGTTGAAATCATCCTGTAATCCACTACTTACTGTCATGTCAGTAAACATACGATGTAGCTTGTTTGTGAACTCATAACCGCAGGCTTGCTGCAAATACACAATGCAATATGGTAGATATTACCATGGGCTTGAGCTATATATACAATACAATATGGTTAATATAACAACAGGCTTGCTGCAAATATACAATACAATATGGTTGATATAACAACAGGCTTGCTGCAAATATATACAATACAATATGGTTGATATTACCACAGGCTTGCTGCATATGTGTAATATGATTTGGTTAATATAACCACAGGCTTTCATGATACCAATATTTTTATCAAATGCGTTCACAATATCAATATTCTAACCACAGACTTTCATGATATCAATATTCTAACCACAGGCTTTCATGATATCAATATTCTAACCACAGGCTTTCATGATATCAATATTCTACCCACAGGCTTTCATGATATCAATATTCTAACCACAGGTTTTCATGATATCAATATTCTAACCACAGGCTTTCATGATATCAATATTCTAACCACAGGCTTTCATGATATCAATATTCTACCCACAGGCTTTCATGATATCAATATTCTAACCACAGGCTTTCATGATACCAATATTTTTATCAAATGCGTTCACAATATCAATATTCTAACCACAGACTTTCATGATATCAATATTCTAACCACAGGCTTTCATGATATCAATATTCTAACCACAGGCTTTCATGATATCAATATTCTACCCACAGGCTTTCATGATATCAATATTCTAACCACAGGTTTTCATGATATCAATATTCTAACCACAGGCTTTCATGATATCAATATTCTAACCACAGGCTTTCATGATATCAATATTCTACCCACAGGCTTTCATGATATCAATATTCTAATCACACACTTTCACAATACCAAAGGTTTCATGATATCAATATTCTAACCACAGGTTTTCATGATATCAATATTCTAACCACAGGCTTTCATGATATCAATATTCTAACCACAGGCTTTCATGATATCAATATTCTACCCACATGCTTTCATGATATCAATATTTTAATCACACACTTTCACAATACCACAGGTTTCATGATATCAATATTCTAACCACAGGCTTTCATGATATCAATATTCTAACTACAGGCTTTCATGATACCAATATTTGAATACCTCCCTTCACCCAAACTTGATACTGACAAAATCATATAATATATTTTGTTTAACCTCAAATCTCTCGAACACTGATCCCTCAAACTCTCCAAAATCAGTGAAAATATATATAAAAGAAACCTAACTGATGTAAGTTTTACAAACCTTCAGTTTATTTATCATCATCTCTTCAGCATCCATAGAAGCAGTTTGACCATGTATTAGTCTCTTTGCCAACATTCTAGAATAATGCTGAAATATAAATCATTCAATAATGAAATAATATTACCAGGATGTTTATACATATTCCAATATGTTGATCCTTTTTTAATGAAACTAATGAATTATGCTTTTTTTTTCCATGTATTTTTTTTTATTTTGCTAGATCTATGTTCAACTGATACTGTGAACTGACACTCATTTGGGTAAACTCCTAAAAATAGTGTTTTTTTTCTTCATTTTTTTGTTTAATGAAAACAATGCAAACAGTACAATGATTCTTATGACTAGAAGTATCCACTGTTCTTTTACATGCATAAATTTAAAGCAGAAACACAAGAGACTTCTATAAACACAATTAGTAATTCTAGATGAATCATCACTATATCAAACTTGCAAGAACTGGATTTATATTAACAAGAGCCACCGCCGGGCGGGGGCAACGCTCGACTTTTTACTTTTTCTAAACGCAAACATAGAAAGGTTTGAACATATATTAACGTTTCCTTTTTATAAATTTAGTTGGTCTGTCTTGTCACATTAGTTTTCTTTATATATTTTGTATATATATGAATAGAAACATTAAGCATATTTCTAAAAATAGCAACAGTACGCAATTTCTTAAAATAGCAAAAGACGCAATTTCTAAAAATAGAAAAAATGACGCAATTTCTAAAAATACAAAAAAATGACATAATTTCTAAAAATAAAAAAGTGACACAATTTCTAAAAATAGCAACAATGATGCAATTTCTAAAAATAGAAAAATTGACGCAATTTCTAAAAATAGAAAAAAGACGCAATTTCTAAAAATAGCAACAATGACGCAATTTCTAAAAATAGAAAAAATGACGCAAATTCTAAAAATAGCAACAATGACTCAATTTCTAAAAATAGAAAAAAATGACGCAATTTCTAAAAATAGCAACAAATTCTAAAAATAGCAACAATGACGCAATTTCTAAAAATAGAAAAAATGACGCAATTTCTAAAAATAGAAAAAATGACGCAATTTCTAAAAATAGCAACAATGACGCAATTTCTTAAAATAGAAAAAATGACGCAATTTCTAAAAATAGCAACAAATTCTAAAAATAGAAAAAATGACGCAATTTCTAAAAATAGCAACAATGACGCAATTTCTAAAAATAGAAAAAATGACGCAATTTCTAAAAATAGAAAAAAAAATGACGCAATTTCTAAAAATAAAAAAAATGACGCAATTTCTAAAAATAGCAACAAATTCTAAAAATAGCAACACAATAACGCAATTTCTAAAAATAGAAAAAAAAATGACGCAAATTCTAAAAATAGAGAAAATGACGCAATTTCTAAAAATAGCAACAATGACGCAATTTCTAAAAATAGAAAAAAAATGACGCAATTTCTAAAAATAGAAAAAAATGATGCAATTTCTAAAAATAGAAAAAATGACGCAATTTCTAAAAATAGAAAAAATGATGCAATTTCTATCTGTGTATATATATATATATACATGCATATATATATATATATATGTATATATATATATATATATATATATATATATATATATATATATATATATATATACGCAATTTCTAAAAATAGAAAAAAATGACGCAATTTCTAAAAATAGAAAAAAATGATGCAATTTCTAAAAATAGAAAAAATGACGCAATTTATATATATATATATATATATATGTATATATATATATATATATATATGTATATATATGTGTATATATATATGTATATATATTTGATATAATATATATATATATATATATATATATATATATATATATATATATATATATGTATATATATATATATATATACACACACACACACACACATTTATATATATATATATAAAATACATATACTATACATACACACACACCAATAAATGCACAATCTGAGAAAATTCAGTAATATAACCTTCAAGGTCAAGGTCATTTAAGAGCCCAAGCAAATTTGGGTTTGATAAACAACAAGGTCTGGTCCTTAAGAATGTTCTGTTATAATATGAAGTTAAAAATAGCAAAGTTACAGTCAGTTACCGCCAAAACAATGAAAATTTCAATAATTTGACCTTTAAAGACAATGTCATTAATGAGTGAAGGTCAAGGTCTTTCTGTATATTTTTAACAGTTATCTTTGAAGATTATTATGTTCAAGTTTGAAGACAATCCATTCAAAAATAACAAAGTTACAGCCAATAATAGCCAAAAAAATGAAAATTTCAATAATTTGACCTTCAAAGTCAAGGTCATTGATGAGTGAATGTCAAGGTCTGACTGGTTATTTTTAAGGGATATCCTTGAAAATTATTATGTTCAAGTTTGAAGACAATCCATTCAAAAATAACAAAGTTACAGCCAATAACAGCATGAACAAGCAAAAATTGGACTTTTAACCTTGAAGGTCAAGGTCATTTATGGATGAAGGTCAAGGTTAGTGTGGTCTACTGAAAGGTCTTGTCCCAAGGGTTGTTGTGGCCAAGTATGAAGACAATACACCAAGAAATAAAAAAGTTATGATCCAGGTACAAGTTTTCGGACGGCAAAGGCAACGGCAACGGCAACGGCAACGGCAACGCCGACCTGACTATAACAATACCTCTACTTTTTTTTTCAAAAAAAAAAAAGTCGAGCTAAAAAAATTACCCATAAACCAAACCGTGTTTTTTTTACATGGCTGCAAGGTGATTAAACAACTTAAGTTACTAACCCTCTGATAGACGTCTTTATCATCGAGATATTTGAACACAGTTATACAGCTCCCTAGCTTGTCATCTAACTCTGTCTCTGATGAACCTTTTGAGCTTTTCTTCAATAAATTATCACAGTATTTTGCAAGCTGAAAGAAACATTAGTCAACAAAATTAACACAAGAGAGAGGCTGTGTCAATCATTTTGCTTAAAACAAATATTTAAAGAAATGGTTATGCAATGCCATGTATAACCTTAAACATGCACAACTTGTGTGATGGATTTACCTTGTTTTGAAATTAAAACAGTCCATTCAAAGTTTACCATCCGGTCTCACTGTGTGAATGAGTCCTAGTGAATGTGACCTAGCTCTATAAAGTCCAGTCACACAAGGTGGATGTACCAGTCGACCTAGCCCAATAGAGTCCAGTCACAATTCATGGATATCATAGGTAACCTGGCTCTATACAGAGTTTCAACTCAAACAACATTTGAGTTTCCTTTAATATGCTGGAACCAAAACAGATTAACCTTTACCACCAGAATAGAGCCAAAGCAGCTTGCAGTCTGACCAGACTCTCTACCTATCTAAATTCTTTTACTTTGATATTGAAATCCCTTAACTTTTGAAAAGACTGTCTGAAATTAAAAGCAGGACAACTCAATAAATTCAGTAGATAAAATTAAGGAATTACTTGTAGCATAAGAGTAAAACAATTTATCAAAACTACAAAAACTGTCGGCAATAAAATTCAATAAAACTTGGCAAAATGGGTTACACATACCAGTTCAGGTGATCTGCAGGGCATTTTGGGATTGGATTTATAATTAATAGCTGTTGCACATGCCTGAAATAATATATACAAAATATGAAAAATATAAATGTCAAGATATCAGAGGTAGCATGATTAAAAGGAACACCATTAAACTTATAAACATCTGCTTTTTTTACACTTTTAAATGAAATTGTCTCTGAATTTATCAAATGGTAATACATATAATGGTATACATCTTTTATGATACAACAAAGTTCGGGAAAAAATCACTTTTGAAGTAGGAGCACTAATGTCAGTGTTGACTGATTACTTTGTTTATTACATCCCTGAAGAGTAATAAGCTTGATATCTTATAACTACAGTCACTCAAATAGTGACTTTATAATCAAATTATTTATTTATACATTATTTACAGTAGTACTGACCTTATCAAGAGCGCCCACAAACTGTTGGTCATTTCTGAACACTTTTTTGATAAGTTCTGTATACTTCTGATGTACTGTTAACATACTCTCAACAAACTGTGTAGGTACCTGCAAATACATGTGTACAATCTTAACCCTGAATCTACCTATCCACTTGGCAAAATTCATTTTGAAAGAAACAATTAAATGTGTGTCACAATGAATAATTTGGAACTTGGTCAGCAAACAGTATAGAGCTTGTCATTGGGTCAAACTGCATGGAGACCCTTGTTTTCATTGTTAAGCTGTCTCTACTGGTGGCTAATGCTTTCTTACTTTTGAGTTTATTATTCTGCTTTGCAATGGTTTAAAACTGGTATCCGATTCACAGACAACAATGGTTTTGTCTTTCTTGTTAGAAAGAATTAAATGTGTGTCAGAAACTAAACCAGACAAAACTGCTGTGTTATTATGAAAAATACTGACAGTATTAAAAACAAAGTGACAATATCAAGTTTTTATCATCTCTAAGGTAAATGCATTTTTTCCAAGACTGTTTTCAGATAACTTTATTTACTTGTCCAAGAAAAGAAAAAATATATTTTTCTCAATCACTACTCATTTGATATACATGTATTTTGCTTAATTATTCAAGAGATCCCACATTCTCTGATATGATGGTAGTCAGGAATGGGGTCGGATATTTTCTGTCCTACTCCTAATACCTTCAGTTTTTTAAAGTTATGTTATCTGTACATATATCTTAAAGGCCAATTATGTGTAGGACATGGTATTAACTTATTTCCCAAAAAAATTCTATTTTTAAAGTCTTGTTACAGTTTCAAAAAAAAATACTCATTTGCCATTTAAATGAACTATCTTTTGCTGCTTCTGTTGGCTATCAGTTTAATTACAGTGATCAAGTGTTTTGTACAGAAATCAAAATACTACTTTGTTTACATTTTGCTACCTTTACAGCAAATGATTTCACATTCAGTGCTACTATCTTTAGTTGTTTAATATTTATTATGCTGTAAATCCATTGTTAAACTTTTACTCATTACTAAACAGATGTTTCACCTTTCCAAAGAATTTTTAAAAATAGTATGGATTTCTTTGTAATAAGGTGCCTTTAAAAAGATTCATTTATTGTCAGTTTGAAATAGTTGTAATCTAAATATACATTAACTTTTACTTTGACATAAGATAAAACAGTAAATATAATAAAGCTTACATTATCTCCCTTGAGATTTCTGACTGCCTCCATGCCCATTGTTTTTATATGATCCTCTACCTCTTGTACCAGTAATGCCAAGCCTCCGTGTATAGGTTTTAACAATGTATACATGTTTTCTAAATCTACAAAAATTAACAAGCAAAATACTTTAAAATTATGAAATAGTAAAAAGAAATCATATGACATGTATAGTGAACTTTATTATATATAATTACTACAAAAAGTATGCATACATGTATAAGGAATTTGTCACTGTATGTGTTTGGAAAATTAAAAAAAAATATTTTAAATTAATTAGAATATTACTTAAATTAATTAAATATTAATTGTCAACTTTCCAGCATGACTGTTGGAGGAGGACTTTACATGCCTTAGTGCCACATTATTTTAAACACAAGAAGAACCACAAACCTTAGGTTAGCTACATGTGTAGCTTCCTAACATGAAAGAATACAAAAGTAGTGCATGAAATGATTACAAGTCACCAATCTCAAGACACCTTGCACTTGCTTTTCAGCATAATTTATATCTAAAATTATTTCTTTTCTTTGAAAATACTAAATCATTCCAAACAGTTAAGCAAATAACTTTTACAGAACATTTTCAAGTTCACCAAGCACACAAAAACCTTTTAGCCATACCTTGCAGTTTTTCTATTTGTACCATTTCCCTACATTCACCATGTAAAAACAGGAGATGATCTGCCACCATTCTTTGTTGACATTCATGGGTAACTTTACCATATGAGCTTGGATGTAAAAACTTTCGGCTTCGAAAATCTTCCTCTTGAAGTTTCTTTATAACCTGTGGAAACAAGAAAATATGTACAACAAGTGAGCATTTTCTCACAATATACTCACACCATAACAAAGTTTTACAATATTTCTCCTAAAATCTTTTGTTTCTGTCTGCTTTTCTTGTTTTTACACCAATTTTAACATATTTTTGGTCATTTCTGGGCAGTCTATCCAAATAATAGGTTTTCCTTGATAATTAACCAGATTGAGTAATAACCATTTTTTCTACACAAGTGATTTACTACTTATCCAACATGATTTCTGAATCAACAGCAAGAGACAAATGACCTTGATGTCCAAGAACAATTGTCATGGAAGAGAAAAAATTTTCTGTGACAATGTTCTCATATATTGAGTGTTTAACCCTAACTTGGCTGAATTTGTATAATGGACTTAGAACTGACAATTAAAAGATTAAGTTCAGTATCAAAATACTACAACTGAGAAAATAGAACTCGGTATACAGGATAGCCTTGCTCTATTCTAGGGGCAAAGTCAATTGTTATCACTAAAAGCAAATAATGGATTAATACTAAGAAATCTAGAAACTCTTTCAGTATTTTCTATATTTTATCCATGAAATCGAATGAAAGCAAATTCCAAGTTTCAATATCACAATTTTTACAGTAACTTGAAACATAAGCTACATCAATCAAACCTTCTGACAACAAATATTGTTAAAAATATACATACATTATATTAAACAAAAAAACTTTTTTATATTGGTTAAAGTCACAAGCTTAATTGGGCAGAAGACCTCAAACACCCATTTGTGAATTATTTCAGGCATTAGCAGTACCCGAGTAAAGTCATCAAACATTTCATAAGCTAGCCTGATAGCATCTTCACATGAATAGAAGGTTAGAACCTACAGTGGAGTGCGGTGTGGTTGGGTGGTTATGACGTCAGATTAGTAATTTAAGGGTTGCTGGCTGAGTACAAACCCCGTCAAGGGCAAGCCATAGTGTCCTTGCTCATTGCTTAGTACTGGTTAGTTCTAGGAACAGATTCGAAATTGTTTCAATAAAATTATAGTTTCCAACACAATCAAACTAAAGTAAATTTGTATAAACTAACCCACAGTGGTTATGGGACCAGTGATTTGAAAGGAGCAACCTTAAACACACAGCCATGGAGGTCCTTAAGAAAAGAAACTAAATGATTAATTTATTTTTCTATATTTTACCTTTTCCATGTAATCTGAACATGAGCATTCATCTTTTAGTTTAGCTGCTTCACTCCTATAATAGTCCCCTGTCTCTTTCAGGAACTGGCTTTCAAATACATCCTCATACAACTGTAGAGGGGACTTCTTTTTGTATTCTTCCACATCAACAAAAGATGTTATTACTCCATGCAGAACTGTCTGATTAACACAGTTATTGTGTCGGTCACTGCACAAAGAAATAAGAATTAAATGATGCAGAGTAAAAGTCTTCAATAATGTTGTTTTGTTTTGATTTTTTTATTCTTTCAAAATATTTCAACTAACTTAAATACTTAAAAGATCTCTTTGTTTCACTGACAATCCACTTAGTTGTCTGGCATAATAACTTATTCTCCTATTTTTGTCAATAATCTGTCTTCACACTTTTATAATGGTATTAAAAGTCTAATTTTATTGTATCACATTACATTTAAGTCAAACTTGTGGTCAAAAGTCGCCCAAGGCCAAAGAAAGACACTAAATACAGCCTTTATAGACAAGTGGTCTTTATTTAGCTGTTACTTTATTCTATTTAGTTAATGAAGGGTTGCCAAAGTGTGGCCATTATTTACAGGATGAACTTAAATATGATGTGATTTTGAAGACAGGTTAAAGTGTATCATGCATTTACAAAAATTTACTTTAAAATTTTGTAAAATAAACAAAAAGATGCCAAATAAAGTAAGAACAAAGAAGAATGAACTACAAATAAAAGCTTACTTGTTAATTTCTTGAAGTATAAGAACAAGCAGATGGCTCTTTAATGGTTCTATCATAAACTTTTTCCATGTGTCAAGTGCAAGCTGTAACAAAAACATTTAGAAAAAGGTCACAAATGACAGGAGTCTCTTAATACAGTCACAAAGAAAATTAGAATTTTAAAACCATTGATATACCATTGAAACTTAACATAACATACATAACTGTGTGAAGGAATAATATCTAACCAATTGCAATTAAACAAAGGTAAAAAATATCTGACGTAAATAAAATAAGGATGCCTATAAAACAAATATAATCTCATATATAACATATAAAATTAATTTGTCTTTTTTTATTAGATTTACATTAAATCATTATGGTACATAATAATCTTGAATTATCCTTAAAATTAATAATATACTTTAATCAATCAAAATATTAATATCCAAACTTTTTTTTTGAGAAAAACCTTAAGTACCCTTTTATGCCATATTTATCAGTCAAATGCTGTTACATTTGTACCAAAGTACAACCACAGACCTGTAGGCCCAAAATTTTTATTTCTTAAACACTTATAGAAGAAAATATTTTTTTATTAAAAAATCCTTTATCATAACTATGATATGTAATAATAATAATTTTAGCAATTTTATGTACAATTACAAATATTATTTAAAATGGTGTCATTACCATTTTTTTTTTGTTTAAGGGAGACAAATCATATTTTGTTTAAGGGAAATAATAATAATACAGATTACCTCCCCTATTTCCAGCATCTGATCTGTTAATTCTACAGTAAATCCACCATAGTTCAGGTCAGCATCACTGTATTTCTGCTTCTTGATGAATGTTGTATTTAAATACCTGGAACAATACAAACAATATCATACAATAGTCATTAACTCACAGAAAGTGCATTCAAGCCGTCTTTTTAACTCTTGATCTTTACAATTAAGGTAAATGTATAATGTCAAGCTATGTGGAGAAGATGTCTTTATATATGTATTTTAAAGGTTTCTGATCAGATTCAATGCCTTAATGCTTTATTAAAATCTCTTTCAGTCTACAGATGAAAACCCAAAAGATCAAATTGCCTATCTTAAAACTTACGTGTTAACACTGCTCTGGCACTAACATTATTTTACACTTAATTTCACTATATTAAATGCTCCTCTGTAAGGATAAATTTTAAACTATATTTGCTATGAGAAATTCTAACTACCCCACCAGTATAGAACAAAGCCAACATGCTCATCCAAGCAGTCTGGACACTATACAAAGTTGGTCATTATAATTTTTTTATCATATTAAATACTGAAATTTCTTTTACTACTAAAACAAAGCATGATTAGTTAATTAATCTAATCTTGCATGGTATGAATTTTACCAAAGAAATCAAAATTAGCAAACATGCAACAGAATGTTTCAAGAAACAAGGTAATGGTACATACCCATAAAGTTGATTAAGAAAACTGGAACCTTTACTGTACTGTTCCCAATTTCTCTGATAAATTGTGAGCAAATTCTCCTCATTACTGTCTATAACTTTCTGTAAACAATTAATATGCCAATTGTATTCATGAAAAGAAAAATATTTGCATGTTATACAAATAAAAGATATGCACATTCAGCATACATTTTGCAGCATACAGAATATAAAACATTATATCCAAGCCACATGTCTGTTTTATGTTTCATTATTTGTAATAATTAAAAAAGATACATTGTAGTCTTTTCATAACCAGTGTAATACAATTTCTAGGAAAAAAAAACAAGTTATCAACAATTATATTTACAATTAACCGGCTGGGACTGAAAATCATAAACCATTGCCACCAGTATACAGCCAGGCCAGCATGCACATTCATGCTAACCAGGCTAGCTTTAATTATCATTCTGATATCCCCAAAACTGATAATGGACACTTCCAAGTAAAGAGGCAGAACAAACAATTCCATATTAGCAATTCAGCTTAAAAGGTTATATAATTTCGGCAGATAAAAAGGTTCTGAAAATATTATTTAAATTCTAATTGCTATTATTCACAGGAAACATTGTAGTGAAGTTAGATGTAGATATAAATTTAATACCTGATATAAAAGTCTGACATGGTTCTCCAGAAAAGTTTTTGTCTCATGGTACAGTCTGTCCCCAAGTGGCTCTGGACACGCAACACAAAGAGCATAAACATCCGTTCAATATGTCAAGGTCAATAAAAACATGCTCATAATTTTCAGTAAAAACTCTCCTTTCTACACAATACTTTTATAAGAATCACTAATTAAATAAATTTAAAAAACAAGAGGGCCATGATGGCCTTTAATTGCTCACCAGAGAAAATGGACTACATGGAAAAGATTTTCATAAGATTCATACTAAATATCTATATTGTACTAATTTCTCGCCTTAATCATTTAAGAGATGATTTTTTTTCTAATTATTTGTCTTTATACATACATGTATAAGGTAAACCCATTACCCCAGGCCTAAGAGGCAGGGCCAATTTTGACCCAGAGCTATCATTTGAACTAACTTGGTAAAGGTCCAATAAAAATATAATTTCAAAGATGATTTTTGAAGATTTTTCTTTTGGTTACCAGTTTTTCAAGAAATGAAATTTTTATCAACTTTAAAAGAAGATCACATAAGGATCATTCCTAGAAAGTTTGGATATTATAGATCTGGTGGTTTAGGATAAGATGCTGTTCAAAGAGAAGTGTGGACAGCTGAACTGACAGATGCCGGAGGAACGGACACTGAGTGATGAGAATAGCTCACCTTGTCAGAGCATATTATGCTCAGGTGAGCTAAACAAGAGCTGTCCGTAAGACAGCGCGCTCGACTTTTTTATTGCTTGCCAATAAAAAAAGTTTTTGCAGTAAAAGGCAATACAAGAATCTCTGTATTTTTAAAGTGAACAATGGCCATGAGCATTAAGATATTTAGTGAAGAATTATTTTATTATGACATAATTTATGGTAAAGTGAACAAGTGGATAGGAATGAATTTTTTTAGATTTTTTAAGTTTTTTAGTGCTTGCCTATAATACAAAACATTGACAGTTAAGGGCCATAATTCAAATAAAATCTTTGACAGAATTACCTTCTCCTGGACATGTTTGGGAATCATGATTGTAAACAAGTATTCCAACTTTCAAATTAATATCTCAAACAGTTCAGTCAAAAAGTGGACTGGTACTAAAAACTTAACCAAGATTCTAAGTCGATAAAAGGCCTTAATTTTTAAAACAAATCCTTGACAGAGTTACCTTCTCTTGCGTACAGATGGGGGTAATGATGTGAAATAGCATTAAAAGTTTCAAAGCAATATCTCAAAGGGTTAAGGCAATAAGTGGATTTTACCCATATTCAATGTATTTTCTAAGTCAAAAAGGGGCATAATTCTGTCAAAAACCTTGACAGAGTTATGTCCTCTTGTCTGTTGATGAAGGTCGTGATGGTAAACAAGTATGGTCAGTTTCAAAGCAATACCTCCAATGGTTTTGAAATAAAGTGAGGTGGTACAAAAAACTTAACCAAGCTCAATACACTTTCTAAGTCAAAAAAGGGCCATAATTCTGTCAAAAACCTTGACAGAGTTATGTACTCTTGTCTGTAGATGGAGGTTATGATGGTGAACAAGTATGGTAAGTTTCAAAGCCATACTTGTAATACTTCTGAAATAAAGTGGGGTGGTACGAAAAACTTAACCAAGGTGTGACGCCAACGCTAACGCCGACGCCGGGGCGAGTAGGATAGCTCCCCTTTTCATAGAAAAGTCGAGCTAAAAAGACAACTACATGTACATCTCGATACTAAATTTCCATTTAATAGCAGTCTTCAGAATCAACGGCTCATCCACTTGATGGAACTTAAAACAATAAATTAAATTTGAAAAATTCAGTTCAACTTTTGCAGTCTTTTTAAAAAAGACAAATGCATCTATATAAAACCAGCAAAGAACAGTTGTTTCTTTTAAATTGTAGTAGAATTCAGAATCAAGTACATGTTTACATTTAGCTATTTATTGATGACATGGAAAAGATTGATCCTATTCAATAATATAAGAGATCGCACAAATGAGTAAATTTCTATAGTTTCAGAATGTGCTCAGACACTGAAACTTTTATATGTAGAGCTATATCTTGGAAATGTTAAACAATAACTTTATATCTTTACTGAATGAAGTTTTATAACTGTTATATTTTAATGCACCAGCATAATCCCTGACAAAAAGGATATGAGAAACGATCATTCCAGGTTGCTCTAGCAACACTTCCACATGTTATTACACCATTTACAGTCTCCAGAAGTGTTGACCAGGTTTGGTCAAAATCAACCCTACGAGGACGAAGCGACATGTTCTAATAACAAAATCTTATTGCATCTGAAACAGAAAATAATATGTTGCAAAATAAATAATACCAATAAGTTTGAGGGTCATGTTTAAATAATTATAGATATACCAATTCCGTTGAAAAATTAAATATATAACAAAAGCTATTAGATAGACAGTAACATACTCCGGTATTATCTGACAGTACTGAACAATTCAAAACATGGGCCATGCATGAAATCTGTAAGTTCACAGTGATTTTTTTTTCAGTTTTCAAAACAACCTGTGGCTTTCAGGCCTCGATGAATTTATATAGGGTCACTCACCCTACTGGGCGAGTTTCCCTCCAAATTTACTCTTCCTTCATAAAATGTATTTGCCCTGCATTTTGACGGACACAATTTGTAAAAATCAAACATAATACTCTTATTTACTATTTACGTATCTATATCGGTAAAATTGGCTTTATTCATTTACATAATTATATATTGTATCGTCGAGTGACCCGTTTTTACGCTGCCCTATTTCGACGCCATTTATATTTTGCCTCATAATTGATATAAGCGGCCGCTTACGTCATTACTGTACTACGCTATAGCAAAAGGGGATTCCTCTAGTTTGTCAGGTAACAATATGTAGTAAGTAAGACACCCAAAGGTAAGATTTAGCATGTTATACCTTATTTAAGAGATTTTTGTATGATTTCACTAATGCAATTTTGACCCTCACTTTATTATGTCATGCTTTCCTTGAAAACATCGGCTGGAAAATACCTCCCTGTCTGCTGACCTCATTTCCTCATTCTCAGGTCACATGGCAGTAAAATTACCCAATAGTGTTGTTTTGGCGCATTTTTTCACCCTAAAGCAACCTGTACGTGTTGTATATTTTTTTAACGGTTAATAATCGATGAATGAATGTTAATTGAAAATTAATTGGATATATTTATCTTATTTGGATGGAATGAATTGCCATGATATAGTAAGTTGCTCTGCTAAATGTGTTATTTTGCTTTTGCAGGTTCAACAAAGGAAGTTAATGTGCTATTTTCCAACCTTTATTATTCAGCAGAGGAGGTCAAACAGACTAGGGCAACCACCCAAACCACAGTAAAAATACAACAATAGCATTTACCATATATAATTATGCTTTATTATTGAAAGAAATAAAGAATAGATAAACTATTTTTCACTTGTTGATACTTTGCAGGTCTATGCTCTTGATATTGATGAATAGCGTAAGTAAAAGTATTATGGTGTACAGTCTCCTGTAGTGTAATTAAATTAGCCAATCAATAGCGTCGTTTTAGGGCACTCTCAATCAAAATGGCCGCTCCCGGATGAAGTGAAAGTAGGATTGTTCTTGAAAATGAATAGCTGGAAAACAGCTTAAATTTACTCATTTCATAAAGGTTAGAGATTTTTTAATAAGTTAAAACATTTTATACAATACAATCACATGGTTTTAATAGACGCATACAAAACAATCCTTATGGGCGTCGAAACTGGTCACTCGAGGATAAAATAATGTTTATAATACTTTTCATTCTTTTAATATTTTAATAATATTGTTGTTACTATAATACAAATCAAGTTTCTTTAATGTCTTTATTTGATCTTTGATCTCATAAATTTATTATTATTGTGATTTACATCCTTGATTGGAAATAAAAGTTATTCTATTCCATTCTACAAAGGAAGTGGCTAGCCGTACGGGCCCGTACGGCTAGCCAAAAGTTCTAGCCGTACGTGAGTCACGTACGACTAGCCTGTACACACTGTATTGGCTAGCCGTACGGCACTTTTCAAAATTATATGGAAGTCGAAAATGCATTTGTTATTTTGTGTCTTTAAACAACAATTTTAATCAAATCTCCGCATTTGTCCTAGTGTGTTCACTTTAATAAAGATGCTCCGCAATTTTGCACAAAAAAATAAATACGAGTAAGCGATGTATAATCTATCTTTATAAAATTGAATGTCAAAGTTGCATGTTATAACGTCCTTAAATTTTCATGCTTATGAATTGTATGAAAAGATGAATTGTTAAATCTGTTAATTAAGCACATGGATCGAATAAATCATGATCGGAGGGAAGTAAATAAATAAATAAAAAGAATATTTTAAAAAAAAAAACGGTGAAAAGGAAAAATAATTTAGTAATTGCAAACTTTTCTTAACAAACTTCTATACCGGCGGTAATCTGACGCAATTATCAGAGCCCAGCAACAATTTTTTTCGGTGTTTTTTTTTTTTTTTTTTTTTTTTTTTTTTCAGTTCAAAAATTAAACTTAATGAAAGCAAAAATAGATTATTATCAAATTTTGTAAACTATTTCAATTCATGTTGTTTAACTGCCAACCAAACACTATTTTTTTCTTCGACGTCTTGAGATGACAAAGTAAATTATTTACTGTAGCCATATATGTAGCCAACACGTCGATCTAAAATGTAAACATTCTTGACTAAAACCCTCGCTTAAAGTCATAATTAACATATGCACTTTCGCCTTCAATATATATTTTTGAAAAGTGCCGTACGGCTAGACAACACAGTGTGTCCTGGCTAGTCGTACGTGACTCACGTACGGCTAGAACTTTTGGCTAGCCGTACGGGCCCGTACGGCTAGCCACTTCCTTCTACAAATACACTTGTTTAACTTTTATTCACCTGCATATTTCTACTTCTTGTATATTAAATTTTGGTCAACTTACTTTAAAGGAGCTCTCATTGAAGGACTATTGCCACTAAAAGGCTACTAAAAATCGGCCACTAAAAATACCATACACTGATCTGAAACCAGCAACAAGACTCCTTCGTTTGGCCAGAAACTGGCAGTTTACTCTCAAGTCTAAAAAACAGAGAGTATTGACTCTTGAGTATAAATAATTATCTGGAACACTGTGAATACTTATTAAATTCTAATGCACACACCCACTCAGCTAAAATATTGACCTCACAGCTAAGTATAAAACATTACCGAATGCGTATGTATAAAACATTGTCGAATGATCATGCTTTTGTTTCAGAATCGATTTATCATATGCTTTCTTTAAAGTTTTATACCTAGACATTAGGTCAATTTCCGGTTTTCATTTGACAGTATTACGCCTTTAAATGACGCTTGCAGTTTGATTTTTTTACTGAAAAACTTCATTTACATTAAATGTTTAAAGAAATGTTATTTGATTCGGGAGAACCTTACTCGCCCTTTTGGGCGTGTTTGATCATTTTTTCTCTTGTCCAACCCGACAATGAATCGCTGCTAATCTGTTAATTGTTGTTTATTGATATTTCATTGGCAATTATCAACACTCGTTGACTTCCTATACCAGCTCAATTGTCCCACGGCGTTTCATTGGTTTTCCAATTTTACCAACCAATGAAAATAGGTTTAACAGACTGTTTTGATATAGGCTGAGGGACGTTTTACTAGATTTTTTATTTTTGACATAAATATCAATACAGATATTATTTCCTCAAATTAATTTAACTAAGACAATTGTTGTTATAATCATTCCGTGGAGAATAGTTATTTAACTGTGGTTAAGCGTTATTTCACTGTGGCAGCGAATCATTATGTGACAAATTGTTATTGTGAAGACCAAATGTCTAAGGTGAAATGTCATGTCCGTCTTTCATTGTTGTTACTATAATACTAATCAAGTTTTAGTTTCTTTAATGTCTTTATTTGATCTTTGATCTCATTATTATTATTGTGATTTACATCCTTGATTGGAAATAAAAGTTATTCTATTCCATTCTACAAATACACTTGTTTAACTTTTATTCACCTGCATAATTCTACTTCTTGTATATTAAATTTTGGCCAACTTACTTTAAAGGAGCTCTCATTGAAGGACTATTGCCACTAAAAGGCTACTAAAAATCGGCCACTAAAAATACCATACACTGAACTGAAACCAGCAACAAGACTCAAGAGGAGTTGGGACCAGTCACATATTTAACAGTTTAATGAGTACATTTAACGACCAAACCTGGAATGACTAACAAAAGAATATCCTTATAAGTAAAAGTCAAAATAAATATTAGTCATTGCTAAAATAAATCATAAATTTCTTTGACAAATTCTTACAAAATTTTCAGCCGACTGCCATTCTGCACTCCCAAAGAAGAGTTTATGCTCATGATAAAACCCGTCAAAAAGACCGTACAGTCTTCCGATCGTAGTCTGACTGATAAAATGTATAGTTTGTTCATGCTGATTGGCCAATTTTCATGAAACATGCTGCGTTATTTGGGATAAAGTTGTACCATCCTATTGCTTTATATTATATATGGCATAAAATTATGCTAAGGAGCCTAGGAATATAATAGAATAGAATAGAATAGAATAATTTTATTTCACCAATCAAGGGTCATACTATATGACATATATAATCACAAGCATAATATGGCATGTAACAAAATATATCAACCAACAAATTGTGATTGTATGGTAAAATATGAAGACAATAAAGTGACTAAAGCTTAATTCGTATTATTGGAAAAACAAATAACACAGGCATAGTAATGTCAAAATAAGAAGTAAATAAATAAAACAGTATACAAAAACCACTAATTACTCATTACTCATTCGATATTCAAGTACATTAATATACATTCAATGGTCTGACAAATTTTTATTACTAGTACTACCTAACATAAGATTTCTTTAATCATAGATTTCAAGTAGGTATTTCGAAAAGACATTCAAGACTCTATAGGGTCTTCCGAGGACTTTAAAACCAAACAAATTTCTGCTTATTATTCAACATACAAAAGTTCTTATTTGATATTTCAATTTGTCTAAATAGCAGTTCTCTATTACTATCAAATTTTGTTCAACACATGGATAGAACGTTATGTACATAACGGGAACAGGACTCTTCCTTCCAGACACTTCACTGTGAAATGGAAACCTACCTGTAAGATCATAAGCATTTGAAAAAGTTCCATAGCCTTTTTACAGAATTCATTAATGATACATTTAACTTCTTAGAAAAATCCACTCTTTATAATGATGCTAATAATAATACTTTGTCCATCTGGCATAAAAATGCTACAGTAGTCAAATCAACCCCAAAGGATGAAAGAAATTTCCTCATCAAATATTTTAAAAAATAAAGGCAAACCCTAAAACGTTTAATTGTTTTAAATGACCATACCATCACATGAAAGTGTCCTTGCAAAGGTTATTTAAAATCCCCACATTCTCAACTGTTTACAGCATGACTTTGTGTATTTGTTTGATTGTCTGTCTGTCTTTTTTATGTCTGTCTGTCTGTTCTAGTATTAAAATATGTAGTAACATATTTGTTTGTATTTGCTGATACGTTTTGTCTTTTAATTCTGTATTATTTTAACTACCGCAATTGTTTAGTATCAAGAAAGAAAAAAAAATATTATTTTCAACACTATTACAATACGCGACCATCACATAATGCAAAAGATTGGAAGGCGTCCTGAAATGATAACTGCCGTTTCTTGCAGGTACTCAAAATGAGTTGGCAATGTGTTGTCTCTCACCGCTCGCGCAGTACGCAGTAACATAGCGCCGAGGAAGTGGATGAAAGTCAAAACGTTTTGCGACTTAATTGTTGCAAATTATCGTCTAAAAACTATCCAGCTATGATATATCTTATTAGGACCATAATCTGTAAGGCATGTTTTTTCCTTTTTAACTAAGACTGGGAAATTCATCAAAATCAGTAATTTTGTAAATGAAAATTGCTTTGCATGAACAGGATATCAGAGCAGTGAATAACATAATTCATTTCTCATAGAATATTTCTCCATTTCATAGAAAACATTTATTGAGCAACTGTTAAACTCAATTATTGAAAGATTTCAGAAGCATAAGTACCATAAAGAAAACAATGCTAAACTTTAGAAACTCTGGAATAAAAAGCAATGTCTACAATAACCATTTTAATAATAAACTGAAAAAAATTAAGATATGAATTTTTTTTCGGCACATGCCAGAGCAGAGGTACAGTACTAGGAGTGATCAGACAGTAGAAAAGAAAACGGAAATCCCGCAACAGTTTTTGCTAATGTCATATTTCTGCACGATAACGCGTCGTCCCACAGTGAATCTATATAGTGCAAGACTTTATCAAGCAGAGAAAGGTCATTATGCTTCCTATCCTACGTATTCACCTGACCTTTCCCCTTGTGACGTCTTTTTTAATTCCAAAACTAAAAAAATACCTTTCAGGTGGGAAATTTGTGTAGGACAAACACTTCGGTTCTGCAATTTTCCAGTGTCTCCATAGTATACCTAAAACAGACTATAAAAAGGCATCCAAAAATTGAATCCGTGGACACTTGAAGGTGAATACTTTGAGGGAACAAAAAAAATCAGTGTATGTCCTATATGTAGCATCAAATTTTACGTGCTTATATACATTCATATTTGAATCAACATTCCTCGTTTTTCAATCTGTTATTGAACGTGACTGAACATCATTATAATTTAGAACTGGTTACTGATAAGCCCAGTTTGGAAGCATACTGATTTATGGAATCATTGACTTCTGATATGGAAACCTTAAACGTCCACCAAGAGGGCAAACATAATGAACCACTATATAATTGTGATGTGTTATTGTATTGCTCTCTCGTTGTTGTTGTTTGTTTTTGTTTGCTTGTTTGTTATTTTTTGTTGTTGTTTTTTTGTTAAGAACAATGTGTATCAATATTTTCCAGCATTGATTTACTGGCGATTTATTTGATATCCGAAATATTTGATATTATTTGAAATGGCTGAGTAGTAGACTTTATAACGCCAAAAATTATATAAATTATCACTTATTATAAAGCAATGTTTAAATTGAAATCTAATTTTAATGAACCGATTGTACGTAATTTAATTATGAGTAGAACTCTATATAAATATTTGTACTTTTCACAAATAAATCAGTGAGTATTTAAACTTCAAGAGAAACATCTACATTTTTAATCTAAAATAACTAATTATTTCGAGTAAACTTGACTTTCGTGTGCTGTTTTATTATTGGCCGTTTAGATTATTGACACGCCCAATTCTGGACATTTGAGCTTTTGTTGTCTAGGTGTCAAGTTTAAAAAAAACAAGAGAGATAATTAAGTTTAATTATTTGTTCATCGATCGCTTAGCTTTCACTAACCAATCTGTCTCCAAATTTCCTTTTGGTACTTTGGATTTGATTTGAAGCATTTTAAAGATAATGCATATTACCCTGTTGATATATGCAAATAGGCCGATTTGGTACGGGACCGAAATGTTTTTATGCATTTTTGCAATTATCACAGCGTGTTAATTAAACGACTTTATTTGCAATTTGTTTTCGCGTGATAATTTCGCCGGCCAAAAAATGGAAGAATTACAAAAAGCTGTTGATATTAAGGCAACACACAAGCAGGGAGCTATTGATATTTTACATAGTATAGGTAAGAATGTCAACCAAATGAAAAGGGTCCACAATAAACGTAACTTTGCCCAAATATTAGACAAAATGAACGGAACCCCAAGTTCAAATTTGCTGATTCATTTCACATCTTTATGTTTCAAAATGATTTTATGGTATTGAAGTTACTTCCAAATCAACTTTTGAGATTTAGAGTGTTTTTTATTTTGGCAACATATGACCTAAACCGGCGGCACGAAATACCCAAATAGCAATATTCATTTTTGTTTGTATAATATGAAAAAGGCAAAGCCTCAAAGCGAGCTCGATGTACTTTTAACGTGAAAAAGTATGAAATAATCGCTCATTTTTATTTCAAATGCAGTGACGAGTGCCTGTGACGTTACACGTACTGTGTTAAATATGGCTCCGCCCCTGTCGTTAAATGAATAACGAGTTTTGAAAACGTTGATAAAACTTTGTTTATTTTAATTCACTCTAATATGAAATTAGGCAAAGCCTATGAACGGGGAAGTCGTTAAAAATTCCTTTCATTCTTTCCGTTTTAAAGGTGTCATTCGGTATTACATGCACCGCTTCCGTTTTTCACTCGGAACACTCGGCGTTTATTATTTATCCGAAAAGTTGAGATTTGTTCCGTTATCGGAATACCCCGCCTATTATCATTGAGTTACATTGTAAATGGCGGCGCCCGACTAGAACTGACACTGAAAATTGAATGTACTTGCAATTTTAATTAAAGATATGATATTTGTTGTCTACACTTACATTTTTAAGTTGTAATTTTGTTGAAATTTCATATCATATACAAATGTCCATGTTATTAAAAAAAAAAACTTTAATGGAGTACATATACACTATACAATGATAGAAAAATGTATATTTGGGTATATTTGATTATATCTTAGTGAAAGTGTATATTGTATTCATGATTAAAACAGCATTTTTTAGTATAAAACATTTATTTTTAGTATAATTGGACAATATTTGGGTATTATTAGGCAATATTTGGGTATATTTGGGCAATATTTGGGTATATTTGGGTATTTCGTGCTGCCCTTATTAATATTAATAAAACAATATAACTTAGCTATAACTTTCATTCATTCCGTTAAAATCATTTAAAATGGGCAGTTCAGATGATGTAAGAAAATAAACTTGTGACATTTGCTGAATAAACTTGCAAATTAAAATAAAGATATGATAATATTTGTTGTCTACATTTAAATTTCTATGGTATAACTTTGTTGAAATTTCATACAAGTGTCCATTGTATTATTTTTTTTAGAAATTTAATATAGCTTTAATGGAGTAAACTGTACTCTATTTGGGTATATTTTGGTTCAAAACACAATGATAGGAAAATGTATATTTCAGTCATAGTGAAAGTGTATATTATAATTCATAATAAGAACAGCACTTTTTTAGTATAAAACATTTATTTTTTGTATATTTTAGCAATATTTGGGTATTTCATGCTGCCCACCTAAAGAGTGTTGGTATGTCATAAAACCAAACAAAACAAACAAGGAATGAAAGATTATGAAAACCTGAAAAGAATGCGTTTTTATATGAATGTATATATCAATGTTAATTTAATTTTCTAAAAGCCATGCTATCAAAACTACAACAACATAGAAAAATGGAGTCAGGTCAGCAAATAGTATAAATACAAATTTTGTTTCAGTGAAACGAGATGCTGACATGAACAATGAAGAAAGTGTGAAAGTAAAGGAACAAGCTATTCTAGAACTAGGTGCTCTTCTAGCCCAGTCCAAACAAGCAGAAGGTACTATATGTTAGAAAAATATGATAATTGATTCCATTTATTTTCAGTATAGATTTTGTCTTTGCACTATAATATTGGTTTTAGGTATATAATATGAAATTAGGCAAAGCCTATGAATGGGGAAGTCGGTTACATTTTCCGTTTTAAAAGTGCCATTCGGTATTTTATACACTGCTTCCCTTTATTCTGGTTCCCTGTCCTATTGTGGTCCCCATAGAAGTTCTAAGGGGACCAGTCTACGCATCCGTTTTCAATCAGAATTTCTCGGCTTTTATTGTTATCTTGTAAGTCGAAAAATTGCGATTGGCTATTATCGGAATTCACCGCCGTTTATCATTGCGTTATGGCGGCCCAACAAGAAATGGTACTGAAAATTTCCCTGATAAGTAAAGAATTCTATATAATTCAGGCTTTCAAGCGGGCCCTACTTTTCCTATTTTTCCCTACTTTTTTTGTTTGACCCCTACTTTTCCCTACTTTTTTCTTGAAATGCCCTACTATCCCTACTTTTTTAAGAAAAAAGCTCGAGGATAATTGATAAAAACTCCAGTATAAGCAGTAGATTGATTTTGATAAAATCTTTATCTCAAATTTAATAAGAATCAGATGCAAGTTTAATTGTAGGAAAAAGTTGATGGAAGTAGGTCATCAGTGGTGCAAGAGGGGTTCCATGATGAGGATGGTTGGAGCTGACATGGCAGAATCAGCGACTTTAGGTGAGTTTGCTTCTATAGAAATATTACTTAGTGTTCAAATTATTTTTTATGTTTCATTTCAAAATTATAATATGTTTTTGTACACAGACTAGCTTCTCAATTGTTTCATTTCAAAATCATAATATGTTTTTGTACACAGACTAGCTTCTCAATTGTTTCATTTCAAAATTATAATATGTTTTTGTACACAGACTAGCTTCTCAATTGTTTCATTTCAAAATCATAATATGTTTTTGTACACAGACTAGCTTCTCAATTGTTTCATTTCAAAATTATAAAATGATTTGTACAAAGACTAGCTTCTCAATTGTTTCATTTCAAAATTATAATATGTTTTTGTACACAGACTAGCTTCTCAATTGTTTCATTTCAAAATTATAAAATGATTTGTACAAAGACTAGCTTCTCAATTGTTTCATTTCAAAATCATAATATGTTTTTGTACACAGACTAGCTTCTCAATTGTTTCATTTCAAAATCATAATATGTTTTTGTACACAGACTAGCTTCTCAATTGTTTCATTTCAAAATTATAATATGTTTTTGTACACAGACTAGCTTCTCAATTGTTTCATTTCAAAATCATAATATGTTTTGTACAAAGACTAGCTTCTCAATTGTTTCATTTCAAAATTATATTATGTTTTTGTACACAGACTAGCTTCTCAATTGTTTCCCAATGATGCTTATGCTGAGGGACAATACTTGCCAACATCTTTGAGCATATATAGATTTTAGGCAATGTTTGGCATATTGGCAAGTATTGAAGTTGCTCACTGTGATCATTTTGTCCTGAATTTTCATTGAATGAAAGATACTGGAAAAATGTAGTGAGTGTTTCTGAAAAATATGTATGCTTTAATTAGATAGAATTTGATAGCTATCAATAATTAATACATTATGAAGTGTAAATCCTTGCTTTGATTTGTCAGTTTTGCATGTACTAACTTTGCATACTAACTGCTTGTGTACATGTATATATCTTAAAATTTACTTTTGATTGTTACAAGTATCTATTTTGCATGCCCATGTAAACTCCATGCATAACTAGGATGCTAGTAAACCTTTGCTTTTTTTACATTCACTCCTTTTCATTTTCTATTGTGTTATAATGCTAGTTAAAAAATCATGTTTTAACACCTATCCTTGTTCTAGTCTGTGTTTCACATATTATGCTGGCTAAAACCATATTTTTGCACATAACATTTTTCTAGTTTGTATTTTGTAACAACCATGTTATCTTAAACAAGGTTTTAACACATTTCCTGTTTTTAGTCTGTGTACAAAAACATGCTTACTTAATGTTTAATGTTGCTAATTAATAGTCTGTGTTCTGACATATTCATTGTTAATAGTTTTCTGTTATTATTTGGAATTGGATCTAATAAAAAAATATCAATTCCAGGTTCATGCCCAGATCCATCCTGTTGTGGAATCCCTATTGAGACACTGGTGACTGGTTTCCTAAATGAAGAAAATGCCATGGATACTAGTTGATAAGGGTCTGTATTTGTTTTTGTATCAACTTTGGAAAAAAGGTGAGTAGAGAGTCTTACTTTCCCTACTTTTAGGCTCTGAAAATCCCTACTTTTCCCTACTTTTTAACAAAAAAAATCCTACTTTTATCCCTACTTTTTTGTTATTGGCCACTTGAAAGCCTGTATAATTTTTTTCTTTTTAAATATTCATGTGTAGTCTATAGCCGGGCAAGCCAAAACCCGGAGCTGCTTCGCAGCCCTTGGCTTTGACTTCCCAGAATAATTTCTAAATTTCTTTTACCACAAGTGAAAGGCATGAGGTAAGATTTTAAAATAATAGAGGACAAATTTCTCTATGATCTTGATTGTAGATTAGCTTGTTAATGGTTCTACTCAGGGGTACCTGTACAGTCTGCACGAAAAACTGTTTATGGTAATAGACATTCAGGCTTTGTCTATCAAAATATCATATAGCCCAAACAAATTTTAACTAGCATGAAAAATTTTAACAAAAGTTGTGCCAAGGGTTTTCAAATTTACTTAAATCTGGAGAAAGTAATGCAGTGATATCACCTGATTTACATTTATTTCTGATATTCTTAGATTCTCTAGGTCATTATAAATACGACTGGTGTAAATGATTCTATATATAAATTATTTCTGAAATTTTTGTGCTAATACCTTGAAAAAAATCAATATTTCCCTCAGTCATTGTGTATGTATTTTTTTCATATCTTAAAACATACTAGACTGTCAGACTATGCTCCCTACATTTAATGCTTGCCTGAACAGAATATTACTAGACTAGGGCTCAGGCTTTGCCTATTTTTTGCAGACTGCTGTAAATACCTAAAATAATGCATGGGGTGGCATCTGAGCCAGTGAGTCCCTCCTCTACCAGTAAGGCTAGAAAGAATAACCACATAATCTTTATAATGTAAATATGACATTAACCTAACCAAAAACACTTTTATATGATTTTATAAAACATCGAATAATTACAAGATAATTTCGTTGTCGCTAACTTGTTGTTGAAATAGTTGATATATCATTTCAGAACTTGCAGGCCTTATTAAGTTTACACGGCCATTTTTGGGTATGGTGAGCAAAGCAAAGGCAGCTAAGTTGGTACGAGCTTTGGTGGACCAGTTCCTAGATATGGAAGCTAGCACAGGAAAAGAGGTTTATTTTTTATATAATAAAGTTAACTTGTTTGTGACAAAGCTACTTTTTTTATTAGGTATTAAAAACAACAAGCTTAATCTTTTAACAAAAAAGCTTTATGCACAGACAGTACTTTATAGACTAGACATTTTTTGCAGCAGTTGTTTGCTGATTCACTTTTTCAACTTTATAAAATTATATTGTTAAAATGAAAAGAATTAATTTGCATAAAAGAAAATGGCTTTTATTTTGTTACATATAAACTACTTGTAGCTTATATGAGCACCATGACAGAAATTGTATTCTTGTTTTTTGCTCAACTATTAAAAAAATAGAGCTTTTGTTCTCTTTCTGTTGTGGCATTGTCATCACTGTCACACTTTGGTTAATTTTTTTTGCACACAAGTTGGTATCTCAAACACTACTACTAAAGGGAATGGGTTAAAACTTCACATACTTGTTCTCTGTGTTTATTTACCATGACGGACATGTGTGCTATAACTCTGAGTTCCCATTTTACAAATTTATGCCCCTTTTCTTACTGTCAGGCACATAGAATAGTCAAGTGTACTGCCTAACTGCTCTTGTTTTGCTACTTAAGATGTTTTATTTTTATCACAAACTGCATCACGTTATAATGATACTATGATTGTGTTATTTGACTGATGTTTGTTTCTTATGTTCTATAACAGGTAGATTTGTGTAAGGAATGTATTGATTGGGCCAAAGATGAGAAGAGGACATTCCTCCGACAGGCTCTTGAGGTAATTTACTAATTATTTTTTTTGTAGTTTGTTTTAAACTGTATATATGGATAATAGATAACATAAGGTAAGGTCGTATTCTAATTAATCTGACTGAATTGATATTCATATAATGACTTAATGTACCAAAGAGGCTGTAGGAATGCCCTCCAGTTTTACAATAATTATTGTATGGTTTTAAAGAATTTTCCTGAGGTGGAGCATCCCTTAAACAGCCCCTGCTCTTATGATTACTAAAATTATAACAATATTTTATGAACATCAAAATTGTGTGAATGTTTTATGAACACTAAAATCGTTAACATTTCATAATTTTTTTTTTCAGGCTAGATTAATTGCTTTATACTTCGAGACCAAGCAATATAAAGAAGCACTTTTGTTAAGTAAGTAAATTTTTTGGTATCAAAACTTTTGATAAATACTGGTTGTACACCAATAAATTATCTTGCTAGTATTGTGGTTTTACATTGTTACAAATTGGCCTAATGTATTCAAAGTATGATGTTGTCAAAAATGATTTAACATGGAGGAAACACAATACTTAATCATGGAAATGAGTTAACAAATTTTGTATTTTATTTATCAGACTTGACTATTCAACTGTTTAAACTGAACTTAAAAAAACCATGTAGTGCATATAGTGTTGTAATTTTGTTCATTTCCCTTAACTTCCATTGCTTGCAGTAATAATGACTTGTCTATGCCAGTCTAATAGAGCCAAATCTCTATAATGTTAGTTGGCTAGCCTCAAACAATGCACTTTTCCGAAATTAAAACCAAATAAATCCATTTCCTAATTCATTAGTCTAAGGGTTTAAATGGGGCCCTACATGAGTCACTTGTCCCTCACTGCTGGTGATTCTTTAATATTAGGAAGCCATCCAGATAGCTTACAAAATGTTAGTTGTTCTACTCAAGAGCCTTCAAATTCATGATAATTCACCTACACTTTACTTCCAATAGTAAAGCTTGAAAGTCACCATATCACCAGTTTAATGCAGTGGCAGCTCCTATTTAAGTATACAGTCTAAACTGTCTTAAGCAGCCAGCCAAGGGATGCAGTCATTTTGGCTGCTTAAGACAGGTGGCTGCTGAATGGAGGGTCCAGTTTTTATCCAAATAAATTATTCATTTCTTTGTAAAATAAATCTAATTTAAGTATAAATAAACCAGTCTGATTCATCATCATCATCAGTTTTTAACCATTTACAAAAGTATGCCATTAATGGTTTAACATGTACACACTCCTTCCAACATAAAGCTTTACATGAATGTAACACAGATAAACAAATGCACTCACGATTTATTATGTCAATAATTGAAACTAATTATCCCATAAAAATATCTTCTTGCACAATAATTTAAAACGCGTAATATTTTCTTCACAAAAAATATGACAGTTTCTTTTCAATTTTGGTCAATAGAATATTGTGTACACGTCATCTAAGTGTCGGCACTTCCTTTGATGTTTCGGATTGAAACAGCAGGGCTACAGGTTTGTAAACGTCAAAGATTCTTTTGAAGAGCCCGCTAGTTACCTCTTAGAGGTCATCTAGTGTGTAAACTTAATGGGTGTGATGACCTCATTATATTTATGCAATTTTATTTTCACACATGGAGCGAGTGTTTTTATGAATTTATTACTGAGGATTATTTAGACAATTGGCGATGTAATTCATTTCAATTGCTTTGGTAAGTACCATGTACACACCAAATTTATCTGAAAAAACTAGTGTACAGTAACTCAAAAGAACGAATTGCAAGTGCGTGGAGACGTTCCAAACGTTTGTTATAACGACATGGATGAGCAATTATATAAATTTCTTGACATGTTGTGGTTTGTGTTAATAATTAGCGCCTGACAAGTAGCTTTTGTTAATCCGTGACACGTGTCATCTTTAAAAATAAATGACAGAAGATTGTCTGGCCGTTTCACCTCGCTGACCGCTTAAGATGACCGACTTTAAGATTCGGGAAGCATTTTAGGTGACCGTTGACCGCGGACAGCAGGTGGCCGTTGAACAGATTTATAAAATAGAGTGATTTTCGTTGGGAGCGTCACAAAATGGCCGTTAAGGTCAGGTGACCGCCGATAAGAGGTGACCATTAGTACAGTTTCGACTGTATAAGGAGTTTACTTGTTACTGCACTAAGGTGATGATATGACCTCTACAGTGTTCTACAGTGTGAGTGAACACTTGCCCCAAGATTGAAGAAAGAAAGTGGATGAGATAAAATCTTCCTTATACTAAATCATAATTTGTTAATTTCTTTTCTTCAGCTTCATCATTACTGAGAGAGTTGAAGAAATTAGACGACAAAGCATTGTTAGTGGAGGTACAGTTGTTAGAATCAAAGATTTACCATGCATTGAGTAATCTACCAAAAGCCAGGGCAGCACTGACTTCAGGGAGAACAACAGCTAATGGAATATATTGCCCGCCAAAACTACAGGCAGCCCTAGATCTTCAATCAGGTTGGTGGCATTGTTTTTGGTGAAATCTATTTTTTTTTCAGATGCATTATTTGCATTACAGTGAAACCTCACTCAATCGTGACATACCCATGCTGTCTGATTATGGTTGGCACTGTTTGATATTCAGCCGATAGACAATTATGATTTTTTCCTAAGATTGATGAATTGTTCTGTCCAGATTAAAATCTGGTCAAGTCTATCTAATATATTTTAACATGGCCAGGGTTAAGGGTTATAAAAAGACAATTGAAGGAGAGACAACAGATGGTAAATAATTTTATTGTTTTCTAGGTATACTTCATGCAGCAGATGAGAGAGATTTTAAAACAGCTTACTCCTATTTCTACGAGGCATACGAAGGTTATGATTCTATAGACAGTCCTAAAGCTATTGTTGCCCTCAAATACATGTTGCTGATGAAGATAATGCTGAATGTGTAAGTTGTTTGTTGTTATGCCACCGCAGCATCTGCGATGCGGTGGCATATAGCGATTCATCTGTGTGTTTGTTTGTGTGTGTGTGTGTGTGTTATATAGATTATATAGTGAACTTAAAAAATCTTCTTGTGAAAAACCACTAGTCCAATTTAAACCAAACTTGGCAGGATTGATCCTTGGGTGAAGGGCTTCCAAAGTTGTTCAAAGAATTTCATTCCATGCAGAAATCTGGTTGCCATGGCAACCGAAAGGAATTATAAGAATAAATTTAAAAAATCTTCTTGTAAAGACCCAAAAGGCCTAGAGCTTAGATATTTTGCATAAGGCTTTGTCTGGTAGACCTCTACCAAGATTGTTCAAAGTATAGCCCTGGGGTCAAAATCGGCCCCGCCCCAGGGGTCATTAATTTTAACTATATGTACATATAGTAAAAACTAAAAATACCTTCTTGTAAAGACCCAAAAGGCATAGAGCTTAGATATTTTGCATAAGGCATTGTCTGGTAGACCTCTACCCAGATTGTTCAAATAATAGCCCTGGGGTCAAAATGGGCCCCGCCCCGGGGGTCATTGATTTTCACTGTATGTACATATAGTAAAAACTTAAAATACCTTCTTGTAAAGACCCAAAAGGGCTAGAGCTTAGATATTTTGCATAAGGCATTGTCTGGTAGACCTCTACCAAGATTGTTCAAATTATAGCCCTGGGGTCAAAATCGGCCCCGCCCCAGGGGTCATTGATTTTCACTATATGTACATATAGTTAAAACTTAAAATACCTTCTTATAAGGACCCAAAAGGCCTAGAGCTAAGATATTTTGCATAAGGCATTGTCTGGTAGACCTCTACCCAGATTGTTCAAATTATAGCCCTGGGGTCAAAATCGACCCCGCCCCGGGGGTCATTGGTTATCCTTATATGTATATAGTAAAAACTTACAGTAAAAACTTTAAAAAAATCTTCTAGTAATTGACAAATGCTAGAGGTAAGATATTTTGCATGAAACATTGTGTAGTGAAGCTCTAGCAAGATTGTTCAAATTATAGCCCTGGGGTCAAAATTGGCCCCACCCCTAGGGGTCATTGATTTTCACTATGAACATAGAGTAAAAAATTTAAAAATCTTCTTATCTGAAGGTACAAGGCTTAAAGCTTTGATATTTGGTATATAATATCATCTTTGGGTCCTCTACTAAAGTTGTTTTAATTATGCCCCTAGTGTTGAAATTGCCCTGCCCCAGAGGCGCTAGATTTCTTTATATGTATAAAGTAAAAACTTGAAAAATCTTCTTCTCTGAATTGACAAAGGCTAGAGTTTAAATATATGGCATGAGACTTTGCGAAGTGAACCTCTACCAAGATTGTTCAAATTTTAGCCCTGGGGTCAAAATTGGTTCTGCCCCGGGGGTCATTGATTTACACTATGTATATCTAGTTGTTTGGTGGACCTGTATCAAGATTGTTTTGGATTAAACCCTTGGGTCAAAATTTTGCCTTGACCAATGGGACAGTGACCTACTTTCTTGTCCTTTGATGTACAGCAATGAAATTTTGACCATGTGCACAGTTTTAGTTGTAAAATTGAACTTTGATATCAGGTGACCTAGATTTTGATAATGTGACCTACTTTCTTGTGCTTTGATCTACAGCTATGAAATTTGAACCATGTGCACAGATTAAAATGTAAAGTGGACTTTGATATCAGCTTACCTAGATTTTGACAAAGTGTCTTACTGTGTTGTCCTTTGATGTAGTCATGAAATTTAGTCTGCATGAAATATGACCTTCACCACCAAATTCACTAGACTCAAGTGCATTGATATATTCCTGCTCTGATCTTTTATTTGATTAACAATAGATTTAATCACTAATCTGATAATAAGAATTAGATAGGTCAGGGATCTATGCATTATGACAATCTTCAATTGTATAGAAACAAAAAAAAATATGTTCCTACACTACTATTTAGTGTTGTATTAATGCGGTGGCATAGCATTTTTCTCAAATGCAATCTTGTTTTTGTTATTGTTTCTTTTAAGGAAATGAAGTTCAATTGACAAATGCAGATTTCTGTATTCAACATTATCAATTAATTTACTTCATGTTTTGATGATGAAAAAAAAAGAGAAAAGAATGAAATAAATATACAGATTCAAAATTGTTGGTGTTATAAAATGACCTTTGTAACATCATGATATCTTTGGTGAGTTAAGTTGCTGTCCTAGAATTACTTATTACTGCTGTGTGTTAGAATATAGCCAGGGAGTAGTGACATTCTTTGAATGAAGTCATCTGACTTGCTTATGATATAAGTAAGGCTGTAGCAGTTCTATAAAAATGGCCATTCTTCCCGCAAATAATGCACAAAGTTAATGATAGTTGGTCTCTGTTGCTTACAACAAGCAGTTCTAAATCAAAGATTGTCACATGATGCAGTGTCTAGGAGATTATCTGAATATATCTGAAATTCTATATCATAATGCAATATTGATTAAGTGATATACTTAATTTGTGTTTAAACAAATAAAGAGATTGATATTCTGTATAAATGCTTATTGTAAAATAATACTTTGTGTTTAGAAAATATTAATACCTGTGTAATTGCAAAAAAAGAAAGAAAAACAGTGACATATCATAATACTGACATGTAATTAATCAATGTATTAATCTCTCATTAACAGAGCAGATGAGGTACAGGCTATTTTAAGTGGTAAATTAGCATTAAAGTATTCAGGACCAGAAGTTGAAGCTATGAAGTCTATTGCAACAGCCAGTCACAAACGATCTCTAGCAGATTTTCAGAAGGTAATCTTTGCAACATGTTATTTTATTTATTTTTTTAATTCATCAAATAGGGACTCTTGATTTCTTTCTTTATAGTTTTTTCAGACTTTCATGTACATTATCTCCTACAAGACTGTTAATCAAATGTAGAACTTGATGTTTTAGCTGAATTATTCAAAGAATATGGTGGGGTTTTCACTCTTCCAAGGGTTTTCACTGACATAAAAAAAATGTTTTTATGTTTTGCATGTAACAAAATATATCATTTTCCACTGATGGTATTCAGTTGAAAGTTTACACATGTCTTCAGGATCATTCATATTGTTGATAAAGGTCACTGCAAGATTCAGAACTCTTACATGGATTTTGTTTGAATTAAATCTCTTTATGAAATTTGAAATTTCATGCATAACTGTTTACAATAGTTAACATGTAAGGTCTATCTTAACAGCAACTAAAAAAAAATTAAACTTAATACTTGTCTTCAAAGTCCATTTACAAAAATCCATTTCTCTAGCATGGATTTTTATATAATTATGCCCCTCTAATGTTATAAAAAATTACTGCAGACTTGTTGATTGTAATCTCTTAAGTGACTGTCTGTTTTTTAGGACATCGTGTCTGTATTTACCTTACCTTTACTTTTTCTTGAGATTTAGTCTTTCTCAAGATATTACTATATATTGCATATAAATATAATGATTCCCTGTTTGGTATGACAAATTCCAATTCTGTGTGTCAGTGCATCCTTAAATACACATATCAGGGGCATTTCTCAGTATTTTAACATCCAGGCAACTTTGATTTCTGCTTTAAATTTTATATTTTATATAGATAAAGACAGCAGTATATAAAAGCTGTGTTCTATATGATATTTGTTATCATTATTATGTGTTAGAATGTTTTAAAATTTTAAATGCTATCGATTGACTCTGTATATAAAGACCCTCTATGTATAGTGACTTTATATTGTAACTCCCTTTGGATGTCTCTTAGCAGTTATCAGTAACTGTTCATTAATCCAGCAATGAAAATAGTGAACATTCAAGCCCTTTGCCTGTTTGAAATCCTTGTGTATGTGTTATTGGTTATTTTCTTTGTGGATTTCATAAATCTTGAGATTTTTCAAAATGTCAGCCCTGTTACAGATACCTTCAAAATTTGAAGAATTAAGCAAATTAAATGATAGAATTATTGCATTTGTTTATTACAGACATTGGTTACATTTAAATCCCAGTTAGAAGATGATCCCATTGTCTCAGCTCACCTTACGACACTGTATGATAATTTACTGGAACAGAATCTCTGTAGAATTATAGAGCCATTCTCTAAAGTACAGGTGAGTTTTAAAAAAAAATACTTGTATGTTGATAGGAAATTCAGGTTAGATTGAGGAAATCATTCAAGTTTAAAAGAAACCTTGCATTTAAAGAAAAAACAGGACAAATCAGGTTATAGAAATTGCGTGTAAGCTTTACAAGAAATTGGGTCAAACATAATGAAACTATGGTATATTGCAAGGCAGTATTTGTATAAGAAGATCCTCGTGTTAACATAAACTAAAATTATAACCTATTAATTACAGAAATGGTTGATTAATTATGTTAAACAACTACATGAATGTTGGACCTGTTAATTACAGATTAGTCTATATTTTGATAATTTCAGTGATATGAGCCGCATCACGACAAAACCAACATAATGGGTTTGCGACCAGCATGGATCCAGACCAGGTTGCGCATCCGCGCAGTCTGATCAGCATCCATGCTGTTCGCTATCAGTTTGTTTACTTGTTATAGGGTCTGTAAGCGAACAGCATGGATCCTGATCAGACTGCGCAGGCTGGTCTGGATCCATGCTAGTCGCAAACCCATTATGTTGGTTTTGTCATGACGCGGCTCATATATATTGTATCAAGTGATCACTTTGTGAAATAAATATACATCATAGACTGATTCTAATAAGTACCCTCTATGTTTTTATTGGTTCAGTCACAAGAAATTATTTTTCATAGAAATAGATCTGTTTTGTTTTACCTTTCAGGTGCAGCATGTAGCCAACTTGATCAAACTTCCAGTGGTAATTGTCTAGTAATATTTTATTTTTTAAGAATTGATATATAAAAGAGTTACACCAACAGAAATTATGTTCTGGAATGCCAAAGTACAACCATTTTGGCATTGTGCCTCCATCAACACATAACATATCTGTATAAACTTGTAGATAGGACAAGCAATGATTTGACAACACAAAACATGGCAAATCTGCAGAGTAGACATTTTAATGTCTAACAACATGTGATGAAAAATTGTTATAATGATAAATGGGTCAATACTGACTCAGAAGCCTACATATATTTGTAATTGATATTTATATATATATACACAAATTTATTTATGTAAAGTTGTAAAACAAATGAAATAGCTTTGAAAAAAGAAAGAAGCAAAGTATTTCTAATTTAAATTGAATTTATTTATTTATTTCTTAAACAATGATAAATAATTAGAGAAAAATATCAGCCATTTCCACTCATATTCATTACTATTGTGATATTATTTCATTAGTATACTACCTGTTTAGCACTGTTTAACATCAAGGGATTTGAGAACTCAAAATGTTTTCAATGATGATATATTGGTGTTTGGTTGAAATATATACAGTTAATGAATAGCAACATTGTTTTTTGCTGATTTTCATTAAAAAAAATTAATTTCCTATTGAAAGGTAATTTTCTTTAAGGTATGTTTTAATATTATTTCATGGTTTTATTATGTTGGCATGGCTAATGTTATCAAGAGCTTTAAATGATTCTGGGATAAGAATCGATAAGATATTAAAAAACAACATTTTACAGCATCATCTATTTGTAGTCATTTACTAAGATAAACACACGTACAAGTATCATTCTATAAATAGATTACACTGTTACAATTCACGTTACATGAACCACGGTTGTAATTAAAGCCGTCCGGGTAAACGTCATTTACTTATTTTATTTACTTTGGGCATTTCAGGAGTTACGTTCTTTTTATCGTCACTAAACACTGCAAATAAACAATTGTATCATAACAAACAAAACGGTAAAACACCTTTCAGTTTGTATCAATTAACCATAATTGCCTTTGTCACGATCACGAGGTGTTAAAAACATGTGTCGCCGACTGTCAATTATTTAGAACATGTCGACCCGCAACTTTTGTTGTCTGTTTGAGTTCGACCGAAAAGGTGTGATTTACACTATATTTCTGCCGAAGTGACCGGAGATCAGGTTCGAGAGTTCGAGCGATGGGTGTTCGAGCGATCTGAGGTAGAACAGTATATATTATATAGGAATTTTGCCAGGACTGGGCGATGAGTTCGAGCGAAGGGAGGTATTCGAGCGATCCGAGTTCGAGCGAACGAAGTTTAACTGTATTTATATGTTATTTGGTTGAAATATCAGTTAAAAAGCAAACATGTTTTTTGCTGTTTTCAATAAAAAAAAAATCTTTCATTAAAGGGTATATTTTCTTTAAGGTATATTTTCTTTAAGGTATTATTTTCATTTAGGTTTATTTTGTTGCAGGCTAATGTTGAAAAGAAGCTTTCACAGATGATTCTGGATAAGAAATTTCATGGTTTGTAGGAAATATATTTTATATAAAAAAATTGTAAAAGGGCTGCTATTATGATATTTGAATCAAGAAGCAGGTTATTTTGGTAATTTGAGTTTTATCTTACATTTATTTATTGCTGAAAAGTAAAGAATATCAAAATTGTGAATATAGCTTGACTATTCTAAGAATAACTTCGACTAAGTTTTTAAAACTAGTGAAGGGAATGGGTTGAACCCTTATACAGTTGTTCTCTGTGATTATCTAATATATTATGTACAGGTCCCACAACTATGAATTACCTTTTTACAGAGTTATGCCTCTTTTTCTAAACATTATATGAAAACTTAGGTGGCTACCTAGCTAAATATCATATTTAAGGTCAGATGCGGTATAGTGGTAAGGGTATCTGCCACTTCACTCAGGGTTTGTGGGTTTGAATCCTTCTTGGGTCAATACTACGTTTGCTCATATGACAAGTAATCATTGGCTCCTGGAAATTAATCTCAAAGTTGAGAACATCAACACAATTAAAGTGAAATCAACAAATTTTAACAAATCAATTTTTTGTTGTACAGGAATTTTGGACCAAGGTGCTGGCGTACTTGTTGTGTTCGAAGAGACAGAATCTGACAAAACTTACGAGACAGCGCTCGATACCATCCAAGATATGGGCAAAGTTGTTGATGCTCTGTATAATAAGGCAAAGAAACTTTCCTAAACTAGACCTTATACATTGACTGGTCAATTACATGCATAGTTTTCATATTTATTACTACATTACAAGTTTAAACCAATTGAAATTTAGAAGAAGAAAAAAGCAACATGGAACATCAAATTTATAGGAGTATGAATCACAAGAGAATATTAGAGAATTGTCTACAAGTGCAGAGGCTGGGGAATAATACTGTAATATTATTTAGTTAAGATAGGCACAAATACATTTATCTTAGGTTAAATTAAGTTATGAAATGAAAAGGTACATGCAAGTGTTAAGGAAGAATTCAAGTACCTTGTTGAAATATTGTAATACATTTTTATTATAGACATTAAGGCAGTTTTATTTGCTGCTTTGTATGAAGTTACTTAATTAAGTTAAAAAAAGTTAGACAAAAAAGTTATTTTACCAAGTGTATGAAATTATAAGGCAAAACTTGTTTAATTGATACATATATAATAACTTTAAATTCTTCATGGGTGATATATTGTAAAACAAAAATATGTGCTATTAAAATTTGTTTATGTGATGAACTGTTTTTGATTTATCTAGATGTGTTGCATTTTAACCAGGTTTTCCAGCGGGAAATTCTGGTTGTTGTGGGAAACTCTGGTTGTTTGAGTAGAGAATGATGATGTACAGCTTGGTGTAAACAATATGTTTCATGTGTTATTCCTCATTTATTTTTCAAATTATTACAAACTTGGGCAGGATAATTGTCATTGACATTAGGTATCCTGACTAATATTTTCAGCATTTAGTGATCTGATAATTTTTGGCAGAATTATGGCTTTTGTTGTTGATAATCCATCTAATTATGTAACAGTGTCAGAAAATCCTGTTCATGTGATAATTTCCTGTCTTATCTTTATTTTTTCACCAAGACTTGTCTGTTGATCTCCTTGTGTGAGGCATTTATTCGTGTTGTATGTTTTAAGTAAGACTTTACCCAATCTTTACTTCATTATCAAGTGATTATAAGTGATCTTTGGCAGGGTGACCAGTACTTTGTCAGTGTCACTGTTAAACCTTAACAAATGTTTAGTGATCTAAGTTGGAAAATTATGTCAAATAATTGAGATTATTTGCTATATTATTCTTTGTTTTAAATAAAAAAATAGAGGAATTTTGTTGTATCAAATTGTCTTTCTAGATTTTTAACCAAAGAAATTTTGAAATAAAGGACATAAAAGAAAATACAATGTTAAGGAACTATGGGCAACTAGGTTTCTTTTCCAAGTTTTGTGAAATATTTCTATAAGCTGTGTTGTGTTAAATTGCTTTTTTTGCCAAAAGAAACAACTACAACAAAAACTTCTAGCTGTTCATTTCATCTTTATTTCAAGATTCAGTTAATACAACAGATAAATTTCTAAGTAAAGTTTAAACACTGAAACATCTGTATTTCATTTATACAAGAAAAGAAAAACAATTATACACTGAAACAATGTCCATTTAATTTATAACAACACATCTGAATAAACTTTGGTATAAACTATTGACTAACTTGAAAACAAAATTCTCGTGAATTGAAAATAACAGATTTATAAGAACATGTAAATACAGTAGTAATTACTTCTCTGACAGAAACAAAATCTAGTGTCTATGAGTTATCATCCAGACAAATACAAGAAAGTGAAATCTAGTGAGAGTACCCATATACAAAAATATACTTGTGAATCGGTGTTCCCTGTAAGCCTTAGTAACCTACAAGCTCTACTCTTATATTTTGATAATCTGCTTTTAATCTTACCATACCAAATATTATGATAAATGGACATGCCCATCTTTCAATGTAGACAAAACCATTTATTTTTAGGGAAAATTTATATATGTACTGACCTGTAATTTTCTTAAATTCTAAGTAAATCAGTGAATAATTATCAGATATTATATCCCATAGACTGGTTTACAGATCTTGAAGGCAAATACTTATAGAGTAGCACTGTGATTAGGACAGGTTATACCCATCTTGTTGGCAGCAAAAAAAAGTTATGATTACAAATGTTCATTAAATGTATTTGAATTTGATGACAGTATGATATAAGCATATTATGAGGATTCTTCATTAGAAAAAAAATTGTAGTGTTTCAACAAGCCACTAAAGCATTTAAATTGGTCAAACCTACAGGGAATTCTACAGTTTTATGGTGTTTGCCTCTCAGCCCAAGAATCATGAGTTTAAACCCTATTCAGGTCACTTTCTTAACACGACACCTGTACAAGTAAGTTTCAAGAAAGGGGCCTAAAATCTCAAATGTGATTTATGTAATTTGTTAGATTTTTTTCACAAGCATAAATAGAATTTTTAAAACTAAAATAGTTAAGTCAAACCCATAAAACTGTTGAGAATGTTTATGTTACCTTTGATTATAGATAAGTTAATTATGAAGCAGGTACAAGTATTTTCCCTAAACCCTTTAATTCTTAGCCTGCTTAAGGTAACAGGTTTTACCCCATAGCAATAGTGCAGACCATGATCAGCTGGCACAAACGTGTTGTCTTGTCATGGTCAGCGCTGTATCCTATTCAATCTGTACTTATTTTGAAAATTTCCCTAAAAATGATGAATGGTTTAGTTCTGATTGAAAGATAGGCAAGTCCATTTAAGATATTTAGTGTGGTAAGGTTAAAGTGCTAACAGAGATAATAATAGCTCTATGTCACCAGTAGTCAAACCATTTGCCATGCTAGTGCAGACTGACCAGATTCAATACTGTTGGTTTCTCAATTTCATTTCTTTTGATAATAAAATCCCTATAAATTTTAATGGGCAAGTAATGTAGTTATGAACAATTAATTCTTTTATATTTTTGTTATGTAGTTTTTCAATATTGTCTGTGTTTCTCATATTAATTCTGTGCCTTTCAGAAACACAAAGATTTCATTTGTATGTGATCATTAGGTCTAAATATTCTTCATGGCTAAGTAATTGAAAGGGGGAAATCTAAATTTTGACAAGTTGCAATGTATTTTCCCAATTTTGACAAATGTTTTGTAAAATTCCTAATTTTCATAAAAAATGAATAATAAAAATCCTTATTTTGACAATGTGCAATAATTTTTCTCAATTTTGCCAATGTCACATGTAGAATTTCAATCATGATCAGGAAAAAACCTGAAAAGAGATCATGTAAATGTTTTCAGTAAGTCTTAATTTCTCCAGCTTGGCCAAATAAATACTAGGATAGGTTCAGTGATGTTGAACAGAGGTCACCATTAAATATTCATCTGAATTGCAAGGTCTGTTCTACATTAAACAACAATGCATTATTTTTACATGACTTTGATAGGAAGCTGTTATAACAGTTTTATCTCAGTAGGTAAAAATTAAAATGAAATATAGAATTTATTCTTATTTAGAAAAAAAATGTTAAGTTCTCTATTGTTTAAGTGAGAAAATTATCAACCAATTATAATAAACATTAAGTTTGTATGATTTTGTATCAGTTCCAACCTACATGTATTTCATTATTTAATAATGTTTAAGTTGGAACCTTACCTAGATAATCAAAGGGGATTGTAATATGAAAAAGCTAAAATTGAGCTTTTGACAGAAATGAATTTGGTTTGACTTCATGAATGTGCAGACTGACCTGGCTTTAAACTGACCACACAAGAAAGTTATATTTCCTGCTAGCTCACCCGGAGCAGAGACACTCCTGATAATCTGTCTGTACAAAAAAAAAATTTCAAACAAAAATCCAATATCCTATCCAAAGATACCAATCATTGTTTACACCCCTATACAAAAGAAAAAACAAAACAATTAACATTATAGCAATTAAAATCTTAAATTCATAATTTCACAATACTGGCAACCCTGTTATATTGAGAGAGAAACTTTGTCAGAAATTAAGTCAGTGTAAACAGGTGTCGCAATATTTGCTTTGTACAAAATACAAAAATTTCAACAAATTCAAAAATTTCCATAATCTCATGTAAATTACAAAAGTACCAGATTCTACAACAACATATATGCAACAATCATGTGTGTAATTAACAAATGTAGCTCATTTTGGGTATATCTAGTATTCACATTTTCTTTTACACATGAAGTGGGACAAAATCACAAATTGAAAACCAGTCTGAATTATAGATGCTTCCCATTGGTCAATTTCAAATGCATGCTAAAAATGAACCAATTGGATGCTGAAGTTAAGACTGGTTTACAGATTCTGTTTTATCTTACCTTTGGACCAAAGTTTACATAAAGAGCATGTAAAGTGATATGAAATTAACATTATTTTCTAGATTATTAAAAAATATATATTCATGTATAAATTACATGGAGCACAAATTTATCCAGTGTAATAGTAAAATATAAGATATACATACATAATCTATGTTTTCTACCTGTAACCAAATTTATTTAACAAATGAGCCGCGTGACGACAAAACCAACATAATGGGTTTGCGACCAGCATGGATCCAGACCAGCCTGCGCATCCGCACAGTCTGATCAGGATCCATGCTGTTTGCTATTAGTATCTCCACTGTAAGCGAACAGCATGGATCCTGATCAGACTGCGGGGATGCGCAGGCTGGTCTGGATCCATGCTGGTCGCAAACGCACTATGTTGGTTTTGTCATGACGCAGCTCAAATAATGTTCAAATTAAACTTATTGTTGACATCAGTGCTAGATTTTTCTTATCTAAAATACTTAAAAAGAAAGGAAACAACCTATGTTCTGCTTCAACATTCATGTATAACAAAATATTTTAATTTGGGAAAGAAATCCAATTTAAAGCATATTGAGATAGATTTTATTTTCAAGAAAAACTATATTTCTCTAGAATGACCAAAAACAGATTAACTGGCTCATGATTGACATTATTTTGTTACCAATAAAGTAAGAAAAATGTACCATTAATTTTATCAAAATTCCACCATGAATAAAACTTTTATCTGATATTGTAGACACAAAAACAATTTTGTTTTTTTTTAATATTGACAGTAAATGTTACGATTTACATGCTATATGCAAAAATGTTGATTGATTTTTACCATTTGTATTATGACACAGATATGCCATCTGATTTTGGTCAGCACTTTTCACATTGGTATATTTTGAAGGTGCCAGTAAGATGAATGTTACGTACATTTTAAGATAGGGTTTTTTTTTATGTGAATTGAAACTTTGTTGTCTTAAAAATATGATTGCTATTCAAAATGCTTTATGTATTTTCATAAATACTATCTTGAACCTGGAGGCATACCACTTTAAGTCCATAAGTAAAGGAGCTTTTTTAGTTTGGATATCAATTTATATGATTTTGGTAGAATCCATGGTCAGTTGAGACTAGGAAAATTAAATCTCTAGGGTAAAACATGTATTATTAAAACCCTAACAGTATTTCTTATAAGGATTTTACAATATACATGTATTATATAACATATATGTACATTTATTCACAAAACAAACACACTAAGCCCCTGGTATACATTTTTTATGAGGTCTTATGTTAAATTGCTTATACATGCAAAAAAAAACAACTTTACACATATGTCATAACTTTAAACATCATGTTATAACTTTACACATTATCTCATATACTCATATATGTCACTACTGATAACACCAATAAATCTCATAACACAGGGTTTTAAATCAATTTATGCTGTGGCTTATCTTTCAACTTTCTATATAGATGTATTCAATATAATATGCCTTACTTCCTTCCGTTGGTTGCCATTTTAGGGTTAATCCCAATATATTATATAATAAATATTTAAAGAAAAAAACATCACAATTTTATTGTTTTCATGTTGTTGCAATAATGTTATTTCTATTCTTGTATGTAAGAAGAATTTGACAATTATCCTTTACTGTAAATATCACCTGCTCTTTTTTTCTATTTTCCCCCTTTTATAAATGACTGCCACTTTTACAAAGGGAGCTAAATATGGCAAAAATCAGGAACTATCCATTGCAAATTATTTCAGAATGATAATAAAATAATATATATATACCCAGCTCTCAACTACTAATATTGCTAATCTTTAATTAACAAGAATTCTGTGGAAAATGATAATACAGTACTGTTCTGTTCTGTTCTGTTCTACAAAAAAACAATTTATTGATACTACTCAGTTAAAATTAGAACACAAGTAGAAAAAATTATACTGATTTGATAAATAGAAATATTTTCATTGTAAATTACTCAAAATTGATAACAATTCTCTTTTAAAAATAACAGTTTGTTTATATTGTTCAAAAATATTCCATTAAAAAATTGATACAATTTTCCTTTATGTTTTCCTAAAGAAAATAACCATTTTTTTTTAGAGTTTTATCATTATTACTAGTATTACTAATGTTAAATCACTCAATATTTATATGGATTCACTTCAAAAATAACTATTAATATTGATTCAAAGTAAAAATTTGTCTTATATAAATATAAATATTTGATTTTATATTTTATTTTCAAATTGGATTATAATATATTTAATGAAGGTTGAGTAAATTATAAATGTAAACTTTAGCAGGAAAATCATCATTAGAAGAACAAATGGGTCTTATTTAATTTTGAGTACCACCCCTGTATTGTACTGTATTGTACTTGTTTTCAGGTGATTTAACAAAATTCTCTAGAATAATACTGATAGTGTTAACAGATATGTCTAATCTTATTCTAAGTTTTAATTCTTATCTTTAAAAAAAACAATATCGAAAAAACAATTTTATATACTTATATCTGTATTTTCTGTTTTTGTTGTTGTTGTTGTTTTTGTATTTTCTTCATTCAAAGATCAAAATATTATGAGTGCCAACATGTTATATTGTATTAGTAAAGCAAGAGTCAATTGTGATAGGTCTTTTAAAGCAGCTCAAAATCTTATCATTTATTTTGTCAGGTCTCACCGTCTATACTTTAAACATTTTAAAAAAAGGTACATCAGCAGATACTTTATGAATTGATACTGAAAGATCTTGAAACAAATCAGCACACTTCTGTCTTTAGTTATAGATTATATTAATTACATAAAATCAACAGTGAATTTGATCAAGTAGACAATTTACAAATAATGCAACTTAACTTTACACAGTCAACTAATATTTAAACATTGAACTTAGTTTGGTAGGTAATTTAGTCATTGTGACTTTTACTTTAACTTTTACTGGTAATTCAAATGCATAATTTAGACAATGACTCAAAAAAAAGGTAATTTAAATAATGGGACTTAAGGGACATGTTGTTGTTTGTTGTTGAATAGATTGTTAATAATTAGTCTTAATAGCTTGTTAAACACATGACACATTGTCAAATAGATAATTTGAATAATAAAACTTTTTGTTAAATAGATACTATAAACAAAGAATCTTTGTCAAAAAGATAATTTGAATAATGAAACTTAGTCAATTAGATAATTGTAAATAATTGTAACAATGAAACTGAGCCAAGTACATATACATATAGATTTTAAAAAATGACACTTAGTCCAAAAGATAGTTTGTTAAAAAAGAAAAACAATAAAAACAAAAACATTATGTCACAGATATAATTTGAATAATGAAACTTAGTCATCTAGATTATTGTCACTATGAAACTTGGTTAAATAAACAATGGTATTTAGTCATACAGATAATTTGAATAAATTTTAACAATGAAACTTAGTCAAATAGATTACTGAAATAATGAAAAGAGAATAAAATTCAATAGTCTAAGAATATTTAAACTACAATAATAAAACTTGGTCAAACAGAATCTTTAAGTTTGAAACATGGTAAAATAGGTACTTAAAGTTTGAAACATGGTCAGATAAATATGTTAAGTATGAAACTTGGTTAAAAGATACTTGAAGTGTGAAACTTGGTCAAAAGGAATCTTTTAAGTATGAAAATTTCAAAAAGTTTTTTAGAGTTTGAAACTTGGTCAAATAGATACTTGTTTGAAAAATTAGTCTGACTAATTATTTGAAAAATGAAGCTGTTCAATAAACACTGAAACTCAGCCAAAGAAATTGTTAAATTATGCAAAAAATTAAATCATTTGACCAAGTTAAATAAATAGTTTGAACAACAAAACTAATCCATGAAACCATTTTATACATGTAGATTTTTTAAACCATTTATAGACAAGACACAAAAGTCAAAAAGAAATTTCAAACTCATTTAAAAAGTAAATGACACCAAAACTTCAGTATTATAAGAAATTCTGATATTTAATCTGAAATCATATAAAAAAGCAAGTGCTGAAGTGACATCATAAGTTTTGTGACTAAACTATTCTTGTTTTATAGAGCATATCTGATAATGTATTTTGTGTTTACAGTTCTGGTAGAAATTGGTCATGTGTTTCTTTAAAGTCAGAAATAAGCACGTATTCCTTTAATGCCCTTGGCATGTTGACCTTTTCTATCTTTTCCACGATATTGTGCCCAAGACGTCGTCGTATCACTTTACGGCACAGCCGTTGAAGTGACGTTGCCGTCTGCATTTTCCGGCGCAACCAGTGCAGAACTTCCTCCGTCTCACTTCCAACACGTGTCGGTACGTAACCAGCGTAGAAATGAACACGCGCTGAGAAATCAACGTAACCATACTTTGCCAGCAGACGACAAATATCAAAATGCCCCTTTTCAGCGGCTAATTGAAACAAAGATTTGTAAACACCTGTGCAAAAGTACTTAATTGGTTGTTCTAAATCACAATTATGGATTACCATAAGTTTAATCACATCAAGTTTGTTGCTAATCACGGCTTCGTATGCCGCAGTTTCCCCCTGGTGGTTGTAAATGTCATGTCGCGTGCCGGCCGCGAGGAGGAGCTCTACCACCGCGGTATAGTTCCGTTTAATGGCGATATGCAGTGCAGTGTCGCCGGTTTTGAATTCTCGTCTGTTGAGATCACAGTTCGCACGAATCAACCGCGCAACTGCTTCTCTATGGTTGTAACACACAGCTTCCATGAGAGGGGTCCGCCCCCAATAATTTTGAACGTCCACTTGACTGTGTGACGCAATCAAAATATCTATGATGTCAGCACACCCGTTTCTTGCGGCGTAATGTAACGCCATGTCGCTATTACGGTCGGTAATGTTAATATTACTATTACCCCTTAATAATCGCAGTACGGCGTCTGTTTTGTTGTTTCTGACAGCCTTCATAAGTGGTGTTTTAGACGTGATATCTTGGATGTCCACGTTTACGCCACGCCTGATCAACACATCTAGAAACTGGCAATATCCGTCGTCGGCGGCGTAATGACAGGGTGAATTACCAAACGTGTCTTTGACGTCGAGTTTAGCCCCTGCAGCGATTAATAGTAACATACACGCCATCTTGTGTCGCAATACGGCAAAATGGAGTGCCGTTCGTCGGAGTGTCGACGTTGTTTTATTCACGTCACATTTTGACTCTATGAGGTATTGTAACATGTATGTATAGCCTCGATACGCCGCCAAGTGTATCGGACACAGATCTGCGTGATTCTTCTTCCGTACTTCCACAAACTTTGCATTAAGGTCATTCTTATATTGGGCGACTATTCGTTTCAATGCAGTCAACTCGTTGTTAAGAACCGCATCGTAGAACTCGTAGCCGGCCATTTGCGTTTTTAATAGCATTGATAAACTGTCTGACTAACCCCTGTCTGTCCCCAAAACTTACTTGTCCCTCTTTCCATCTCGTATCAACTCAGCCTCTTGCTGAATTCAAAACAACACTTTCTAAAACATGGCGGATCTGAAGAAATTTCCTCGAATCTATCCCAAGAATCCTCTGTTATGACGCACGTAAAACCATTTTGATATAAATTACATACATTAAATTGGAATGTTCTATAGCGAGGCTGGAGTTATCGATTAGTAAGTTACAGCGGCTGCACTGAGTGTTGATATCGATAAAAATAACCTCGGGGAAGGGAGAAAAACCTAGCTTTAAGCTTCAACTAGAACTGATGTTGTTACCTCTCCTTGTCTGAAGAAAAAAAAACGATAATACACATGTATCATTAACCACAGGCTCATTCATATCATATTTCTTCATAGAATATTTAAAAAATACATATTCAAAAAACATACATATCAAATATACAAAAATACATTTTCGTAAAATATATGAAATTGTTGTTACATTATCGCGGGTTGGAAGTTTAAATTTCCTTACGAGTTATACAATGATTGATTAATATTAACGTGGAAAATTTGAAAATTCAATAAAGGGAAAGAAAAAACGCCTTTGAATTATTTAACAAATTCTACCTAAGATTAACGCTACCTCAGATCTAACATTGGTTTAACCCTTGACCTGCTGGAACCGAAAATGATTTACCTATAACACCAGCAGCATCCGCGACGTCTGTCTATGAACTATTGGTAACGTTATTTCTGTGTTCCCTTTAATTTCCAATGGTTTCAAATTCAAAGCAGGGCAAACCTAGCAGGTTTAAGTATTAAAAAATAGGGACGATAATGCATACGAGAAAGGGACATAAATACAAAGACGTGTTATGTAGATCTATTTAATTGTTTCCTTAACCCTTACCACAAAACGGGTCATTGTTTAAAGGACAAATTTCAAAATTATGTACTGACTGAATAATTAACAGTGCAGACAATGATCAGACGACATGGAGGCACCGGTTGATGATGATCGGCAATGGTCGAAGGAGTAGGGACTGTTGCCCTCAGCAAGCTAGGAGATAATATAAATATAAGCGTTTATTTCATATTTGGGAACTTGGGATGACATTCAAACGTGTACCATGTCAATTTGTGCTTAAATTTGTAATTAAAATTTTTTAAAAAAGTGTTGTATGTTAAGATACAAGGCAGTGATAAACATTTGGGATTCTATATCGATGTAAATAAAAAACAGAGAAAATCAGATTATAAAAATTAGCGTCTTTTATTTATTTATTTATTTATTTATTTACTTGTAACAAAGAATCATGCTTTAACAACCGGTGATTCATATAATCTTATTTTTTGTAATAAAGAGAAAATTTATGAATGCAGTGGATTATGTGTAAGTAAATTCCAAAGTTGGATAGCGGACTAATTAACCGACTTGGCACATACCCGCCGATCGGGGACATGGAGGAGCGTTCGAAAAATACCTAAACGTCGTTTCATAACTTGTTAATGGAATACTTTATACAACACTGATACGTTGGTGTATATTCTGAGAAAGATAAATACACATGTTACGATGAATTGTTTATTAAAGATTAACAAGTGGACCCAGGTATTATTTCCGGTCTTACTTTTTGCATTTGTTATGTTAATGATAAAAACAAAATATTTACTTATCAGCCACTATATAAGCCAATTAATAATAAAGTAAAATATGATAATATGATGGTGAAATGCGCATGTCACTTACCTCCCTTTCTTTATAAACAACATTTGTACCTTAATGACTCAATGCTTTATTTAACCACATGCGTCAGGATCTAACCCTCTAATCTAAGTACTATCCAGTCTTAGTATTAATTTTAAAGTGACGGTGTGTGCTTTGGACAAATCCGACCTTTCAGAGTGTCGACTGCCAGGCGGTTTTAGAATTTAGGTATGTACTAGTTTTATCGGTTATTTATAAGCTAACTCGTGCAAATTAATTAGTTAGGTCGCTATTGGCCCAACCGTGCTAATTACGTATTCAGAGCTTCAAAAATATCGGAAATTTTGATGTTCTTTCGAAGCATGGAAAACTGTATTAACCCATTACCCCATGAGCATTTTGTGAAAAATGGCTGTTTCCATTGAAAAGTCTCCCGTTACAAGTTCAAGTTGCTATAAAACTATAAAAACTGCTTCAATACTAATCAAACTTGGCACAAATGTTGACTGGACCATTCCCTTTGTAACAACATGCTCAGTCTGAAATTTCCTGTTACCATGGCAACTAGGGGACATCTCAAAATTGCCAAAAATCACTATTTTGTGTTGATTTTTTCCATCAAAATTGATTTCAAAGTGCTGCCACTTCTCAATGGATTGAGATACAGTCAAAGGCTTTTCAGCATTGGTTACATGTTACCTTATGATCGACCTGGGGCCATTTTTAGCCTCCCACAAGTCCAAAATTTTCTTGGCGATGAGGGGGACTCTCCCCAAACAAACAGAAGGGGGCACATCCCCCTTCTGGCAACCCCCTGATGTATCTTTTGGATGGGGGGCCGCGCCGAAAAAGTGGTCAATTTTTTAAACAACATTTCTCAAACAAAAACAAGTGTTTGGGGGCCTAAATGAGGCATTTTTTCACCATTTGAGAAAGCAAAAAGGGGGAGGGGGTGAAAAAGGCGTAGAAAGGCGTATATATCTGGTAATGGGTTAATAAAACAGATGATATTTATAAATAACTTTTAACCTGTTTTGTGTATTGATCAGGTAATTGATATATTTATCTCATTCTGTTTATTTATTTTTTGATAACCCACTTTTAATTTGGTGCATGTATGTAATATAATCAATTTTCTAGGTTTAATATGTAGGCCTACATGCAGTCATTGTTTTTTTTATATATATTATTGCCTTTTCAATAAGAAGGTTTATATAAACTTGTACATTAAGTCTTAGCCTTTTTCAGCAAATTTCTTTGTTGGATTTGACATGTACCAAGGTCTGATATACACTTGCATGACATATACAATGCCTTTTATCTGGCCCTCAGGTTACTATGTATACTTCAGTATTCCTTATATTCCATTTACAGTAAAAACCCTCAATTAAGACCACCACCGGGACTGGACCAAAGTGGTCTTAATTGCGGGGTGGTCTTAATTGTGGATATTCTTATCATTGCTTACACACGATATGACCAGGGCCTATTTTAGTCATTTTGTATGAACAAACAATATGTATCTTAACCTGCAAATACATTATAAAAGTATATATTTTATAATGAGAAAACATATTTCTGAAGAAATTTAATATAAAATTTTCTTTGCTCTGATTTGAATAATAATTATTGTATGAGATACATAATTCACATATCATATCAGACTTTATTTCTTCACAAAACAAATGTGCATAAAGCAACATTAAACCACTATGAAATTAACATTCTCACCTTTTTTCATTAAATATCCCATAAATAACAGCTTTTGACACCTTGTGTAATCAAGTGTCATGCCTAAGAGCAATCAAGCAGAGAATAACACATTTAAGATCTAGGAAGGTGTTGATTTTAATATAGAAATGATCCCTAAGAGTAAGGTCTTAATATATATATATTATGCCAGCCCGCATAGCTCAATCGGTTAGAGCGCGAGACTTGTAATCTCGACATTGTGGGCTGGCCAACTAAAATTACTAATCAGTCTTTCAGATGAGACTTTAAATCGAGGTCCCGTGTATGGGTGCTTAAACACTTGGCACGCTAAAGAACCAGGAGAAGCTTCTGGAATTGGGGCATCTTTCTGTATCTGTAATTGCACTATCCTCCAAAAATCTAAAATGACTAATACTCTTCTGGAGGACTCGCCCATATGGGCAACCGGTGGCGAGTATAAATAAACGCAAATACACACACACACACACACACACATGATTTTAATATCAGTGGTCTCAATAGTGAGGTCAAATAAAGAACAAAATAAGGAATTGGGACTGAATTTGGTGGTCTTAAATGTGGATAAGTGAGGTGGTCTTAATTCTGGATCATGTAACCATTGACATAAAGAACAGAAAATTCCGTTCTTTTAAAAACTGGGGTGGTCTTAAATCCGAGGTGGTCTTTAGTAGGGATTCTACTGTATATCCCTTTTATGCAGTTTGAAATGTTCTGTAGCTAATATAATTCAACATCTACTAGAATCAATAGCTTTATTCAATATAAATATTGTAACTATCTTTTCTCCTGGTGAATATTTCAGAATATGACATCTATTTTATACCAGTTTCCTCACATTAAGTAGCCTCTATTTTTTTTACCAGTTTCCCCACCTTAAGTGAAATCTATTTTTTTACCGTTTCCTCACATTAAGTGACATCTATTTTATATCAGTTTCCTCACCTTAAGTGACATCTATTTTTTACCAGTTTCCTCACAATAAGTGACATCTATTTTTTACCAGTTGCCTCACCTTAAGTGACATCTATTTTTTACCAGTTTCCTCACATTAAGTGACATCTATTTTATACTAGTTTCCTCACCTTAAGTGGCATCTATTTTTTTACCAGTTTCCTCACATTAAGTGACATCTATTTTTACCAGTTTCCTCACCTAAGTGACATCTATTTTTTACCAGTTGCCTCACCTTAACTGACATCTATTTTTTAAACCAGTTTTCTCACATTAAGTGACATCTATTTTATACCAGGTTCCTCACTTTAAGTGACATCTATTTTTTACCAGTTTCCTCACCTTAAGTGACATCTATTTTTTACCAGTTTTCTCACCTTAAGTGACATCTATTTTTTTACCAGTTTCCTAACATTAAATGACGTCTATTTTTTTTACCAGTTTCCTCACATTAAGTGACATCTATTTAATACCGGGTTCCTCACCTTAAGTGACATCTATTTTTTTACCAGTTTCCTTACCTTGCATGACATCTATTTTTTACCAGTTTCCTCACATTAAGTGACATCTATTTTATACCAGGTTCCTCACCTTAAGTGACATCTATTTTTTTTACCAGTTTCCTCACATTAAGTGACAACTTTTTTTTAACCAGTTTCCTCACATTAAGTGACATCTATTTTTTTTACCAGTTTCCTCACAATAAGTGGCAACTATTTTTTACCAGTTTTCTCACATTAAGTGACATCTATTTTTTACCAGTTTCCTCACAATTAGTGACAACTATTTTTTACCCGTTTCCTCACATTCAGTGACAACTATTTTTTACCCATTTCCTCACATTAATTGACATTAATTTTTTACCAGTTTCCTCACATTAAGTGACATATATTTTTTACCAGTTTCCTCACATTAAGTGACATCTATTTTTTACCAGTTTCCTCACCTTAAGATGTTGGAAAAATTCAAGCCTCTGGTTAAAAATAAACTGTTTTAGTAGATTAGATGTATATCTGTTATTTGTACAAGACAGTTCCAATGTACACTATACAACAAAAACAACAACAGCAACGACAGAGCTATTTTATTTATTCAATGGTCACAAATTACATGACAACCTACTAATAATATAACGGTCATGATTTTGTGAAGTTACATTATGTGGCATCTGATGTCCTGTTGTCCTCAGTTATCTCCCATTAATGCCCTTGGGAGAAGGTACAATTAGCATTTTTCGTGGGTTGATTGATATTTATCAATTTCAACACAATTAATGTCAGTCACAATGCCATGTCACTTCACACTTCATACAAAAACTCTAGGCAGTATCAAGATAAATAAACCATAATTATTGCTTTCCATAAGTCATCTCCACTTCCTCAACAAAGGCAATTATTAAACTTGTTTTGGTAGCTGAAGTTTTTTGGCATCTGCAAATAGCAGACAATCTGATATTTCTTTCTTTCATTTAAGTAAATAGATATTACATATTGTGTCAACTACTTAAATGTAATGAGATATTCATTTTTTCCCAAAATTAAAAGAATAGGTTTATGAACCTTCAATTTTTTCAATATCAGATAGTGTTACACTGGAACATAATGACCTGACCAAGTCATGACACTCTGTCAGCATTTAAGACTTAGTCATTTGATCAAACAGTTTATGAATGGCCTGATAATTTTTCAAGATTTTCTACTTTTTGGAGTCATTATTTTTTCTATACTTAATAACAGGACAACAAAGTTGACTTTAGACATGGAAGTCTTTGGTGTTTCCCTGTCTTTATGGACTGTAGTGACCACGGTTTTGTTACTTTGGATTATATCAGTGATGTAAGTATTTAATACTATTGAGTTATTAATAACTATAATAAAAATATTTTTTTTTTAAAAGTTATATATTTATTTATTTTTATTTATTTTTTTTTTTTTTGGGGGGGGGGGGAGTATAAAGTTTTACCTTTCTCCATCCGTCCTACTGTCAAGCTGTCCAAATGTGGAAATGAACAAACAAGTGGAATGCATTTTTCAGACAATTTTCTAGTTTATGATATCAGTTATCTTTTGACATGTAGGAGATATTGAATTTAATGTTTGTTAAGATATGAACTTCAACATTGTATTGTTTGCACCCTAAGTTTGAGTTGTTTTATTTTGTTTGAGACTTAAAATAGACTAGCATGAATTTAAAATATCTTTGTCAGAAAAAGAAGAAAAAGGTTAAGAAAAATATTTTTTGAACAAAAAAACTTTAGAGAATTTTTAGGGAAACAGACCAGGAACACAATGTATACATTCAACAAGGTAGTCTGAAATAAAACTTTACCTAAATATAAATGGTTTGAACTAAAATATATATAAATGGTTTGAATTAAAATCAGAAAATATATTTGATTGCTTGTGAGTTATATATTTTCTGATTTTAATTCAAGATGTATGTAACTCGCAAGTAATCAAATATTATGTCACAGTCAAGTAATCCAATATGATATGACCCGTTTGTCATTAATACTTTATATATTTCTCGTATGATCTCTGATCTTAATTTTCAGATATGAATGGTTATCTCATCTTGCATGGAGGAGAAAATACAAGCTACGAGGAGATTTCCCACTACCACTGGTTGGAAACTTGTTTTCTGTTACAGGCCAGGTGATTTTAGATTCATATGTCAACAGATTACAGTAAACTTCACTTATAGCAAACACGGTTATAGCGAACTTCCGGTTATAGGGAACAATTTATTTTGGCCCGAATTTTGCCCTTCTTTATTTAATATAAAAATATACGGTTATAGCGAACACGGTTTTAAGGAATTATCGCTTATAAGGAACTCATTTCTTAGTCCCAATTTAGTTAAAAGAACAGAAAATTACACTTTTATAACGAACTCCAAAATATTGACTATCCGTAAATAGATCCCGCATTTTCAGCATTCGTTTTCATTGGCACGGATTAAAACTCGGCCGAATGTACCGTTTATTGTTGTATGTACTTCAATACATCTATTAAAATGAATTTGTACAGTTTTCTATTTAGGATATTTTTAGCATGAGCTCTTTTCACCAAGATAAAACGGTTATTCCTTTCATTCTAGTATTTCTTTTCTTCAATAGTTTTGCTCGAGTAAAATAATTATAATAATTTATAATCGGTTTTCAACATAATCATGCATGCTTGCATGCATGATCCATTGCAAACTGCAAAGTACGCTTGATTTAAATGAAAAAAGCTATATCTTTCATTAGTAAAAGTCACCTTTAAAATATAATAGAAGATATTCAATATAAAAGGAAGGAAAAAATCAAAAATCTTGTTTATTCTCAATCACGGAAAGAAAACGAAAAGAGTTTAGAAACAAAATAATATATTTTATGAGAAATAGGGAGTAAATAGGGAGTAAAACTAAAACTGAAATAGTTTCAAATTCCAAAAAATACAATCAAATGCTCTCCAAAATGGCGGACGATGGTAAACATAATGTAAATCTGTTCGCTATAAAACTCCTGATACAAGGAACTAATTCGCTATATGCTTACAAGGAACTCCGGATATAAGGAACAGATTTTGAATGCCCCGATGAGTTCGTTATAAGCGGAGTTTACTGTACTTGACTCAATGTATGCATGGCAAAAGTTCTATAAAGTTAAATGTTTTTGAAACTTAAATGAGATAAATGTTGTTACAATCTGCTTAAGATAATCAAGATTAAAGTTTTATTTTTATGAAATTTCTTTCTTTGCAAAAGTACAATATTATGATGAGGTATTTGTGAAATCTATATTATTCATAGAATTGATAATAAAATGTCCAAAATGAAAGTAGCTACAATATCATGTGATGTTCAGATATGATTGGTATCTACTTTTCAGAAATGGGAAAAAGTAGATGATAAAATGTTAGAGAAATACGGACCAGTATCTGTGTAAGTGTATAATGACCAAAAACATCCGTATGAAAATCAGAGTTCAATTTTATGTTTGTGTATGTATCTATATAATTTATTGATTTTTATTGAATCATAATTCTTAGAATTTGCAGTCAATCATAGTGGATGTGTGGGTGGGCAAATGTATAGAATTACTACTTCTGGAGAAAAACTGTTAGTTAAGTCTGTAGATCTGTGGAACATTATTCCAAGTATCCCTTTATTCAAGTTGTGGTCAGGCTGCATAACTTTCTCACCCTGTGATGCACTTTAGCAAGCAAATTGATTTAGTGTAGGGGCCATGCAACAGCAAGCTAACAGCCAGTAGGTTCATTATGTAACAACAGTATATTGGGCCCTGGTCCTGTTCATTATATGCCAATAAAAAAATGAAACATAAACCCCTATAAACAAGATTTACATTACTGTATAATACTTGTTTGTTTTTTGCCTATTTGTATTTTACATTTTACAGGATTACTTTTGGTAAATTTACAACCATTAATGTATCTGATACTGGTTTGCTGAAGAAAATATTTATCAAAGATCATTTGAACTTTCAAAACAGATTTGTAAGTCAATATATATATAATTTGATTATTTTAATAACCCTTACCATTGTTGCCAGCAATGCATATGAATTTCATTTCTCTTTGTTCAAATTAACATATAGATTTTTATTTAAAGTAAATTCATCTTAGTTATTTTCTGGTTATTTATGGAACTATTTCAAATTTCATGAAGATGGCACAAAAATAATGTACAATGTATAATATAATATGTATAAAGAGATATATAAATTCCAAGCGGCCCCTGCCTGATACTGGAAAATGAGTCACCTTTAACATGTATATAAAATGTGGCAGTGACAGGTTGTAAGCATGTATATTGCATACTTCTTATTTCTTAAATCATGGTGAAAGTGTTCCATGAACGTATATTTCTTTAACAGACAGCAGAGTCACTGGACACATGGCCAATGAATCAAACACTGATAGCATTGAAGGGTGATCAATGGAAACGTGTGAGACATATTGTAACACCAACATTCAGTACTGGTAAAATAAAAATGGTAATGATTTTAATAGCTTATTGGCGTCCGCGCCGAAGCGCGGCGCCTATTGGAATGAAATGAGATTTTGTGAAAGGGCGACAGCAACTTATCGAGCCTTTTATAGTTGCCAATAATAAAAGCCGATCATTCCGATCGGTATGAGGGTGCTTGATTATTAATTAGTCGCGATATGTACAATGAATGGCGAACTGGAAAATTTCGCAATGCAAACATTTTCAAATGAAATAACCTTTTCCGTCAATAAATCGCGATCTTCGGGGTATTTTTGCTTATCATTTTGTAGTACACAGTGGGTTATTATGGTATGTTATTCCGAAAGCTGTTAATAGAATGATGAGTTGATGACCGAAAATCTATTTATAGAGGGATGTACTCCTATCGGTAATTCCCGGTCTCTCCCGGGATTTACTAATGACCGGCGAATAGTACCACACGTTTATTGTCCGGTCTCTCCCGGTTTTGGAGTAGATGTTTGATATCGTTACAGAACAGAACAAATATTTTACAGATAAATAAGCTTTTTTCAAAATGAATGTTTGTCATTTAGTTTGGTTACAATAATTAATAAACACAGATCAACTCTCGAATTGATTGATCATTATTATACATAAACATACAATTCGAAAAAAAAACCCCAAAAAAACCAGCAACACAAATCGCATGTTATATTTTATCTATATGAGATAAAAACAATAAATATGTACAATAATTGAGAAAAAATGTACATTTTTATGGCATTAATATGACACTATCAACTTTAAAACATTTTATTTAATTTGTTATTCGTGTTTAGTAAAGATTCCGAGGAATTATTCAAAGTTACAAATCAGATTTTATGAATTATTCAATTGATTGATAATTTAAAAAATGATAAAGAAAAATACAAATGTACATGTATATGGTTTAAGAATAAACAATATTATATATTGAAAGATTAACCATGATTTACTGACTTTTTCCAGTTAAGTTTTGACTTATAATCGTCGATCATTATGACAATTGAATTCTTAAAATAGTAGTAAACGTAAAAACTCAGTATTAAAATAGCGCATAAAACACACACACAAAAAGAAAAGAAAACAATGTTCATAAAATCTGTATTTTCTTAATTAAAATAGAAATTACATTTATTGTATAATAAACAATTATGCTCAACATGATCAACATGGTAATAATATAACAAGTGTCATATTGTTACTTAGTGTGAACAGATACCTTAAGAGGGGGTCCTCGCTAATAGCGATAACATAATAAGGGACAATTACACAAGTATGGTGTTGATCATGCGTTACACATATGGATTATAAATGATTGTATACATGTATATCTGTTGCTATTAATAACCACGATCAAAAAGAAATAACAAGTAATATTCTAATTTCTAGCATGCCGATCAAAGTTATAAATAATGAACAATGTCTTTCGTCCGTTCATTCAAAAGTGATATACAATTCTGGTAAAACCCAATGAACCATTGAAAAGTTTATAAGAATATCTTGTCATCATATATCTACTAGTTCATCTGCACCTGCTGTTTGGACGCCCTTTGATGCTTTGCATCAATGCTTTTCTTGTAACTTTATTGTCATCATGTTAGAGGTAATGAAGTATGAGGATTAATAATCTGGTCTAGCTAGGTAACAAAAAACACACAGTAATTCCTAGTAACGACGCAAATATAGCAAATATAAAAGTGCACAATTTCTTTTTTTGCGTCAGAATATAATAAGAAAATGTTAATTTTTAAATGTGCTTATATTGTTTCAATCATCAGTAATTGTTTGCCATATAATTTTCTAACCGCCTTTGAAAATCATTTACTTGTTTAAATATATGTTGGTATATTTTACAAACGTAAAGTAAAATTAAATCTATTGGCTACATTTTTAGATGGTGAAAGAGATGAACTATTGTGCTGGACTGCTTACTACTGGTCTAATGGAGAAAGCAAAAGCTGGTGAATCTATTGACTCTAGGAAGTAAGTAGAAAAAACCCCAGTTAAATGTAGAAAGCTTCTTCACCATTTTCCTTTCAATACAGTCACTCCAGTGGGCACCTTTTGCGTATGTTCTCTTTTCATTTCTACAGGAACATTTGGGTGACAATTTTGAGTTCTAATAAATGTAGCTATGTATTGAGCCTGTTGTGTCGGTTACGTAAGCATAACCTGTTCAGCTCTTAAAAGGAGATGGTAGTTAACTTTTCATTGATTTATTGAGACTTCATCAGTGTTTTTATCAAAGTAACCTTTTCTTCGTGGCTAAAATTGTTTGTGACTGGTACCTTTGGTCCCTTGTTTTGTCAGCTGGTCTGCTCTCTCATTTCAAGAAATTACACCACAGTGACAGGACTTCATTGTAGGACCATGCAGTTGTCGATGTTGACTTAGTTGATTAAGTACTACCAGTACGCCATATTTCCAATACTCTCATATATATATCTGTGTTGCAAAGAGAAAAAGATTTTGGTCTAAGTTTGCAGCCATGTTGTTAGTTTAGCTTCTTTAATTGGTGAATGAAGCTGCTCCTTTGCAGGCGGTTCTTTGTTAAACCAATTAATTCATGGGATGGTCTGGTACGTACTTGTATTTAGCAGCGTGCATCTCATATTTACTGATAGTAAAATTATACTGCTTGTAAGTACATGCGCGCCTCCTTGGAGATATGTTGAATGGCTGATAATAGGAAGATTTAAATTTGAATTTAACCTTAAATTTGAAAAGCAAAAATACTTTTATTACGTGAAAGTCAAGATAAGTCAAAATACTTTTATTGATATTATAATTCATTACAAATATTTCAAACATTTATTTCAATACTGTCGGTAGCTCGTTTTTGGAAGGAATCATAACTAGGCTTCTGATCGAGACAATTTAGCGGAATTTATTTAGATTTTTTTTAGTTTCTATATAACCTATACTTTTGAGGGCGGGGTCGTTTACGTAGGTCCAATACTGTATAGGCCATATAAAGACTTGGTCATATTGCATTTATTGTGAATGTTTTGATGCTTAGGGCCCACTTGTCTGTCCACTCTGCTACCTTGTTCACAGCTGTTTGGATTCGAACTGTAGCAGTACCTACACTTGTTTCGGAGCTCCAGATAGAAAGGTCGTCAGCATGTAGGGTGTTCGACACGCATCTTGGCAGGTTGGACACAAGGTTGTTGATGTATACGAGGAACAATGTCGGGGATATTAATCCTCCTTGTGGCACCCCTTCTCTCATCTTTACTTGCTGACTGAGAGTGTTGTCGAGCTTGACTCTTGCTGTTCTGTTGAATAGGTAGCCCCTGATTCATTTGTGCAGCTTCCCAGACACACCGATCTGAAGCAGCTTCAAAAGCAGACCCTCCTTCCAGACTCTGTCAAACGCTTTGGAAAGGTCAAGCACCTTCTTTTTCTCTTGGAAAGCATCTTCTATGTCTTGCGTGAAGTAGGCTAATTGGTCTTCCGTACTGTGATGTTGTCTGTAGCCAGTCTGAGTTGGAACAAGCAGGTTGTTTGACTCAAGGTTCCAGACTAGCCTCTTGTTGATGATCCTCTCCAGGAGTTTACCAGTGCAGCTCAGTAGACTGTTGGGTCTGTAGCTCTCTGGTTTGCTCTTGTCTTTTCCCTTCTTGAAGATGGGTATGATGTGGGCTTCTTTACATTTGGATGGGAATTTACCAGAGTGCCAACTGAGGTTAAAGATGTAGAGAAGAGTAGTCCTGGCTTTGCAGCCTAGATGTTTTAGCATTTCATTGGTAATGCCATCTGCGCCTGGTGACTTCTTCTTCTTCAACTTCTTCAGTGCACCCTGTAACTGCATGGTCAGTCTGTCAGACATGTATGGGCTCACTTCACTTTCCCTACGGTTCTCCAGTGTTCTGGTCTCTTGTCTTACTTCTCTGACTCGGTCTTGTGGGAGGTTGACGCTACTCTCCGCCTCGTATACTCTGGCAAATACGTTTGCAGCGGCCTTTCCTGTGACAGGTTCGCAGTCAACTAGGAGGACTGTTTTCTTCTGCTGTCGGTTGTCGTTGTTCAGCAGATTGGTAAGATGCCAGAGCTTTGTGGTGTCTTTCTCGAGATTCAGAGATGCATTTTTTATGCCACCGCATCATCTGCGATGCAGTGGCGTATAGCGATTCACCTGTGTGTATGTGTGTGTGTGCGTGTTTGTGTGTGTGTTATATAGATTATATAGTGAACTTAAAAAATCTTCTTGTGAAAAACCACTAGTCCAATTTCAACCAAACTTGGCAGGATTGTTTCTTGGGTGAAGGGCTTCCAAAGTTGTTCAAAGAATTTCATTCCTTGCAGAAATCTGGTTGCCATGGCAACCAAAAGGAATTATAAGAATAAATTTAAAAAAATTTCTTGTAAAGACCCAAAAGGCCTAAAGCTTAGATATTTTGCATAAGGCATTGTCTGGTAGACCTCTAACAAGATTGTTCAAATTATAGCCCTGGGGTCAAAATTGGCCCCGCTCCGGGGTCATTGATTTTCACTATATGTACATATATTAAAAACTTAAAACACCTTTTTGTAAAGACCCAAAAGGCTTAGAGCTTAGATATTTTGCATAAGGCATTGTCTGGTAGACCTCTACCCAGATTGTTCAAATTATAGCCCTGGGGTCAAAATCGGCCCGCCCCAGGGGTCATTGGTTTTCCTTATATGTATAAAGTAAAAACTTTTAAAAAATCTTCTAGCAATTGACATATGCTAAAGTTTAGATATTTTGCATGAAACATTGTGTTGTAAAACTCTAGCAAGATTGTTCAAATTATAGCCCTGGGGTCAAAATTGTCCCCGCCCTGGGGGTCATTGATTTCAATATATACATATAGTAAAAAATAAAAAAATCTTATTGTCTGAAGGTACAAGGCATAGAGCTTTAATGTTTGTTAAATAATATCATCTAAAGGTACTCTACCAAAGTTGTTAAAATTTTGCCTCTTGTGTCAAAATTAGCCCTGCCCCTGGGAGCCATAGGTTTATCCTATATGTATATAGTTAAAACTTAAAAAATCATCTTCTCTAAATTTACAAAGGATAAAGTTAAGATATTTTGCATGAAACATTGTGTAGTGAACCTCTAGCAAGATTGTTCAAATTATAGCCCTTGGGTCAAAATTGGTTCCGCCCCGGGGGTCATTGATTTTCATTATGTACATATAGTGAACAAATTTTTGTCTGAAGGTTCAAGGCATAGAGCTTTGATGTTTGATATATAATATCATCTATAGGTCCTCTACCAAAGTTGTTCTAATGTCACAAATTGGCCCTGCCCGGGGGCAGTGATTCTCATTATGTACACGTAGTAAAAACAGAAAATAAAACAAATGTTTTCTGAATGGGAGAAAGCTATAGCTTAGATATTTGACTTGAAATGTTGTTTGGTGGACCTGTTTAAAGATTGTTATTAAACCCTTGGGTCAAAATTATGCCTTGCCCAAGGGGACAGTGACCTTCTTTCTTTTCCTTTGATGTACAGCAATGACATTTTGACCGTGTGCACAGTTTTAGTTGTAAAATTGAACTTTGACCTAGATTTTGATGATGTGACCTACTTTCTTTTCCTTTGATGTACAGCTATGAAATTTGAACCATGCGGTGGCATAGCATTTTTCTCAAATGCAATCTTGTTTATGCCAGCTTTTCCTCGGCTGTTCTGCCTTTTCTTCCTCAAAAAGTTCTTTTAGTTGATTATGTATTAGGATGTTCTGTTCAGAGGGATTTTCTTCCATGATTTCTCTGGCTTCTTTCATCTGATTTTGAAGTTTGTCCAGCTCTAAGGTCCAGAAGGGTTTGTAGTCCCGCCTTCTACCTCTAGGTATGGACTCTTGAGCGGCACTGAGAATCGCTTCAGTGAACAAACTTGCAGCCTTGTCCACATCTGATGTTTGAGTTTGGATGTTCTTACAGTTTCTGTCTGTCAGGATCTTAAAGACATTCCAGTCAGCTTTCTTGTAGTTCCAGCTTGGTGATAGTTTGCCTTCTCTGTTGATACTTTTCTGGACAGTGATGATAACTGGTTTATGGTCACTGCCCCCGAGTTGTGATGACACTTCACGGTGCGAGATTTTCTGAATGTCATCGTGTGTCATCGTGTGGCTCCTTGTATCCCCAACTGGGAGAGTGACTGTTGAAGTCGCCTACTGCTATCCTGTTAGTCTGGTTGTCATTTAGCTGAGGTAGCTTGATCTGCTTGTTTGGAGGGCTGTAGAGATTGAGGACAGTCAGGTTTCTGTCTTAGGTCTATTTTGTCTATCATGTCTGTAGAGTTCATAACCTCTGACGAAGAATCGGTGGTTTTCATTAAGATGGGTTTCCTGGATGCAGCAGATGTCGATGCTTTTAGTTTTCAGGAAATTTTGCAGCTCTAGCTTTTTGTGCTGCACACCCTCTGCGTTCCAATGCATGATGCGGAGGGGCTGGTTGTGACTAGTAGCTGTACTCTGTCCTCCCATAGTCACCATAGGAGTACCAGAGCCGCAGTCAGTAGCTTTTTGTGGGCCCCTTCGAGGCTCGGGTCCCGGCGCCGCCCTACCCTGGCCACGGTTCAACAGGACGACACCACATCGATCCAACGTTAGTTGTACGGCCATACTGATGGGTTGTGTGTGAATGTCCGATTCGCTTCCCACGCCGATAAAGGCTGACATTCGCCGACTTCGGTGGTTGAGGTTTTTTTACTCAGGGTGGCCTCCTCCCAAAGAATAGCTGCCTGCCAGGGCTCTAGAACCTACTCCGTCCTCCGGATTTTATATTGGTGATTTTCTTCAGCTAGCACTTTCCCCGGAGGGGGTATAGCCGTAAGGCAGCGGAGGTTTGAAATTAGAGTTTTCCTTCTCCTAGACAGACTGCCTTCCTACTTCCTAGGCTTACGAGTTCTGTCAACTCGAAGCAGTGGTTATGGCGCCACAGAACCGCCTTCGCCCCTTCTCCTGTTAGTATTAGCAGGTCCGCCGGGCTAGTAACAAGCCATGCGTGCAGGCCAGGAGCTGGACTAGGTTGACAGAGGCTATATTTTCCGCACACCGTTGGAGCATTTTCTAAGTAATGGGAGCTTGTCCCCATTACCACCCCTGGTGATATCAACCACTGGAACACCGGTCGCAGAAATGGAAAAGACAGCCAACCTCGAACCGCTAAAGTCAAGGAGGCAGTGCAAGGTGCTAGTACATTCTGAGAAAGCACGAAGACTACCATCCCATCCGCTCCACTCAAAACTCCAGAACAGACCCAAAAGCAGACTTAAAAGACAAAGCCTGAATCACATTTTCAGAGATCTGAATCGTGAAAAGGGAGTGGCAGTTGACACAGACATAGAACCACTCACCCCAGACACAATCAGAGTTGATGTCCCAGGAGTTGAGAACAAGTCACAAAATCCTGTCCAACAGAAAGCCCATACACTGGACATGATCCATCAGCGCTATCCACCACACTCTTGGATCCAAGCCTACACCGATGGATCAGCTGAAAGAGCAGTCAAAAACGTTGGAAGCGGGGTGTACATCAGCAACCATGAAGGAACTCCCTTTACCCTAGCTACTCCAGTGGGCAAACAGAACTACAGAGCCGAAGTACAGGCCCTTCACTCAGCAACACATCACCTGATTGAGCAAGGGGTACAGCGAAGGAACGTTGACTTCCTGACAGACTCCCTGTCAGCTCTACAATCCCTCTCAGCAGGACCATCAGACACCACCACTAGACAGCTGCTGGCACAACTAGACCGCCTGTCAGAACACAACAATGTTGTAATGCAATGGATTCCTGCCCATGTTGGCATTGCCGGCAACGAAGCTGCAGACAAATTAGCCAAGGAAGGGTCAAAGAAGGAGCAACCCCAACCCCCAATATCCTATAATGAAGCAAAGACTTTAGTAAAGTGCTCATTCAGAAACACATGGAAAGACAAAAACGATGGCTACAAATCCCAAAACGACAATATCAACAAACTAAACAGACCCAGCCAAGTTATCAGGCTCAGAACTGGACACTGCCGTCTACGAAAGCATATGAACAGACTTGGTCTCGCCGATACAGCTTCATGCCAGTGTGGAGCAGAAGAACAGACGCCCTTCCACATCCTGCAGAACTGCCCCAACCTGGAAGAGGCCCGCCAGATGTATTGGCCTACAGCGTACAACAACAAGCTATGGGGCAGCAAAGAGGACCTTAGAAGAACGGTGCAGTTCATCACTGCATCGGGACTTCAAATGTAAAGGCCGTACAGAAGATGGAACGCATAAATAAATAAATAAATAAAGTAAATGTTTTGGCATTACCACATTTTGCAATAAACATAAGAAGTTAGGCACTATCTCTAGCTTGGTAAGTAGGCGTGTAAGTCTTTAGACAACGAGTTCTTTAGCTTTAGTCGTGGAAGAGGTACATGTTTGAAAATGAAAGAATTCGAACTACACCTTTGATTCATAGTAAAAGTTAGCAGTTACTGCCCGCAAGTATAAAACTGAAATACTATTATAAAGCGGCGTTATCCCAAAACTTATGAATATAAGTAGCTAAAACATAAATTTGAAAATTTCACAACAATTTCATTATTTCATGTAAATATACTCTAGTAATATTGCATGTGCTGCAAAAATAGAAAATAATAGAATATAGCACCCCACCTGAGACTCGAACTAACAACTTCTTGCAGGCGAGTATTCTACCTTTGTACTTACCTATGCTATCTGTATATCTCCGTGTTGGATGATATGATACATGTATACATGTAATAGTTCTCCGTTTTGATTTCGGGTTTGAATTACTGCAGGCAAATAAAAATACTTTTATATATCAACACCATTGATGATTTTCCATTTTTGTTTTCTGCAGATTTTTCTCAGTTTCACCTCATTATATTTGGAGCTATTCGTGCATAGTTTCCTTTCAACTTATTTTTCTTACTGAATCTGAAATGCTCAAACGACTGACTGACTTAATTTTACGTTTACTGAGGGTCCATCAACAAGCAGTTTTCACTGTCAGGTACGGACCCCGGACATGTCAACAGTCATGCCCCCCACCCCAAGGGTAAATTTTGAAGCACAAAGTTATGATAATTTACCTTGATGCGATATCCATGTAATATTAGCTAAAGATATGAATTTTGAGCAAAAAGTAGGTCACTGTACGGCAGCCAATGTAAACCTTATTGTAAGTAACCAGAGACAATATGAAAAGGAGGTGGTAGCCCTGAGAAGGGCTTTTGTGCCAGCAAGGGAGCTGTCTTTCAAACAGTTACTTTCTGTGTTAGGCAATGATATGTATATTATACAGATGATTATTTATATGCTTTACTTTTGCATTAATTATGAACAGTCGTATCAATTTTACAAATATATATTATGGGGACTTTAACAAAAATTAGCTTTGCATATAAGAGAATATCGAGATTTTTGCTGATGTTAAAAATCCTTCTAAACCGATGTTTATTATCTGAACTTTTACATAGTTTTAAATAGAACACTGACCATTGAATATGAGAGTTTGGATTGAATATGTAAAGCCGACAGTGTCAGTAGAGTGTGATTAACTTGCAGTGTTATTGTGCTCTTTTGTTACCGCCTTTACCATTTATCTGTTTGGTGAGTCTCCATAGTTTGGTGCCGCCCTTTTCCATTTTACATACAGTTTTTCTCTCTCAAGCATTTTCTCCTGGGGTGTATTGCTTGTGCTTATTGGCGCTTAATCATAAATAATGTTGTTTTCCTGAGATTCTGCTTCTTGCCAGGGCTGTGGTAGGCCACTCATTATTCAGATCGTCCAGTTATTTACTCCAGCTTGGCTTTTAATCTCTTCTTGCTATCCGTGGAATGCATTTATGTGCAGCTTTGAGAATGGGAGAATTTAAATCTTTGGTGACTTGGTTGATGTCTATTCCATTTACCAGTATGTCTCAATAGAGATTATCAATGAGTGCCTATGCGGTGCTTTTGTTTTGCACACGTTTTTATGTGCATACAATTTATTGCTTATCAATGTTGTCTCTGTGTAAAAACAACGATGTAGGAATAAAGTAGGATAATTCTTAAATTTGTATTCTAAGATTCGAAGACTTAGTTAATATCAGAAATATATGTTTTTAAGGCCAAGATGTTTTCAAATTGTTACTTCTTTTATATCAGATGGAGTTGCCTTTACCCTATTATACTACTTTTGCATATATTTTTTGTGTACTTGTAGACATTTTGGCTGTTACACTATGGATGTAATTGCTGGAACAGCTTTTGGGATTAGGACAGATTCGTATAATAATCCTGACGAGCAGTTTGTATCTCTTGCTCAACAAGTGTTTGGACAGTCAGCGTTAAACCCATTGATCATGTTTGCCGGTAATCATTTTTAACTTATTTTATCACGTGGTTAAACAGCATATTTTCACACAGACCCTTTTGGGGGAGATAATACATGTTTTTATTTGAATTGGCAACCTGCATGATACAAAATAGTTATTGATACAAACAGAATTATTAACCTGCTGTCATATATTTTTAATGAAAAATATGCATTAATTTGTTAAAGTTTTCTCTGCAAATTCTTTAAGTTTTGTTGATGCGTGACGTGTGAATGTTTAAAACTTAAAATAGAAGAAAATGTGCATCCTTGAGAATCTTTCAGAAATGTAACAACAGCATTTAATTTTTAATTAAATCCATTTGTACTTTTTGTATTACAACATTTTATTTCAAGTTTCCAATCTTTTTTGGCGTAAGAACACATTTTAAATCTTCAATTATGAATTTACTGAAACTGTTGTTTATACATATTTTGGAAAGCTGAAAAGTCCCCATATATATGACCTTTTCTGTGTTAAGTGCGACGTAAAACCCAACAATCAGAATTTCTTAAACTGTATCTTCACAGTCTTAAAACAGCTTAAACACCAGCCGCAACGGACATGAATGTAGATGTCTTAACCTTTGACCAATCTTGCCCTTAAGTTATACATATCGTAAGCACATCATGTCATGCCGTATTGGTGGTAATTATTTGACCCAAATTAGGATAAAATCTTCCCAAAGGTACCGAAAATTACCAGTACCCAAAGTACGCCACCGTACCTAATATGACCAGCAAACTTGGTACACTGCAATTCCTGATATAACTATTAAAGAGTGCATTTTTCTTGCATATCAGGCAGTATTATCTACTGTTTACTTTGTTGCTGAAAAACTTGCCTCACACTCCCATGTAAGGCAAGTCGCGTGCTTTAAATGGCCGTTCTTACCTGCTTTTTATGAATTAATTGAGTTTTTAGGATGATGTCATTGTGCCGATATGAATAAAGTTGTAAATTCATACGCTACTATAAGTAAAAGTGATAGTGCTAAAAGAAAATATTTGTTTTCGTAATTTCTTTTAAAAACATCATAAATTTGTAATTTGCAAGAAAAAGAATTAAACAACGGCTGTCGTCACAGACAGGACCGTCTAGCTCTCAGGTAACTGTTTAGCGGAAAATCATCAGAGCCTTGTAACCACGGTAAATAATAGTTACCCTCGAAGTAGATATTCCGATGTGTACCAATAGCAGGTGCAAGATCCTTATAACTGAAATTAAAGCTCATTAAAGAATGTCTAATCATAACTTTCTAGTCAGTTTTAAGGCCCCTTGAACCCAAATAAAGTGTATAAGTGATTAGTAATTTTAAATCCTACATATCACAGTCTACCCATAAAGATGAAAAAACAAGACCATATTTAGTCAATACTAGTATGAATTTTTGCGACTTGTATGAAGGTCACTCTGTTCTTGCATATTAGACAGAATTCCGGTGCTAGAAAAACCTGTCTTACACCCACAGACAGGAATATTTAGCTTTCGGCAGAGCCTTGTTAACAGTTACTCTCAAGCTAGATATTCCGGTCTGTACCGGCAGCCGATGTAAGATCCTTATAGTCCCACGTAAGTAGAAGAGTTTTCTTCACAAAAAAATAATGATTTATTTCTCCAAACAATTCTTCTACATGTAGTTTCAATACATGTATTTTAAACAAAGTGTCACATATTATATCGTAATACATATCCAAACCTACGTGAGAAACCTGGTGCATTCTCATTGACATCAATTCATACTTGTGTGTCTAATTTGTTTGCGCCCAAACTAACTGTTTTCCTTTTCTTTCCTATTATGCGATTTTCGTCATTAATCCTCTGCATAATGTCCACCCAAACAAATTCAGACTTGGGAACAGTATACATTATGTTTTCTACACTTCTTGAAACATTTTAAAAATGAAATGTAGGGAATGTTTTGATAAGTAATTTTCGCCCGTATAATAAAATTACCTATAATATTCCTATCTGAAGCTTTGAATTTCCTCCCAATTTAAGTTAAGGAATCCCCTAGAAGCCAAATATCTTTTTCGTTGTTATTCTCGTTGTTGTGTCACAAATGTCAAATGAAATCCCTTTGATGCTTTGTGTACTTAATTTATATCAAACTTAAAGCTAAATGGATAATGAGCATAGTCAGTGTGGCATAATAAAATAGAATAATATTTAGAATTAGTCTTGATTATAAATTCTTGTCGTATTTTGACGTATTTTAGGGATTTTTTCTATATATTCAAACATATCCCTGTACAACAAACCATTTCAGTGTTTTTTCCAAGAATTGGCAGTTTTATGGTTCAATGGTTGGGAGTATGTCTGTTTTATTCCAAAAAAGCGCTTAGCTTCTTTACTGATGTCATAAAGGCTATCATCAATGAAAGACAGGAAAAGGGAGATGTAAGTTTGAATAAATGATTGATGAATTATCAGAAAAGCAATTGACAATATATGTATTCCAGAATGCGATTAACAAACCTGAAGACAAATCATTTATAGGCTATACAATGGGTTGTCTTTTATTGGTACAGTAGTTGTTTATAATATTTATTAAAACCATACCAAAGAAAGTAAATTTAAATAACATTTGTAACTTTCCAAAAGGGTGTGATGCATCTAAATTGAAATCAGCACTTAACATACAAAAAGAGCAGTTCGACTATTTTGTTAGGGAACATTTTATTGTTTAATCATATTTTTGTTTATTTCTTGTCAAAATTCATATCCTTCCTTGTAATTCAAACGATTGTAACTCTTTTTCTCTATTACTTCGGTGCCTGGTTGCACAGATGCAAACCCAGTCTATAGTATGGTCGGCGGCGAGCTGTCAGGTGGGGAAAAAAATTTGTAACAGTTTTCTCAGCAACTACTTATCACAACCTCTTGATATTTGGTATAAAGCATAAAAACATGGTCCCATACCGTTGGATTATACGAGGGGAAGTCAGAAAATATCCGGACTTTTGACTCGTTCTCGAAAACCATTCAACATTTTAAAAAAATCTTTCTACTCTTTTTCAAAATATTCTCCACCTACGTCTACGCACTATTGCCATCTTCGTGGGAGCTTTTGTATTCCCGCTGTGAACCATGACGTAGACCTATGGTTTAGGTACTGTGTAACAGCAGATATCAAAGCCGCCCTGGTCTTATATTTCTTTCCAGCAAGCAATTTTTTCAGTTCTGGAAACAAATAAAAGTCACAGGGGTCGAGGTCTGGGCTATAAGGAGGGTGAGACAACAATTGCCATTTGTAAGAGTTGATACCCTCCACTGTAGCTGCGGCGGTATGGGAGGGGGCGTTATCGTGAAGAAGGAGCTAACCTGGGACGCATTTGCTTCAGCTTTTCTCCGAGATTTTTCAGATTACTTCAGAATAGTACTTGGCGGTGACAGTTTGACCTTTTGGCATGAAATGAGTAAGTATCATTCCTCGTGAATCCCAAAAGGCAACAAGCATGACTTTGCCAGCCGAAGGAGACAGTTTAAACTTTTAAGGAGGTGGGGAACCAGCTCGTTTCCACTGCTTTGACTGAGCTTTTGTCTCAGGTTCGGAATAATGAACCCACATCGCATCTCCAGTGATAATGCGGTTCAAAAACTTATCTCCTTCACGATTAAAACGTTAAAATGTTCTTTTGCATTGGTTACTCTGGTTGCCTTTTGATCTGCGGACAGCTGTCTAGGCACCCACCTGGCACTTACCTTGCTCATGCCTAGGTGTTCGTGTAAAATCTTGTGTGCCGATGCCTTACCGATGCTAAACTTGTTTGCTACCTCCTCCAAAGTTACTCGAAGATTTTTGTTGACAAAAGCTTTAACATTTGCTACTATTGTTGGGGTCACCGCCTCAGCTGGCCGCCCAGTCCTAGGCCTGTCACAAACACTTGTTCTGCCTTCACGAAACTGAGAAACCCAGTTGTAGAAGGTTGAACGTGATACACATTTATCAGAAAATCTTTTTTAAGCCTCTGAAAGATGTGGCAGGGCTTTTCACCTTTTGCAACCTGAAACTTTATTACAGAGCGTTGTTCCTCTAACAAAGAGTCCATGATAGACGAAACATCTAGGGCAAAATACTGTGTATACACACCTATCATTGAAAATAAACTGACAACGTTATTGGCGAATGAATGTAGTTTTTACCAATAAATAATGTGTGTATATAGCTGCACTTGGAAAGAGAGGAGCATGAAAAGTCCGGATATTTTCTGACCGTCCCTCGTATTTTAGGTCTGTTGCTTATCCACTTTTTGTTTACCGACTTGGTTTACTTTTCGACATTAATGGCGAATGATAGGTAATTCTCATAACAGTTTTCTCAGCAACTACTTATCACAGCCTCTTGATATTTGTTATACAGCATTTACACGTGGTCGTATACCGTAGGATTCTATTTCAGGTCTGTCGCTCATCCACTTTTGTTAACTGACTTAGTGAAATTTTCTACACTAACGGTGAATGGTAGAAAATTCTCGTAACAGTTTTCTCAGTAACTACTTATCATTTGATATACAGCATTTACACGTGGTGTCATACTGTCGTATTCTATTTCAGGTCTGTCGCTCATCCACTTCCTGTTTTTCGACATTAATGGTCAATAGTAGAAAGTTTTTATAACATTACAGCCTCATGGTGTTTGGTATACAAATGCAACCCGGCAATTTCTGTCTTTGACCCAATTTTCTTATTCTAGATTAGTATATCATATGACTTTTCTAACATTATAACATTGCCTTTATATAATACGCAAATGAGTTTAATTACTGAATGTACTAATGTTACACTTTTGTTTATAGCAAGGTCAAACTGATATACATTTGTATATGTCATTTCCTTATTTTTAGGGTATTTTATTGATATTCATACATGATAATATGATTAGTGTATATTCTGGATTATATTTATTGAACTGTTGTTGAATAAAATGGTAATAAACTTGTCCTTGTCAGAGGCTTGTCCCATAATGTTTTATTCAATCGATTCATTAAATTCAATAAGAGATCCAAATGTTATTCAATATTTCCTATATATCCATTGTTGTTTTTATTTTCTGTATTTCAGACAGGGAGGACAGACATGTTACAGTTGATGATGAATGCAAACTTTGAAGTGGGAACAGAAGAGACGAAAGAAAATAGTCAGTCTGGAAAAAGTAAGCGATAGAAATTATGTAAAATTGAAAACAATTTACGTATCTGGACTTGTTTACTTTAAAACTTTTACCTTTAAATTCAATTATAGCAAAGAAAATAACCAAAACAACTGCTGACATTCATTTGATTGGCACCAGTTTCGATTATAAAGCTACGATTATATGGTAGCCTAAAAATTAGATGGTTACAATTGATTTCCATACTTGGATTGCAGAGCTTTTGCTAGACGAATTGCTTGGCATGGGAATTGTTGTGTTTGCAGCTGGCTATGAAACAACCGCTCTCTTGTTAACTTACCTGTCTTACATACTTGCCACACATCCAGATGTACAGGATAAACTTCTAAAAGAAGTAGATCAGCATTTTCCATCTGTAAGTCGATTGAGTTATTTTCAAAACGTGTTTACAAATTAATCTCAATTCATGATGGTTTCAGTTTAATATGTATTTAAACATGATTTATAATGAGATAAATCAAATATAGCTATTTAGCCTTATTTCAACCTTCATCCAAATCCTTCATTTACAAAGCAGAACTGGTACATCAGCAATCTTATCTTATTATTCTCACAAATTGACTTTTTTCTTTAATGAGAGTCTTATTAATTTTTTTGTTTTCTTATTTATTCTTATATGTTGACCTACAAATATTTAAATGTACTCATATATCAAGTTTGAAGATTAACCTTTAAGGATGACACAGAGGTAAGATACGATGTGGTTATGGAAATGCCGTATTTGGATCAAGTGATTTGTGAAACACTACGGATGTACCCACCTGTTAACAAGTAAGAACATACGATTTAAGTTTGATAATAGTGTTTAATTTGTGTGTGTGAACTTTTTTGTTTGGTTTTACTTTGTTTGCTTTTACGTGGCACCAATGCGGTATAGGTCAAATGGCAATTTTCCAGCTTAACCTCAGGTACCACTCCGTGCATTTTATTCAGGCACGAACGGGCACCTGAGTGGAACCACCCATGTTCCGTAAGCTAGTTGGATAGCTTCCTCACATAAGAAATCAAAAGTCCCTTTTGGAATTCGAACCCACAGCGGTGAGAGGCAATTTGTTTGCAGACAACGACCTTTACCACATCGGCCACGGAGGCCCTTTGTGTATGAACTTGTAAAGGTCGATTTGGTAGGTACTCGATATTTTGGCCCTTGCAATCTTGTCAAATAACATTTTTACAAAACATACGAAGAAAATTCTATATAAGATACGAAATTTGTATATATTTTATGAATCTTTCCTTTCGCTGATAATTTCCCCTATATATTCTAAATTTTAGAGTACAAATGTATGTTTTTAATGTCCCATTTAAAAAGTAGGGGCGTAAGCACTGATTGTGTGGGTAAATTTAGACGCTGCCAGCTGGCTAATGGTTATATGACAATGTTTTATTGTCTAATTGATATAGATATGATGGGATGTCTAAGACGACAGTCACAGCATAACGTAAAGGGTTTGGCTATTTTCAAGAAAATATGTTTTTGGAAAAGATAAAAGATGCAAATATTGTATAACTTGTTTGTTTTCACAAAAAAAAAACTTTGTTTAAACCACACAAGGGCTTTTCATTCCGATTTGTTTAGGGCTTTTCATACGCATTAATATATTTAGTATTAATAACAATCTAAAATATTTTGAAGGATGAACAGAGTGGCGTCAAAGAATGACATTGAGATAGATGGACACTGGTTCCCACAGGATACAATTATAGGGTTCTCAATTTGGCAAGTACACCACTCTCTTGGTTACTATCCAGAGCCAGAGCAATTCAAACCTGAAAGGTATTAATTACATTTTTGTTAGATATCTAGGTTTAAGCATTATTCTGAATAATAATAGGTACCTTTTTGAAATTGTTATCGGCGACTTTGCCGAGTGGTTAGCGCGTCAGACCAGTAATCTAAGGATTGCTGACCATGTGGCTTTAAACCCTGTCAGGGCAAGTCGTTGTTTCCTTGAGGAAGAAACTTTACATTCATCCGCTTAGTACTGGTTGGTTCCAGGAACGGATTTGAGAGTGTTTCAATAAGTCTATAGCTTCCAACAGAATTGAACTGAAATAGATTTGTATAAACTAAATTGTTATTGGACTGATGAGGATTTAACTTCAGATGCTGTACGTTAGATGGAAAATGTTTCCGATATACTAGTATATAAATTGACTTTTTTTGCTCTAGATTTACCCACGAAGAAAAGGCTAAACGTGATCCCTTTGTATTCATGCCGTTTGGTCATGGTCCAAGGAATTGTATTGGGATGAGACTTGCATTGCTTGAGGCCAAAATAGCCACTGTATCGGTGTTGAGAAAGCTTAAGTTTGTAAAATGTCCGGAGACTGCTGTAAGTTATTTATATGCATTATAATTTTATGAATTATGTAAATTGTTTATTTTGTATGTCCATGTTCATGTATGTGACTGTATTGATGACAGTTTTATTTCTTTGTTTTTTTTCAAATTAGTTTGTTAATAAATATATTGCTTTAAACTAAGCAAATAGCTATGCATTTTAGAATTAGATGATCACATTTTCGTTGAAATTTAAAATCAAGTTTGTCACAGTTTGCCCGCCCGCTTAGCGAACGATGTTCTGGAGGGTCGCTGGTTCAATCCTTGGGTGAGATGAAATTACTGCCAGACAATTGTTCTCGGACATATTACCGAAATGTTTTGTGTCTCTTATCGCTGATCCAAAAATCATGTGATTAGTTATCCAAGAAAGTCTGTTAAGTGGACCTACTGCAGGGATATGACCAAAAATCATGTTAAAGTCGGCGTGAAACCAAACAAACAAAATATTTATTTTAATAAAATGATCATGATTTTATTTGTGTTTGCAGGAACATCTTGATCTTATTAAAGAAACATTTATGAAACCAAAGAATCCAGTAAAAGTTGGTGTAGTTGTTCGTTAAAATGTGGGATAGTCGACAGATAAAACAACTTGAGCATTTTGCCTGAAAAAAAAATTTGATAACGTATTTAGAATAGGATTTAGAGACAAGACATCCTAATAAAATAATGAAATGGATTTTCTTTAGTGAAATGCGTTCTGATTTTATGCCATTTATTCATAGTTATAATTCGTAGATGAAGTCCAGTTTCTTTAGGAATTTTACTTTTTTGTCTATTTTTATACCATGTTTACGTAAAAGTCACGTGCTAAACAATTTGACAACTGTTTTTGGTTGTATTGTATTAAAAATATATGCACATTTATGCAGGCCTTATTTATCATCAGAAGACGGAGACTCATATCTAGAATTGGAACTTGCAATGCTAAATGATACGTTTATTCTATCTTTATTGAAATCTACACAACTTGGAATGAAATTAGTGATATACATTATGCAGGGCCATATACATGTACATGTACGTTAACACATCAACCTTATTTGATTAACATCAATATTCACTGAAACGAATATTCACAAAAGTGCCTCGGAATTTATGGTGCAGTCTTTATTTCAAGCTTGAAATATTATAGAATAATGACCCTGGTCTCACGGACAGAGTAAACAGACTATAAAAACGGTTCACATAATTCATTAGTATTTTATCATTGTCTCAAACGACCTCCCCATTTCAAAAAATTTGCATTGCACAAGTATAACTTTCAACGTGGTTAGATAATTACCATTTTTATGCCCCCACAATGTGGGAGCATATAGCGTTGCACTTGTCCGTCCGTCCGTCAATCCGTCAGTCAGTCAGTCCGTCCGTCCGTCCGTACGTCCCGAAATCTTGTGAACGCAACTCCTCTTAAACCGGATGGCAGATTTTGCTTAAACTTACAGGGATGAACAACCTTAATGTGTAGATGGTAGTAAAGGAAGGAATTTTTGCTGCGACCAAATTTAACAGAATTATGGCCCTTTGTTGATTTTTTCACTAGATACTATGTAGAAATTTTGTGAACGCAACTCCTCTTAAACCGGTTGGCAAATTTTGCTTAAACTTACAGGGATGAACAACCTTAATGTGTAGATGGTAGTAAAGGAAGGAATTTTTGCTGCGACCAAATTTAACAGAATTATGGCCCTTTGTTGATTTTTTCACTATATACTATGTAGAAATTTTGTGAACGCAACTCCTCTTAAACTGGATGGCAGATTTTGCTTAAACTTACAGGGATGAACAACCTTAAGGTGTAGATGGTAGTAAAGGAAGGAATTTTTGCTGCGACCAAATTTTACAGAATTATGGCCCTTTGATGATTTTTTCACTATATACTATGTAGAAATTTTGTGAATGCAACTCCTCTTAAACCGGATGGCAGATTTTGCTTAAACTTCCAGGGATGAACAACCTTAATGTGTAGATGGCAGTAAAGGAAGGAATTTTTGCTGCAACCAAATTTAACAGAATTATGGCTCTTTGTTGATTTTTTCATTATATACTTTGTAGAAATTTTGTGAACGTAACTCCTCTTAAACAGGATGGCAGATTTTGCTTAAACTTCCAGGGATTTACAACCTTAATGTGTAGCTGTTAGTAAAGGAAAGAATTTTTGCTGCGACCAAATTTAACAGAATTATAGCCCTTTGTTGATTTTCTGTCCAAAAAATATTTGACCTAGAGTCATAAGATTGACAGAACAGTGGCGTGTGGGGGCATCCGTGTCCTATGGACACATTTCTAGTTTAAACAATTTTTCCCGAATATATAAAATTAATGTTCCAATACCAAATAAGAATATTGTTTTCCGAAATGCAGCACTCCTTCAGATTCACGCTTATTTTTCATGAAAAGTTTGAAATGTTTTTGAATGTATAATATTGTGAAATAACCAAAAGGAAGCAATTGACACATTATACGCGTAAATGGCACTAACAACCCACGTAAATTACCAAAAAGTGGTCAAAATATGCATAAATAGCCCTTATTGCATTAGTAACGCAGTAGATATAGTTGTAAATGCTGAAAAATCAGTCATTTACCGCACATAACATGTGAAGTATTACTTAAATCTTGAGTCATTTTACTATTCCTAAAATCGTATTACATTATCCTCTAGTTTGATTTTATTGAAATATTTTGACTCATCTGGAGGCATGTTGCTTTAAAATACCAAATAAGAATATTGTTTCCTCACTGATAAAGAACAAATTATTATAATTCCAAATAGAGTTAGGGTTTTCCCATTAATGTTAATCCTAATCATGCTTACTTGTATAGTTAATACATTAATTTCCGAAACTTCATTTTTTTCAAACTTCTTTGGATTAAATTATTTCTGTTTAACACAAAATGTATAACTTAACATTAGAATTTTTTCATGTACATGTATATCTATCTGTATATGACGGATTTAACTGTATCTATAAGTAGTACATGTTATAAATGTAAATGATATCTACATGTCATATATTTTGTAATAGACGTAAATTGTTAACGTACATTTATTTAAGAGCCATTAAACGTGTTAAAGTTATACAGTATATTCATAACATGACTAACCTATCCTACTAGCTTATGAAAGGGCCTGCTGGCTAAACTTAGATGCCACCTTCTGCCTGGAACCCAAACATGCAAAGTAACGTATCTTCATTTCTCAGATATGTTATTATTTACAGCACATGCTCTTCTGTAAAGAAGTTGTCGTGTTTTTCTTTTACATCACGCTTTTCACTTTTCTGGATCGATAATTCCATTTTCTTATTCTGATTAAGTTATATGTTTCTTAAGTCGTTTTTTATGGGAATTAGTGTTGGACGATTTACTACTACAGTTGATAAATAAATCCAGTCAAACTGTGTAATGTTTTTCTTTTGCTCTCAGTTAAACAATCTATATTTAAAACTTATTAGCAGGAGTTAAGACACTATGGGATGATCGCTATGTATTTGCTATGTAAAGGGAACAAAGTGTTATGTGTGGCTCTTTGGAAACACAAGTGCACACATGGAATATTATTGTAATTTAAGAGCCTTTTAATTAAACTTTATTTTTATTATAACTATTGTGTAGAGCTAGTGCTTTTTATATTTTGGACTATATGATTCTATATACATTTGCCTTCTTTAAAGACACTACACGGGAATATTTTTAAAATACTTTAAATAGTCCTGTTTTAATATTGTATCTTTTTATTCTATCAAGTAGTGTATAAATTCTGTGTAGAAATATGTGATATACACCTGAAATGCTTGCTCTATTTTTTAAGTTGCTAAATTTATTGGATCCATAAGTTAACGTACCGATTAATTAGAATTTAAATTGAACAACATGGTCAAGATAGCTTTCAAAATTAAGATACACGTTTAGCCTTAGCTGCAATATAATATTTTATCAACATCTGTTTATTTATGTTTACAGGAAGAATAAAGATATAGAACAAGCAGATTGATTGTTGTTTGTTCGTATATTTATATCAGCATGCAGATACAAGCAGACATCAGTCTGCTTTTAAACGTTCAGTTTTTTTAGCTTACCTGAGCATATGCTCAGGGTGAGCTATTAGGATCACTCTTCGTCCGTCGTCTGTCGTCCGTCGTACGTCGTCCGTTCACACTTTTAAAACGACATCTCCTCTGAAAACATAAGGCAGATCATAATGAAACTTCACAGGGATGTTCCTTGTGTGAAGCCTTAACAAAGTTGTTCAAAGAATTCCATTCCATGCAGAACTCTGGTTGCCATGGCAACCAAAAGAAAAAACTTTAAACATCTTCTAAAAAACCCAAAGAGCTAGAGCTTAGATATTTGGCATGAAACATCTTCTTGTGAGTGTTTACCAAGTTTGTTCAAATAAAAGCCCTGGGGTCAAAATTGGCCCCGCCCCAGGGGGTCATTGATTTTCCCTATTTGCATATAGTAAAAACTTAAAAAAATCTTCTTTTAAAGAACCCAAAGAGCTAAAGCTATAGAGCTAAGATATTTAGCATGAAACATCTTCTAATGGGTGTCTACCAAGTTTGTTCAAATAAAAGCCCTGGGGTCAAAATTGGCCCCGCCCCAGGGGGTCATTGATTTTCCCTATATGCATATAGTAAAAACTTTAAAAAATCTTCTTTTATAGAACCCAAAGAGCTAGAGCTAAGATATTTAGCATGAAACATCTTCTAATGGGTGTCTACCAAGTTTGTTCAAATAAAAGCCCTGGGGTCAAAGTTGGCCCCGCCCCAGGGGGTCATTGATTTTCCCTATATACATATAGTCAAAAGTTAAAAAATCTTCTTTTAAAGAACCAAAGAGCTAGAGCTAAGATATACAGCATGAAACATGTTCTAATGGATGTCTACCAAGTTTGTTCAAATAAGAGCCCTTGGGTCAAAATTGGCCCCGCCCCGGGGGTCATTGATTTTCCTTTTATGTGTATAGCAAAAACTTAAAAAATCTTCTTTGAAAAAAAAACCAAATAGCTAGAGTTTAGATACTAAGCATGAAACATCTTCTAGTGAGTGTCTACCAAGTTTGTTCAAATAAAAGCCCTGGGGTCAAAATAGGCCCCGCCCCGGGGGTCATTCCTTTTCCTTATATGTGTTATACAAAAACTTAAAAAAATCTTCTTTGTAAAAACTCAAATAGCTAGAGTTTAGATATTAAGCACGATGTATCTTCTAGTGAGTGTCTACAAAGTTTGTTCAAATAAAAGCCCTGGGGTCAAAATTGGCCCCGCCCCGGCTGACATTGATTTTCCTTATATGTGTATAGCAAAAACTTAAAAGACTTCTTTGAAAAAACCCGAATAGCTAGAGTTTAGATATTAAGTTTGAAACATTTTCTAGTAAGTGTCTACAAAGATTGTTCAAATAAAATCCCTTGGGTCAAAACTGGCCCTGCCCCAGGTGTGTCATTGTTTTTAACTATATGTGTAAAGAAAAAAACTTGACCGGCTAGACCTTAGATGTTAAGCATGAAATATCTTCAAATGGATGTCTACCAAGTTTGTTCAAATAAAAGCCCTGGGGTTTAAACTGGCCCCGCTCGGGGGCCTATATACAGGTGAGCGACTTCAGGGCCATCATGGCCCTCTTGTTATATTTACGCCCTTTAGGGCATTCATGTAAGAAATAAACAGTATTATTCATTTTTATATTACTCTATACATGTATACATTATACACAGTAAACACTAGTACAAAGAAACTATGTAGAGTAGCGTGACGGTCAAGATGTTAAACAGTTAACGTTTAATTTATCTAAGCTTATGTTTAACTGTAACTGAACATTGCTCTCCTTTGATCCTCGCGAGAATTAACATGTACTCTGACGAGACTGTTCTACTCTCGTAAAAAATAAATCTAATTGAAAGAATCTGCTACCAGATTCATTTTCATTAGGATTTTTATGTCGAGAAATAAACTGAAGTTATCTAGAGAAGACTGAAAATGAAGGACTATCCGTGCGGAGGTCTAAATTAAACGCGCAAGTGTATACATACACATGTAGTTCGATTCTCGATAGTATTAAAGTTACATATGCGACAAAATAAACATTTGATACAGCTAAATCTCGCTACTTTATTAAAATGAAAAGGGTGATATTCTAAATGACTTAAACAGATCACTGTAAATTTGTGTGTGACAATATCAGTGACATATTACATCAAGCTTAGAGTATACTAGTAACCTGTTTTGATGTGACCTCTCTTTATTTCAGTCTTCTCAATTTCAAATTTCAATATTAATTTGAGCATGCTCATTGGTGTAAAATGGACATGACGTGCTTAGCAATAGAAGCGGTACATATGACCTAGCCTTATGAAAGCATAAGCTGACATGATTCTTCACTGTCGGCATACTGGCAAGTTATTTTTGAAGATTGCAATTTTCAACTGATTTTTAACTTAGAATCATATTTTCACAAAAGGATTTCTAAAAAAATGATAGTCAAGCAGTTTGATATAAGTTTCTTCTCTTCTTTTGTTACATTTTTCTGGTCCCTTCGGATCAATGGATCAATGCCGCTTCAGCAGGTGCTATTGGGGTGGTGGATGATGCACTTTTTCATTATTCCCCCATGAGCAGATTCAATCAGCCAAGTCTGCCGTGTTTTTATTTCTTATTTATGATCCCGAAGGACAGGAAAAATATAGCAACACTGAAGTATGGGGCTACTTTTTACAGCTGCCAAACAAATACCTTGGAAAAAATAGAACAAATTCCTATATTAAATAATTCTACATTAAATGCTGACAAATACCACATTGTTATTTAAACAAAATGTTCAATTATATATTCCTTAAAACCCAAAATTAATTCAGTGGCGTCGCCAGTGACGTATTTGGATCGTGTGTCTCACTTAAGCTACTCTCTCACTTGTGCCGCATTTTCACATCGTCCATGCAGGACAGCAAGCAATGGCGCAACAATGCAGTGGAATCACCAATGAACGCGCTGGTATCGCACAGAACGCTTAGCGACTGCGCACACTTTAAGGATGCACAAATCAAATGCCGCCGATTGGTGTTTCTGTAAAATCACAGTGCGTTCCTATTAAGGATGTCATAGCAGCGCATTTAGGTCTCCAACAAGGCCTACGGAGCTACTTAAAGCTGTGGTTATGTGGTGCTTATCCTCGATGAATCTGGCGTTTTGTTGTTCTGGGATAAAAGTTCAAAACCACTTGTCCTTTTAATGGTTCCTCTCTGTCCATTCGGACATGTCGTTCCCAGATTTTCAGTGCGCTAGGCTGATGAAACGACCTGTTCCAAACCTAAAAGACCTTAACGTTCTGGCGTTGGATACTAATCAACTTTTTGTTATTGAAGAATTCATCAATTGAAACCATGACACAATGTATATTTGGGCAGACCTATATGGCTTGACGGAGCTAAGACACACAATATTTGATTGAGCTCAATCATTTTTTTTTTTTTGGTATAATATAATTTTGAAAAACTCCAGTATCTAAAATAAAAGAAACGATGAAAGTACAGGCAATACAAACGTCAATTATTTACGTCATTATGTCATTACGTCCATCACACATTTAATTATGCAATCGTCAGAACTTTTTCTTATTTATAAATGGCCAATTCGAAACTAATGCTCAAAATCTATATATTCACTTGTAGAACAAATGATAATATTATTTAAAGGGAAAAACTATGCTACTAAGACATAACAGAGCCAAGCAGAACATTCAACATGACCCAAACTAAATAACGAGGAATTAGAAAGGGAAGACTGTTTGTAGAAAGCAGGCAATTCTCTAGAGCATTTTAAGATTTATACTGTTCTTTGTTTAAACCGCCCAGCTATTCGAAGTAAATTCTTCTTCAGTATAATTTCGGATATTTTATTTCCATTTTTCCCCCTTTCTGTCCTGTATTTAATTTCTATTTAATTCTGAAAAAAATCCATTTTTTGTTCTTATTTTTTTCAGTTTGTTCATATTTGCGCTTAGACCAAATACTTTTTAAAAAATATTAATTTAAAAAAAGTTGCTGTAAAATTATATTTAGAACAAAGTACACATTTAATATATATATAATATTGAAATTTCATTCATCATTTATATACATATGTATATATATATATTTTTGTAAATCTGTTTTCAAATGTCAGTGCAGTGAACTAGACAATCATCGTAACAGTAAAGTACTCTTGTGTGGCTGTCTCGAGACGGCCTTTTTAATGTCCCTCGTATATTTTAATCTTTCTTTTTATTTGAATGCTTGTACAAAGATATTTCAGATATTTTTAATATAACGCTAGAAAACAATAAAAATATAATATAAATCCGTGGGTAGAGTAACCAATACACCTTAGTATTTAAAACGCCAGTACAATATCAAATTTCGGGAAAAAAAACGTGCTGTATAAAACAACCAATGAACATTGTCTTCAAAATTACGTCACGCAAAGACAAATACGATTTAGATTAAAGTAACCTTTCCCGATCTTACATTTGGGCCTAGCAAACGACAGTCGTAGGTTTTACCAAAACAATAATAAAAACTTTGATCTCAATTGCTACAAAAAAGTGGCATGCGATTGTTTTTATTTTCTATAAAAATTTAATGTATCAATCCATGAAGAATGCTTGTAATGTCATTGCTCAAAAGATTTTCTAAAATCTGAAAAGTGGTTCCTCCTGTTTTCTGCTATCTTTCAGGACTTTACGTTTCAGTACAAACAGATCTTTTTCTTGTTGTATTCTCTGTCGTAAGAATTCTAATTCCAGTTTCTCTCGTTCAACTTTGAGTTGGTACAATTCATCAGTGTCTGCTCCAGTCTTAGTTTTGCTTGTTCCTAAACAATATAAAATATTGCATTACAGGACATGTATACAACTATATGCTGGAGCTTAAAACATTAGCTTCAATTGTATGAAAATCAGTATGAAATATTTTAAAATATTTTCAGGTACTATATCTAGTCTAGCAAGGGCTACCTAGTCGTACATTTTCCAAGTTAATATCTTAGACTGATTTAAAACTCAGATACTAAGACAGTTTGTCCTAAAGTGATTATTAAAATGTAAAATATTTGCTATTTACAAACATGGTTGGTCCAATATTGTACTGCAAAACTATTAACCCAGGACTTGCTGACTTTGTTTGATGGCTTTCAGTCCTTCAACTGCAGTTTTAAATTAACAAGGTGAAAGTTTAAAGTTAGTCAGTCAAGTAACAAATCTTGGTCAGACTGGACGGGTATACAGTTTGAAAAGTGGCAAAGACTCCAGCCGAGTAAAGATTGAGAAATAGTACACGGCACTGAGTGACCGATCAGTCAGCCCGCAAACATTCAAGGGACCGGAGCTTCAAAAAACGAGAGATTGATTCAGAAGCTATTTTGAAATAAAATAAATTTTAAAAATGTCCACGTAAACCTTTACTTGAAGTTAGGAAATGTCACATAAATTTACAAATTTGGTTAAAGTAAAGTTGAAAATACAAAAAAATAGTATAATATACCTTTGACGCAATCTTTATCTGTCATTGGTTTCTCTGTCACATTGTCTTCATTCTTATACCTGGTCTCCCGCACGTCGACACACATTGCTGATAAAAAATAAAAAAAAGCATTACTGCGATTACATTACAGAATTTTCAGAAATAACAGAATGTTGAAAAAAAACTTTTAGCATGTATATCCAGTTACCTAACCACAGTGCAATGTTGTTTTAAAAATTGGATCTATTTGAGCATTTATAATATTTACAAAATTATACAGACCTATTTCTTTGGGAAGAAAATTGGTTGTGGTGTGCTTCGAAAATAAAGTGTTACAATAAGCATAATATTGGACATGTCATGGGGTGTTTTTTGTATGAAATATATATGAATATATACATGTATATATACACACTCGGTACAGAAAGGCTGAGGTTCTTTGCCTGAATGATTGTCCCCTCGTGATCCACTTCTGTACAACGGTAGATACCTTCATCAGCTGCATTCACCCCTATTATATCAATAACAATATTTATAAATGTTCACGGTAGGAATTGTATGAGACGGTAAAATTAAAACGTAAAGACTTAATTAACAGTTTTCTAGCATCTCTGTCGTAGAATCAGTGGGCCCTTTCATGCGACGGTTGAGCATCCGTCGCAAAAGCGGTGAATAAATATGCCTACCAATCGCTGTCTTCGGTTAGTGTAATACCAAATTGTAACTTATATTTCAACGTCTTTTTCGGGAAATACTAAGTGACACAGGGGCAGCTGCACATAAAGGTACTCTTTTGTTTAGCTCCTTACACGCACCCATCGCAATTCTTTGCTATTTATGTAAACACTGATGACAATTTGACAAAAATACACAGTTTTGCCAAACTTTAATTAACACTGAGTAAAAAACGTCCTCTGAAAACGGCATCATTGCAACAGACTTTTTTGTTGTTTCGAATAAGAATAAAACAGATGGCAACGCAAAGAGGTTACTATAGTAGTCCGATGACCAACCGGAACCCAGCGGCTATTTTCCATAATTACCTTAAAACAGAGTGAAAGTGGTTATACCACGTATTTTAGTGAACAAAAACAAAAGAGAGTGAATTTTGATAATGTGTAAATTTTGACAATGTATAATGAATGTATACATTTGACATGCATAGGAAAATATAAGTCTTTTTCAATAAAATCATGAATGAAAATATGTCTGACAATTATTATCAATTAAAAAAAAAGTCCCACTCATGAACAATCATAAAAAAATTCGAATTAATGTAACAGGTAGACATTTTATACTTCCGGTTTCTATACAACCATAATAAAAAGTATATAAATAATGTTCTGTATCTTATAATTTTACTTAATTTAGGTGGACTATTATTAACCGATATATTGGGAAAAAACTCCCACCATTAAATGACTGTTTTCATGTTTAGTTTCTTAGCGTAGGTAAGACCAAAATACCGAAGTTCTAGGTCCTTGTCCGAAGTTTCACGGAAAGGGCCGGGAAGCTATGGACAGTATCCACCGCCTCTGCGAAAGCTATTGGCAGTATCCACCGCCTCTACGAAAGCTATGGACAGTGTGAGTATATTACAACAATCACTGTTTTTAAATTGCATCGCGTGACCATCTAATGTGTTTAAATATTTGAAGCTTTAGCAGCGTCTAATACAATAATTATAGTTTGCCAATCTGACAGTGGAGTGTGCACAACCCTTTCTATGTCACGTAAATGAGGAATTTATTCTGACAAAAGTATTCAAATGAAATCAACTAAAAGCATTGTATAGGCTGGATTAACTTTCCTTGTTTCTACCACGGCTGCAATTTTTTGCAAACATATATAGGTTATGCGCTTGAGATTCAATAATCTTGCGGGCAAACATAATAATAATGTCTTTATTTTAAGAAGGTTAAAAGTTTAAATACAATTATAATTATTATCATTATCATTTTACATCATTTAGATTAAGTCATTAATATATATTTACCATGCAGTGTTATCTGAAAGTTAAACAAGCCATTGTCTAGTTGGAAGTGGGAGAACTTGAAATGTCCGCTGTCAAGATTCCTTGTTGCGTACTCAGATTCGGACGCAGGATGGAGGCCCTCAGTTATCTGGTGAACCTTGTTGTGTTTGTCTATATAGTCCCACTTGATGCTGTATTATAAATATTGGTGGTTAACAAATAATGTCCGTAAACCAGTACAATTAACCTAAAATTGAATGTTATTATTACGTGTCAAATAGCAACGTGCAAGGTGAAGTAATAAAAACGTTTAGAAATACCAAATGTTTGACCATTACCAAAGGCAAAAAGTACTTAATATACCTGTATATTTGTCAAGGCTACTATGACAGATAAAAAAAATAATTTCTGTTTAGTAATCTTCAAATAAATAAATAAATAAATAAACACATCTCGAGCCGTGTGACTTTGGAACACTATCAAATTCAATGTAAATGAAATGAGCCGTGTCATGACAAAACCAACATAGTGCGTTTTCGACCAGCATTGATCCAGACCAGCCTGCGCATCCGCGCAATCTGGTCGGGATCCATGCTGTTCGCTATCAGTTTCTCTACTTGTAAAAGGGTTGGTAAGCGAACAGCATGGATCCTGATCAGACTGCGCGGATGCGCAGGCTGGTCTGGATCGATGCTGGTCGCAAACCCATAACGTTGGTTTTTTCGTGACGCGGGTCAAATAATCATTCGAATACATACATATTTCGTAGGAGAGCGTAGTCGTTAAAATCTGGTGAACTGCCGTGACAGTCAAGTGGAATATCTACTTTGTCATTCGTTTCCCCTGAATTGTCAACATCTGTGTTAGTCGTTGTTGTTTTTGTTGTCGTTGTTGTAGTAGGCAATATTTCTGTAACAGTACATATACTATCAAATCATCCTACAACTTAACATACTCATCTACTTTGTATATGAATATTTTCATACCCATTAAAATAAAAGCAACAACAACAAAACAAACAAGAGGGCCATAATGGCCCTGAAATCGCTCACCTATATATAAATACTCTCCATGACAAGGAATAAGTAATATAATAAACTATAAACAAAAAGCAGATATAAAATCTAAATCTTAAACTGATATCACAAAGCTCATATTTGTATCTGAAATAGTGCATGTGTAAAAACATTATTGGTTGCTTTTGCTAAAGAATCGTACATATTACGAAAAGTCCCTCGGGGGGGGGGGCAAATTTGATCCTAGGGCTTTTATTTGAACATACTTGGTAGACACTCACTAGAAGATGTTTCTTGCTAAATATCTAAGCTCTAGCTTTTTGACTTTTTAAAAGAAGATTTTTTAAGTTTTTATTATATATACATATAAGGATATATACATATAAGGAAACTCAATGACTCCCTGGGGCGAGGCCAATTTTGACCAAGTACTTTTATTTATACAAGCTTGATAGACACCAACTTGAAAATGTTTCGTGTAAAATAACTTAGTTCCATCTCTTTAGGTTTTTCAAAGTTTTTACTATATACATATAAGAAAAATCAATAACCCGCTGGGGCGGGGCCAATTTTGACTCAAGGGTTTTTTATTTAAACAAACTTGATAAACTAGCATAAAAAATGTTGAATGCTTCATATCTAAGTTGTTGCTATTAGTGTTTTTTTTAAAGTCGAATTTTTTAGTGTTTACTATATACAAATAAGAAAAATCAATAACCGCCCCCCTCCCCCTGCGGGACCAATTTTAACCCAGGGTTTTAATTTGAATATACTTGGTAGACACCCACTAGAAGATATTTCATGCCACATATCTAAGCTCTAGCTCGTAAAGTGTTTACTGAGTCAAATAACTATTATGTGTGTTTAGATCAACAATTTTCGCGTTACTTATACACTAATAGTATTTTCAGATAGAGCATCACAATTAATGTAGAATATTGTCTATGGAGTCAGTATTCTTTAATGAAAATGACCCAGATAATTATCATTTTAAAGGGTATTGTTTCCCAAAGCTTAATAACACGAAGTAAAATTAACCACTCTTGGTATTGTAACCATCTCTGCCTGACTCGTCTCAGGGAAAGGTCCATTTGAGTACAAAACACACACTGGCAGTATTCAAAGTGAAAAATAATTAAGATATATATATAGAACACCATTCGAATGTGCGGGGAGGCTGGCGGGGAGCATGTAGCATCGTTGGCTACACTTCTGAATACACCAATGAACATTATATTTCAAAAACACAATCATTTATATCAAAACATGATTTTATATAAATAGCAAGAGTAAATTTCATCATTTGATTTGGAAAACAATGAGGATACTAATCATGAACGTCAGTGAATACCATTGGCCTAAATTACAGTGTTGTTTAAAGGGACTCCACTGAGGTTTAAAAGCCTAAAAACATAACATTTGAATTTCTTACAGAAATGATATGGGACACTTTAAACAGAAATATATGCAAAGATAGTTAAGAAAGATGCTTTGAAATAAATTGAAAATTATATTTTTGTGCTTTTCTTAGCCCAATTTGAGTGAAAAGCGTTAAAACGCTTTTCATTTTGGGTCATTTTTTTACAATTTGAAAAATTATTCTGGAAAAACGAAGTGCGCGAATGATCTGAAAATTTGCACATAGATTAGTGGCCTAAATTTTCATCAAATGGTACATTTATCAGGAAAAATATTTTCAGTCCCAGCATGTCAAAAAACCTCAGTGGAGCTCCTTTAATGTCAGTAATAAAATATTGCAGCTGTAAAAAGATGTCTTGTACTTCATTTCAGCGCTTTCATATTTTTCTGGTCCTCCAGGATTATTGAGTCCAATATTTCTACTTGTCGAAGATTGAATATTGCTTAAAACGGTGCTGGGGAGTAAGAGATGTTGCATATTTTCCGTACCTACCATACACTGACTAATCAAACAATTAAAACTACAAGAGAACTATAATAGTAAGTCAGCCTTGTAAAGTCTGCATATAGATGACTTCTGAGACTAGGAAGTAGGTCAATGGAAAGGTCAAGGTCAATAAATTACTAATATTGCGTCAACAATAGCAGCATCTACGAGCAGCAGTTAATTCCATTTTTTGTAGTTATCAATTTTCCACCAATTTTCTGAGGGGGGTGGGGGTCAGTATTTATAAAAAGGGTAACTTTTTCTATTGAATATTATCCAGGAGTCATTATTCTATGGTGTCCCTTTACTTCGTTACACTGGATATAAAAATAATATCCTTTTTATCCTATTTTCTGGCTTTGACATCTGTGTTTTGAAAGGTTAGGATTTCAATCCTGATTGTGACATGTCCCCTTACTATAATGAACATTTGTGGCAAGTCTGAAGAGAATATTTATTTCATTATCCATACATGGTTTCCGATGGACTATAATAGTAAACGGACGAATGTTTTACCAAACTAGACAAGTTTGATTTGTTTTGTTATTTTGTTTGTTTAAATAGAAGGCAACGAAACTTTTTATTGTAATTTAAATGAATACAAGTTTATATTGCCCCAAAACTTATACCACAAATGATCGAATAGTCAGACGGACGTCCTTGCGAACGTACGTTTATTGTGTAAATATTTTTGTAAAAAAATAATAATAAAGGACGCATTTAAATCACTCAAAATACTGATGACTAAATGAATAAAAATCATCGTATTCGGCTATACCTGTAGGTTTTTCCAACAACTCTGTAAAATAAATAAGTTCAAAACAAGATTTTTTTTTCATTCCATTTGTAAAAAAATATGAATTCGACCAACACAAGCGAGTAAAACACAATACAAAGTGTTGATTGAATCGCAATTGTTTAGCCCTTCCCGTCAATTGTTCAGCCCTTCCCGTCGATTGTTCAACCCTTCCCGTCGATTGTTCAGCCCCTTTCCGTCAATTGTTCAGCCCTTCTCGTTCATTGTTCAGCCCCTTCCCGTCAATTATTCTGCCCCTTCCCGTCAATTGTTCAGCACTTCCCGTCAATTGTTTAGCCCTTCCCGTCAATTGTTCAGCCCCTTCCCGTCAATTGTTCAGCCCTTCCCGTATATTGTTCAGCCCCTTCGTCAGGACAAGGACTTATAAGTGTTCCGATTGGTGTTGAACACGGTTCGGGATCTTTTTGTTAGTGTGTGCATGAGTGAATAATGAAAAAATAAACGTACTGTTTACAATAAGACGGACTCCTTTTACTGCAATGACGTCATCGTCCCTGTTAATCTCCGAACAACGGTAGTAACCTTCGTCATCTTCAGTGACTCCTGTAATTAAATCTATTTATTTCTTATCGAACAAAAGCTAACAAATAGGTATATTCGTATGATGATCAACATGATGTTATGATGATAGTGTCGGTTAAATGTCATAATGTCCCAGAAATGTTTTTATTTCTATTTTCCAAAAGCTTTTTATTGTTGATGTTCGGTTATATTTTCCAAAAAGGTAACTCAAGAACCAAATTACCTGAATGATGGTTTTCATTCTGCTGTGTATGGCATCAAAATACTGCTTTGTTGACATTTTGCTTATTTTGTGACCAATACTTTCACATTCAGAACTACTTTAAAACTCATATTTGGCCTTATTTTTTCGTTTCTGACGCATAGTATGTATGCACATGTAATGTACCCTCCGGACCATGGCAGTAGCTAGAAACAGGATGTGAAGTGGTTGTAAAATTTTTTGCTATTTCAAATCTAAAACCGTTTTACATAAACCAGTTTATATCGCCCCATAACTAGGGACAAATAAAAAACCCGGGAAAAGCTGAAATTTAAAACACCGATTTTTTGCATTAACATTGCTTAAGGGAATTGGAAATGGGTAACAAAAAACTCATTTCCCTTTGGGGGAAAAATATCTGGGGGGCTTTAAAAATTTTTTTCATAAATGGGTTTCGCTTTTTTGGGTCCTTTTTGGCGGGCCAAATTTCAGGTTTTAAAAAAAAGGAAAACCCAAATTCACTTTCGGGACGCTTGAAAAAGGCCCAAATTTTGAATTTCCGGGGCACAGTTCAGCCCCCGCATCTTTGTGAAAGGGGCCGTAAAACCCAGTTTACCAAAGAAACTATTCCCTTTTCATTTTTCTAAAAGAAACTGAGTTTAACTTATGTACATGCCAGGGCAGAGATACAGTGTGTATGAAGGGTCAAAAGTGACCTGCACCGTCTGGGAATTGAATTAGAGTTGTCCGATTCACAGTCTAATGCCTTACCGAACGGTGCGCTTTGGTGATATACAGTGAAATATGTTTTAATAATACCCACTACATGTACATTCAATTGTCGTACGTGTAATATTTTGACGTGACGTTATAATCTTTTTGACCATATCAATGTGAAAATTATTCTTTTTTACTGTATTTTGGGTGTGTGATTAATAGAATATTATAGTATATCTTCATTACTAAATATATCAATGCGGCGATACCACATGAGAACACGCGCATTTCTGTCCGATTCAAGTATCTCTGCTATTACCAAACCAATTTTGATGACATCTATAAGGCGCAGAGTACAAGTAATTGTAAAAGATGCCAACGGTATCTCATAATTAAGAAACCTACTGAAACAATGGTAGGATGATTCGTCATTGCGCACCAGCTGAACAATTCATTGTAGAAAATCCATCGAATCGAAAGTGAAATACGATTTTATTATACGAAATAGTTAGAGTATAAAAATATTATTTAGCGATCCATAGAATTGCTACAGTCCTTGGAGGAATTGTAAGAAGTTAATAGATTAATTGCCTGGTTTAGATCTGTAAACGGGACAAGTTGTTGGTGTTTTTTTTCCTGAATGTTCCCACTCGGACTTTTCAAGAAAATAGGTTAAAAAAACCTTATTTTACACGTACCAGAGCATCAGAGCAGAGTAATGTTTACATATTTTTCTAGATTGCTCTTTCAAATACAATGTATTTCTATTCAGAAGTCAGGTTTTCTTGTTTTCGTTAAAAATGGAAAATACCCCCAGTCGAACTCGATTTCAAAAAATTTTTCCCCCTCCCCGGAAATTAGAAAATTTTTCTGTTTCATATTTAAAAGAAATACATGGAAAAAACATTTTAAATTTTTATGTTATTTAAAATCACCAAAAAACAAAAAATTTATAAATAAATTAAACTTAAAACATAAATATTTTTAAAATTTAAATGTTAAATTTTTTTACCAGAAAAAATGTTCATCTTTTTTTCTCCCCAAAATTTTGAGATTTTAAAATACATGGGTTTTTTCAATAGCCAAAATGAAAAAAAAGTTAATATAAAAACTTAAAAAGATAGAAAGTTGAAATTTGGGAGAAAGCGTCTTTTTCGGGAAAATTTAAAATTTTGTCCCCATGGACAACAAATTTGGGGGCCCCCTTTATAAAATAAAAAGCTGGGAAAATAACATGTTTTTCCATTTAATTAAAACGTAATGACTTACTTGTTTGTTGAAATGGGTGTTAGCAGATATTAGAAAAAGACATGCTAGAAGGTTAAAATAAAGAAAAACTAAAGAGATCATTTAACCATGTCAGTCTATACAAAACATCGAGTAAAAAGATTAACATACATCTCAAAGATTTTCAAATAAAAGAAAGAGCAAGGTAATGTCTTAATAATATTATCGAATTTGATAATGACAGAAACAGTTCATTTGAAACCGGATTAAATGATCAATTGTACCGATGATATAATGATACGTATTTTGATAAATCATGCGCAAAGTAACCTCATATTGTTTTCCTTTCTCTTTCTTAACTCTTGAATACTTCAAGCGAGAAGGACTATGACAACTTGCAGAAAATGTCCTGTATTTCTTACATAATATATTCATATTCAAAAGAAAGAAAGAAAGAAAGAAAAACTATGAATTAGATTATTTCTAAAACTATTGCTAACGGCAGAAAAAAACTGTGTGTATCTTACCCCTGACAAAATCATGTATTCCGTACTTACTTATTTGAACGTTACGAAAATATATCAAAACAGCAATCCTTGGTAAAATAAATCTATAATATACATTGTATATATTTCTATCAAAGAGTGTTAAAGAACAGAAGACGTGCTGGAAATCACTTGTTTTAATTTTCGAGTGTGTACCCTATCACACCTTGAAAAATAAGAGTAAAAAAATATTCGGATGATCTCGAAAACAATTTTAATATCCAGTGATATATTCTAAAATTCCAGATACTCTTAGTCTTATTTCGTCAAAATCGGTTTGTTTCCTCGTTTAGGGCACACGCTTTTTATTATTACGGAACCATACGCCGCTTTTCATGAAATGGCACGGAAGTGTCACATTGAAGGTTCCATGTTATACCGCCGTATAACACATTTGCGGATGTTTCTATATTCAAAATTTTACTATTTCATGTTTAAATGTTGATTTCTGCTTAAGCCGGTGCTAGGGGCGTGAACGGTAGTTTGCACTTGACAGTACCGTCCATGAACAGGCTCAATCAAATCCAGCCTGCGACATTTTCAATTTTGCCGTCTTGGACTTTCTTTAGGGATTCTTATTTTCTCTATTTGGTAACAGCAAAGATATTGATAAAAAAACATACATAAGGCAAAACAAGGTAAAGGTGTTCCTTCAACTTTAAAGCATAAGATAGTTTAAGCCATCCTAAAGATCACGTTCGCGTTGTATCGCCACTTTGTAGAAAAAAATGAAATTTTGATTAAGTTATTATACTCTGTAAAAATACTAGCTGATGTCATTAACAGTAAAATTAATAAAGTACATTTCTTTGTTTTGCGCCAATGTGCTGTGAGAAAACTGCAATTTAATATAAACAAGAGAACAAGTCAGGTTAATTGTCATCATTGTGGTGTAACATTTTATAAAAGAAATACAGAAATAAATATGGGAGATTACTTCTAAGAAATTAAGATGTATAAATCCAACTAAATACTTTCTGTAAATAATGATACGTTTTCATGTGAGTGCTCTTTTATTTTAATGCGAAATTCAGCAACAGAAACATCATATAATTCTACAAAATAAAGAGAAAATTAAAACATACCATACAGTTTTAACTGAAAGATATACGCCTGTTCCGATTGAAAGTAGACCAAACTCAAATGTCTGCCAAAATTCATTGCAGTGTATTTAGAATCAACGGGATAGAACCCCTCTGTTAGTCTATGACTATTGTTGTTTTTGTCAACAAAGTCCCAGATGATTCTGTAATAAAATAAAAAAATATATATATTTAATTTTTCCTATCAAACTGTGATAGAATTTCAAATTTGATATGTGTGAGTAAACGTTCTTGATTTTACAACACCTACAGCTATATCGGAAATATATTATATGTGTGGCTAGTGGCCTGGCGGTGTGAAGTTGGCACATTACAACAGCCAATTTCACGCCGCCATGCCGCTAGGCCGCCAACTTCACGCCGCAAGGCCGCTGGGCCGCTAGGCCGCCAACTTTACGCCGCCAGGCCGTTAGGCCGCCATTTTCACACATCTGAATTTTATTATTTTTTTCACCGATTTGACCCCGTATTATAAATTCATATATTGTCGCTTGAGAGGTTCTTTACGGGGCTTTTAATTAATTAAAAAGGAAACGGCAAATAAAAAAATATGATAAAAAGAATACAAAAATAAGTCTGACATTATACATTTCATCAGACTAAACATGAAAAACAGAAGTGCTAAATATGGCCTTGACATCATTTATAATGAAGTTTCTTAACTTTACATTAGATACAAAATGTATTTAAAGAGTATCTTATTTTGATTGTTTTGTGGAAAAACATTATTACTGTGGTTTTATCAAAAGTAGTGAAATGGTAGTTAAGATGCAGAAATAACAAATTAATATCGGGTTTGGCCACCTTCAGCATGAAGGGGCTGCCTGGCATCATTGGTGCATAGAACGGATCAGAGATTGATTTCGACTTTTGGAATGTTGCTCCATTCTAGAATTTCAGGCTTTGTCTTACTGAATGAGTTTGACGGTGGAATAGGGGACGTTGGTCCAAAATAAAAGCCAAAGGTGTTTCGAAATGGGAATTTAGATCAGAAGCATTTTGGCAGCCAGTCTTTAATGAAATGCAATGTTATTCCCGTCCAGAAAGGAAATTCCACAGTGCCCCTTGGCGGTATGGCTTTGTTGGCATTATCATGTTGAAAAAAGGAGAGGATACGGCAAATATTTTGAAAACAAGTTGGATAATATGCTTAAACAAGAATTTGAAGCCGGGGTCAACGACAAAACCAACATAATGGGTTTTGCGAACCCGAGCATGGACCAGAAACCAGCCTGATCAAATTAGATAGGCAAGTCTGAATCAGGATCCCATGCTTGTCGCAAAACCCAAATTATTTGGGGGTTTTGTCATGACACCCGGGCTCAATTTTCAGTCTCGGTGAGTTGGACATTCAAATTCCTTTCGATATGAACGAGATTAGTGGTTGAAAGCCAATGTGCCCAACGGGGCCTGTCAAACCCGTCCGAACCAAAAAACAGAAAACCCCCGACCCCAAGTACACAGCAGCCGACAAAACGTTCATTCCTCCTACGATTCCTCCTACGATATACTCGAACCCTGCCATCAGCTCGATGGATGGAAAACCTCGACTCGTCAGATAAAAGAACACTATTTCATTGTTGTCTCAATTGTGTTCAATTAACACAATTTTCGCGGTGACGTAGCCTAAAACACAACCAATGTATGGTCGAGGTCCATGTAGCCATCCCTCGCGCAGGCGATTGTACACAGTTTGGGCAGATATACGATTGTTATGTGTGCTACGCATAATAGCAGCAGTAGTTGTGACAGTTTGGAAGTGATTGCGCACGTGGTTGTTCCGAATATAGCAGTCTTGGGCACGCACCCTGTTGCTTGAAAACGTTGCCTAAGGTGTCGAGTATAGCATGAGTAGAACACCAATATTCATAGCGACGGCATTTATCGTCATACCAGCATTAAGCATGACAATGGCACGTTCGCGTAAACTTTGCGGAATTCTAGGCATCTCAAAAATAAAGAAAACTAAAAAAACATCCAACGTCTTTTTCTTATTGACATGAATGTGTATAAAATTACGATGAAAGGTTTCATATAATATACACAAATCTACTGGTCCATGCATGCACGTGAAAAGTGCGGGTTTCTTCTGCAAAACGAAATAAAATCGAGTTAAAATTTGTTTAATCGGACACAAAATCGTTTGCCCGAATAAATGTAGCTCATTTGACATTCACTATATCTCCGCTTAAACACAGGGGATGTTCAGTATAGATACATTTGACATTTGGTTAAACAATATTAAACAGGTCTTCCTTAATAAGAAATTTAGCATTTTCGTTCATCTCAGAAAAAACGTAGCAGAAACATATCTGGTACAAAAACACAAATATTTTTCACAAAGTCAAGACAAGGGATACAGGTATACACAATGTTACAACAGGTTAAATCTAATTTCCTTCCAGTTGCACATGTCTAATAAATCAAATTCTACATTTCTCACATTACCTCGTTACAAAAATATAATAATATTAAACTGACAAATCTCGGCCTCGTGCTTCTGCAAAAAAAGATGTGCATTAACCCTCTTTTATATTTAAGCCTTATCAAGCATCAAAACCAAAACGTAGGGTGCCGTTATATCAAAATCTTTCACATACTTACCTGTTTATAATATAGTAAGCAAGATCGGGAGAACTTCCTGTACAGTTAAGTGAAACATTCACGTTGGAGTTCGTGTCAAGTAAGTCTACAGTGACAACCTCTTCAGTTAATGTGGTACATTCTGTTAACATACCTGGAAAGAAATACATTGAAATCACTTAAAGGGATATGTTTTATTCTGCCTGTTAAAAAATGGAAAACATAATTTTTATGATGTTACATAGGGCACATATAGACATATATCAGAATAAAAACTACGTAATTGAATTTGTTTTTGATTTTTTTTAACTTTGTACGTTCTTAAAGAGTACTAACAGTACCATTTTAAGCAAGTAAAAATAATGTAAATGTTAGACTTATGTATAAGCTCTCGAATTTGCTTATTGTATTATTTCATGTCATTTCAAGGGCAGTTAACTTATACACCAGTTTTACAAACCTTATTTTACTATATACGTATTTATGCAATATCATATTTTCTTGGTTACAATACAATATTTCATACAGTTCCATTTAACGCGTGTGTTCTCTTAATCCAGTCTAGGTACGGAGTCTTAAAATTAATATGCCTTTGTCTAATTCTTAACTATTATAACTGCTGAAATTCAACATTAAACACACTAATTAACATAAAGCACTAATTTTTCCTTTTTACCAATCTCACACTCTTTTTTACACTATATCATAGCTTTTTGTACAGAAATGACATGCTTCTTATTATTATTGTTTTCTCTACATAATCATTTCATCGTTATCCTTTCCTTTCAGTTCTATTTCAAACAATTATTGTGTAATTTCTTCTTCTTTTTTGGGAATCTAAGTTTTAATTATTCCGCTTCAAAGTCTGACAGTTATAGTTGATTCGTCGGCGAACAGACCTGCTTTGAATAATTGATTATTTGCTATTCGAATATTGTTACAGTCGTGGTTGCGTTTGATAATAACTTTTTAAGTTCTTGATGTATTGTCTTCGTACTTGGCCAAAACAATTCTTAGGACAAGACCTTCAAGTAGATCAGACTAAACTTGACTTCCATTCATAAATGCCTTGACTTTGACCTTGAGCTTTAAATGACATTGGCCGTCAAGGTCAAATTATTGAACTATGGTTAAATTGTCATTGATTTGTTATTTATGTATGGATTTGATTTAAATTTGGAAAAAAACAAGACTTGTTACCAAACAAAATTTATTGATGTATATGTGACCTTGCCTTAAAATTGACATTGACCGTCAAGGTCAAATTAATGAAATTCTCTTCATGTAACTGGCTATAACTTTGTTATTTATAAATGAATTAACTTCATGTTGAAACACAACGTCTTTTATGTCAGAACCTTGATGTTTATCAAACTCAAATTGACATTGACTCGTGTATGACATTGACATTGAAGGTCAAATAATTGAATGTTTACTAATTATCGCTATAATTGGCTGCAACTTGCTCATTAATAAATGGATTAACTTCATACTTTGACAAGCAACTTTTTGAACAATTTCTTCTAAACGTTGAACTGACCGTAATATTGAGCTTTAAATGAAATTGACCGTCACTGTCAAATTATTGAATTTTGGTAAAGTTGTCATTATTTTGTTATTTATGTATGTATGTCTTTGATTCATATGTCGGGAAAACAATACTTGTAATCAAACGGACATTTTGAACAATTTAGAAATGACATTGACCATTGAATGACCTAGACCGTCAAGGTCAGATGATTGAATCTTTTCTTAACTTTGTCAATTATTTATAGAAAATCAAATGATTCATACAAAAAACAGCAAGTGTGACATGACAAACCTATGAGGATAAAAAAAGGAAAAACTTATTTTATTTCAATAATGTTCTTTATAAAGATCTGTTGAAACCAAAAAAAAAAAGTAAAAGAGAATGTCGAGCGTTGACTCTTGTTATCTGTATTTTTGTCGCTTAATGTTGATTTTTTTCTCCATTTCATGTTCCAGTTTGGTAGCGACTGCAATATCTTTATTTTTGGCTTCAATGTTGCAACTTTTCCTCTAAAATGTCCTTTTTATAGTCCTTTTTAAAATAGTCTTTAAAAAAGAGGGGCAAGTTCTGAAAGGAAAATTATGTTGCAGCGTTCACAATATATAATTATATCACACCATGACACTAAAACCGTGTTCAGCAAAGACAAGGTTTTATATGAGTTTAAGGGGGAAACACGAGTTAAGGTTCGCTTACATGAAGTAAAAAATGTATACTTACATGTTTTCAGAATGAAAAAACTTGCAAGCACGAGTTCTTTGTCTGTAAATGAAAAACAACAACATTCAAATGTATCGTTTGTATTCAAATAAAGTTGATTTTTATTAAGTATATTTCCATATTAATATGATATACATGTAGAGAGAATAAATAAATGAGCCGCGTCACGACAAACCAACATAATGGGTTTGCGACCAGCATGGATCCAGACCAGCCTGCGCATCCGCGCAGTCTGATCAGGATCCATGCTGTTCGCTCACAAACCCTATAACAAATAGAGAAACTGATAGCGTACGGCATGGATCCTGATCAGACTGCGCGGATGCGCAGGCTGGTCAGAATCCATTCTGGTTGCAAACGCATTATGTTAATTTTGTCGTGACGCGGCTCAAATAGAGGATATTGAATGAGAGTGGGTTGAATACTAAATGTATTGAACGAGTTGAATAAAATCATGTTTTGCAAGTATCTGGCGAGCATAATATTGCTTTATTCAACGTGTTAAATATATCTAGTATTGAATCTACACGATTATCTATTTCTCACATACCCAAAATAAAGACTGTTTACAGTGATAAGGATTCACTTTTTCATTGACGCGTCAACAGTGTAGCGCGTCTTAATAGTACATTTATATGGCGCAATTGACGTCACGTTCAAATTTATGCACGGCCGTGCAATACCATTTAAAATTACGGAGTCACAAGGGCGGCGCGGGTATGATATTGAATTAGTATAGGTTTAATACTAAATTTATTGAACGAGTTGAATAAAATCATATTATGCGAGTCTTATGACGTCAGATAGGACGTCCTTAAGGTGAATAAACATTCCTTTTAGTATTCTTTTCATTTTATGGGGTAATAAATATCTTTTATCACATAAACCACAGAATAGGAGTGTATTAAGTGATGTAGCCTATTTTATGCCAACCAGTGAGATACTGTTTTTATCCGTGAGCTAAAATCTTTATCACTCACAGCAAATCACCCATAAGATGTGTGATATGGCCATACCTTTATAAATTAAACTACTTTTAGCATACGTTTCCGTACATTTGTAAATTTCTACTATAGTTAATTGTTGTATTTAATTGAAATAATGCTTCTTTTACACTTTAAACAGTCTGTATTTTGGGTATGTGATAAATATAATATATCACATACATTATTACACGATATAACGTATATGACGTCAGGAAAATTACTTCTTCGCTAAATGTAGTTCAATATATTTCAATATTATCAATCATGAAAACAGAGATTAAATTTTACCACATACCCGTATCGCTTTAGCGACTCTGTAAAAAAGGTATTACACAGTTGTGCATATATTTTGAGGTAACGTCATTTGCGTTATATAACGCGCTATAAACCTATGTGAGCGTTATACTATTGGTGCGTCAACGAAAAATGATTCTTTTTCACTTCAAACTGTCGCCAGAGGCTCGCATATAATAACATTATTAAACTTGTTCAATAAACTCAGTATTAAACATACACTTATTCAATATCCTTTATTTCTTGCATGAAAGTATATCTCTTTTTGCAACTCCGTGGAAATTGACGTGACGTCATTTGCGTGGTACAAACTTAGCATAACGACGCGCTAAATGTTTGCGTTACACTATATACTCAACATCACTAACCGGTGTCATCACTTAGTTCACGGTTATAGCATATTTCCATGTGACCAGTGTTAAAATTTATCAAAATTGATATAATTTATTTATAGATCTACACCTAAACAACAAAGCTTTTGTGCATTTTTCATAAATCTCTAGATTTTTACGTGAAACGGAACATCATTTTACAAATTTCTACTAGGAGCTACAATAGTCCATAAAATGTTTGCGTATGTTGGAAACAATCATCATTTCCTAAACGTTCTTGCTTGTTTAAAAAATAAATTTTGAGTTACTTCCCGTGAATTTGTCATTTTATTATTTCTTTTATCGGCATTAACTTGTCCTTTAATAATCATGGTATATATTGACACAGTACAACAACGTCATTCCTAACTTACACTGAAAACGCAATGATAAATTAATACAATATGTTCATAAAATAATAATAATAATAATAATGTTGATAATGAAAATGATGATGATAGATGATAGCAGAATAAAGAACAAAGATAATTTAAAAAAAAAGAAATAATAAGACGAAGAAGAACAATAGCAATAATAATTGCCCAACAATATTCATAAAAAAATAATAGCACATGCAATAATAATGATATTAATAATAATAATAATGATACCATTGATACTAACAACAACATTTTTATTATCATTATAATTATTATTATAGATTTCGAATAAGTTATTATCATGATAAATTAATGATAACAATTAATGATAAATAACAATAGCAAGTCATAGTAATATTTTATGATGATTACAATTTTAATTAATACTGAATAATAATAAATATACAAACATGTATTTAAAAAACAAGTATTAAAACTCACAATTCAACATTCTTATCCTTGTTGCAGTATGTTGTTACTGTAAATAACGCGACTGGATGTTTATTTCTCGCAATTTTTGTTATATGAGATAAGGCTGCAAATATATGCCTATATCATGGTTTCCTATCAGCTGAACAACACGCAAATGAGCCGCGTCACGACAAAACCAACATAACGGGTTTGCGACCAGTATGGATCCAGACCAGCCTGCACATTTGCGCAGTCTGATCAGGACACATGCTGTTCGCTATCAGTTTCCCTACTTGTTAAAGGGTTTGAAAGCGAACAGCATGGATCCTGATCAGACTGCGCAGGCTGGTCTGGATCCATGCTGGTCGTAAACCCACTATGTTGGTTTTGTCGTGACACGACTCAAATGTTTATTTCAAAGTGGAAATTTCTGACAGCTTCCAGACGCTGATTTCAAATCAAGGACTTTCGAAAAACAAAACAAGAACATTTTGTAGAGATAGATTTATACAAGGCGAAGCTTATCAGCAACTAAAGTCTGTTTGTTTAGAACATATCCCTTCTTTTACTTAAAATTAAATAATAATGCATGCTTTTCTAGTGTATCCATGACAACGTGGCTCGAATGGCTCGGCACGTTGTCGAGATGTAATATGAATCTGGACCTAAGTAGATGTGGGCGCTTTCTCCTTATTGCCGTCATGAATTCCGTTCTGAGCAATGTTGCATAATAGTTCCCAGTGACTGTCGTTTTAGTTACCACTACACCGTATGTATCATAGAATATAACCCGGCTGACTTGGAAATTATCGCTTTTTAGGGGAATGCAAGGAAGGATGCTTCCAGACGGAACACTGACGTTTGCTTTCCATCACATTGTATCACTCGATTTAGAAAGCAATCACCTTCTTCACGATACCTCCTGTCGTACTGCTGACTCATTTCCACCTTTGCCCCCATCTGCTCCGACGTCAACATCCCGGACCTAGCAATTCGTGACTTCTGGCTGTTTCCAACTTAAAAAAAACAGTCTTCGTGGTGCTAAATTTGAGTCAAGAGAGGAACTGAGGTGTGCCGTGGACTGCACCTGTGGGAGATGTCACGTGACGGGCTACAACACGTGTTCGAGTTATGGGTCGAGAGATGAGGGCAAGTGAAAATCGTGCATGGAACGTTACTTTGAGAAGAAGTTATCATTTTAGGCACTTGAATTAAATCATTTCCACGCTATTGAATAAGTTTACGAATTTATTGATGCACCACGTGTACATATTTAAAAGTAGTAACCTCTCGTATGAAAAACTATAAACAACAACATTCATTGAAAAACAGGATAGAACTTTTTCTTTTAATCTATTTTCTAATTAGTATGTTCATTTTGTATTTTCGGTCTGCGTGATGTTAATATGTTTTGAGTTTTTCTGAGACCAAATTTCTCGCGCAGGGATTTATGATTAGATACCAGCTTATTCTCCCAACATTCGCCTCAAGTTTCAAGTGTCCCATTCAAGTCCCAAAAGGATGGCTTTTATGTGTATCGTGACTATACCAATATATGCATTTTATCAACAATTATTTAAATCATTTAATAAGTCTTTTTAAGGCCAATATGTCATGATAACCAAGTATGATCAGTTTCATGTTGGTGGTATATCTATCGGAGTATTGAAATCATTGCACTAAATAAGCAACTTTGACAAATTCTAAGTTAAAAAGAGGCACACCTCTGACAATTTAGTTTCAGAATAAAATCCTTCGACTTACAAATGAGTCTCTCATGATAATGATGTATTCAAGGTTTCATGGTTTTGTAATTATTCTACCTCATTAGTAAGTTACTCATGAATCTTAAGTTCAAAAAGGGGCATAACTGCAAAAAAAATAGAACTTTGCCTCTTTTCCTACAACTGCTCTTTCTTATGTCTAGCAAGTATTCAAAGTTTCGTGTTAATACCTTTTAAAGAATTTCAATAATAGCATACTTTAAAATTTTTGCATGACGATGACAAGGATGAAGTGATCATAGTAGCTCTACTTTTTCGTCCAAATAGACAAGCTAAAAATGGTTATAAACAAAAAATGGTTTAAAAGTTTTCAACAGATTTATTATTAATATAAAATACATGAACATAGCAGAGATAAATAAAAGTGTAATAAGAGTATAGTGAAATAATATAAAGAAAATTCTAAACAAAATATTCAAGAAAGAAATGTTTATAATAACATTGATTTATCAGCATCATGGTTTAATAGGCTAATGTCATATGTAATGGTCAATGTCCATTTAATAGTATGGCAAAGGAATATTTTTTTCAGGCTACTTCCACAGACGTTATCACCTAATATATGTAAACAGACATATCATTTTAAAGTAATGGAAAGGCTTTTTACAGTCTTCTTCTAAAGACTTTATCGCCTATGGTGTGGTAAATGTCCTTAAATAGTTTTTTTTTTCAGATTTTTTCCACATACATTAATGGGTATGGTATTGTGAATGTTCATATTATTTAAGTATGGCATAGGTTTATTTTCTAATCATAGCACTTCTACCAGGTCCTCTCCTTTGTGTTGTACATATTGGACAAGTTTCCTGAAAATAATAAAAAAAAATAAATTCACTGAGCTATTCCCTACACAAATAAAACATGCTAAAAATTATTCGTCAAATGAGAAATTTACGATAATTATTATAATCATAATATAATTAAAACATGTTTGTACATTATATCAAATCATTTCCAAATCCACATGCAAAATATAATTGGATTAGCTATTTTTATCATCCTATCCTATTTACAGTTACTACAAAAACTTAAATGAGCCGTGCCATGACAAAACCAACATAATGGGTTTGCAACCAGCATGGATCCAGACCAGCCTGCGCATCCGCCCAGTCTGATCAGGATCCATACTGTTCACTATCAGTTTCTCTACTTGTTATAGAGCATGTAAGCGAACAGCATGGATACTGATCAGACTGCGCAGGCTGGTCTGGATCCATGCTGGTCACAAACCCATAAAGTTGGTTTTGTCGTGATATGGCTCAAATATTTCTGTTGTCAAGTATCCTGTTTCTAGGGAGCCTTTCTGAAGATAAGAGGAAAGTTGCTCCCCTTCCTTGATACATTCTTCATTTCTGCTAGATAAAAGTTTCTTACAAGAAGTCTCTTTTTCACAGCTGGTCTTTAAGCTGAGGTTTATTGTTCTCCTATCAATCTATATATTTTCGACTATCTGATTTAGAAATATTACATGTATATAATTATATGTATTACCATTGCAGTGTTAAGGCAAAGCTCATGGGCAGCATGACTGCAGAAGAACACTAGGACATCACTGGCATGACGGGTTTCTGAAAATAATTTATATACACATAAATCTTGACTACTAACTGTGATCAAGTCTTGCATATATGACACCAGTATGGTATATAGTCAGACTAGCCACCAGTATACTAGAGAGATGTTCAATTATTTATGAAACACAATCAAAACACTTTATAAGGTCTTATAGATTACAAAAACTTGTGCAAAGAGATTAATTGATGTACAGTAGTGTATCATACATATAACCCATCTCATTTGAATTTAAAAATAAGATAGAGATAGATAAAAAATTAAATGATTCAGTTAAAGCAGCATGCCTCCAGATTCATGCTAATTTTCATGAAAATTTTGAAAATGAATTTAAAAGTAAAATATTGTAAAGTGAACAAAAAAAATTAATTTACACGTTGCAAAGGGTACCTACAATCCACATAAATTACCAAAAAGAGATCAAAATATACATAAATACCTCTAACTGTGTTAGTAACACAGTAAAAATATAGTGATTGGTACTACAAAATCAGTCATTAATCACACATAAAGTGTAAATAATTAATCAAAAATTGAACCCTTTTACTTTTCTTAAGATTTTAATGCATTTTTCTAAAGATTGAATTTTTTTAAAATATTTTGCCTCAACTGAAGGCGTGCAGCTTTAAGGCATCACTTAAGGACTTTTGAAGCAAAAAATATCCTACAGAAACATGGTGAATCAAGTAAAACAGATGGGATATAATGTTTCTACTGATATTGTGCATTGCATTCAACATGGTAAAGGTGAAGACTCGACCTCTTGTCATTGAGCTCTAATGACCATTAACTTTTAAACAAATGTGCAGTAAATTACATAACACCTGCAGGATGGATGCCAAAAATCCCAGATACAGCTCCCATTCACTTTAATATCTGGGGTATACTAAAACGTATGGTACAAAATCACAAGATTTATACCTTGTCCAGTCTTAAAAAAGTTTAAGAAAGCTGGCCAAAAAGGTGAAGAATGATTTACTGTTGCCATGGATAACAGATTGAGCACTTGTTGCAATAAAACACATGGGACTAAAAAATTAGGCAGGTTTTAAAACGAATTCATAATTAAATGAACACCTCTCGTAGAGACAGTTTAGCTAACAGTATACAGACAGGTAAGTCAGACAAGAGGGACCAGAGGGCCCTGGATTGCTCACCTGAGAAATAGTTCAAAAGGTTTAAGTGGACCCCCCAAAAGCAAAAATTAAAACATTGTGAAACATACAGGATTTACAGTACATTTAAGGAAAATCAGTGACCCCTGGGGCAGGGCCAATTTTGTACCTAGGGCTTTCATTTGAACAAACTTGGTAGACATTCACTTGGAGATGTTTTATGCAAAATATCTAATCTCTAGCTCTGTTGGATTTTCACAAGAAGAGTTTTTAAGTTTTAACTATACACATGTATATATAAGGAAAATCAATGAACCCCTGGAGCGGAGCTAATTTTGATACTAGGGCTTTTATTGGAACTTTATAAACTTTTAACTTTGTAGACTACCATTTGAAGATGCTTCATACTTAACATCAAAGCCCTTGCTCTTTGGGTATTTTTAAAGAAGTTTTTACTATAGACATGTCACCAGGGCAAGGCCAATTTAACCCTGGAGCTTGTAATTTAACAAATTTGGTAAATACTCACTAGAAGATGTTTCATACTTAATGTCTAAGCTCTAGCTCTATTGGTTATTTAAAAGAAGATTTTTTAAGTCTTTACTAAAGACATATAAGAAAAATCAGTATCTCCAGGGGCCAATTTTGATTCCAGGGCTTTCATTTGAACAAACTTTGCAGACACACACCAGAAGATGTTTCCTGCTATATATTTAAGCTCTAGCTCTTGGGTTTTTTAAAAAGATTTTTTAAGTATTTACTATATATAGTATATAGTACATATAAGGAAAACCAATGATCCCCCCCCCCCCCTCCCGGGTGGGGCCAATTTTGACTCCAAACAAACTTAAAGATACTCACTAGAAGATGTTTCATGCCAAATTTTTAAGCTCTACCTCTTTTGTTTTTTTTTTTTATAAAGAAGATATTTTAAGTCTTTTCTTTTGGTTGCCATGGCAACCAGAATTCTGCATGGAAATAAATTCTTTGAACAACTTTTTAAAGGTGACCACCAAAGGAACATTCCTGTGAAGTTTGGATGATATTGGCTTAGCTGTTTATGAGGAGATGTCGTTTTAAGTAAAAGTTTACAGACAGAAGGCGGACAAAAAGCGATCATGTCACTTTGTGACAGGTGTGCTTAACATCTGCAAGTTTTGATCAGACTCATTACTGTTGACTGCTAAATTTATTACATTTTTATGGCAAGATTACTTGCAACAATAACATGAACCTGCTGGAGAGATTAGCATTTGCCATCTGTTACAAGCCACACCAGCCTGGACATCCTTGCAATTTGACCTGGCTCTATACCAGTGGTTGCTCAAGTTATGTATATAATGTTGTAATCCCGCAATTTCCAATTGAACTGTTCCAATATTAAAGCAGGGTCAAAATTAATTGAAATAACAGCAGGTGACATGGGTTATGTGATACTAAATAACATGTACTAACCTGTGACTAGAATCTTTTCATGACAAACTGTACAGACATGGCTAGCTGTAATCAAAAACAGAAATGTCTTAACAAATGAGCCGCCTCACGACAAAACCAAACATAGTGGGTTTGCGCCAGCATGGATCCAGACCAGCCTGGGTATCTGCGCAGTCTGATCAAGATCCATGCTGTTCCCTTACCAACCCTATAACAAGTAGAGAAACTGATAGCGAACAGCATGGATCCTGATCAGACTGCGTGGATGCACGCTGGTTGCAAACGCTGTTGATTTTGTCATGACATGGCTCAAATGTCTTATATAATGGCAAACCTAGAAGATGGCTTGGTGGTTAAAGTGTGTCATAGGGGGAGGAAAAATGTGACAGGGATTCTAACCCAGGACACTAAGAAAACCATTCTTTTAAGCCCCAATATAGGACATGTTGAGCCACAACTATGTTTCCTCAAATAACAACAGTTCTGGTTAGATCAAGGCAACTTAAATAAATTTCTAGCTCTCATCATAATGATGCAAATGGAAAACCCATTCTTTAATAAAATTGACAGAAATATTTCCTATGGGTATATTGTCAAAAATTACAAAATTAATTCAATAATGATATCATCTAAATTTAATATTCTATTTATAGAATAATACTAACTGTCTACAGATATTGCTTTCTTTTGTGTTTTAACCAGTCTATTCATCAAACCAAAGCTATCAGCGACCAGTATTTTCTTACACCCCTCTCTAAGAGAAATCTGAAATCAGTACAACAAGCCTTCAAAATACTGAAATCACTGGAAACAAAATAATGAAATTAATAAACATTAACTTATTTGTTGGGTATAAAAATCCTATCAATATTATTGTACATTAACCTTGTGTTCATAAAAAGTCTATCAAATTATCAATATACATTCACTTTGAAGGTAATAAATACTCACTTCATTTGTGGAGGTATTTAAATCAATCAATATACATTAAGTTGATTTGCCTGGTTACAAAATAAATCTATTCAGATACATAAATTTCATAAGTGATACAATCAGTTTAACTGATATACAATTAGATTAGTTTTCTGGTGCATAAAAATATATTAATATGAATAATACATTAACATTCTTTGTATTGAAAACAGATTTTTTCTATTGCATTAACTTCATATGTAAGGGTTTGCAAATCTATCTATAAAAATTGAAACAAAAATATAAATGTTATAATGAACTTTGATTTAAAATACAAATATAGTTAGTGATGCCAATAAACCAGTAAATTACAGACTGTCATAATATTAATATAAGAAGTAGTACCTGAAGATTATAATCTTGTAAAATCTTCACAAGGGAATCTCTAAGTTCTGGGATCTCCATTCCAGTCTGTATTCTTCGTATAAGAATAATTGGGTCAACATGGGTCCCAATATTGTTCAACAAACCGGTGATAAAATCTGTGAGAAAACAGAGTTATCAATATTAGAAATATGGTAAAAAAGAAAACAAGCATGAAAGGATTCTAAAATTGTATGGATTACTTGCCTTTATAAATTAGAAAATACAGAGATGGGTCTTATACTACAAATCAGATTGGAAGTGTGGGGTGAGGGAGGGGAGCGGCTATATTATACAAAGTCTGTATACCGTATGATAAGTTTTTAGAATATGGTAGTAACTCTTTATTTTTAATGGGATCTTTCTAATAATTTACTATTACAAAGCTGCATATTTATCTTATAAAATATTGTTGACAAAATATTTACCTTCATAACTATGACCATATTGAATGCAAGATGTAGTCCTTAACATTATCCAGAGCACTTATTTTTTTAACAAAATTTTTAAAGTTTCTATTAATGAATGAACTATTTATCATTAATGTAGAATGGTGGGATACTCTTTTTGAGCTACCTCTCGACATAATTTCTGCAGTAATTATTGCAAATCTGGTGAGGGGCCTAGAAAGTAAAAACACATCATAATACTTAAAAAGTGACTAAAAATACAAAGGTTGTAGTGTAATACATACTGCAAATCTAAGAAATGGGGGAGGGGACCAAGGAATTGCAAAGACTGCAATACATTTTGCAATTCCAAGGAGGGGGACCTAGAAAGAACAAAGACATACTCAAATTTAGGGGCAATCTAGGAAATCTGTAAAAACAGAAAGTCAGTACTACATACTTGGTTTGTCCAATGAATATTGTATCAGATCCTCCCATAATTCTGTGTCGTTATGCTCCTTACAAAACTCTATTGCCTGATCCACATCATGAAGTTCATCCACAATAATCTTTAATGCTGTTTTCATGTCTCCTGTACGACCTAGTTAAGAAAAGAAAGAAACACTGCACTTTTGGTTGAGCTCTAAAGCTGCAACAACAACAACAAATAAACTTTAAAGAACATAATTTTTGAGCCGTAACATGACAAAACCAACATAATGGGTTTGCGACCAGCATGGATCCAGACCAGCTTGGGCATCCGCGCAGTCTGATCAGGATCCATGCTGTTCGCTTACAGACCCTATAACAATTAAAGAAAATGATAGCCTTTGATAACCTTTTATGGTTTTAAAGATAATACTTGCACTCATATAACATTAACATAAACCAAGAACTTACACAATTTTTTAATACAAAATCAGAATTAAAAACTGAGACTCATTGTTCACCTAGTAGTCAAGCCAAAAATAGAAACCTTTTATCAATAAGATGGGAGAATAAAATAACTGTTGTTTTTTTCAATTTGAAATACATTTATCTCTAAATAGCATAATTTTATTTTCTTCTTCATTCTTCCACAATATCAAAAATGTATTTTTAGTAAACACACATAGACATTTCCTTACCTAACAAGAAAACAAGCTCAGGTTTAAATTCTCGCACTTTAACTTCCTTCAAGGCAGAATCTAGGTTATATTGCACACTGCCACGCAGGAAAGGGAGAAGTTTTGGACGATCAAATTCTGCATATAACTTTACCATCTGTGTAGCGTATGACTTAATCAACTGCTGGTCTTTCATCGCTAGCTTGTCAAGGTACTGAAAATTAATGTATAGCCTCTGTATTCAAACCAAACACACAATCTTAAAGATAAACTATGCTCAAATTTGATTTCAGACAATATTGATAATTGCTACACAGTTTCTTTGTAAAAATAAAATAAACATGTTTTGACTTTACACAAAGTTGATATGTCATGTTTAAAACTCTACACACTACAGGTCATCACAGTATGAATATATAGTGTCTTTAAAAAAAACTGGCAGTTTTTTAAGGAAAAAACAACTTTACCTGTCCTATAATAAAGAATGTGACTTCAAATGCATAGTTTATTCATTTCATATTCAAACAAGACATATTCGGTAAGAATTACGTAGATTGTAATTAATTTCTTTGATTAAACTATTTTACTAAAAGATGAGCATAGTATATCTTTTAATATTTGCAATAATTAAAATTAATAGAGAACCTTAGCCATGATGTCTTAAATGAGATTTAAAACAGGTTTCTTATATCAAACAATTGTTTGAAAAAAAAAATATGAAAAAAAGAAACAGAGGGTTATATACTTACTATATACAAATATTTTGGTTTCTTCTCTAGCTGTGGTACGACTTTCTCAACCTGTGAATAAAAACATAAAGCAAACAAAGTCCACATATAAAAGAAAAATAAATCGGTTAACACTTTGCCTACTGAGAGCAATCACAGTAGCCATTGCAAACAACTTGGTACCGTACCAATTGCCACGAATCTCAGTGTTATATCAGGTACCAACAGACTGATAGTCTTCCTTCTTATCTTTGAGGTTAAGAAAAGCAGAAGACAGATGACATCTTTCCCAGCATGCACAAGGGTAAAAGCTTATCAAGATAAAGGATCACCTTTATGCTTTTTAAGTGTTTACTTGATATATTCTAAATATCATATATTAGAATGATCAAATACTTATTGTAGTGTATAAAGCTATACGTCTGCTGCATGCACTTTTCTAAAATTTTTGTAAAAAAAAAAAAAATTTCAAACTATGTGTATGAAAAAAAAAAAATGTTTGTATTTTACCTTTAAATTAATTAAATTTAATGGGACTGCACTGAGGTATTTTGACATGACCAGATTATAAATAATTTTTTGAGGTTAATGTTACATTTGATTTCAGTCTAGACCAATAACTTGTGTCATTTCAGATTATCCACTTACTCTGTTTTTTCCTTAATATTTTTCCAAAAGTGAAAATTTGACAAAATCTCTCAAATCGGGCTTAAGAAACACAAAAAAACTTGAATTTCCAATTTATTTACTTACTTTGATATATTTCTGTTTCAAAGTAGGAGCATAATGTTTCATTCCAGAACATTTTATATTTTTTTAATATATACAATAGTCACGGATGTTAAATATTATGTTAGTATTCTTCGGTAATCAACCATAACATTATATTAACAACATATTTTTTTTCCATGATTATTTTTCATTAAAATATTGTGTAAGACAAAACTTTATACCTTTTCAATTTATATGACTAATAACACTATCTAATTATCAGTTGATATATCTAACATAGCAGAAGTGCTTTGAATCAAAATAATAATGCATGCTTACGGCTCTGATTGAAAATACATTAAATGTGCAAATGAATTTGTTTCTTTTTTAAGTCACAACAATTTTGTTTATAGTCATAAAGTGACTCTCTACCTTTCCTTGTGGAGGAAGACCATAGAGCCCCTTCCAACATTACATTTAGGCATGTTGGGGCAACCAAGTAGAACCTGTGCCCATCCTACGGCTAGCTTGATTGCTTCCATCCAAAAGCTCCTGACAGGATTCAAATACACAATGGCAAAAAAAAATAACTCAAGTCAGTAAATTTTAACACATCCTAACAAATTTCTAAGAACGAGTATATACTGTTCATATATTACTTTTTACTAATTTTCATCAATCAAATAGGTTAGTTCAACTTACAGGTATTTTATCTAAGTTGTTTAAGAGCATAGTAACAGCAGCTTCCTGGTCAAATTCCATCAACTGGACAATTTTATCACTGACAGACTCAAACAAGTTATGTTTATGAATCAACACAAAAACATCCCTGTCTTTCAATCTGAAAAAATAAAAACAAGAAAAGATTATTTAGTTTTTGCTTTATGTTACACTAAACAGTATTATATACTTGTTAAATTTATTGCCTTTCAACCCAAGGATTGTGGGCTCATAACCTACTCAGATCACAGCTAAAACTGGTACCTGATACCTTTCAGATTCTTGGTTCAAAGTAACAAATATGTTTATTAACTAAAATGACTTTTTTTAGTGTTGAATTCCCACTTTTCAGTTAACATTTTTCATTGCCCATAAGAATGACTTTCAGAGAGAATGTTAAATTTCAGTGTCCAATCTTTAAGAAAAGCTAACCTAGTATTTAAATACATATAAAATGCCCTAAATCAGTGGGGTACTTTGGACAGTAAACTAAACTGGTGGAGTATTTTGGTGAATGATCAAAAAACAAAAAAAGTATAGCATTTTAGTATCTGCCCTATATAAGTAAGTATTTTGGGGACTGCCCTTAAGTAGTGAAGTGTTTTGGTGAATGATCTTTAAAAAATATTGTATTTTGGTGACTGCCCTAAATTATTGAAGTATTTTGGTGACTGCCCTTAATTAGTGAAATATTTCGGTGATGCCTTCAATCAGTGGAATATTTTGGTGAATGTACATTATTAATATTGTATTTTGATGAATTACCTCAATCAGTGCAATATTGTTTGTGAAGGACCTTAAAGAAACTCCACTGAGGTAAAAAAGCCTAAAACATAAAATTTTAATTTCTAGCAAAGATCAGCTGGGTCACCTTTTAAAACAGAAAGATATGTAAAAAAATAATTTTTGTATTATGGGACCTTTCCAGCTTAACTGGTTGAAGAAGACCTCGGGTGCCTTTCAGTGCCTTATTTCAGGCACGCACCTGAGAAGAAACACTGAGGTTCTGTATGTTAGCTGGATAGTTTTCCCACATGAAAGAATCCAAGAAACCAACAGCAGTGAAAGGCAAGTGATTTGAAGTCAACCACCTAAAATATTATTTTCATTTCTGCTGTGTCAAAAAACCTCAGTAGAGTCCCTTTAATCTATGGAATGTTTTGGTGATTGCCCTCAATCAGCCTAAATTTCAAGAGTAAATTTATCCTAACTTTCATCAGGATAGAAATTTGGGAAGTTCTTAAAATTAAGGAGTATCTTTCTGAATGCCCTCAATAAGTAAAATATATATTGAAAGGTAACTGCACTTAATTGGTATTTTGGCGATTGTTCTTTACATATTTTAATGACTGCCTTCAATCAAACAAATATTTTGGTGAATACCCAATACCCTCAATCTATATGCATGTTGTCATCGGGATTACAATATTATACATGCAAACTTGTATAATTAGAAAATTAGTAAATGAAAATGAGCCGCGTCACGACAAAACCAACATAGTGCATTTGCGACCAGCATGGATCCAGACCTGCCTGCACATCCGCACAGTCTGATCGGGATCCATACTATTGGCTATTAGTTTCTCTACTTGTAATATGGTTGGTAAGGGAACAGCATGGATCCTGATCAGACTGTGCAGATACGCAGGATGGTCTGGATCCATGCTGGTCGCAAACCAAATATGTTGGTTTTGTCATGACACGGCTCAAATGATAATCAAAAGTAGTCATCTTACTTCAAATATATGGCCAATGCTTTATCAAATGCTCTCTCATATCCATGCCTGAAAAATATTAATATACATGTATATTATGGGTATTTTACCCTTTCTCACTGTTAATAATAAGACTTTTCTATTTTTACCCTTTCAAATGTGATCTGCCTATGCCATTAAAGTACAACCAGGCCAGCCTGAACATCTGTTCAGCCAGACAAGGTTCTACACTATATTTTTATTCTACACTTTATTTTTATATGATATTAAAAGTTAATAGCTTTCAAAGCTGAGCAAATCCATAACTTGTACACATTTTCCGTTTCACACATACATTTCATATGAAAAATGGCATGAAGCATACAAAATTGCACCTTAAAACGTCCAACAAGTTCATTTTAATTAATTTTTGTGTGTTTACCTATACCTTACATCTGTTCTTATAATATAACAAGAGGGCCATGATGGCCCTGAGGTCGCTCACCTGTATATAGGCCCCCCAACCCCCCCCCCCCCCCACGTTGCAGAGCCAATTTAACCCAAGGGCTTTTATTTGCACAAACTTGGTAGACACCCATAAGAAGATGTTTCATGCTAAACATTTAAGCTCTAGCTCATTGGGCTTTTTAAAAGAAGATTTTTTTAAAGTTTTTACTATACACATATAGTTAAAAACAATGACACCCCTGGGGCCGGGCAAGTTTTGACCCCAGGGCTTTTATTTTATTTCAACTCTAGCTATTTGGGTTTTTTCAAAGAAGATTTAAAGTTTTTGCTAAACACATATAAAGAAAATCAATGACCCGGGCGGGGCCAATTTTGACCCCTGGGCTTGTATTTGAACAAACTTGGTAGACACCTATTAGAACATGTTTGATGCTCAATATCTTGGCCATAGCTCTTTGAGTTTTTTAAAAGAAGATTTTTTAAGTTTTACTATATGCATATAGGGAAAATCAATGACCCCCCGGGCGGGGCCAATTTTCATCCCAGGCTTTATTTGAACAAACTTGGTAGACACCCATTAGAACATGTTTCATGCTAAATATCTTAGCTCTAGCTCTTTGGGTTTCTTTAAAAGAAGATTTTTAAGTTTTTACTATATGCATATAGGGAAAATCAATGACCCCCAGGGGCGGGCCAATTTTGACCCCAGGGCTTTTATTTGAACAAACTTGGTAGACACACACTAGAAGATGTTTCATGCCAAATATCTAAGCTCTAGCTCTTTGAGTTCTTTAAAAGAAGATTTTTTAAGTTTTTACTATATGCATATAGGGAAAATCAATGACCCCGGGGCGGGGCCAATTTTCACCCTAGGGCTTTTATTTGAACAAACTTGGTAGACACCCATTAGAACATGTTTCATGCTAAATATCTTAGCTCTAGCTCTTTGGGTTCTTTAAAAGAAGATTTTTTAAGTTTTTACTATATGCATATAGGGAAAATCAATGACCCCCCGGGGCGGGGCCAATTTTGACCCCAGGGCTTTTATTTGAACAAACTTGGTAGACACTCACTAGAAGATGTTTCATGCCAAATATCTAAGCTCTAGCTCTTTGGGTTCTTTAAAGAAGATTTTTTAAGTTTTTACTATATGCATATAGGGAAAATCAATGACCCCCGGGGCGGGGCCAATTTTCACCCCAGGCCTTTTATTTGAACAAACTTGGTAGACACCCATTAGAACATGTTTCATGCTAAATATCTTAGCTCTAGCTCTTTGGGTTCTTTAAAAGAAGATTTTTTAAGTTTTTACTATATGCATATAGGGAAAATCAATGACCCCCCGGGGCGGGGCCAATTTTGACCCCAGGGCTTTTATTTGAACAAACTTGGTAGACACTCACTAGAAGATGTTTCATGCCAAATATCTAAGCTCTAGCTCTTATGGTTTTTTAAAAGAAGATATTTAAAGTTTTTTCTTTCGGTTGCCATGGCAACCAGAGTTTTGCATGGAATTAAATTTTTTGAACAATTTTTAAAGGTGACCACCAAAGGAACATTCCTGTGAAGTTTGGATGAAATTGGCTCAGTGGTTTATGAGGAGATGTCATTTAAAGTAAAAGTTTACGGACGGACGGACGGACGGACGACGGACGGACGACGGACGGACGATGGACGGACGGACGCCGGACGAAAAGCGATCACAAAAGCTCACCCTGTCACTTTGTGACAGGTGAGCTAAAAACTGTCATAAACTCATCCTAGAAAATGTTATAAGGCCTGCCGCCAGAGGTTCTTATTTATACATGTAGCAGTTCTTTGAATTTGTTCAGTAGAATTAAACTTTATAAGACAGCTCATGTGATATTCTATGTTGCTGATTTAATCTTAGCATTTTGATATCAAATAACCTCAGATTGACAATGGACTGTTCCATATTCAAAGCAGGAAAAGTCCATTACACAAATTCAATAGGTTACATCACTTAGATTTAGTTAAACCAGTGATTTTATTTGTAACCTCTGACATATAAAATCTTTTCTCTCAACAGTCGAGATATTCATGAAACAATGCATTTATATACTGGCATAAGAAGCAAAGTTGACATGATAATTGTATCATTTTGAAATGTATTTTAAGAGCACTTTAAAGAAAGCTGTGTTGTCTCATTAAAATGAAATGGAAAAACAAGAAATATATGATTCTGTGACTAAATATTAATCATTAATCAGTTCAAAATAAAGATTTTAATCTCTTTAATATTCTTTATACTTTCTGGCACATCACTAAAAATGTCTATTTTAAGAATATCCACTTTTTGTACATCTTATTGTGAGACTTTATTTACATATTTATCCTGAAGAACATTCATTGTAGTAGCAAAACTGGTTTTAATAAAAGGTTTTCCGAAAACAAATCTATGATGATGTGTTGTTCTTTCCTTAATTCAGGTTAAGTTAATATTTCATTGCAACATATTTCTGGTTAAGTTAATATTTCATTGCAACATATTTTTGGTTAAGTTAATATTTCATTGCAACATATTAAAATTGATGTGAAATATTACTGTTAATTTTTTACAAGCTTGTATTTCTAGGAGGGATGTACAAATAAAATCATCTAGTTTCATTGTATAAATGTGTGACGTAATTTTAATTTTGTGACATTTCCTTCTCCAGAAAAGATCAAATGAAAATTTGAGGGAGAACAGATTTAAACACCAAGGCATTACAACCACAATGGGAAGAATGAGAGAGCACTGTATATTACAATTCAGCTAGAGCGTGTAAGAGATCTCTGTTGTTTCTATCCCTATCTAATTTATCTATCACCACTTTGATAACAGCCTGGATGTTGTACAGTGTATGCGGCCACTCTTTTACCAACTGCAGAAACACCTGAAATATATGTAAAATTTGATGTTGTTTTTTCACTTCTTTTAAAAAGTCATATGCATGCATTACATTTTTCATGCATTTAAAAACTCTTATGCATGCATTAAATTTGGAAATTTTTAATACTGAGTTTAAGTTATTGTCAAGGTTACAGCTATGTTTCTTCATATGATGATAGTACTAAATGTAGTTTGTTACAGGTAGTGAACTAAAATATGATAAAATAAGTGGCAAGAATTTGCTTCACAATTGATGTGTTTGGTTTATTTTGATAATTTGACATTGATCTGTAAATAAATAACACAGTTAACGGCCAATTTTAGCAACTTTCAATAACTTAACCTTAAAAGTCAAGGTCATTTAAAGGTCATATTTAAGTTAATTTTCATTATGTTAGCTTACTCACAAGTGTTGTTTAGCCCAAGTTCAAATAAAATACTTAATAACAAAATTACAACAAAGTTACAATCAATTTTAGCAAAACTGAATAATATAATCTTAATGTAAAGGTACAATAAACATGAAAATTATGCTTCATCTTGAAGGTCTTCCATTATAACAAAGTAACATCAAAGTTATAGCCAATGGTACCAAAAATGAGAAAAAAATGACCTGGAATGTCAAAGTCATTAATAAATGAAGGTGAAGTTTAGTTCTTGTCAATTTGAAGGTCTTGTCCAAAGAGTTGCTGTGTCCGAGTATGAAGGCAATCCATTGGGGAAAAAATTATGACCAACATTATTTTTTTAATAGCAACAGCATTGACAGCAACAGCAACAATATGACTTAAGCTTTAGCTCATTAATTTTGTTCATTGATAGCAGAAATTTATACAGTATTTTTCAATCATTTGAAGAAAAGAACTGATCAATTACCTTACAGTTAGTTTGTAGAAAATCATTCAGAACCATCTCATATATTGCAGGACTCAGCATCGGATCTTCTTGAGGTAAGAATGGGGCTAAACACTACAATTTATCAGAGAAAAAAAACATGTTCGTAATAGATTTATAATTATTAGTATGGCATTCAATCTGACAGTACCTGATATCAGGTTAATGATATACTATGCTCATCTTTGGGTAAAATACTTTTACTGCAGAAATTTATTGAAGTTATATATAAATGAATGTATAAACTATGTTTGGGAAGTTGCATTCCCTATTTCTTGTCAAATTGATTTGTAACAATCTTATAAAAACTGCCAGTTTTTAAATGACACTGTATAATCATCCTGTGATTACCTGTAGTGTGTAGAGTTAAAACACTACATATCATCTCTGTGTGTACTCAAAAGATGTTTGTTAGACTGAATAGCAATTATCAGACTTTTCAAATATCAAATTTGAGCATAACATATCTTTAAACATGCCAAATGCAAATATACAAGGCAAATATGAAAATACCCTAGAACCCCCTCATCTCCAAGAGAATAATGATATTCATTTATGAATAAAATCTAATGAAAATATTGATTATTGAACAAATAAGACATACATTTGTATTCATAATGATTCAAATTTAAACTAATCTAATCTCTGTTAATCTGATGAATGAAAAATAAAAGATAAACAGTGTGTGATATAAGTTATATTTAACTGATTAGAAAAAAATATTGCTGTCCAGTTAGCTCAATAGGTCGGACAGTGAATCAGGTGACTCAAGTTTGATTCCTGGACGGTGCAGATCACTTTCATTTTGATTGATTATGAAATCCTTTATACGGTCATGTGCATTGTACCATTGCTCTGGCATGTACAGAAGTAATCAGTTCCTTGTGAAAGTGAAGGCAACTAGTACTGGTACACTACTTGACAGCCTGCCCTGCAATAAAACAGAGGTTGAACTGTGCTCTGGTAAATTCAATGTGGCTTACTGTCCTGTCTGGAGTGAAAACTACCAACCACCACTACCTATTCTAATGTTTTGTAAAAAATGATACATTTATAACTTAACTTAGTTCAATTGATAATTCATTTTCCTTTTCATATTAAGTAACAATAATAGATGTACAGTGGGTGATAAAATCCATATCTCACTGATACAAGAATTAACAGTATCTCACTGGTTATACAACCTGATATATTCATACCTTAAGCTGGCCCATTTTAGCAAACTTGTATGCCTCTGCTTCCCACAGTTCTTTGTTCCTACCAAATATCTTCACACAAAGTTTGGCAGCATCTTCAAACCTATTCTGTTCTATAAGGTAATTCAAGAACTGTCTCCCTATGTCCTAAAACAGCAATAGAATACATAATATCAACAATGTCAAGGAATATTAAGCAGATATGCACTTTTTAGCTGCTGATAATGATGTGATATGCACTGATAAAAATTAACCTTGAACAAGACTATAGCCGAGTTCAATATAAATTTTTCACTACCTATCACATCATATTTATCTGCTATTGAAAGTCCATATCTGTTTTATTATACTATTAATAAATAGCTTTTATATGGGTTATAAAATCTGCTTCTGAATACAACACAAATCAAAATTTCTTCAGCTTGTTTACTTGTTCTATAATTGGGCCCAAAATGGTAACATTCCTAAACAAGCATGAAGCGCCAAAACATACTGTTTTGACTTATATAGTTTATTTTTTCCATTTTGATATAAAAATCAATTTAACTTTAAGTAATCTGTTCAAAATTCAAAGTTGAAAAATCCATTAAGGAATTCAGGAGGTGAATGGTGAAGTATTCGAGAAGAATAACTGTAAGGTTAAACTGATACTTGAAATAACTTGTGAGTGACTGCCCTGTCATTAAAAATGGCCAAGTTCTGTTAGATTTGCTCTGTTTAATTTATGACAGGACTACTATAAATGAATAAATGTATAACTCTTACCTGGAATGTATGTCTCTTTAATTCTTTACTATTTAAAGTTGCAGCATTCATAGCTTCCTAAAATGATAATATTACAGACCATTATCTTAAACATTATTTATCTGTTTTTGTCTTGCATAATTTTGCAGAAAATAAGCAGGACTGCAGTTCATAAATAATCTTAAGTGTATCCTAAGTCCTAGGACATAAACCAATATTAGGACTAATTTAAGACCATTTCAATCAAAGACTGTAGACTATCCTGAGAAAAGTAAAGAAATACAATGACAAACCCTTTTATTCCCAATGAGTTATTGCTCATCTGTGTTGCTATTCAAAAATAAAAAGAGTCCTAGAAATAAAAGTCATAAGTTAGGACATTTTCTTTGGAACCCAAAATTGTCTCAGTTTTGGTCTTAAGAATGACCTTAGGACTTTCTATGAAACTAAGCCCAGGCATCCAAATCACAAATATAATGCAGTTATAGACCATAGATCCAATGAAAACTGACATCAACAGGGATAAAGAATTCCTCTCATCCACTCTTATTTAATAGCAGAATTTGCACAGGGCCAATTTAACAAGAGTTTTCAGGGGGACAGCATGCTCCACTTATTACATACTGAATGCAGTACGGTACAGAAAGACAAAACTATGATAAACATATTTCTGTATCTATATGATGTTAGTAATGGTAACAAACTAATGCTTTAGAAGTATATATCTCAAAAAAGGAAGAAGTTAGAGTAACAAAAAGCCAGGATACTTGGAATAAATCCTTTAAGAAATAAAGAAGTTATAGTAAAAAGTATATTACTGCATAAACAGTTTATAAAAATAATCCAAGAAACTTGAAATAAATCCCTAAAGAAATAAAGAAATTAAAGCAAAAAAATAGCTTTACTGCATAAACAGTTGAACAAGAAAGCTAGACACAAACAAAGCAGAAAGACAGCTGTCCATACTTCATACTCCATATGTCAATTTAAAAAAGTAGCCTGCAGATAAAATTAAGCAGTTACTTGTCAAGCAGAATGAGTGCTCTGAAGATAATTTTCCACCGATGTCATTCTCAATTATAATGTATGGAATATCAAAATGTTACAAAAGAAAAGAAGAAAATAAAAATATACCTCAAAATCTTCATGTCTAATGAGCCATGTGATATGATCGTCCATATCTCTAGGTCTAGCAACAACAACATCCTTCGGACTTATAATATAGAATAAATTGTCCTCCTTTACATTCTCTGCAATATAAACAAACAATAGTATGGTTCTTCTCGAAAAAAACCCACAAAATACTTGGAGAAAACTACATGTAGTCATAACTACTAGAACTCTATAGAAAAAGTTAGAAAACTAGCGTAAGTTAGAAAACTAGCGTACACGTAAAAAATTAACAAGTTGTAGTGACCAGTTATTTGAAATTTCATCATGAATATCCTTTATCTTCATCACCATTTTTATTATCATCAATATTAACCCTTAATCTGCTAGAACTTGAATGTAAAAACTTTGCTGCCAACATATATTATTATGTAACAAGGCCAGCATGTACCTTCATGCAGTCTGACCAGGCTCTATACTGCTGGTAGCCTAATTTTTGTTCTTTGATAATGTAATCCCTAAAACATCAAATGAACTGTTCTTAAAATTAAATTTAAAGCAGAACAAATCCCTTGCACAAATTCAGCAGGTTAAGGTTTAATATTAATATCCTCCATTAATGTAAATCAATATGGATTACATTAACCCTCTCACTGCCATAGGGACGGCTTAAGCCGTCCCTGTTATTTTCGGCGTATTTGCCATATGGACGGCTTTAGCCGTCCATATAATAATAATAGTAATAATAATAAATATATAATAATAATAATAAAAATAATAATAGATATAAAGAAAATTATACCATTGACAATAATTATTATTATACTAACAGATTTGGAAACATATGTAATTATTTTAATACTAATAACAAATAATAATAATTATATTAATTAATAATATAGTAATTTCTAAGAAAATCTTCTGGCAAATAGGTGAACAATAAAACAATAAACCTCTGGCAGCGAAAGGGTTAACTGGCATTTAATTTATCTAAAGGCCCATTATGACTCAGAAATGCTATCATTGTTATTTCTCAAAAAAATGTTTATTTTTGGAATCTTTAACATACTCATTAATTTGCTATATACATTAACTATCTATTGTATCTTTAAATCTGTTGGCAATTGGTAAATTATAGTAAATAAGTAATTTGTATGGAAGTAAAAATACTACTTTGTTTACATTTTGCTACCTTTATGTCAAATTACTGAAATTTCAGCGCTACTTTCTAAGTATTTAAACATGCAACATGCTCTAAATTCAGTATTGAAACGTTATTAAACCCACTGACATTTCTAAAAAAATGGATTTTTGAGGCATAATGTGCCTTCAACATTATTTCAAAAAATAAATGAGCCGTGTCATGACAAAACCAACATAGTGGGTTTGCGACCAGCATGGATCCAGACCAGCCTGCGCATCCGCGCAGTCTGATCAGGATCCACGCTGTTCGCTATCAGTTTCTCTACTTGTAATAGGGTATTTAAGCGAACAGCATGGATCCTGATCAGACTGCGCGGATGTGCAGGCTGGTCTTGATCCATGCTGGTCGCAAACGCACTATGTTGGTCTTGTCATGACAGGGCTCAAATGTTATTATAACAAAATTAATACACATATATCAGAAGTTGTTGAGAGAAGGTATAGCTTGATACAGTTAATTCTGGTTAATATGAAAACAGTGTAAATAAGTTATAAATATACTCAAAGGTTGTACAAGTTTATGCATTTGACACTTATTAAATCAATGATTTGAATAACTAATTGATAGGGAAATAATGTAAACACATTATATAAGGGTTGTATAACTTGATACATGTAATACTGGTTGATAGGGAAATTGGTTATATTATGGTTGTATATTTAATACTGGTAACAAGGGAAATAATGTAAACTAGTTATATCATGGTTGTATAACTTGATTCATATTTAATACTGGTTGATAGGGATATAATGTAAACAAGTTATATACAGGTTGTATGCATTTACACAGGTAACAAAAAAAACTAGAACTATCACTAAATGTGATTAATACCCCCCGCAAGACTGCTTCGGACATTTACTAGTAACAGAAAACCTTTTAGAAGAATTGAAGTAGAGTTACGGTTGTGGGCAATTAAAGATAGTTGTGGTCCTTGTACCTTGCATTTCCTTCCTCTGTGATTTACCATTGATGAACTTTTATTGAATAACTCTGCAAAAGTCCAGATAGAGTTACAGTACTTGAGCACTACACTTCCTCTCATTGCACTTGACCATTCTATGAAGTTGTATTGAATTCTAAACATTAGTTTTTAAGTTATCCACCGGACAACGAAAGGGAACAAAGGACAATAACTCTGACAAATACTGAAGATGGAGTTATGGTTATTGTATACTGAACTTCCTCTCGCTGTGCTTGACCATTGTATGAAGTTGTATTGAATTCCAACTACTAATTTTCAAGTTATGCACTTGACAAGAAAAGGTAACAAAGGGCAATATCTATGTAATTAGTCCAAATAGAGTAATCGTTTTTGTGCATTGCACATCATCTCACTGCGCTTGACCATTGTATGAAGTTTCACTGAATTGCAACAATTAGTTTTCAAGTAATGCAATGGACAAAAAAAGTAACGAATGGCAATAACTATGTAATTAGTCCAAATAGAGTTATGGTTCTTAAGCACTGCACTTTATTTCACTGTGCTTGACCATTGTATGAAGTTGCACTGAATCCCAACCATTAATAAAGTTATGCACTGGGCAATAAAAAGTAACAAAGGGCAATAAATCTAAATTGAGTAAAGAGTTATGGTTCCTGTGCACTTCGCTTCCTCTTAATATACTTGACCATTGTATGAACTTGTATTGAATTCCAACCAGTAGATTTCATGCTCTGTGACAAGAAAAAGTAACAAAGGGTAATCTCTATAATTATGTTATGGTTCTATGGTATGAAGCTGTTTTGAATTCCAACCAGTACTTTTCAAACTATGCTCCGGACAAGGAAAAGTATCAAAGGGCAATAACACTGTAATTAGTCAATATGGAGTTATGGTTCTTGTGCACTGCACTAGCTCTAAATGTGCTTTGCCATTGTATGATGTTGTTTTGAATTCCAACAAGCCGTTTTCAAGTATTGCTCTCGACAAGTAAAAAGCAATGGAAAAGTAACAAAGGGCAATAAGTCTATAATCACTCGGGATAGTTATGGTTCTTGTGCACTGCACTTCCTCTTATTGTGCTTGACCATTGTATGAAGTTGTTTTAAATTCCAACCAGTATTTTTCAAGTTATGCTCCAGACAAAGAAAAGTATCAAAGGGCAATTACTCTGTAAATAGTCAAAATGGAGTTATGGTTCTTTTCCACTTCACTTCCTCTCAATGTGCTTGACCATTGTATGAAGTTGTATTGCATTTAAACCATTAGTCTTCAAGTTATGCTCTGGACAAGAAAAAACTATGGACAAACAAAGGGCAATAACTCTGTAATTACTTAAGATAGAGTTATGGTTCTTGTACACTGCACTTCCTCTAATTGTGCTTGACCATTGTCTGAAGTTGTTTTGAATTCCAACCGGTAGTTTTCATATTATGCCTCGGACAAGGAAAAGTAACAAAGGGCAATAATTCTGTAAATAGTCAAGATAGAGTTATGGTTCCTGTGCACTGCACTTCCTCTCAATGTGCTTGATTATTGTATGAAGTTGTATTGAATTCCAACTATTAGTTTTCAAGTTTTGCTCTGGACAAGGAAAATGCAACAGACTGCTAGATTGTCTGACCGACCAACAGACTGACCGACCATTGGGTGACCCCTATATACCCCCGCAAACTTCATTTTGGGGGTATAATAAATAAACAAGTTATATTATGGATGTATATCAAAAGAGGATTTTCAACTAGTGGAGAACCCATAATAAGTGCCTTGGTGCATCTTTACTACTATTACTTAAGCATTTTGATTTAAAGTCCCATACATAAACAATAGACAAGTTTCAAAGCAGGGTGGAGTTTCTTTATACATGTTTAATATAGTGTAGTATATGTTAAATTATCTTTGTAAGGCTGCACTTTTGTAGTAGTGATTTTTGCAAGATAATTTTGATGTTGCAAATTCATGAACTGATTTTTTATCTTAGTCATAAAAAGTCATCTAGCAGTATTACTAGTCCGTCATAAATATTTTTTTAACGTCTTATATGGCTGTGCTTTTATATTCTCTTTATAGTTACTTACAATCAAAACAGTGCCAAAACATGTTTTTTACCAATTAAGATGCATTTAATTCACACTCATAAGTCTGTATTAATAAAAAACAAAATTGAATAAAATATGCCACAACTTAAAGCTATATATTTAATAGTAATGTAGTAACTCTAAAATTCCCAATTTTGATTGTTAAAAACATTTATTTTTTCCCAATTCCAACAGGTTCGCACTCCCAAAATGTAGAGAAAAAAGCTCTGATTGCTATGAGCAGTTATTTGCTAAGGCACTGCAGTTATATTTGCATACAAATGTTATATCATTAGTTATACATGTTGCTGACAGGATATATGAGAAAATATAGCCTGAATGAGATAAATATGTCTCAAGGCTATAGCCAATGGTTATAATAATATCAGCAAGGCTATATTCTGCCGTCTGCGCTCAAAGAAGCAAGGGAAAAAGGCACACGTAAATATGGTATTTGAATTAAGAAATATGCCAAGAAACAAAACAAATTAACAGGTAGTTAACCATCTATGATGTAGAAATGCATTATTATTTGTGTGTGCTTTGTTTCTTCACTGTATATGCGGTCATAGTATACATAATGTTTAAGCCAATCAGAATTGGAGGAATTCATTTGCATTATCATAGCAGGTTATATAAGTTGTCAAAAGTCTTTTATAGCTAATGATTTAATCATATGGAGAATCACATGATCTTTTTATTACAAAATGACTGCTGAAGACCTTCATTTTATAGAAAACAGAAACTAAATGTATTTTAAGCCTTGAACATTTTCAATTTATCCAATGTAGCACTATTTAATGACAGCATTCAGTGTACAAATAATGATTTTTACGATCTTTTTGGAAACATTTTTATAAATAAATAATAATTACCACATTTCTATAGCGCCCTTCTCAAAAAATAAAATGTTCAAAGGCGCTTTACAATGGAATTATATACATTTACAATGACTTTATAAACAAAAAAAAAAAGTAATAAAAATAATAACACACATTTATGTATACATTTAAAAAGTATAAAATATACCATGATTAATCTAAAACTCTAAAAACTCAGTCGATCAAATAAAAAAATGTATATGAAGAATAATCTAAGACTTGAAAATAAAATAAAGAGAAACGTTAAAACTATTAAAATTAATAAAAAAAAAACACAAATCAAGATAAGACAACTGAAATCTAAATCCAATTTGATGAAAACAGTAATTAGTAATGGAAATGTGATTCAAAAATAGACTATTATATTTCAAATGTGTACCCAGATATCTCATAACAAAAGACAGCACGCCAATTCATAGTGATGACAAATACAGCACAGTTAGTTACTATAAATTTTCTGGAAAAAATGTGTTTTTTTAAAGATTTCTTAAAAACATCTACTGTTTTTGAGTCTCTGATACTGTCTGGGAGAGCATTCCACAGTTTAGGTGCCACCGAAGAGAAACTGCGTTCACCATATCTTACAGTCCTACTTTTGGCAACAACAAGTTGCTTTGAAGAGTTCTTTGATCTTAAGTTTCTTGTTGGTTGATATAGCGCCAGTAAATGTTTAAGGTAAATTGGTGACTGGTCATGTAGGGCTTTATAAGTTTGCATAAGGATTTTAAAATCTACTCGATGAACTACAGGAATCCAGTGTAGTTTCTTCAATACTGGAGTGATATGTTCAAATCTGGATGTTCCTGTGATGATGCGGGCAGCAGTGTTTTGAAGATGTTGTAGTTTATTCAATGTCGTTTTAGGTACACCATATAAAAGTGCATTACAATAATCCATGCGTGAGGTGACTAAAGAATTCACTAAAGATTTTGTTGCATCAGTATTTAGGTATTTCCTTATATGACCAATCTGGCGTAGTTGTCCATAACAAGATCTACAAACTGAGTTAATGTGCTTTTCCAGGGTCATGTTGTTGTCCAATACAGCACCAAGATTTCTTACACTACTTGATGGTTTTATGTTTTCATCTCCGATAGTCACAGTTATGGTCTCAACATGCTGTTGGTTTCTCTGAGATGTAAATATAATTACTTCTGTCTTGTCAGCATTGATTTTTAACATATTATTGTTCATCCATGTTACTATTTCCGCAAGACAGCTTTGAACTCGATCTAAAGAGTCATTCTTAGAGACTGGACATGTTGGTTTAAAGGAGAGGTACAGTTGTCCATCGTCTGCATAATAATGGTATTCCAATCCATGTTTCTTACATATTGCACCAACAGGTTTAGTGTACATAGTAAAGAATTTTGGTCCCAGAACGGATCCTTGAGGCACACTGTAGCTCAATTTGACAGGGTTTGACAGTTCACCATTTATTGTGACAGTCTGGTGTCGATCACTTAGATATGAACGTATCCATTCTAACGGTTTTCCAGAAATGCCAAAGTTGGTGTTAAGGCGCTGTAGAAGTGTAATGTGGTCGATTGTATCGAATGCAGCTGATAAGTCCAGCATAACTAACATGGTAACATCGTTGTTGTCTAGTGAAATCAATATATCATTTTGAACTTTTATTAGTGCTGTTTCAGTTGAATGGAATTTTCTATAGGCAGATTGATGGGGATCGTGAAGCTCGTTTGCTGTTAAATACCCTATCCAGATTTAGTAAATTTTATTCAGTAAACTATTTTGGGTTGCATGGTAAACTATTTTGGGTTGCATGGTAAACTCTTTTGGGCCGCATGGTAAACTTTTTTGGGCCGCATGGTAAACTTTTTTGGGTCACATGATTGATCATTTAGGGCTGTCTTATGATTAACTATAAGTGCGTAACATGATTTTATTCTAGAAGCTTGCAAGATTGAAAAAAAAAATGTTCACATCACATGATTATTTATTTAGGGTGGTCACATAATTGACTATAACAGAATCGCAGGAATGAATATTTAGGGACACATGATAAAATATTTAGGGTAACATGTATAATTATTTAGGGCAGTCAAATAAATAATTGACTAAAAGGGAGACACATGATTGAATATTTAGGGTCAAATGATTCTCCAAGATAAATGAAGCTGTGTGATAGTGTTGATGGTAAATAAGAAATAATACACTACCATTCATACACATATTTCCTGCAGTCAAAATAAACTTGACACTTTACAATTACACAATTACCTACCAGTCAGAACATTTCAAAGATATGAGCATTAAAAATTCAACTTCATATAAACTTAAGAGACAATGACCCACATCTGTTTACTTAACATCCACATGATATATGATATAAAGTGGAATTGTAATTGTTTAACAAAATTTGTTTTCTTTTACAACTTTCAAGCAAAACACGAAATCCTGACAAATACAAAATTGATTTCAATTCTTGGGCACTTAAAACAGAAAAATATGAAAAACAAAATAAAAAATAATATCTGAATTTCATTGAAATCAATATTTTGGCGATTCTTAGCTAGATCTGAGTCAAAACCTCTTGAATGGTTTTCATTTTTGGGTCATTTTGCACAATTGAAAATAAAATAACTATTCTAGAAAAACAGATTGAGTGAATGATCTGAAATTCTGCACAAAAGTTATTGGTCCAGACATACATTTACAAAAGGGCTTATTGTAATTTACAAAAATGTGCTTATTGATGTGATACCTTTCATATTATTACATCATGGACTCTACACAAAGTATATTCAAACTTAACACACCTTTTAAATGGTGACTACAATTTTTAAAACTTTTTTTTTTAATTATAATTGACCCAAAAGTTAAGATGTTTTGTTTTTTTTATATAATTTTAGCACTGGCAGCCATTTTGTTCAGCAAACTGGAACCATTTCGGCAAAGAATCATTCCTGTAATATAGTTTCATCAAAATCTATCTGATAGTTAAGGAGATGTGGTTTAAAGCTTTTTCTTTTCAGCTTTGGCAGCCACCTTGTTCAGCAGACCGGAAAAAGTTAAGCAATTATTATTAAGCAATTTAAGTAAAGGACTGCGGCCCAATGATCATTTCTGTAAAGTTTCAGTAAAATTTAACGGGCGGTTAAGGACAAGATGTCTTTAAATTTGTTTCCCCTATTTTTTCCTGTCATCTTGTTCAACAGGTCAGAACCATTTGAGCAATGTTTTGTTTTTCAAAGGATCATTAAATTTTCTGTATAGTTTCCTCACTATTGGTGTAGGGATTTAGGAGGAGCTGTCCTTTAAGTAAAAATGTTGTTTTGTTTATATGGAAATATTTTTTGGAGACAGGTGTACCATTTCGTGTAGGTCTGGACTAATAACTTGAATGCAAAATTTCAAATCATTCCCTCACTTTCCCAGAGTTATCATTTTCATTTTATAAAGATACTCAAAATCAGGCAAAAAATCGTGCAAAAAAAAAAAATGATTTCAATTTAATTTTGACAGAGTATATTAATTTGCAGACTATTTCCATTTTAAGGGTATCACTAAATGTATGCAAGAATTTGAAATTTTATTTTCATTTCAATATTCATTTGCATTCCAAATAAAAAAATATAAAATATATTTACCTAGATGATAATCGTTACACCTGTAATGTTGATAACCTCTGATTGACAGGGCATCATTTGACACCTCTTCAAAGTATTCCATAAAAGCATCCACTATCCGTAGATTTGGACGATTTGACAGACTCTTGTTTCCCTATTATCATAAAAATCAGTTTTCACCTTAATCATCTGTTTTCATATTTTGCCTTGATGCATATTTGAAAACTAACCTCTAAATGGGCTGAATATATATTATCACTAAAGCTAAATATCATACAAGCTAGGAACTATCTACATCATTACAATATCAATGTAAGAAGACCAGAAACATTGCTTATGTGTTAAGTATATAACTAACTGTTGCTGTGGTTTGCCCGCATAACTTAATAAGGAGAGCATTGGATCAGTAATCTAAGTTTGCTGTTTTGATCCTTGGGTAAAAAGTAATATCTGCATGACAGCTGATCTCAGGCATTGAGTCTAATGATCCTTTGTTTGTCACTGCTGATTTTAGAAATCATGTAGGATTAGTAGTCGGTCATTTGCAGAGAAATTGGCAATTACTGGTAGGAATGCCGGTTAGGTGGATCGGCTGCCAAGATACAATGTATTAAAAAAAGTTAAAATCAGTGCAAAGTCAGAAAACAAACAAACAAACCTCCTGTTGTTGTGCTGGTGGCGGTTTATCATAAGTAAGGAGAACCACATGATATTCAAGGGAGGCAATTCCACATATCATAAAATCCCGAGTGTTAAACATGGCCACTGGAAATCAATAGTAGAATATTTACAAGTAACATAAACTTAACATCACCATAGCAACATTTTACAAAACATAGATCGATCATTTCTTTAAAAATTATGAGCTCTTCTTTTGAAATCATCGTTATGAGTTGGAAGTATAATATAACTACAGCAGAGAAGCGCTCTGGACAACAAGCAACTTTTTGCAACACACTGTCATTTTTTCCCCAAAGTAAGACTCTACAATAAATTTAACCTCTGTTGAGCAACACCTCTCTGCAACAACCAAAATCTTTCTCTCCCAAAATGTGTTGAAGTATCTCAGAGGTAATGATATAAATTGGTGCAGATAAAGAATTCAACTTACATGTACAATTTAACTGCTTATAAAACATAATTATATAAGGTACAGAAAACATCCAACTCATCAAATATAGAACCCCTTATATCTTAATCCTTTCCCTCTTACATCTGTATATTGGACACCTGTTTTGACTTTGGAACTGTCCATTGTTATATTTATGATGTACAATATGAAAAAAGAGCAGCCAACAATATAGAGATTGTGTCTAAGGTTAAACAACTTTTTTTCTGAGCCTAAACTCAGATCTCAGGTAATAGACTGGTCAGAAACTAGCAATGTACACTGACCAATGAAGATCCTCAGATTTGAGAAAGAGCTCAGAAAAAATGACTATTATATCAAAGACTGGTCTGACAGAAAGGAAGTGCTGAATGACAAGCTAAAAATCAGTTAAAATCAGTTATTGTGTTTTAAAATCATATCATAAAACTATCCTGACATCTTGAATTAATAATATTGCTATTTATTTTTTAATCAATTGACTACAACTTTTGAAAAGCAGCTTTGCCTGTTCAAAATGAAGCTTTCTGAGACAAAATTGCTTTGTAAAATTCTTATTACCTATTAAAACGCTCAAGACAATTTTGAGCACTGTGATCATTGAAATTTTATTTAACCAATAACACCGTGCTTTGAATTAAAAATTTTTTTAAGAGACTGGAATTCATATCAGGTATGTGGACCAGGAAATGTTAACATGGTACTCACCGATTTCTACATATCTAGGAGGTAAATCTCTTACATCATGTGTAACTCTATCCTTCACCAAACATACCTGTAAACAATTGAGCAGTTTTCCAAAGTTTGTCTGCCAATAAAATCGCTCTATTTTGTTTAAATTTTGCCAGGATATTTACCATACAGTGCTGTAACTCAACTGTATGTATTAAATTTAAAATTTATATGTTTAATGAGCGGATTTAATTGGCTCCACCTTTTTACATAATACACTTGATTTGAATTGGCGGGGCTAACTGTAGGTTGGATATAGGCTATATACAGAGTTTTAAGAAACTAATTTTCTGGCTTCACTTTGTTAGCTAGAAAATTAATTTCTTAAAACTCTGTATATAACCTATAACCTTTAAAAATACTTAAACTTAAGGAACATTTAATATTTCGTTGCAAATGTGTACAATCTGACAATGTAAAAAGATTCACTGTTCTCTTTAGTATGTAGTTAAGTTTAATTATAAGTATTTAATAATATGTCATAACTCATTTTCAATTAACTAATATCAGCACTTACTTTGACAGTATCAGCCCAACCAATCAGAAGTCTTCTTTCATCTTGCCAATAGAGATTACACTGGTATAGATCAGGCCTATGGCTGAAATGGAAATGATGTTGCTTGCAAAACTTTAACCAAGAATTTTTAAAGTTTTAAAAGGGCCATTGTTCTGTCAAAAATCCACAAAAGAGTTATGGGCATTGAATATTGACCTTCAATTATGATCCTGCAAACATGCATAAAGTTTCAAGTGAATATCTTTAGTTGTTTTGAAGAATAATGTTGCATGCATCATTATAACCAAAATTTTCAAAGTTAAAAAAGGGCTAAATTTGTCATAATTCTGTCAAAATCAATGTCAGAGTTAATGGCTTTGGATAGTGACCTCCTTTTATGCTGTAAAATAAGTGCGTGAAGTTACATAATATGTGATAGATGTGATATGATGTTGCAAGCAAAACATCAACACTGGTGTTATACCGACACCAACACCAGGGTGAATAGGATAGCCCTTCTATTCTTCCAATAGTCAGGCTAAAAACTATCCTATTCACCCTGGTGTTGGTGTCGGCATAACACCAGGGTTTACGGGTATCTCTAGTGCCAGATGAAAAAAAAACACATCTAAAACACAATGATTAGGAAAAATATTCAAAACTGCTTACAAAACATACAGAGAATGTTTTCAAATTGTTGTACAATAACTACTCATCACTTCTAATGTATTATGGTCAGAATTGGGAAACTATTGCTAATGAAATAATTATGTTAACACAATCAGTATTTGGATAATTACTATCCATCTTAAATAGTAACTGCATTTTTCAGAAATAAATTTCAAAACAATGTACTGCACTGTTAATAAGAAATGATTTCATTCAGGCGATTTGTAAATTACTAAAATTATTCATTATTATTTTTTTTAATTGAAACAATAAATTTTTTAAGATTTAATGCTTCTTAAATAAGGAGGATTAAAAACACTGTCTACTTAAAAACATGTCTGACCTATCTTTGTGCTAGACAATCGAAAAATGGGGTTCTTCTTAAAATTCTAAGATGAGAAAGGGGCATAATTTTCTAAATTTCCATAACAAAGTTTTGCTCATTGGCTGAAAAATAACAGTGATAGCTATAAACGGAATGTTCTAAATTTCCAAGTAATACTATAAAATGGTCGAGAAAGTTCACCTACTTGTGATCTTTGGCTATGGATGTTATTCTCACTTTTGAGTTCAAATCATACACCTTCACACCCTACCAAAATAACAAACAAGCAAAACTAATTTCAACATTTTATATACAATGACTGTTCATCTATGTGTCATACTATTAAAGTGGAGACCCAATAAGTAGCTAAAATTATTAAATGGTCTTATACATCTTTCAAAATCTGGACAAAATCATTCAACCTTTTTATAGGGAAAATTTCAAAATAAGTAAAGACTAAATAATGAACAGTGCAGACTATGATAGGTGACATAGATGTGCTGGCTAAAATGATTGCATTCAAGATTGGTTGATTCAGTTGCTGCAAGCAGGTTAACGATTAAAAAACTTCAAAGTACAGTTGTCAGTTAGCAGAAAATTTTTGAATGTTCAGATTACAATGCAGCACTTGCTTGTATGGCTATATACTGGTAGCATAGTTACCATATAAGATTAATGCTGTAAGCTTTTTAAGGATTCAACATGTATACATAAAGAACATAAAACAGCACTACGTACTTTATTCTTGGAAATAAAAGACAAAAAGTGCCTATGTATTCTACTATTCAAAACAAATTTCTGTGTCTTGATGTTATTAAACAATCCTTACAAAATCATTAGCCCACGCTACAAGTTCTCCTTTCCACTTGATCTGTCTGATGGCACCTTCCCCTTGATGTAGAACGCGCGTCTTGTGACTCCGCAAAAACCCTCTCTCGTTCAGAATGAGCTTGTCATCACCAGTCACAAATTGTTTACTACTTGACTTATAGAAGAAAGGATCGATAGCCACAGATTTGACGGGACGGTCAAAATTGACCACTTGGTTATCATCAGCTGAGTACAGTCCTATGATGTTGACCTTAAAAAGTGGGAAGAGTAAGTTAATTCTTATGATTATTATTGATTTAACAATGAACAAAATAGTTATATAACATAATATAGTGATATATCTGCATACTTTTTAGTCTGATCAATAGTAGTGATATTTTCTTCATCATTTTTCAGTATTTACACATACAGTCTGAATTTATATCTTGCCAGTACTCTTTATCAATTTCTGTAACAAAATGAGGCAATGGAGCCATATTGAAAATTTCACTGAATCTGAAAATAAGTAGTTAAATTTATTCCTCTGTGTATTTTTATCAAATTTTTTGTAAGGGGAAAGTAAAGGAAGATGATATACTCCGTAACATGGGTTTATTTCACATCAGATATGTGCAAAAGGGGAAATAACTAGATTCAACCTATATAAACAGGGAAAATCACTAGATTTAACCTAGATTTATACTAATTTACCTTTCCATCATCAGAACAGCTAGCAATGTAGTCCCCATTGTCATCAACACTTATCTGATTAACTGTTGTTGTATGCTGAAATGATGAACAAATGAGAACTGCATAATCTTAGTTATTACATACTTTCTGTTCCATAATTTGTACTACATTAAGATCTAAGAATTGTTTTGATTTAAGAGAATGATAAAAAAAGACAACCTTATTTCTAAAAATGGTTCACTTACATAAAATGAAGGCTGCGGGATAACCTTAGTAATAGAGATGATTGATTTTGCCCAATGGAGAAATTACAAGTGAATATTTTCAGCAATTAGTAAAGTATTTAGGATGAAAATAATTTAATACTTACTGCTTGATATTCCTTTCCCTGTATATTGTTGCCAAGGTAATCAAGAATGTGTATAGTACCCCAGTGTGTCCCTAATGCAAGAAACTGAAAAAAGTAATATGAAACAATATTATGATATATAACTTTATTATTCTTCTTTAATTTTTTTTCCTGTAAATAATGTGTGATTACAAAAGATATATTTTACTTTTAAAAATGTCATATATTTTGTATTCATATTTGAAAAAAAATCAAACTAAGTATTTAGTAAAATGTACTTGAAAATGTGATAAATATTTAATATTTTACATTAATCTTGTTCATAAATCAGTAGCTATTTTGTTAAATATGTTTAATTACTTACTTTAGAGTGTACTGCCATACAGCTGGCACAATCTTTTTGCAGTATTTGACCAAGGTCATTTGTAACTCTATCATATCTTAGCCTTGGCTCAGCATCCTGGAAAAAAAAATTAGACATTAATATTTATAATATTATATATGAAATATCTACTGAATACATCTGTCAGAGCATGTGTACAGGTGATATAGACAAAAACATTATATAATAAAATAATGTATGTGATCAGACTGTAGATAGATATAATCATATACAGACTGGCTTAGTTAAACAGCTCTACCATTGACATACATGTAGGCAAGTCATAACTATCACTGGGTATTTCTCCTAAATTGATTCTTGTAATTTTCTAGATGCAATTATATCATATAATGCCAGAAATAATACTCATAATATGTAGCTGTATGTGCTAAACTTGGAATAATGTAGAATGTGAAACATCTTAATGAAAATGTCACATTAAAGCCACGAAAGAACTGTTCAATGTAATGTAAAGTTTGCAAGTGACTAGAAAAATAACAAACTAAAATAGATATACTTTCAATTTCCACATATGCCTTTATGCAGTTAATGCATTCATGCAAGAATTAAATCATTCTACAATACAATCACAATGGCTGATTATTTTGTTCTCACCTCTTCAGAATCATCAGAATCAGTCTCTGACTCTTCATCTTCACTTTTAACTTCCTCTTTCACCTGTGAAATAAACATTATAATTACATTTCTTACACATCAGACTTTGTATAATTTATAAACTGTTTTAAAACTTAAAATTTTGCATAATTATTTTACTTAGACCGAAAATCAAAATATTTCCGGTTATAATATTTTGAAAAGTACGAAAGTAATTGGAACGAATGAATAGACATAATTTTGTCTTTTGATAATTCGAATGTTAAGCAAAATCTCAAAGAAAGAAATATTTGACAAACTTCAACTGAAATGAAATTAAGATATAAAAGCCACAGAACGTTTTTTAAAATACATGTTCTGCCAAGTTTATCAAGTGTTCAAGTTTGTTCTTTTACTTGGTCGGAGTCTACGGAAGTCGCCATTTTGAGAGTATGCAATTGATCATGTGATAGTGTATGAATATAGATATATTTATAGAATTTTATATCTTATAAATTTATCAAATATCGTTACTAAATTCAACTTAAAATACACAAAAAATAAAATGTACGCATTGTGTTAATGTTTGACTACATTTTATGCTCAAACGATTGTGCATTTCCCCAATATATTATAGGACTACTTTTTCAATTACTGATACAGGTGTCGGTCATTACCATAGGGGTCATTTCAAAACTTAAATTACCTTTCAAACACCTTAATTGTGTTTTAAATATAATTTTTAGCGTGTCATGCTTGTTCAAATACATAAAACTTCAACAATTCTATCATTGCTTATAAATATGCTGTTGTTCACGCTCTTTGACATTTATTTTAGGATGATTTTAAATTTAGCATCACTTAAATCTATAAATAAATTATACGCCCCCGTGTAATTGTAAATATTTTGTTGATGAAAAGGCTAGGACGCGGTGGAAAGATCATCTTTGTAACACGAAAAACAGTTAAATCGACATCTTTTAATTTGTGTGGAAAGTGCAGACGGACAACCGTGCTGACTGGGAAGCGGGTAGGTACAGAAGCTGAGGCTCATATTTATGTAGTACCTGATTAGCATAATTTATTACAGAAGTCACGCACGTCAAAAATCTGAAGTATGAATATCGATTCCATCGTTTTCAGAATCGGAAACAATGAATTACGGAATTTCAGCATCTTTTTAATTGTTGTACTTGAAACTTTGGCTACAAATAATCTGTAAGTGCAATTTTGTTCTCGTTAATATTATGTTGTGGTATAAAATATGTAGGTATTATCATAATTTATAAATACGATGCTTTAATATTATGATGAAATGTACATCACCAAGTAGCCTAGCCTTCAGCATCTCCATAGCTATTTTTAGTAACACTGTTGTTTCCATGACTACAGCTTGATTTCATGGCATACATTCTCCAAATAGTATAGATTAATGCTATTTAAATTTTATTTTTAAGATAATTATTTACAGAAAATTGTTTGTGTTAATGACATTATGACTTAAATACTGAGTATATTAAATTATTGAATTGTGAATTGTAATAGCTCTATAATGTCATAAAATGAGTGTCAGGCAGATATATGAGGTACAGTCAAGTCAGTCACTGACAGTTTAAAATGTAGAACTGTATTTTATTTGTTATTTATTTTAATATTCAAGATCCAAGGGTATTAATTTGGGATTTATGCATTAATTAAGATATCATTAAACTCAAATATCAGAAAATGATTTATAAAAATAAAATTATAATGTCTTTATCAAAAATATATTAGTAATTATTACATGTGTGTATATATAAATTATAAAATATTTCACATTTTTATCAATACATTTAACATTTATGGTTGCTTAAATTGTGCTGGACCTTGCATTTTACATGATAGAATTTTATAATGTATTTGAGATACACCAATGTGACAATTGATGATGTTAAAAATGTAATTGCAATAAACAGAAGAGAACATTAAACTAACTAAACAATTTATGAACTTTGTCAAGATAAAAAACAAGGTTCAGTTGATCAGAAAGGATAACACATGTAGTTAAGTTATGGCCCCTGCATGAATATAAGTACTGTAAAAAGAGCTTTTTTTTCACATATTATTGTTGAATTAAGTTTTTATTTTATGGCTGATTATGATTCATACATAATTATATTTTTTTCTAGAAAACAATATTTCTTTTGATTAAAAGTGCCATACAACATTTCAAAATAGATACCTTCTGACACTAACATTTGAATAATGGTCATCTAGTAAGAAAGTATAAAAACAAATGATTATTCAATTACAAGTTATATTTATCTTTCATATATACTTAAAAGTATTCAAAATACAGTACAGAATCTCATCATCATAAACAATTTATTCTTTATATTAGTTATTACTCATAAATGTTAAGGTCACAAAGGTCAAAGTTAATATTCTTGATTTTCTTGTTTGTTCTGTTCTGTTCTATTATTGTTTGGTCAAAGTCATTTATATAGACATATGTACACGGTCAGTGACTTTTAACTGTTGTATTTATTGCCATAAGGTCAGAACAGAACTCTAACCATTAAGAAGACTAAAAATATAGATGCAGATCCAATTTATAAAATTTTACAAACTAATTATGAATTTTTGATATTCATTATTGATTTGAAATTGGCATTGTTTATCTCCAATTGATAAAGGCAAAATGGTGCAATGGTCAATGACATTTTAACTGCCAGCTTGATTAATCGTATATTAAAGTGGATTGGTGCACATACCTATTTCAAATGTAGAAATATTTTATTTGGATATAATTACAAACTATTTCTTAAAAGAAAAAACAATGTTGATAGTGTTTTAGTGATTTAGTATGAGTAGATATAGGATACAAAATTAATATTTTGATCTAGAAGAATTTATCTTCTCCTAAATATTAGATTATAGATTTATCACATCACATCATGTATCTCACATTGACCAACAACATCCGTATATAATTCTTTTATGGTTTGTTGTTTTATAATAATAATACTTAATACTTTAACATATTAATTATTTATGGAATGAAAACATTCCATTAATTTAGACCAATTTACTTTATATTGTTATATAATATTTAAGATAAAAAAAAAGTGAATAATCACTTCAATAGATTTTTGGCACAAAAGGATGGATAGATTGATTTGAAAGTAAATATCAGGTTATATTTAATATAATAATATAACTACACCTCGTCTTTTTTTAAGAAAAAAGAAAACATGGATAACTATATTTTATATTTGTCTAGCATATTATTAATATTTTATACTGTTAAGAATAAATTATGCAATTTATAAAGGTTTATTGGTCTTTAGATTTAGGCATATTGGCAACATTTATAGCTGTAAAGTTAATATCATGTCACATTATCAAAAAACAAAACAAAACTGATAATAAAATATTCAGAATTCTCCCAGTTGTTACCACAGTTGAGTGCTTATTTGGAATATTTTATCCTAATTGAGCCTCCCATAGTCCTCAGAAATTGATCAATATTATTATAGAGGAACAGTTCTTGTAAAGCGATCAATAAAGCGATGTGCTGTGCCTACGTTTTCTCCAGTAATGGAATCAAGTTGGAAATAAATTATAAGGCAATCTTTAGCTCCATAGGCAGTAACAGCAGACATAATAAGATTCTGGGGAGAAAATCAATACATTTTCTTTGCATTCCGTCACTAGGAAATGTCCTGTAGAAAAACGATCATGCATGATGTCATGGAATCACTAGGTTGTTGGGGGGGACCGGCACTTTGCTACGTAGTTAGTTATATACGTAGTTGTTGTACAGTAAACTGATTATAGAGGTTTTTAATTAATGTAAATGATAGAAGAATGTTAGACAGATTAAACAGATACACATAGAGAAGACTGAGAATAATAAAAGCAAAAACACAAACAAAGAAAAATATAAATACATATATGGAATGAAAAAGATAGCAGCCTTAGCAAAAAATATGAAAAATTGTTCAAATAACTAATCTTACATGCTTCGCACTATTCCCCTATCAAACAGATAGGCAGTCATGTGCATTATTACACTATATACAAGTAGTTGCACAGCATAAAACTCATAGAAGGATATTAGATATGATGTCAATTAATCATATGAAGTCAGGAAAATAACTTATACATTCAATGTCTTTTTATCAATTTTCTTTTTTGTTAGTATGTTAGAATGAAAATAAATATTAATTTTTCCTGCATTACAGTACAATAATGCACCTGCTTGGTATTTGATATACCGGTAATTATATTCCTGCGCATTTCAACTTGAACCGTGCATTATTCTTCAACAATGCACTCAAAATTGATATTTATTTCCTAAATATAATATGATAAATCTAGACATGGAAAGATTAAGATAGAGAAGTTTTCACCCTAAACCTGCAGAATTTATTGAAAGGTCCTATCCAAATGGCATTTTTGGAACTGTCCATTATCATTTTTGGGGACATCAAGATAATGAAACTTTAAAGTTACGGTAATCAGCCAGTATAGAGCCTGATAAGACTGCAAGGATGTGCAGACAGGCCCGGCTATAAAATACTGACCAGTGACAAAAGCTATGATCATAGTGGTGACAAACTGAAAGGCTTAAGGTAGACCATGGGTAATGCATTACCTCCACTTTGAAGAGTATTCAAATAGGCTAGAATCGCTTGTAAACTACGTTGAAATTGAGGGGCGTGGGTTCAAACCCCACAGGGGCAACTTTTTTTTCTTTCTTTTTTTCTTTTTAACATTATTTATGTATCTCTCTGATCCCTTATGGAAGAAAAAAAGTTTGATTCAAATTATATAATTATTTTAGGGTTTTTTTTGCTAAATAATGCAAAAATTTATAGCAAATATGATACCAGATATTTTCAAAGTTCGATAAAATAAAAACTACACGGTAAAAGTATTTTATATTTCGCATGATCAACTAATATACCTTTGAGAAAATTTAGGCAAACTTTGAAAACAGACCCTCATTTTGATAAATTTTAGGAATATTATGAATAAGGCATTTTAGATAGGGAAATGGTAAAATTAGTGTTTAAAGTGGGTGGGGTAGGGTAACATTTTTATACGTATTAAGAACATTTTGTTTAGAAACAAACATTTTGCTTGTGTAATGTGTTACCTGAATGTTATTATTTGTTTCTTAACAATGAGCAATAGAAAAACATTTTTTATAATGATGATATTAATGATTATTTACAGTTTCCTCATTTCTGAAAATAAGCCCTTCTAATGGCAAAGTCTTAGTTCAGAAATATATCCATAACTCATAAACCACACGGTAAATTTTATTTAAATTTTGCATACAGGTGACCTTGAAGACATATAACTGTCCTATGTTGTCAATTTTACAGTTCCTTATGGTGTCCATTACCCATGGTCTACCTTAAATCACTTTTGGATATCTGGTAAAAAATACTATAAGGAGTAATAAAGATAATATGGAAATAACAAAGAATATTTAACTATTCTTTTTTATTTTTTTTAAATTATTCATGCAGAGTAACATAATGCTGGTCTAATCTAACATGTTGAAAATGTAGAAAAGAATGTCTTTGTAGTTTACTAATTTGCATCTTATAATTGGTCATTAATTAGGGAATCGTTTCTGATACATAAATTAAAGGCACTCCACTTAAACACATAAAATTTGAAATTCTGACATTCAAGATCTTTAAATTGAAGAATTATGCAAAGATAAGGAAAGAAAATATACTCAAAATTAAATTAAAACTATTCTTAGCCCTAAAGTTAAAGGCCGTTGAACGCTAATTCAATGTCTGGCTCATTTTCACAATTTTAGAAATCATTCTGGTAAAATGAAGTAAGCTAATGATATGAAATTTTGCTCATAAGTTATTGATTCAGACCTACATCAAAAAGCAGTCCCTGTCAAGCTTAAAAACCTGGGTAGGGTCCCTTTAAACCATTTTGAATTTACCATATTTGTATTTAAACAGCTAATCTCTTCTGCTTGCTGCTTTAGCCATAGATTTATTAAAAAATAAG